GGCATTGATAAACTAAGGATGAACAAGAGTGGCCAAGGATGAAGGAAATTGAAATCGTACAAATGACTACTAAAACTACGAAACACTTGTTCGGTAAGAAAGAATAACACAAAGGAGAAAGCAATAAACTAGGGAGGAACAGGGACGGCAAAAGATGGGGGAGACCAAATTAGTGCAAACAACTGTGAAATATATGTCCGCTAAGGTAGAAAATCATCAAAGAGGCAATGATAAACCAAAACAGAATAACGATGGCAGGGGATGGTGAAGATTGGAAACGAAGTTGAATTATGACGCGGCTCACTTTTGACCATCGCGACAGCCAAACTCATTTCCTGAGTTTAACGTATTTGGTTATCAAATATGAACAAACTGGCGGTGCCACTGACTTACCAAAAGTTTAGATCAGTTATCTTTCCGCCTTGTCCGTGGTACAGTTCTGAAGTGAATCAATTGATTCCCCGCACTTGATCTTGAGTTAAAACTAGTCTTTCACTCTTATAGTTAATTTTGTGCCTGCACAGCTGTGTAGAGTTGTTTCCTACGCAGAGTAATTTTTCCCACTTTGGCAAATGACTCGCTCGCGTCACCGTTTTATCGATTTTACGCCATTTGCGGTCGTTGAGTATTTCAAACATTTCCCAAATGCATCTCCTCACGTATTTTCACAGACGAATGCTGAACAGTCGTGGGGGTTTTCCGTCTTGAAACCGTGGACGTGACAAGTTGTTATGTCTTCTGAAAACCATCAACAATCCATCATCCAATTAAACTTTATTTTCAACATTTTCAACCGTTTAAGTAGTCATAGAAGGTAAAGGCAACAAACAGAGCAACGGAACTGCCTCCCTAAAAAGCGAAACCACCACACACTATGGTGTACATGATATTTCTAACTCGTGTTGAACACGGAGAATCATCGATCGTTCAATTCGATGTGAATGAAAAAAATTGTAAGAAATTTTATGAAATTTCCGATACTCTGAATTTTCTTGCCGTGTTATTCTTAATTCAACCAGTAACCTTTTTCGAGCGAGCAATGATGCATCAGTTTTCTGTTAATTTTGCGGTATTCCACTAGAGTACGCTTGATTTGCTACAATGATGACAAAGCAAGTATTACTTATCAAAATGGTGGGATTTCGTTGCAAAAGAGAAATTGAAGATCTATTCTGGTTGTCGGACGCTTCGGAAAATGATAGGAAATAACCAACTTTGCTTTCTGTTGAAGTCAGGTTGACGTCAGAACATTGGTAATAACTTGATAACCTCAGGTGTTTTCAAGCCTATCGAACGCAAACAATGTGATGTTTTTTATAACAAGTCTTTTAACCTTGAGTATTAATACGCTGCTGGTTGCAGCTGTTACTATCATTTGTTTGCCTTTGAATACCGTAAAATATGTTTTTCAAAGCTGGAGCATTAGAGGTATATAAGTGGAAAACAGGAAAACTTAAAAGATATTTCAAATTCTCTTAATTCTTCCCGCCAAATAAGCAAACATGTTTACATACAAGTGTGCATTAGCCCTCTCAGTTATGTCGTTATCTGTCTAAGGTCTGTCTGGGGTACTTGAGGATGTCTGGTTCTCATATCTGACACATTTCCTATAGGCAATGGAGTCTTTCACAGACATAAATTAACGATTTTATTAACTGAAGAAGTGGCAACGGTATCAGCTGAAACCATACAAATAACTCGTGTTTTATACATCTTTGACATTCCTGATTAGGGTTCCTTTTTGTCTGTTATTTCAACCAACCGGAATGCAATTATCTTAAGACCCACTGAAACAGGTACCGTATAATTTGGGGTAATTATTTCAGTCTTTTGCTTTCGCTTCTTTTGAGATGAAAAAAAAAAAGAACGTAAGGCGACCCTTTCAAGGTATACGAAGATCATAAAGAGGAAAGTATTCCTATTTTCCCTGAAAAATTCCAACTGCGACCAATTTTGCTCAGATGGCACAACCCAGTTAGGTGACTGCGAATGATTTGCCCATCCGTCTCTTTTCTACTTCTTTCAGAGGCTCTCAGACGTTCCCATACGTCATACATTTTTAATTTGCGTGTGATGGTATCCAAAGTTTATCAACAGCTTGATATTCTGGCATGATTTTAATTTTGGATACACAACTTGGCAAACCTCAGCTTTTTGTTCAGAAATGAAAGCATGTAAAAATTGCCTAAGCTCGATAATTGCACTTTTGACGTCATGATTCAAGCTGAGTCGAAATTGGTTAAAATTAATCACTTCCTATACCTATTTGTCGCTAAAATGACAGCTCTCTCTTGTGGTGGTTGAAAAGCATGGAAAAAACAAAACCACAAAGGTATTTCAAGCTGATAGAACGAAACGCATCATCCAGAACCAGAAGTAGACACACATGACTCAGCTTCTTCCCGTTTTTTTCAAATTATGTCACTGCACCTGACTTTTAATTTGTGGAACACCTGGAATTTTGGTTGGGTAACTTTAAAAAAATGGAAAAACGGGTAGTAATAAATCAAGTAAGAACAAGATTGATTAGAAATGAAGAAGAATAAGTTGCTTGTTGTGAATGGTAAACTTGAAAAACTAGGTGGATTTTTTTTAGGGATAAACAAACACCCAAGCTAAAAAACCCCTTCGTAGCAAAGAAAGTATTTTGAAAGTCTCTTCTCGTTTTGTATCATAACTGATAACTTGAAGTATGCGGGATGTTTATGGTCCAGTATAATCGTCTTGGGCAATGTTATTATTCTAGCTGAAGGTGACATGCGTGGCAGGGCTAATTTGCTAAGCGAGAGAAGCAAGAGTTATGCAAAGGTATAGGGCTCAAGGAAGCAGAAATGTTCGGTCTCCCGCTTAGCTCACGCTACGCCTGCTCGGCTAGAAGGAAAAGGAAAAGGCTGCTAACTTTTAATTCAAATTGGCTATGACCAATTGCGGCAAGAGCCGGTGTTTAAAGGATTTTCCTTTTGCATGTACAAAATGTTCACTGTACTTTGTAGTCTACTGACTTTCGTTAAAAGAAATTAACTACTGTTTGGAATCGCAGACTGTAAGTCGCGTTGTCACTCTTCGTCAAGTTCGAGAAGCATTCATCAAGTGGTAGATTTATTTTTTAAACCGCATGGTTGGAAAACATCACTACACAAACATTCCGGAATCTTTATTCCTCTTAAGTCTACCAGGCATAACAAACCACAACCTTGAAAGAACTTCGTAATTGCTTTGTTCGTTCTCAGAATTAATCTCTGCGGGAGGCAACTAAGAAGAATTAATGAATTTATGTGGTATATCAAGGAAGATGATTCAAATTGTTTCAATAAGAGGTTTGTCCGCCTCTTCAATTTTTGGTTGTGAACACGTTTTATCACTTTAGTCTCAATTTTTGTTTGTTATTTTCTATTTTTTTTTTATTCAAAGGAGTGAAAGTCTTTAATATTTATTTTACCTGTCTGTTTAAACTATTTAAGTGATTCCCAACATCTAATAATTTTTCCTTTAAAAATGAATTTCTGTCTTTAATTAGAATTTCAAAAATGGCTGCATTTGTTTACCGTCTCTAACTGCGCCACACATCAACTTCAGCATAACGTATAAAAGAAACGTTGAGTTCCAAATGAAAATTAAAATAATTTGCCGTCGCGGTTTCGGTTTGCAGACGACGCAAATTGTGGTGATTTCACGTCGTTTTTTTGCATAGGACGGCTAAGAAATGTACAAAGTTTTAAAACGCACATGCTGAGCTATTGTTTTGTCAATTAGATCTTTTTTTTTTCCATGTCTTCGTTGCCTTTGTCGTCGTGGTTTGCTTAAGGTCCCTCAGTAATGTCTCCGATAAAACTTGCCTTCTTCGTCAGCCAAGGCTGCAAATGGCACTTGGTACACAGAGGAATCAAGGACAATAATAATCTCTTGCCCTGGTAACACAAGTGAAGATTTGTTTTGAAATCTTCGGCATCATAGTCACGAAAAACGGTGCGGTTGACGCGGGGACATCAGCCGGTGTCATCTAGAGATCGATCTTCGCAATTCTGTTCGGGTAAAATTATAGGCTGCCGAAGCTCTCCTTGAAAAACTTATCTTAATCAAGGACTAATCGAGTCACCTCGTTTTCGTCCAGACTTACTTTCTTTTTTGAAAAATGAATTGCTCCCGTTGCTCTGAGAATTCAAAAACGTACATCATTTTTACCAACCGAAATGTACAGGCACTGAGATTTGCTCCGAACACAACCCGGTACCGAGCTGCCATCAAGTCGGCTAGGCCTTTTGCTTTCCTCAGCTCTTCGACGCAAAAGGCGTCTTGAGACTTTCCATTGGAAGAAAGCAACCAATTGAACAACTTGTAAGGACAACTGTCGTGCTCTGATCACTGTCTTAAGAAAACCTCGCAGTGTCCAATTTTTCGATGCTTTTAAAAAGATATGAATGAGATAGTGACACCTTTAACACCGATAGACTACAAAGGCATTGAAACTCTCTCAAGTTGTGTCCAATATCCCTGCTTAATAGGAGAGAATGCTTAAGGTATTCTTCGGCCATGTCATAGTTACTATAGAGATTGGAAGCACATGCGATCCTAAATTTGCGTAGTAGCCTTAAAGTATTAAAAATTACCTATTTATTTAGTCCGCTCATCGTTGGCCAATTCATGAAGGATTTCTATTGGACAACCGCAGGATTGTCTTTCATTTGTTGAGCGTTACTCTGATATATGCACCGAGCGCCTTTTCACGGACAATTCCCTTGGCGTGGAAACTGTCAAAAACTACACGACATCAGACAATACGGAAATGTTTTCCATCGTTAGATACCAATGAATGGGCAACCGGTAGTCTTATGAACCAAGTGAGGAAAACGAATGAACTGGCCCTAAGACAACTAAAGAGTAATCAAGGAAGTAAATTAACTTGTTTGTGTTCGTCTTAAATTGTGCTCTTCTCATGTCCATGTGCGCCTGCGATTTTGAGAATCGGCGGCTGTTAGTCAGTTGTTGTCATAACAACATCACGACAAATAGGGCAAACACAAGTAACTTCAATACGGGAAAAGTTGACTTCTTGGTGGACAAGAAATTACAAATAATGGCTACAAACGACGGTATGTACCCTGGATATTCGTGAAAAAAAATGTTTCTTTTGCTCACATATGTCTAACAAAGCTAAATTTTCCTTTCTTAGCTCGAAGAGCAGTTGCTTTTGGAACGACTCTTGATCGGGAACTGTTACCACTAAAAGTTCCAGCAAATCGCTTTGGAAATGAACTCGCCTTACGAGGCGCTCCAAACCGCGGCCCTGGATGTTATTACAATGCGGAGGTAGTTGAAAAACATTTTGTTTCTCGGTTAGTTTTCAATTAGTCTTAAAACAGCTGATCTTGTAGGGAAAGTAAGCGGTGACATGAGTACATGAGTGCGATGTACATGTGCCTGTCAGTGAGTATATTATAGTGAAGTGGATGTCTCACATTGTAGTCACTCCTGGTGTAGATATTAGCGATTTGATTGCGTCGTATTCATCTTGAAATTCATAACGACCAGCAGTATGGTATGCCTGATGAATACTTTTGGAATACGGTGGAAACTTTGCGATATACCCCAGACCAAAATGGCAACGTAGTCAACATAGCTGGATTGCTATGTTACTTCACCATGATTAACCGCCTCAGTTGTTATGCAGTGTGTTCTATATACTGTAAAACCCTTCGTAGCGATAGCTTGTTACAGATTCTGTAACAGGTCGTTTCTTTAAAAAAACATGGTGGTGACGAAAGTATCCATGTTTTGAAATCAAGACAAAATTTGTGTTCGAAAGATAATTTCCTAATTGTCTCTTCTTGCCGGTCAGGGTAGTGGTTTTATTTATGAACTTGAGAGAAGACCTGTATGCAGAAGAGGGTATTCAGTTGGAGCCAGAACCGCCCCAAGATTTCCTAAACCAGCTCATGTAAGTTCAAGTTTGAGACGTTCAAAATCAAGAGAGAATAGAAAACTTATCTGCCATAGTTGTTTATTCATCGAAGTTTCATGTCTTTTTTTTTTAATTTTATAAGTCAGAAAGGCTAAATGCACAAATCTTCCATGACAATTTTTTTCTCCAAAAGGTAACCATAAGGTTGCTTACAATAAGGGTAATCATAATGACTGTGAAATTTTGCTGAATGTTGAGGACATTAGGTTTTCAAAACTTAATTATCATTGTCAATCAATGCTACCTTTAGCCATTTTCATTGTCAATTTTCAAAATCATGTGGTTTCAAGTTTTTGATGAATGACATCCATGAGCATTGTAGCTTATAATCTGATTCCTTATCCCTGTTTGCAGCTGGATGTTCCTGGACCACCAACTTATCAAGAGATTATCAGCAAACCAGTTCACTTTGAAGAAGCTTTTAAAGCATTTAATGTTGGTGCAACAAGATTCCCACCAATTAACCAGGTGATACTCTTCATAGATACAGTTGACCAGTATTAAGGGGCACTGCATTTAGCAGTCCCCAAATTTTCCCTCTTAAGCACTGTAATTTTCCCCTCTGTTAAGTAGTCACCTCTATGAAGTGGACATGGTCACCCTTGACTGAACTCCAAAAACCTGTTTGTGTTGTCTTCCACCTGTATTGAATGATCACTTAAAGTGGAACCACTAAAATAAAACAAAGAATAATATCTCAAATGAAGTTTATTCCATTATTTCTTGGAATAAGTGTTAGTACTTTGATTTCAAATGTCCTCATGACCCATTGCAGGCTTAATCTTTCTTCTTTGGACCATTAGGACAAATAACGCAAGTAATTGGCTGATTAACCTGTACTAAGAAGTTGACATGTATTTAGTCGCCCAGCAATTGCCTGTACATGTAGGCGACTGCTAAATACAGGCTTGACTGTATAAAGTTTTCTCACAAGTTCCTACTTTATTGGGGAAGTTGCATGGAAATCATAGAGTCAGAGTGGGAGAGATAAGGCTTTCATTTGCTCTGAAAGTTTCATTTTCAATCAATCCCTGATAGTGGACTTCCACTATCAGGGATTCCACTATCAGGAAAAAGAGAAACATTTGCAGATGGAATGTCTTAATTGATCCCCAAAGCAAAACCTATGAAAACTGCTGGTATTTTTGTTTCTGTTGCTGATGTTACTCGCTGCAGATTTAACAACCAGTCTCAGCTCAAAAAGTATCGAATTTCATGGGTATGGTCTTGGATCCTAATTTGCTCAGAAATTGGCTTGTTCTATTTTTATCCTTACACAGAACACAACTTATGCATGCAAGTTCCTTTGTAAATGTTTTCAAGACCTCTAAATAATATCAGTATGTTTTATCTCTTTTGCAGGACCATGGCCATCCAGGGTGGGTAAAATTTTTCTTTTTAAAATGCTTTTCTCTTTTGGATGATGTAGTTTGCTACTTTAGTCAGATGATGACTTAATTTAAGGTGGGGTGTCAGAGATACCACATTTAATCTGGTTTGTAGATTGCTTGTGAGACATTTTGGACAATTATGTGCTGATAGTAGTCATGTAGTACCTAGATCATGTGAGGACAATTAAGCTCCTAAACAGTTGAAGGTTTAATTTTAATGTGCTCTGAGGTGCTGGATGTTTTGCTTCTCATGACAGTTTCAATGCATTATATCCTGCATACAGGTTGTACAATCTGATGCCCAGTGATGTTCATGTACTAGATTTGGGTGACTTTTTTGATTAGAGAAAAAGCATGCATACTCATCAGGGGCAGATTGAGTGTTATATTTCAATTCAGCCCAAAAATTTCTCATAAGCCAATATACAAATTCAAGAAGTAGACAGGAGCTAGATGGGAGAATTGCTTGACAATATGACATCTTGGAAGTCAAACATAAAAAAAAAGTAAAACAAACAAAGCAAAGAGTGACTGAAGGTCTGAGCATTGGCATTGTTTTGTAACATAATTTTCAATATTTCCAACTCAGGCCTGGTGCATATGAGTTTGATGCCAAAAGAGACAGGAAGGTGAAGTATCATGGCTCTTTTGGTGGACCACAGACCTTGATAACATCAGTTACAATTAAATGCAATGAATTTGGAGAGCCAGATATTGTAAGTATCCCAGACAACTTCTTATTGATCGATAGGTTAGTAAAGTTCAGACAAAGATTGTTGTTCTTTTTGACCGAACTTCTAAAAATTTTGCTTGTGGAGTTTTCTAACATTGAGCCTTTGACCCTAAGGGTTAAAAGCATCTAATTACAATATCACCCCTGAATTACACATTAAGGTCACAAGAATAAAAGAAATGATCACCAACTAAAGAAGTTCTCTCTCTCCTTGTCAGAACCTTTGGAAATGTTTGGAGAACAGTATGGAGAATATACATACTGATGTCAGGGTGTAAAGTGTTTTAAAAGAATTTTGTCGTAATTTAATTTTAAATTTCTTATCTGCTCGTTAAGAATGTTTGTGGGTATGCTTTGTCATTGATTGCAACCATTTGCTTCATACAATTCTAATCATGACCAACTGTTTGTTCACAGTGTAATTCTTGTCAAAGTCCTCCAGTAGGAGATTACTATGAGTACAAAAAGGTTTATCTTTGTCGGAAATGTTACAATCATCACTTAACAACAGGAGAGAAGTACACAAGAAGGTAATTTTATTGTAATTTAGGGGGTAATTTATTTATATCTAACAACACTGTGGTGTTGTGTCAGGGGGGTATAACATTTAAAGGTAATTTGGTTTTATCAATTGAGTTGATAATGTAAATTGGCCATCATAGAGTGTTCCTAAAGCTGATGTTTCTGGGGTTAGCCCTTCACTAGAATGAATTAAGCCACAATCACACAATATACTTGTATTTTAATGACTTAATTTCTTTAATGAGGATTATTTTATTTTTGAAGTCATTTTTTTTTCTGATATTCAAAAGATAAATGATAATCTTGAAATACATCTTTTGTCCCATCTAGTTATCTTCAATCTTTTCGCAAAGTAAGAGACTGCTCAAACATTCATAACCACGAAGGAACAAATGCCAGATTAATGGTAAGCATTTGTAAACATCATTGGGAATTGTACATGAGACAGGGCAATAGAGTCACCAGCTTAAACCCGCAAGTTAAAGTTATGGTAAAAAATATTTCCTTTTGAAAAAGTGTGCTCTTACATAGAAATGAGGTCCTGAAACTTTAAAGATGCTGTTTGGTGTGCTGTTTTCTGAAGTCTAATTTGTTGATATAAACCTTTTCTTTGACAGCTCAAAACCGAAAAAGACCTCAAGAAACAGAGATTTAGAGAAGCATATATGAGCTTGTACTTTTGAATACGGAACAGTAGGGATGCAGGAAAATTGCTAATGAGTGCGAGATGTATATTTTTTTACTGATACAAAGTAATAGAACACGATATGTCAGTCAATTCACCCGTGGACGTATGTAGTGTAAATATGTTTGATGTTGAGTGCTGTGGAAAGCATATATGGGCAATAATGGGCAAGAAAATATTTTAGGGTAGAGTTATTTTTACCAGGTTAGTAAGCTAGGAGAAGTGTACCAGTAATAGAAACGTCAAAATACCTCTTTCAAATTATATTAAATGCAATAAAGGATAAAATGAAAGATTTCCACACGTATAATTGTGTCAATTTACCAATCAAAAATAACTTCTTGGGTAAGAAATGTCAGTTAATGGAATCAAAGTTTTGAAAACTAAACTTTTGTTGGTAAGACAAAAATTGATCTTAAATTTATCTGTCTGCGATAAACCCACTAAGAGTTACTGAAATGCGTTATTTCATATATCCAATGTCCGAAACTTGAACATTCTACTAATGAAAAAAAGAAGAACAATTTCCACCATTGTCCAGTTAGTCGTTATAAAGCACATCTAAAGATTTATCCAAAAAGTTAAGTGCTTATCTCTGTAGACACGAATAGCTCGATATGACGACGAGCACACAAAAGGAAAATTTCCTTTCGAATTCAGTTACCATAACTCTTTGTTTAATTAAAAAGAAAATGTGCTTCCAAACGCTACCCCAATTTGACCTTGACATATTAACATTTTATTTCGTTTGAACTATAATATAAACAGGGAAGTTAATCTGTTAATATTTTTAATATTGATTTTCCTCTTGTTTGGTTGAAAATTTTCTTAGTTCAAAGGTTCCTAATCTCTCTCTTCACCTGGTCCAACCCACGCGTTGTATTATAATAATGTTATATCATAAAAACGACTTTTTAGAATTTCATCTGCAGACAAATAAATGCTATGAATAAGCTCTTGAAAAGAAAGTGTGTTTTTATTCAAGAAGGAAGTTTTCAAAATTTTGAATGTACATGCTGGTCTCAGTACTGCGCTGCCAATCCTTATTCTGTAAATACCTTGTAAACATGCATTTCTAATTGCTGAAATGATAATGTACGTGAAGAAGTATCAGCATGCTCTTTGGTTGAGAACACGTCAATCAATACCAAACAGAACCGAAAATTGAAACTGAACGAGAAAGTTGAAATTGAGTTCACAAGTTTCAAAAAGTTGAAAATTAATCGGTTGGCAGGTGAGTCGCGAAACCACAACAAACAAAATGGCGGACAGGTGTGGAGAAAGTAACAACGTCCTAATTCAGAGTTTGAGCATAGTCTCGCGGGAGAATGCTTTAAAAAAAAACACCCAATAAAAGAAAAACAACTGGCCAAAAGTGTGGCTTCCAAAAACAGGTATGAAAGTATGAAGCCATAAATAAAATTCTCGAGGAGTATTACGGAGGACTTTACGCAACAGTTAGGACGAAAGACGGCGGCCAGATTACCGTGCGTGACAGCTTTCGTATCATAGTTACTGCTGTCGACTGATACCTAACAGAGAAAGAATACAAACGCTCAGTTATTCTCGAGAGAGGTTTTGAAGTTTGAAGCAAATTCTTGACGAAAAAGCCTTACTACTCTGGCAACAAGGCAAAGGCAAGCGGCCGAACTGGTAAGCCATGACACGATATAAAGGCAACTTCAGAGTCACTTTTTTGAATAGATATTATTAACTAGTAATGACTCTATTTTTCTCGTGCAATTCGGGATATATCAGCTATCGTACATTTTTCAAAGACTTAAAATTGCACTCACCCTACAGGCTCGTGAAGTTTGGTTAGCCTTGGAAAAAAAGTTACTCGCGCTGATTAATTCCAATTGCACTCGAAATCATGTGATAATTTATCGATTGCCATGAAAGCAACTATTAGAGAATCCCAAACCAACAATTTTGTGGGAACTGCGTAAAATAATTTTCTCTGATAAACGGTGTAGTAATTTCAGCGCAGATGATTCTAAGAAACCGATTCCTACCCACTTAAGTCAATAAAAGATATTCGATTTGTATGGTGTTGAGTGGGTATATTGTTCAACAATACAATATCAATCACGTTACATTAATTGGAGAACAATGTTTAACAGGATATACAATAAGGGGTGTGTTTTTGGAGAGGTGTTGATACAATCTTTTTCTAATTACAGATCATCGCAGAAAATTTTTTTGAAAGGTTATTTTTTCTTGGCAAATTTTAAGCGCATCATGTATTGAGTGTTTTTCTTTTCCTTTCCTTCGTCTGCCTTGTTTTTCAGTTATGAATAAATTCTTAATAAATGTTGCACGTTATTTTTTTTACCATAACGATTGAGATGCGTTCGTGGGTCATCTTATATAGTGTTTCCTTGCCTTTTACAATAAGTGACAATTTCAAGCGTTGAATCTTACGAAAATATCAACCTTTATTATGGTTGTCTTTCTAAGTCAAGGATATTCCTCTCCACCAAAACTGTTCTCATGGCAGACCTAGCTCGCTCAAGGCAAAACTAGAGATGATTTGCTTTTAATTTTCGATGTAGTCTGCATGGATGATCGCCAGCAAACTAACCCTTGATTAATTTTTTTAACAATAGACAGATGTCAAGTTTACGTTCAATGTTTAGATGATCAGGAGCTCTTAAATAAAAGTAAGGCACGAGGCTTATTAAGTTCTTCTTCAAGAGTTAACCTGGAGCTAGAAGAATCAACCAGCAAAGACTGAACAGCTCCACTGAAGTACTTAACAAAGCTACGTCTTTCTAAGTACTTCAGTTTTGTTTCTTTTGCGACATGCTATTGCTAGATACGAGAAAAAGGTTTGGATACTTTTTCTTTTTTTACTTGATAAGCGTCCCGGATGTCTTAGAACACTGTTACTTTTGTGTAGATATATATTCCTTTGCTTTCATAAATAGGTTAACAGATTCGAGTGGGTTTTTTCGCCGAATGACGTTTTGAATACAAATTCAGTGCTCCTTAGTTTTTCACAGTCTCAAATTGTTGTAACTTTGTCAGGTTTGCCTTCTTTAACAGTTCACCTGCTAGTGTACTAATCTTTTCACCCGACTGAAGAGGTCATGACGAATATTGTGTATTGTCCGAGAGCGCAGCGACACAGTTATTAACCTTTAAGTCTCAACCGCTCAATCGGAAGTCGTCTACAGGAGCAAAAAGCAAATTAATGACACAAACAGCCAAGCCTATTTCCTCATACACCTTCCGCTAACCTGTTAGCTAACAGCTCAGGAGCCGCCCAACTGTTCTTTATGCTCTGGCCGAGTATTTTGCTTTCCAAGTCGGTGGTAAGTAAAGCTTTGAGCGAGTTAGGAAGTTGTTTGAGAAGCTATCGCGATTCAACTTAACACTTACAGGGTTTAACATCTAATTGGTTGGTTGGGGTTTTTAAATCAATCACATAAAGGATAAAAATTACTGCTTCGAGTTTTCTCACGTTTAGAGCGTTCACGTTAGGAATGTTCGCTCGGAAAATATGTTATCCCTTAGGGGACTTTCGCCCAAAAATGTTGTTTTACTCATGTCAAATATTTTCTTTATAAATCTAGATTTTTTTAGCTCCCAATGTCGTGCTGGGTCGTAAAAACAAAAACGACGGCTTAGCAACTATATCACCAGCGCGACACGGTTAGATGTATTATGTCAGTGTTTGAATTCTAAGCAGGGGGGTTTTGTTGATATGACGTCAATTCCTGAAAAGAGCCTCGGGCAAATTTTTTTTCAACAAAAGCTCGAACTTAACGGCTCATTTTGCGCAATAATTATTGGCTCTTGTAGGGTAAGCATCTCACCTGCATTGGAAACTTCGTTCGCAAATTTTGGGGTACAATATATGACCGACTCATGATGGATGTAGTTTCTGCAGTTACCTGTACAAAGACTCTGTAAGTTAGAACTTCCATGGTATGTACACATCTTTAACTTTGAAGCTAGCTCGCCCAGAAAGGAGAAACAGGATTCAGAAATTAGAAAAGAGCCAAAGAAGTAAAGAAATGTTTCCCAGATACACAGCAGCAGGTATGTTCGAGAATTGGTTATAGCTAATGAGAAAATAAGAACGCACTTATATCTTTTCATTTATAATGAATGCACAAGTTCACAGACATTGCATGCTTTTCCCTGATCAGTCGAGCGGAAATCAATGATATGGTTTTTAAACTAAGGTGTACAAATTAGCTGGACGTGCAAAATAATTTCTCCCTTACCTAGTATCTTTTCATCACTCGTCTATATTCTGAAATTCAGTAAATAAGAAAAATTATTTCGGTTCCTGAATATTCGCTCACATTTCTTGAAAACTGGACAATAAACCAAACCCTAAATTATTTCTAACCATTGGATCGAAACATCAATTTTACCAGCTCGTCTAATGAAGTACGGTAGTCGGTTTTTATTGTATCACCGAGTTTAAACAATTTAAAGAAGCGTAATCATGTTTATTATATTTAAATAGAAGGCCGTACAATTTTGCAGTTTTATGGCAACAATTATACTACAATGCCACTTCAGTACCATGGTTATAAATTAGGCTAAGCAGAACATTAGACGCCTGTTTACTTCGTTGCATGGCGAGATAAATAGACGAATATTCTGGAAACATATTCTTTTGTTTTTCGGTCTGGTACATTGTCTGAAACACGGTGATAGGAAAGGGAAATTTCGTTAGCTTCCCGCTATAAGTTAGCGTACATAGATAATGTTTGTTACGAAACCCTTCAAAACTCTTCTTGAGGAGCTTAGTGATAATAAACATCTCAATTTAAAAAATTAGGTATTTCTAATTTCCGTTTTATGCCTGAGAGACTATTGGAATTGCAATGCCATATTCGAAATTATATCCAAATTTTTGGATCACTGGATGCCGGTACCTAGAGCGCGTAATCTTTGAGAAATGTGCTGGTATTAAAAGCAGTGCTAGGCCACGAAATGTACCAAAGGATCTACAAATACAGCAAAATACTCGCACGTCTTTCCGGACTGAAGAGACCAAAACATAATTCTTATTTACAATAACAAACGATTTCAAGGAGACAGATACTGAGAAGGAAGAAAAGCATCATCAAGAAGATAATGATTGACTTTAAATAAAATTATCACGACTGAAATCTTTAGAATTGTATGACATATTGTGGGGAAAACTGTTATCAAGATTTTGGAAGCGGAGGAAGTTACTCAGTTCTCTCGCTGTTACTTAGTTGAAAATTGCACTAATGCAAAAAAATGCATATTGGAGTTGAAATCGTCTTGACTAGAACCAAGAAAACTTCGGAAATAAAAAAGATTATCAAAATGACGATATCTGGGAATGAGAGGACAAATACTATAAGGAAATGCATTTAAGGTTTACTAGCGGCCAGTCCCAAACGATCAAATATAGAAGGCCGTACATTAACGAGAAACTGGAAGTAAGTCCCAAGCTAGTTGAGCGAACTACGAGAACATTTTAAAAGTTATGGAATTTTACAAATCCTTTCTATAAAAAATTCCACGGCGAAATGCAAATGAGTTCCACGGAGGGTCCTGAACGATATTATGAAAATTATAACGACAGCCTAACTATCCCTAAAAACACAATTTGAAACTTTGTAAATGCTGCGTCTGTTTTCAATCCTATGCTTACTTGGGTCTTGATTTCAGTATACTTTTCAAATATTTCAATAAATACAATCAGAGAGGTAAGAATGAGGTCCCTGCGAGCCTCGGGTGATTTGTCCCAAAATAGAAACAATCACTTATGTTATTAATAGAGAAAAATTATGTTAACGTTATTCATAAGGAAATTCCTTTCACTATTGTGCCATCTACTTATCCTTAAATCAGATGACGCTTTGAAGAAATGTGAAGGAAACCACAGGTTCCTTCATGCTGTGATAATTCCGCGGCGATGGATACTTTAGGCTCCCCATCATCCACTGGGAAACGCCAGTTTGACGCTAGATAATGGCTATTTGGGAAAGAAAAAAAAAACTTTTTGGTTTGCCATCCAGTTTAAACTTACAAGCCACGAATAGTTTTGCTCATCTGTTTGACGTTTATTCAGTTCTAGTGTCATCAGCCTTTTCCCCTCGCTAATCCGGGCCAAGAAGGAACTTTAACTTTCGTCGATATAAGTCATTAATGACTGTATCAATGCAACAGAATTTTGGTATAACAGATGTTTCGTCTGTTTAGTTGCTTGAAAGGAATTGCTTTCGCAACATAAAGCGTTATTTTTCCTTTCTTTTCCTTAATCATGATGAATTCGATCTCTTGATGTATTTTATGTATCGCTACGCAGATTTTCAAATGCAGTCTGAGGATTAAACTTTTCTTTTTTGGGAAACGTGATTGCGTCATCGTCAATGGACAATATTTTGTTCACTGTGGCTGCTCCATTTTTCTCGAGATCTTTGATTTCGTACTTCTCATCCAAAAAAGCTATCAATCTCCCTCGCTGCTCGCCAGTGGAGCACTGATTAGCTATCCACTGAGCTGTCTGTTTGCTAATGAGTCCTAACACATACTTTTCCCACAGATGGGTTGATTTTCCAACCTGCGTTTTAAGGATATTTTCTTCGGTCTCTTTCTTCCGTAGAAATGATTTTGATTTCGGGGGTAGCTCCAGAGTGCTTCCTTTACTATCTGGCATGCAAAGTGCATGTTTTCTAGGTAAGACTTGCCTGGAACTTGATTTCAACGATTTGTCGTTGTTTTTTCGCCGCCCTGGAGATATAGAAAGGTCTTTAATCTTGTACAACTCTTTCATGTCAGACGAAAAGTACGATGATAAATTCGGGTCCCCCATATATTGAATTACTTCTTCAGTAAAATGCAGCGTCGGTATACATAATGCTTTGGTATTTTTCTTAGAAATGGTCCATTCCTGTGCCTGTTGTTTTTCCCCAACCGAGAACTATGCTTTGAATTAAATTTAGGAAACTCCGACTCCCGCTTGTATGCGTAATTTTTGACGAAATCTTTGACATAAGCGGCTCTATTCTCGGTCGTAATTTCAATTCCTTCAGGTGTCGAAATATTGTACCCTTGAAATAATTCTGATTTGTATTGAAGATCGCCAAATTTCGTTGACTCCTCAGTTTCTCTCTGATATTTCCATGGTTTTTTTAAAGATGGATTTTTCCACATAACATCATCCACTGCGTGGGGTTGTTTTTGCGATGAATTCGCGGCACGCTTTGCTGTCGAAGTAGAGTATCGGTCTCCATTGATAAAGGGCAAAAAGGGATGCCTCCGATCCATGACTGATTTAGTTTCAGAGAGAAATGTCTATGCTCGTGCAACGTAGAAATAATGAACTTGGTTTTGCAGTCCTGTTGCTATGAACCATTCCAGGTGGTGTGAACATTGGACCAAAATTCAAAACAAATCGAATTACTTTGTAGAACTCTGTTAGGCAGTCGATTCACTATTGGTAGAATTTTAAACCACTACTGGCCTAATTATACCACGTTCGCTTTGTTTCACAATGTGTTGTGTCAAATAAAACAGTTTTATGTCGAAAGATAGATGGATATTGATACAAAACGGCAGGATGTAATAGCAAGACCTTTTCTTAATGATCCAAAAATACATGCGTGGGCAACTGCAGGAATTATTTTAGTAAAATACAAAAGTAGCTTTACTCGATTATAGCGCTTTATTTTTGAAGCATGTCGAAACTTTTTTGCGGTGCTTTCTTGAAATGGGTCTCTAAAGATAAATATTTTGTTCTTCCGTTATCGTTTTAAGACGAGTATGGCAATAAAACTGTCACGGGCTTAGGATTGATCACAGGCTGGGAATGTCGCGCATTTTAAATAACTTAGAACGCGAGAGATCAATTAGAGAAAATGCATTCAAATACAGATACAGATACAGATCTTTACTGAGGCTCCCTAAATGGGTTTTTCAGTATCAATTCAGTTATGTGCTGAAATAGAAAGAGCAACGTAAAAGATAGTTGCTGTAAAACGATCGCAACGCAAACTAACTGCCTGCAGCAAATCAGAACATGAGAATTTTGGATAGAACTTGGAAAAACGGACTGTTCATAGACCTATTGGAAAATTATATTGGGTTAACTATTCACGATGGTAAGAATCATATTTTCAGTTCGGCCAGACCTAATAAATAAAAAGCTCCATCGCTCTCGTTCTCAGATCGAGTCTGTCTTAGGGCAGGAAACGAGCCTCGTTTACTTCCGCCGTTAAATTTACAATTTATTTTTATTCAATATCCAACATTTTGATAGCAAAGATAAAACAATAATAATTAAAATATATAAATAAAATACTCCGAACTGAGTAAACAGCCTCAGACAACTAGGGAGATATTAGTGGGGTGATGGCTTTTACGACTAACGGGAAACAAAAATTGTTAAAAATTAATTTCACTGGTCTTGAAAAATTAATAATTAATTTTTTTTATTCTAAAGCACCCTAGCTAAGACCATTCGTTTACTCATTTTTTATTTAGATAGAAAAAAAAAATAATAATTACGGTCTATAGGAATGGCATTTACCTTCAGAAACAGCCATGAATTATAACAGAGAGGATAAATGTATCCTTTATTGACCTTAATGTATACGAGAGATTATATATAGGTTATTTTCTATTCATGTATAGAAATAATATATATATATATATATATATGAAGATTTTGATCTTCGATGAGAGAAACTTGGTACTGTGAATTTTTTTTACAACCGGCAGTTGAATTCTCTCAGTTCCTACACATAACGGCTAAAGTTTTGGTTTATCTAATCGAAATCTTTAACTAGCTTTACATGACCAACTAATTATAAAACTTCGAAGCTTCATGCAAGCGGGTGCGCTAATTCTTTACCAGGGAGTTCTTTTCCTCATATCTTCCAATTACTTCTTAGCGGTATGAAAAAATATAACTTCTTCACTCTGACTTACTAATTAAAAGCAATGCGATGGTACTTTTTTTCATGTACCAAATCGTAACAGGCGTAAAAACTGTGATTTTCAGGCTCAAAGAGAGATAAATGCATCGTGTTGTTATCTTAAATTATACCATGTAGAAAACGACTTTAAATGTAATAATAATTTTTGAGGATTGGTGGCAAATAATTTAATCAGGTTTAGCCTTTGCTCGAGCTGCGTTTTGAAGTAGTATTTTCAAATTGACGCCATCTCTGATCTCTGATCTCCTTTTTTTGAAAGGAAAATTTAATTTATTAGAGTATGTTTATCTGTGTTTCTAAGCTAGGTTTAGTTTTAATTAAACTGAGTTTTTGCATTTAGGAACCAAGAGCCTCCGCTAATGAGCCCATAACTGCCCCGGCAGGGTACTGGGATCTCACTTCATTTCTCCGCCTTAATTATCATCGTAAAAATTATTTCATCAGGAAGATAAGCTAGCTCTGTGTCCGATTTCTCAACAACCAGGGTAGTGATAATTGCCAAGAAGATCTGTCGTTTAATTACAAGCAGGCAACTTGGAAGAATGAGTCTTGTTCACGCTCGTTCGTTGGGGGCTCATTTATATTGTCTCAGGTACCCGTGACAACCCTTTCCCCGAGGTCCCCTGGCCGAGCTTTCTTTTTTCTCAATCAAACTTGTACAAATTGGTTAAGTCGCCTTGGGGGGGCAAGACAACTCCGGAAGAGCGAGTTGTTTCGCCGCGGCATATTGGGTAACCCTGTCAGGTGGGACAAATTTTACTCACATAAATGTCATAAACACTTTGGCTCGCCGGCCTGAGATGAGACCGCTAAAATTGTTTAGGGAGCTCATGTGTTTTAGGTCAGCGGAGAAACTGATTAGGGGACAGATGTTACAACTCACAACTCCATGTAAACGCTCCATAAAGTTTTCCTAAGGGTTGGGGGGGACCTGGGACCACATAAATAGGAACTAACTTAAGTGGAGGCTCTGGGGTGTTGTTGTTGGTTGACTGTTGGTGAGAGTCTTAACTCTAATTAGATTAATAATCACGACTTCGAGAAAGAACGAAGAGAGCGAATCAATGAGTTGAAAAGATAATAAAGGAATTTACAAGCCAGGAGGCATGTTGACGACTTGCATTCAAACGCAGCGTGTGCAAAAAAGAAAATAAAAGCTGATTTTTCAAACAGTGGAACAATTCCTTTCAGTTAGACCGGCGCGTGTTGTGATAATGAAGTGTTTTGACTTCCCCTGAGTGTTCCACAAGGAGATCGCGTGGTCCTTTGTTTAAAAGAGATTTGGAATCAGGGCTTTAGATCTCTTGAACACAAAAGACATTGTTCCTTAATTTGAAATAACAAGTGTCTTTGCAAAGCCAGCAAATTCTGTTTAAACGATGCGAGCTAGTCGAACAACTCAGTCAATTAAAGAGTGATGTTTTCTGATTCATATCTGAAAAATTTTTTAGTCAACTTCCTGAAAGATAGTGGCTACGACTGACATATTTATGCTTGCTAAAGCCGAATCTAAATGCTTCTTTTCCTATTAACTTAATTTAAAACATCGTCTCGCAAATACGTGCTTCAAATTTTTCAATATTTCAACCGATGAAGTGTTATCTCAAATCCTACCTCTTAAAAATCGTAGAAATTTTGATCCAAAAAAAGAAATGACAAGCGAACAAAAGGCCATTCTGCGGAGTGTTTACAAAAGTCAAATCGTTTTCAAGGAAATTCATGACGTTTTAAAGACGTTACAATTAAACTTATGCCACATTTTTACATCGGAAAAGGAAGACAATGTAACGTCACTTGGAAACGAAATCGCTACCAGTCATCTCGGAAACAGGCGAATAATGGAAAATTAAGTTGCACAGTGAAGGTAGCTCAATTTTATGCCTGATAGGAGTGATTTGCTCTATCATTTTGTGAGGTCAGCTGCGAAGATTAATTCAGATGACAGGCTAAACGCCGCGAAGTTTACAAAAGAGAGCCAAATTGATTCGGCCCCTGAAGAAGTTGCCTATTGTTTTGGCCAGCTGGCATATTTTAATTAGAGTTTACTTAATAATTCTTTTGTGAGAGGAGCTGTTGTCAATAGAGATAACATATGGACTGAAGAGAGCCCATAAGGAAAAAAAACTGACTCGCAGGAAGAGATGCTCGCAAACATTTCAGGTATTTTTGTAATTCAGCATTTTCCACATTTTCTTGATCTTTTATTTTATAATATTTCTCGCATCGGCGAAACCGCGCAGAAGCTTAAAGAAAACTGAGTTAATCCGATTCAATACGGCGATAAAATCATTTGAATCTTGCGTTCAATGCTTGTTCGTGAGGTTGGAAATCTATGTCACAATTTGCATATCGAGAAAGCTGTGTTTTACGGCGAAATCGAGATATAAATTCTATTCCTTAGGATAAATATTTCGTTGTTTTATTTCTTGAATGGCCATGCGCTTTAAGAGTCAAATGTCGCGTAAGTTCACAGAAATTTCCGTCCGGACTTCAAGCTTTGCACATGCACTGGTAAGTAACAAGATAGAGCGTAACAAAGTTCGACATTATCAGCGGCCAACTCAAAACGTTTCCTACGAATCCTTATAAATTAGATATTCCAGCGGAAAGCTTCTTTCGTAAAGAAAAACAATATCTTAGAGTTTCAGCCCTGTTTCATAATTGATGTATTCGCGATTATATATCTCACCCAGTGGCGTTTTGCCGAAGACATCTGCTTAGATTTTTAATTAGCTGGCGAAACTCGCTGCTTCGAAGAACTTATCGATCGTGGTTGAGAATTTAGTTTATAGTTTCGCACACCTGCATTACTGGTAGTCTGCTAAACAATGGCGAAATGTTGCGTCAGGCCTTCTCTTAGACCTGAAATCGAGCAGTGCTAGCTTCGGCATTGTTTGTAAATATAAGTGTGGGATTTGCACGGCAAACGAAACGCGTCAATCTTCATTTAAACTTCACGTCGTAGCATGAATTCAACATCCATGAAAATCACAAAGAATGAAGAAATTGAAAAATAAGAAATTGTCACTAAGCTTAGTATTAAAGTTCCGATTCGTGGCGATTTCCCGCTTTCTAATTGGTCGGAATCGTTTCAAGAATTTAATGATACTATTTATAAACTTTTTTTCGCAAGTTAGTTCGCGAAGTCGTTTCCGAACGGTTTTGCAATGAATCGAATCATTAGTCGAGACATACTTCCTAAAAGTAATACTCTCCAATATCACTGCGACATAGCAGGAAAGAAAAGTGTTTCGACCTCATGAATTATACACGAGAAAGCATGCCACTTTGAACAATAAAATATTCGCCCATCTGGCCAGTAATTTATTCTACCGTGAACTGTATCCAGCGGTTCATATTTTCAAACGGCAGCTTGAAGACTCACATCCGAGCAACAAACGGAGCACTTGACTAAACAGGACATGAATTTAAAGTGAAATCGCTCGCTCGTGAAACCTATTAATTACACAAGGCGCACGACACATCAAAATTCACTTCAAATCACAACTGATAGAGAGAGACACAGCAACCGACAGCTGCTTGTTACCGACTGCGTTATCCTCTAGTGGGGATAATACGGCAGCGAAGGAAACACAAGCGCGTATTTAATAGCTTGAAATGGATCTGCGAGTTGTTCATGGTACCCGTGATTCTATCGCAGGAAGTATGTTTGCGCCCCGAGTGGATAACCGAGAAGAACTTCAGTTCGCGGATTTCCGAAGTAGGGAGGCGGACAATATGAGACGGGCAGATGTCAGGCATAAGCCGTTCATGCAGCCAGTGTACAGAACATCCAAGGACATCGACAGCAGACAGCGAATCACGCCATCAGAACGACATAACGGAGTGATTCGACCCGAATTTACGAGGTTAGTCAACGAGATTATTTTAATAGAATTTGATCGATGATTCCTGGCTGGATTATTGAGAAAAATATATTGAGAGTATTCTTGGGGACTTGGGGAATAATTGAATTAAAAATCGGCTTTAAAAGAAGCTCTTGTCTCCCGCAAGGTTTTACCTATACGATATACCTCCTACAAGGGCGGTAAATACGGCAAGTTATTTACTTCAACAATGGTTCTAAACTTGGCAATTTGAGTTTGACAATCTCACATAATGATGGATTCGAGTCAGTACAGCTCTTCTTCAAATCTTCAAGTTGAATTTTTACCATGTCCTTAATTTTTATGTATTATTAATATTGCGTTCATTTGTTTTGCCATGTTTGTCATCTAATTTAATGAAAATTACACATTTGTCGAGGTTACACAATTACTCCGGCGAAAATTACCCAAACTGTTCATTAAAATTCGGTTTTAAACGGAGCCTTTTTAATGTTTCAACCGGTATAGAATGAAGCTACTCAATCTCTACTGTGTAATATACAGAGTCGGGTAATTAATTTTTAATTACAAGCAACGTTTGAATAAATGATTAAGGGCTGCAGTGTAAACTGGTAATTACTTTCGCAAAAACATCACTTATTTAGCTGACGGGTTCTTTGACATGCTGAGATAAACTTAACTGACTTGCTCCGAACGAAACATTTAAAATGTCGTACACTCTATATGACCAAGTGCTTTGATACATTTACGGAGTGTAGTTGCTAAGTGTTATTGATTCACTTTAATAGTCAGTAAAGTGACTCTAATATTTTCCACTGCGATGGACACTTCACGAAAAAGTCAGTTTAGGTCTGAAATAGTTTGATACAAATTTCTTACAAAATTACAACATCTTGAAATAATAATATTTGAAAAAATTTTGACAAGACAGAATCTTGAATATCGACCTTTACTCTGACCCGTGAGCTAACAAGCTAGTTTTCTGCGCTTGAAAGATGCCTAATTTCGTTTGCTAACCAAGGAAATTTCACATGTTGCAGCAGTACTCGATGGACGATCCATTTATTAGCCCTTTCAAACTCAGGCTAGAATCGCATAACTACACCGTTATGTGTTAAGTGAATTTTCCAAAATATGCAGAAACAAAATAATTGTAATCTGTGGCTTGTATCATCTGCAGCAAAAGGCAAGTCGACCTTTTAAGATCTGTTTTAACTTTTTACATTGCTGACAACTGCATAAACTCTTTCAGAAATCATTTTATACTGCCGGTTTGATAACTAAGTTATACTTAAACAATATCTTCTCGGTTAATATGGTATAGCTCCCTTTACATTCAGATCAAAGACTCCATAATTTTCCGGCTCAATGAAGCTCATCTTTGAAGTAAACATGTAATCTTGCTTCGTGATTTCTTATCCCGTGTCAATGATTGCTCTGGAAACTATGAGTCACTCTTAACATTCCTCCAGCGACTGCCCTTTTCCGCGATTGCAAGAATTAAAGTTTAATTAAAAGAGGCCCCTTTTTTCGGCATGTGCCGAGATCCGTACGTGATCGGTGAAGTAGAGTGTGACAAAGCTAAGCTTGCATTTATATTTTTAGCTCAAAATTCCGAGAATAGTAGAAAACTAAAGCTAATGTAGTCTGTGCAGGTTTCAACTGAGACAAAATGATTATTGCTGAGCTGATGCTCGATTCAGAGTTCGGTCTGAAAAATTTGAGCAAGAGTGATTACATGGATGAATTTCTGAGCTCACGAGCGAACAAATATGCACAAGTGCAGATTAGTCAGACAGCGGATCAAATATATGATATGCCTTATAATTACAACCCAATATAATCCAGTCTATATGGCATAATCTGTTTTAAGAACACAATATTATCGCTCTTTGCAAGATGTCAATCAGGGTTTATTTCAGATTTTTTTTGCTTTATCTGTTTTCGGGAGAAGCTTGCTGAGAGACAAACCAGAAACAAAAACAACAACAACATGAACACATCCTTTCCTTTGAGTTAACAGGAGTTAAACACGTTCTAACAATCTTTTTGCATGGCGGACCTACATTATCTTTGTGTTTCTTTATGCTAAGGTGTTCTTCATAGGAGCAAACTCATGGAAATTCAAAACGTTTGTCATATAGTGACAGCGGGAAAAGTCATTCCTTTCATCATGTGTCGGCGTGTATTCTCAGATTGCGTCTGCTTTACACGTGAAAGCCTTAAAATCGTAAGTAAGCGCTGCTGCCTCAGCTGAAACTCTGAAAAAAAAGGACTGGAAGGAAAATTTACTTAGAATTATTAATGATTTTATTGTTAGAATAACTACTGGCAAAAACCTTGTGCGCGCTAGCCGGTAGCCTCAGACTGTAAAAAGCTAAACCTTAATCGCCGTTGGAGATTGCCGTAAAGTAATTTTCAACTGAATGTCGAGAGTAGTCCAGGATTGCCATGATTTTTCTTTACTTCGCTTTGTGATTGGTCCTGAAAACTCGTGCCATGCTCTAAACCAATTAGACACGAAATGAAACACCAATCGTGACTTGGTCGCCCGCGTTTTCCCGCTCTTTTAATTTGGTAGTTTGCCAGTTTTCATTTCGAGCCATCATTGGTTATTGATGACGCAAACCTTTGTTATGATTGGCTGTTGTGATTGCTTTGGTTTTGGTTTTACGACAATCAATTGAAAACTGCTCAGTTTTAAATTTGAGTATAAGTGGAAATGATATAAAGTATATAAAGTCGTGCTACGGAAACACGGGGAAAATAATTTTGGAGGAGCCTCGCCCGAGTTCACTGCCAATACAGAAGAGATGAAGTAATTGGGAAACTGGTCTCAGACTAATCTCTTATTTAGTCGGGTGTAAACCTATTGATGAAACAATGAACTAAAACTCTTGAAAACACAAACATTAGCTGTACATGTGAGGAGACAAAATGGTCAAAATCGTGTCAAGATAAACATAGGCTTGGAATATTTGCAAAAATTCAGTTTCTTTCAAATATCAACCTGTTTTCTCTTTAATCATCTTCGTATTTTTCAGTCGGTCACTTTGTTTATAGTCAAAAAACATTTACATGATCTTTTTTTTCTGTTTATAATTTTGGATAATAAATCATACGTTCCAAATTGTTTCTCTAGAACAGTGCGTTTCCGACACGGTTAAAGGAGATGTTCGGGAATACCTCGACCACTGTCGTAAAATTTTCGGCTTTCTCAGTTCAAACTAAAAGCGACTGAATTAAAATATTCAACTGTGGATCATGTTTCCCGAACAAGGCTCCACCATGTAAGATATAATAATATTATAGCATTACTTCCGTGATGATTCCGAACAGATCTGTAAACTCAACACAGAAATGAACAAACTCAAGCTCCTATCTTGCTAGTTCACAGTGCACACTTTAAATCTATCGGATTTACTTAGCTGGCCAAATAAAACTCATCTGTTTCTCATAAATTATTGAAGAAAAGACCGAATTTGAAGGCACAACTTGTGAATTACTACGATAACTTTTTCATCCAACAATTGGCGGGGTCATCTTAAGCATTTTCAAACATATTATCCAGTTTTAAATTGATTGAAAATGTCAGAAAATTTAAAAGATTGCTTTCCGATGGAAAAACAGTCCCTAATATGGAATCGAAGCAGCTGAATTTGAGACGATCTTAATGCCCTATGAATATTCATTGAGCCCTCGAGCAGACAGCCAAAACCATCTGCTTCAGCGGATTGCACAAATAAACCTTCTTGAATTGAGCCGAGCGGTCTTTTAACGAAGACAATTTACAACTTGATGTTCGTGGGGCCCCGCTATCTTCACACATCGCCGAAGACTGCTCGCCATTATTCAGCGTTCAAAACAGAATGCTTCAACAGAAGTCTGGCGGAGTCACGGACAAACGGCCGAAACAGTGCCCAAGCGAGACACTAAGGTCACTTTAGCTCTCTATTTTATTAATACATGCCGTAGACAAGTAGAGTCAGCAGTTACTACTTGTCGCGACAAAGTGCGCACGGGAGCCAAAAACACACAACTTCAGCGACGTAGTGCAAGGCAATCTTCGCTGATTTATCGATCATAGCGTTTTTAGATTGACAGTAATAACGTTTTCAATGGTTTAACCTGGCTACGAGTTGATGTTCCTGCCTAGATTTGTTCTGCGATCCGTATGGCTTCTTATTAACATGCAATTACTTATTCGGTTACATTATAGCTTCTTTGGACATTTCCGCGAGAGATATTTGGACTTTACATCTGTCACTCTCAGGGTAAACCTCATTACTTGTAATATTATCGGAAATATTTCCGAAAGATTCATCCTCTCAAATGCACGCTCTCCTTTGTTAAGCTCTCCAAAGGGCAGATGGGGCTAGCAAAATCTCTTTAAAACTAGCAGGAACCTTTTTTGTTTTGTTTTACACGCTAAACAAGTTGTAACGAGCAACTATTCAAATACAGCTGCGCAACTAATGCATATGCAACAAATAAATAAAAAAAAATATATTGCGCGCCACCAAAATCTACATATAAACAGGTACCAGGCATTCATAATTTGTCGCCTTGAAAAAAAAGGCAGTGAATTTTTAGCAAGTAATGCAAATCAAATTGACATCAAAGATGAGCTTTTTTACAGTGCTGCTAAAAATTAACGGGTGTTTCTTCTTTACCTTGAAAAAGCCGAAATAAATCATAAGATATAATATTTATAATTACTTCAGAGCAACATGGAAAGGTCTCAAGAGAACGGGGAGCATCAATTTCAGCATTATTCTAGTGTATTCTATGATAACATTTAGGTGATTTAAAGATAATTTTCCGAGCTTAAGGGAAGCCATTCTAAACTTTTCCGAGAACCGCTTCGATTTTGATGTTTTCGGTTTAAAATTGAATATTTCCTTTTAATCGGTTCATATATCTCATCTCTGTACGTTGTTGTTGTTTTTTTATTTAAAGTAAAGTGTCGGCTTATGTAGTTACTTTTTCAAAACGGTATAAGCAAAAGAAAAAAAGCTGGAGATGCAAATTAAAATATTTTTTTTTTAGTTTTTCCCCCGAGGGAAAAGTACAACACGGAGATTTTCTTATTAATGAATGGCTTCCTCCCGTTTTAAATATTATTTTCTTCTGGTTACACTCTCATATGTGCCTTTTTTTAATCTTAGTAATGATCAGTGAGAAACTTTAACGCTCTAAGATCATAGTAATAATTTGGCACAAATGTGTAAACTCGCCAAGGTTATGTTCAAAGCTTCGCTGAGATGCTTTCCAATATGTTTATGATTGCGCCAGATTGCTCAGGTTAAATACTGAGAGTACTCGTGGGAAATGAGTTCTGTCAAAGCAGCCTCTGAAATGATTGAGATTTTCGAGAAAAAATCATTTTCTGAAATTACATTGTATTAAAATAAGATTAATTATTATTTTTTTTTTTTAATTTGGCCCTTGCCATGGTTATCCGTTTTATTTTTTCGTGTGATTAATGAATACGTTTGTACATAATTGCTTTCTTTTTCCGAGACATAATAAGTGTTTGTTATTTATCTTTTATGCTATGCAGTCTGTTTTGTTGTACAGTTTAATTACTATTTTTCATAGGCGAAGAACACATCAAAAGTTTTTACACCGGCAAGGTTTCATCATCTGAGCGAAAACCGGAAAACTGCTTTCAAAGTTTTACAGCACAGTATCTTGGCACATGTAGCAAGCGCTCTAATCCGAAATTTCTTGGGAAACTGAACTATATTAATGCTAGATTTATGGCATGAGCTGTGAAGTTAGTTTTCACCGGTAATTTTTCTGAGTCATCCAACTCCTAAAGGACACTGTTTAGTGTCACAAAGTTGCATTGGTAAAAAATCATTACTGACTGATATATTAAATTTGGGAGTGGATGATGAGAGGCCTGAGGAAAAAACACAATTTTTGTGTTATGTTATCAAGAGATTATAATGCACTTTATGATTTCTTGATTTTATTGATCATTACATTGTCGGACTGACGCGAAAAAATGCGCGCACGCGTGTGCCTCTCTCGAAATTACTCGCGTGCGGCAGCGCATATGTCTATCTGAGCGTATGCAGCAGTCTTTAAAAAGCCATTTTATTATTTTATTTTGCAGTTTAGCTGATGTTTACGAAGGAGCCCTCCGCAACGTATTGGGTATACAACTTCACCTGGCTCTCGATGATCAGCAGTCGTTTGCACAAGACGCCATAAATGATCTTCTTTTCAGTCGCGAGAAATCCTTACCTGGCCACCACAGGGGGCTACGACATGATCAAAACAACTGTATCAAGAGGGGAAACGAAAACCACCAAAACAGTCTTCCAAGCGATGAAAACAAAAACATTAAAAACGTAGGCTCCTTTCAGGGGCGCACTTCTCTAAGGGACCCTCTGAGGGTTTCTGCAGGGGGTTCTGCCTTTCACGTCCCCCCTAAGAAGTTACGATTAGATGATGATATACCTTATTCCGAAAGGGGATTTCCTATGGAACACTACGGGGTTGCCCCAAGGATGAACTTCCCACCGGACTATCCAAACTCCTTTCATTCCCCGAAAGGAGCACCGGGAATTTACCACCGACGGGTCAACGCGCCTGAAACTGTGTCTCATGCTTACGGAACAAACGGGATTCACATTCCTTCACCCAGGGATCGCTACTCTCTGTGGTCATTCGGACACCATCGAGATATCTCTAATTTATTCCCGGTTCGGTGTTCTTCTGTTGAAAGCGATCACAGACTTCATCCAGGGAGTTTCGATGGCGACAGGCGGAGAACTATGGACTTCGGGCGCGTAAATGGATTTATGCATGAAAAAACAGCCGTACAGGTTAAAAACGAAAAGGAACCGAGAGATGAAATCACTAAACGCGACCAAAAAGCAATTTTAACCGAAAAACGAAGCCCACTGGCTTCAGAAAAGGAGACAGGACTTGAACGGGATTTGGAAAGAGACAAACTATCGCCAAATTCTTCGTCTTCACCAAAATCTAAACAGGTTCACCCTTTATTGATTCCTCGAAGATCGAGTCCGACGCATGGAGCTGTAGATTTTCGAATGAAAACGCGCTACCGCAGCGCGCTTAGGAAACTGGAAGCCAGAAGAGAAGGAAGGAAAGGAAGCGTAGACGATGCTAAAGAAGAGTTTCTATTCAAGTTAGGACTCGAAAGAATCGAAGCTTGAATGGGTTAAGAATTCTACTTATTGACAACTGGAAGATAAATAAATAAATAAAAAATAAAACGAAGTCTTACATGTATATCCACTGAAAATGATCAACGACAACTACAACAAAGAGTGAGAAAGTAAAATTTACTTTTGATTGGTCAAGTATCTTCTTGGACAAATATAACTCGTGACGTCATGAAAGGGATAACTGGTTATTTACGCATGTGCAAAGACGAAGAATTGAAAGATTCAATTAAAAGTAAATGATCTTAGTCGGTTTGAATTCGGAAAGAGAACGCCTCGACAGAAGCGTATGTTTTTCTTTGTGTTACTTAGGGATTTTTCTGTATTAGTCGGGAGGCTTACAAAAGTATATATTTATTGTTGATACTCAAACGAAGTCCCGGTATGAATCGCGATAGTAAAAAGCCTCTTGTAACAAAAATTCAGCTTGAATCAGTAAATCGTAAACCTAGCTTACAAATTGTTTTAAAGTGCTGAATATAATGGTCGCCATTATTATCACTTATGGCAGAGATTAATATTAACGCGACTAGGTTTTGACTTTTCTATTTAATTTTAAAGTATTTTGCAACGTTAACTTGAAAAATGGTCGAAATCATGTTAAATTGTATGATATGGAAACTTATCCCTTTAAATGGAAGTAAACTGCAATGTTAATCTACTGCAATGCAATTATGGTTAACGACAAAACTTGCAACAAGTTTTTCTTAAAAATCAAAGCTGAAATATAACATTACTAGGCTGGTTGCAATAAAAAGAAGATTTTTCCTGATTTGCATATTCTTTGGTATCATCGACAAGAAAGTGAAAAACATTGATCAACTTTTGCTACGAAAGGAAATGAGTGAAACGCTACCATAGGGTGTAGATTACTAGAGAAACTGCGGTGCTTCGTTGGCGGGGTACTACAACTTAATTTGGTTCTATCAACGGAATTGGTTATGTAAATTATCACCGTTGAGAGATTCTAAAGCGTTAGCCCCTCGTCAGGGCGAAGAACGCGTGTTGATATTGTGTGTGAAAGAAGATAGGAGTTTAGCACTGAGTAGACATAGCCATAAGTTGCCCAAAAAATCTTAAAAAGTTGCTGATAAAAGTGTCTAAACATTGCTGAAGAGTTGCTGTTTTTCCCCAAAAGTTGCCGAAATGTGGGTGTTTTTCATTTACTTGGTTGCGCTTAAAGTTGGTTTTTTGTGTGGTTTAGATCCCTCAACTAGATGCAGATTTTATTCGCACTTTGTTTCTTAACAAAATTTAATTTTTAGAATAGAACATACATACTACAAATTATATTAGAGTATGCATAACATGTGAATAATCCACTTTTAGCCGGATAGTAAGGGCTTGCGACAAGCTACAACCTGCCACGTGATACCACTGACCTCGTGGGGTCCCCACACAGTATAAACTAGCTGAGTTATAGGTGACCTTTTTTTGGAAAGCTGATAAATGTGGAAAAAATCTAAAATAATGCTTAAAATGCTAAAAAATCAAAAGTTGCCGAGAATTCTTAAAGTTGCCGAAAATCTTAAAATTTGCCAAAAAGTTGCCAAGCAAGTGACTAAGGAGGCAGTGAGACCATTTCCATTTCATTTAGCTATGAATTTCGAAGTATCCACCAAGCTATTCCGTCCAGCTGTGAGAGTGAGATTCCCCACTGTATATCCAATAGGCCCAATACAAATGTATTTTAATGAAAAAAAATTGTTTGCAGACATCGAATGCGCTCCAAAGGTGGGCAAGAACAAAAGAAGATTAGTCTTGAAACTTTTGTGCAAATTGTAACTCGTTCCCAGTGGCCTCTTATTTTTCACTCGCGGTCATGATATCGTGAAATGGCATGGCACTACCACTCCCTTCCCTTCCCTTCAAATAAAAAAAAGATGAAAAATGTTGCACCTCTTTTCCGTTTGCTTTCTGCTATTTGATAAGAAAGTATTAGTTCCTAGAAGAGTTCATAATAATACTTTTTACAAACTGCAGAATTTGTCTCAGTGATAGCTCTCGTTCCCAGAGCTCTTTGAGTCAAAGTCAGAGCCTTAAAGTAGTCAGCGGTTTATCTTCAAAAGGTATGTCTTGTTAGCTTGATCTGTCACGAAATATCAAGATTGGTGGAAAATGTCGACAAAATGTCCACTTTACTGTTGAATTCAAAGAAACCCGGAGTACAGTTTGAGGACAAATGGCACGAACTTAAGCCCACAGTGAATAAACTCTTGAAACAACAAGCCGTCACCACGCAGGAATGGCAGAATCTCTTTTGGTAGGCCGAAAATTATATCACGGTTACTTGTACTTTTGTTTTTCATGGCAATTGGAAGGCGATCTTTTGTAACAGAGTTATCTTTGTTCGAAGAATCAATTAGACCGCTAATTGTTTTTAAACCAGAGAATTCATAATTTTCTCTTCGTCACTATCTTAATGGTCTCAATTTTTGGCTGGCAACAAAATTGATCGACAAACATATTGATGCTGCGGAATCGCTAATGATTCTAAAGGAGTTTTACAAAAAAATGGCTGAGACGTTCAAAAAGGCTTACAACACCTTTTAATCTTTAAATTTTTAACCTGAACATGAATTTGTGTTCCTTCGCTCGTACGATCGTAAAAATTCATTTTCTAGTTTTTTAACGAAAAAGCACTATTTTTAGGTATCAATTCTTGCAGCTGTCCGTGGTACTATTTCCTTATGCAGTGAGATATAGATGCCTGTTTAATATGAACTTTATGGATAATTACGAAACTCTACAGAGGATCTAAAATGATCCTCAAGGAACAAAAAGAATATAGCATCAAGGGCGTTTTGTGATTGCTAATTCTCCTCTGACACAATTTTTCATAAATCAATGACAAGAATTTGGTGTTAAATCAAGATGATAAATTTTACCTGTTAAGTTTGTTTTCTTATTACCTGTTTGCTGTATAATATATGGATGATGTAAGGAGAAGTTATATGTCAATCACTTGGGAGTAATGGTTCAGGATCAACTGCTAGACCTTCCAACAATTTTACATTATTTTGTAAGGATCTTGTCAGCTTCAAGGATATGGATTTATAAAAATTAGATCTTTCATTCTTTAAGTCTCTTTAAGGATTCCTTTTAGAAGTTGGTGTTGGTTTTGTGATGATCATAAAACCATAACGATACTAAGCCACATTAAAATGGAAAAATTCTGATCAAGTGTAAATAAGCATTATCATTCAAATTCTCTTGGAAAGGTCACCTGCAAGGTAAATTTTGAAATTTAAGACTTATGACTCCTATCGCAGGTGCCTAAGCTACAGTCAAGTTGTGCAAGCCATTGCTCCTTCTTTCAGTGAAAAATTGATCACCAACAAAATGGCATTTTCTTAAAATTTAAAGTTTGTATAACTTCTCTTTTTGCTGTTTATGCATTTTCCTCTTGTTTAACTTCTCTTTTCTGTTACACTTAGGGATGTTCACAAAATATGTAATTGGGATGAAAAGGGGGGCCAGAAAATCTACAAAGCTTTGAAAGATGAAGTCACCAACTTTATTAAACAAGTACAAGAGGTAAGATAAGTGTTTCATCAGCCTGAGGGTTGAGAGGTCAGTGTCACTGTAGATGTCCAACAGATAAACATGTATTTTGTGAATCACTGTTTTGGGATAGCCATCATTCCAATTAATCCTGAATTTTACCTTAGGGACTGAAAATAACCCACTTTATGACCATTTAATGTGAATAAGAGTGAATATTTGATGATGGTTTACCATAGATATAGATATCCTTTTAACATAGAGATCCAAAAATTCTTTTTCAAGAGGTGTATTTTTTTTTAGAATGATTTAACTTGAGTAATTAGAATTGATGGTTGATGAGTGTTGTGGAGTGTAATAGGAAGATATATATATATATATATTTATTTATTATCAGGCCAACCCAGTTCAACTTCAAGCTGGTTTGAATGGGAGCCTGAGATATTCAAAATAGCAAAATTATATTTTAGAACCTCTCACACCCTAACATCAGCATATATATTCCCCTGTTCTTTGTGGATACATTTTCAAAGAGGCTGAGTAGGAGAATTTGTTTAACAATAAAGAGTTTCCTTGATTGGTGATCATTTCCTTAACTCTTGTGACATTGGAAGGAGAAAAAAAGACGCCAGTCAATCTTTATGATTAAAGGGTTAATACTGACAGAAATTCAGAACTCACAGAACTGCCAAGCATTTAAACACACACACAGTGGGCTAATTGCTAACTTCTCCATCACCATTTAAAATTGATCAACAACCAGCACTATCACATACTGTGAAATCTTTTTTAATGGGTTGAGGTTTTTACATGCAACTTCTTTCTTTTATCCTTTTGATAACCTTGTCTTTCAGCGTGTTTTGAAGCACGAAGATGACTCCACATTGTTGAGAGCCTACATTGGTGAATGGTCCAAGTTTTTCACTCAGTGTAACTATCTTCCTAAACCTTTTGGCACGTTGGAGTCAAATTTGCAAGGAAAAGCTGGTGGAGGAGCAAGCAAAAGACCTCTCACTGATGGAATAACAGTCCAGAAGGTGTAACATTTTTCTGTAGTGAAAAGAATGAAACAATTGTGGTCTGATAATAAATGTAGGGTTACTGAGATACTTTTTTTTTTGGTGTAGTTGATGTTGGATAGTTGGAATGAAGGTATATTCTCTACGATAAAATCAAGACTGCAGTCAAGTGCCATGAAGTTGGTTCATGCAGAGAGGAATGGAGAGGCTTTTGACTCTCAGCTTGTTATTGGTGTTAGAGAATCATATGGTAAGGAAAGTGTCATCTTTAAATGCACTAACTTAAAGATTGTTAGTGTTAATGGCAAATACATAATAATAGCGTTTAGCGTTGAGCATTGAGTCATTGAGGCAGCGAATTGGTCAGTGGGTCAACTTAGTGAGTCATTTAGTCTGTCTGTCAGATTGTATTATCATCAGTATATCAGGGATTAGGGATCAGGGAGATTAAAGTGTCTAGCAAATGGTTTGAATGTGTCTTTGTTATTCCTTTCTACCTCACAATGACTTTGTCATTCCTTTCTGCATTATCATGATGTAGTCAGTGAGTCAGACAGTGAGTCAGACAGTGAGTCTATTATTGAGTCTTTGAGTTAGTTGTAAATAAGCCAGTGAGCCAGCAAGTTGGATAGCCAGTGAGTAAGTCGGCCAGGTTTGTTGTATCAATTAATTTTTAAATTTTATTTTCAGTGATATTATGGGATAAATACTCAACTGTTACATTCATTTCTTGCAAATTCATGTCTTTGCAGTTAATCTTAGTTCAGAAATTTTGGACAAGCTGAAAATATACAGAGAGAATTTCGAGAAGGCATACTCTGAGGCCACAGAGGAATTTTACAAAACTCAAGCAGCTGTATATCTTCAGGAAAATGGAGTACAAAATTACATGAAATATGTAAGGATTTGTTAAATTAACAGCTAATGATGCCTCTAACTTTTCTGATTCTCTAGGGTCCTCTGGTGTTCTATTAAAGTGTTTACACTGCAGTAGTTATACATTTAAATTTGCAAATGACCCTACAGTTGTCATCTTGAATAAATGTTATTACCTCATGCATGATTGGTAATGGATGTCTCACAAGAACTGGTACCTTTCCTGAGAGAGAGAAAAAACTTGACTGTGCTAAGGAAAATGGAATGCAGCCTCCAAGTATACTCTTGATTTGAGGTGCAACCCTTTTGCAGAAGTTATCGTAATGTTTCTGCTACACTTATCTTGAGGTTTGTGCCTTTTAGGAGTTTGAGGAAGTGATAACATAATACATTGTACATGCCAATAAGGACCTACATGTACACAAGGGGAGTACTTGTAGCAATTTCTCTTCCTTCTGTGGGAAACAAAGTTTGCCTGACAGCCGTACAGCTATTGATCACACTGTAATTTTATCAAATGTTTTTTCCTTCATGGAATAACAAAGGCTGAAATGAAGTTGAAAGAAGAAGAGCAGAGAGCTGTGCGATACCTTGAAACAAGGAAGGGCTGTGACTCAGTTGCAGTGGTAAGTAGAATACTGCCAAAAGCTAACATTCCAAACGGCCAGGTATTAGAGAGAAATATGTTTTTTGTCTCGTCACAAGCATGGGACAAAGAAAAAGTTTTGAGTCCCCATCAGGAATCAAACCACAGACCTTCTGATTCTGCACTCCAATGCTCTACCACTGAGCCTCAGAGAGATATCTCCTATTCTATGTGCAATCATAAAGGTATTGACATTGCTGATCCTACATGTAGCAGTATGCAGGATGTGTGTCATATATGAACTTTGTAATGGGCCTCATGCACTCACCTTAGAGTCTCTGTAACTCAGTGGTAGAGTATTGGAACATGGAATCCAAATGTCTGAGGTACAATTCCTCATGGGGACTCAAAATCTTTTGTTTGTCCCGTGCTCATGTCCAGACAAAAAAAAACATCTTTCTCTCTTTCTTTACCAAGCTCAAAACTTGCCATCCCTCTTATTCTTGCTAGGTATTAGTTTACAGATTTCATATTTAGTCTTGCATTTGCTTTATTCATCACTTTCTTTAACTTTTTTTGCATCTGTTTCCTATTGTCATTGATGGAAAGATTTACTTTTTTATGTCAGGAACTTGATAACATGTAGAAGTAACTTAACTGTATGTGACATTTATTGCTTTATAGCTTACAGAGCGATGTGTTTGTGTTCTGGTTGCAAATTTTAAGGAGACTATTTTGGCTGAGTGCCCTGGAATGATTGCTGCAAATGAAACAGAGAGTAAGGGGTGAATTTGTGATTGTTGTTGTAGATTTATAACTTTGCGACGTCATGCGTCAAATATTTTATATTTGTGGAAAAGTGCCCAATGGCAGATGATAAAAGTTCACAAGAAGTGTAGAATTGATGATATTTTGATTAAAGAAAATCCTTTTTTTTTTGACAGAACTACTTCTAATGTTCCAGTTGATGGATCGTGTACGAAATGGAGTAGATCCTATGATAGCCAATTTAGAGTCTTACATCGTCACTACAGGTCTTGATGATATGAAAGCCTGCGCTGACACTATAACATCTGTAAGGGAGTGCATACTGTATTTAATTTGATTGAGCCTCCAACCTCGAATAACACCCCCCCCCCAACCAGTATTGGAAATTCTCAACTGGCTTGCATCTCTAAATTCACTGTCAGACACATCTTCATGTTTTGTTATTATTTATTGTTTTGTTGCAAGATAAACTTGGTACTTGCTGAAAATGATGCAAATTTAATAAACAACACCTTGAATGAGCACTCTGTCCCAAGGTTAAAAATTTGAGAAGGGTCCATGGTGCTTATTCAAATAAATATGGTACCATTTATATATAAAATTGCATGCATGTGCTGTTCTATTGGTGGAGACACCAGATATTATTTTTCTGATTCTTTGCACCTAAAGAACCCTAGGGATAGATTTGGAGGTGAAACTAATGGAAGAGGTTATCAAAACATGAAAATGGACCAGAGAACTGAGACAGTTGCTTGGTGTTGCTGGCTTGAATCCTGTTTCATGCAAACAGATCTAAATTGTAAAATACAACATTTTGTCAAGAAGGTTTTTCTGTTCGCACTAATACTGTTGTTCTTCAATACTCTTGAAAGTTAACAGTGTTGGAAATTTTTCCATGGATAGTATTCTGGTTACTAACCTCCTAACTTTTGAAAGGAAGTTGTCTTTTATGTTGTTCATAAGATGTGAAGATTGTAGCATTCTTCAGCATCCACTTAGAAGTCTCTGCCTCATTATTAATGGTCTGGGTAAATTTTTTCATTCAGAGGAGCGGAATATTGTCCTGTAACTAAACACGTATTCTGGCTTTTAAATTTTGGGATGAAACCTTGTTCTTCTTGCATTTTGCAAGCCCGTTGAATTCCCAAAACTAATCCGTTAAAGAGCGTTGATCCCCTATGGTTTTCATTTTATATAGATTATGTTTTTGTTTACAGGATTCTGAGAAATATGTGGAGGAGCTGCTCACATTGTTCAACAGATTCAGTAAACTGGTTAAAGAAGCTTTCAATGATGATCCACGATTCCTCACAGCGAGAGATAAGGTTTGTGAATGGGAAAAACTGTGGCAGCACAAGAAATCTTTTGGCGTGACCAAAATTTCTCCATGGTACAGAGTAGAGAACGCTTGTCTCTCACAGCTGGGGCCTGGGTTTGATTCTTGCTCAAAGGGTTTTCTCGTCTTCTAATTTGACTAGGAGACATTGGAAAAAGGACTAGTTGTTACCCGCACCACCGCTAAAAATCTGATCCAATCCACATTAAGACAGAGTACTTAACATTTCCATAGCAAAATAACTTAGTAGGAAAGAACATTTCACTGTGATGGCCAAACTCCAGAGAAATCAAAATTCATTTTTACCGATCGTGAAGCGTTAAATTAAATTTTCATATTTTGTTAATTTATTGCAAATATTAGGCCTTTAAAACGGTTGTGAATGACAGTACAATTTTCAAGTTGGAACTCCCCAACAAGAACAAAGGGTAAGATTGCCTGTTGTAATTTATCTATTGTTTGCTCCCCGTTTTACTTTTGGATACTTCGGCGAGAGAAAAGCTATAAATGGCTCTCTATCATTAATCTTACGACCACAGCTTTTTGGAAGGTAACAAAAGAAGGGGGAGGGGGGGTCTAATCTCGTTCCAGGCACGAATTTTCAGGATATTCCTGCATCACGTATTTAAAAGAAAAACCTTAAATATTTTTTCTTGTGTATAAGATTTCAGGGAAATCTTGAGGTTTTCACGGGTTACATATATTCTATGGGGCAAATCTCGCCTCAAGTAGGTTCATAAATTGACGAGTGACGCTCTCCTTTCTGTAAAAGTCAAGTGTCACTTTGGGCTTAATCACGTGTCACGTATTAAACCCTTTGCTACCCTCTCTTTGTTAAGGTTGCACTTCGTTCTCTTCTTATTCTTATTTCTTACCAGGGGTGGAAGTGGTGGTTTGAATGTCAAGACACAGCCCGAGTCTCGATGTCCAGAATTGCTGGCCAATTTCTGCGATATGCTGCTTAGGAAAACGCCCTACAGCAAAAAGCTAACGTCCGATGAAATCCAAGCAAAGCTGAAAGATGTTGTAAGTTCTCCGTGATTTTTGTACGTGTGGTGATGTACATAAAACGGTGACTTAAGGGTTAGCGCGCTGAACGGATTAAAAATCAGATATAGGAATCTTTTTCTCTGTGAGAAAACAGAAACAGGGCGAGAAGCGGAGAATTGTAAACACGTTTTCTCGTTCAGTGCGAAGATAGTAAGTTCTGTTCTTATCATGTACTATTTCCTTTCCAGCTGTTGGTTCTTAAGTACGTCATCAACAAAGATGTTTTCATGAGGTATGGGAGGAGTTCCAATGCGCCTATTTATTACTTTTAAAATGTGTTTTGATGTACATGCATTGTTTCAAGATATTACGCATCTTTAAATCTTGAGCCCAAAGCCGTCAAATTCTCGTTATTCTGCTTTATCTTTGACTGGATGACGCACTGGTAAGAGCATCTTTCTCCCTCCCTCTTATGTGGCCTGGTATCGAGTACCACATCCTCTTCCGCGCATAGACTGGGTTTTTTGTCGGTTATCGCCCTTGTTCTGCTGAAACGCAATAAACTCGCTCGTGAGAGAGAAAACATGCGAGGCCCGGGGTATCCTTGTATGTTACTTCTCGTACGCTCGTGACGGTCTGAGTCACCCGCGCGTGGGCCGGAAAATCGAGCGTTTTCTGTGTAGACTTGCTGAAAGGGTTTTCTCCTGGCTTTCTATGTTTTCATACTCTCCAAATCTACATTTGAAATGTGCCATTGCTGATTTATAATTAATCTATGTATTGTATTTGCTTTCAAGGTACCACAAAGCACACTTGACTCGGCGATTGATCCTGGATACATCAGCAGACAGTGAAATGGAAGAAAACATGGTGGAGTGGCTCAGAGTAAGTCGAGCTTTGTAGCTCATGTGGCAGCACAAGTGGAAGGTTGCTCGCAGACTACAAGAACTTTGTGCCTAAGTTCCTTAGTGTTCGAATGCTCTAAATTAAAACATAACTGTGCAAAAGCGCGCGCTCTGATTAGCCAACATGCTTGAACCATTTGCTTGTGCATTGCTTGCTGACGTTATTTTGTTTTCATTTTTTTTTTTCTACACTAAACGAAAGATTCTGAAAGTCTCAATGTTATGAAATAAATGGTTCGCGTGTAGCGTGCAACCCTCGAGGTCTAGATGTACTTGGAAGGTTTGCTAAGCACTCAACAAGCTGGAGTCGCACTCGGCTATCACCTCGTGCGACTCTAAGCTTCTTTCGTGCTTAGCAACCTCTCAAGTGCATCCAAACTATCTCTAAATTGTAGCTTACGTCTAAGAATCAGGTCTTGCATGATTTACATCATACATAATTCGTGAGTGCTGGAATATTTTGAGTAACTAGATTTCGATCTCAGGCAGTGTCGTTAGTTAACAGGCGTTGATAACTTTCTGTTCCAACAGGATGTAGGAATGCCTGCCGACTATATAAACAAACTAGCCCGTATGTTCCAGGACATAAAAGTCAGCAATGATCTAAACCAGGGCTTCAAGAAAGAATACCAAGACAAGGGCGATATTGCAGGTAAATTGCTGTTTGTCATCAAATGCTTTTTACCTCTGAGTCAAGCGTATAAACTGTGAGCACACCATGTAGCATATACCAGAGTATTTTATAAAATAATTCAAATAGTACGCGCGCTCTGATTGGTCATAAAACTATTTTACATGAGCGTATGTAAACACGGTTTTCGTTCCTCTTTCATTAGTTATTACTCGATAAGCTGGAAACCACTCCGCTTCGCGTCGTGGTTTCCTACGCTTATCTCGTGTTCTCCCAACCTCCCATATGTTTACATCAGGCTATGTAAACACAGAAAGCATTTTACATTTCTTCAAAAATGGCAGCGCTCTCAGCTGTGACTGATGTGGTCGCCATGGCGGGTAGCAAAATATTTTGGCGACCTTTGTCTTCTTCACTAATGATTTATCAGAGAGAGTGTATTTTTACAAATCCGTTACAACACATCGAAGGGACCGATATTCGCAGGAGATTGTAACCTTCCGCATCACTTAATCGCTGATATGAATACTAGACTAGAGCTTGGTGACGAAGTAGCGTGTCACAGAAGGAATTTGTACTCTTGAAAATTTGATGGGTGGTGATCGTCCTTTGGTAATTTCATTCTTCTTATTTCTTATCTTTCAGACTCGGTTAACATTAAGATTCTGAATGCGGGTGCTTGGTCAAGAGCTTCAGAGAGAATTCCTGTTTCTCTCCCGACCGACGTAAGTTTTAAAATTGTTTGACGCTGTTAATAATTAAAATCTTTTGTTGAAATTTGTGCAGGAATTAGTAGTAACAGGCAGAAGTTGTCCATAATGTTGTTTGCAGACAACATTGCATATGGGGTATTGTTTTTCATGGTACACTTGAACACGTTTGACGTATTTGATACTGTTTTTTCAGCTTGAAGACTATATTCCGGAAGTGGAAGAGTTTTATAGGAGGAACCATAGTGGTCGCAAATTACAATGGCATCATTTAATGTCTAACGGAGTTGTAAGTGAATTTTTCTTTTGATAACTTTTCCTGAATGTTTCGTATCCTTTCTTCGAGCTATATTTTGTTTAGCCTGCGTGTAGCCGTACCCTCCCCCGCCGCGGTTTAAAGACAAGAAATCGAAAAGTTTGCTGCTATCCGGCGTTAGGAAAGGATTTGGCGAAAGCAGAAAGTAGTTTCAAGTTTAAGACTATCTGTTTTAAAGTACGTCCAGTGTATATCTGCTTTTTTTTTTTTCCTACTTTTTTGAAGACGAGGAAGAGACTAACGAAATTACTAAGAGTGAAAGATTTACGGAAAGGTTGAAAACCTAACTGTTTTTGAAGCGGTGCGTTTCTGTTTATATAAATCAGCTTTCAAGTTGCTCAAGTAATTCTTTGTTCTATTCTTCAGATAACTTTCGCCAACAAAATAGGAAAATTCGACCTGGAAGTAACGACTTTTCAAATGGCTGTTCTCTTCGCTTGGAATGAACGACCACAAGAGAAGATTTCCTTCGAGAACTTAAGGTCATTGCTCTTAGTGTAAGATCCAATAGCTTGACCCTGCACTCCCTAACATCAGTACGAATATTCTCCATACTGTTCTCTATACATTTCCCATGGTGCTAATAAGGAGAATCTGTTAAACAATCAAGAGCTGCTTCAGTCAGTTGGTGTCGGGTGATCATTTCCTTTTTTTCTCGTGACCTTAATGTTTGATTCAGGGGAGATATTGTAAGGAGAAATTAGATGCTAGTCACTCTTAGGGATAAGAGGGTTAATGGTCAAAGCGCTTTTAGCGGATCTTGATATTCGCCTTCAAGCTGTGGTCGAGCTTGTTACGTTGTGCTTTACGAAGAAGAAGCACTCTGTGACCATTCTACCCTACTTAAGTATATGGTTACAGACAAAGCATAAGAAAATCCTGACAAATTTCACAAAATAACACACTGAAATTCTTTGTGGAATGTCTCAGAAAAATATGCCTTTTAGTAAGTTTGCACGCTATTTATCTGCAATACCTAAAGACTTTGATCTTGAATCTCGTGTGTTACGATCACTTTTCAATTTTGCATCCCTGCTCCGGTAAACGTGGTACTTTAGTTCTCTCTAACTTATTGGGTTTCTGTCATTAATTTTAAAGGCTCGCTTCTGAACTTCCAGATTCAGAACTCCGCCGAACGCTTTGGGTAAGTCAAATTTTTTCTTTTATTTTTTAAAACGGTCCTCTGAAAAGTTGTATTACAGGTCATTAAATTTGATCTTTTGTTCCTCTTTTTGTTTTTGCTTCCTTGCTCGTTTGTTTTTTCTCTTTTATGGGGTATAAATTTGAGTAACGCTGAAAAATGTGCCGTATATTCACGTTATTTCGAAACTCATTTGAACCACCAAGAAGAGCTCGAAGTACTGTGGGAACCTGAGGAATGTGTTGTTCATATTTTTATGACACCACCGGGGATCGATTTACTGGCGAGTTGAAATATCGAAAGTTGAACATACCCGGTGCAAACTTACACTGAGAAGTGTTTTATCACATGTCCCCGTCTGGAATCTGGTGTCACGCTTTAAGCTAAACTGTATGTACCGTATTCTTGAGAAATTTTTATCGTTGATGAAACTGTTGGTTTCTTTCAGTCACTAGTTGCTTTCGCCAAGCTCAAGAGACAAATTCTCTTATGTCAACCGGAAGCCAAGTCACCAAAGGATTTTACAGACAGTTCGTTATTCTGGGTCAATCAGGAATTCGCAGTAATGTAAGTTGAAAAGTTAAAGATTCTGACGTGATTTCACGTCAAATGTTTGCTTGAGATGAAAGCAGAAGGCTAGCGTGTTCCAGACGTTCAGTAAGGAAAACGATGCTAAATAATTAACAGCACGATAGTGGTGGACCAGTGAAAAGTCGAGGAAGGTTTGGGTCGGGTCATTACGCCACACGACCCATACCTCCCTCGTCATCACTCATCATCGGCGTGAAGCGCAGTGTGCGCCGGAAAATGCACGTTGCCAAGTTGTGATTGTTTCAATTTTTTTTATTTTTGCTGATTGGTTAAGAAAATGATGCCAGTTATTTAATTCTTTCTCAGCAATCAATGCTCCTTAAACAAAACCAAAGCCTTAAGAATAGGAGTGATGTTCAACTAAGTAACAATTGCTGATTCATTTTTTTTTCTTTTAGAAAAAATAGCAAAGTCCAGAAAAGAGGTAAAGTGAATCTCATAGGCCGCTTACAGCTTTCGACAGAGAAGGCAAAGCAAGAGGAGAATGATGGAATTGTGGCTCTAAGAATTCTGAGAATACAGGTAAGTATAGTTAGGCTATATTCGACAGTGTAAGTATGTGGTAATGTGGACATAAAAGTGTTTGGTTAAACTGTGTAGTGTTTTTTATGGCTGAGATCACGGTTCAGCTACACGTGGCATAGTTAGGCTATATTCGACGGTGTAAGTATGTGGTAATGTGGACATAAAAGTGTTCGGTTAAACTGTGTAGTGTTTTTTATGGCTGAGATCACGGTTCAGCTACACGTGGCTGGTGTGGATATTCACATAAAATGTGTTTGTGTACATAAAAGTGTTTGGTTAAACTGTGTAGTGTTTTTTATGGCTGAGATCACGGTTCAACACGTGTGTTCGGTTAAACTGTGTAGTGTTTTTTATGGCTGAGATCACGGTTCAGCTACGCGTGGCTTAATAGAGCGAGGGGTATGTGTGTGTGTGTGTGTGAATAATAGAAATATACGAGCGAACAAATGATCAGATAAACGAAGAAACAGTATGAAAGGGAGATATGAGGGAACGAGCGAGGAAACGAGCGAACAGTCTACGGATGGAAATGCAGGAAAGGAGGGTGAAATGCAGAAAGAGGCGAAGGAAGGAATTGAGAAATTCACAGTACATTTTTCGCCTGTTATCACTCGAAATAACTTGAGTATGCAAGGATTTGTTGTGGATAGATTGATGCAATCCTCCTACCGAAAGACTCTTGAATTTTGAGTTTCTCTGTTTTGTTTTTTGAATTTCTTCTTTGTTTCCGTTTTGTAGGAAGCGATTGTGAAGATAATGAAGATGAGAAAGAGAATAACGAACGCCGCTCTTCAGACAGAATTGGTAGAAATTCTTAAGAATATGTTCATCCCCCAGAAGAAGATGATAAAGGAACAAATCGAGTGGCTAATAGACCACAAGTATCTCCGACGAGATGAGGAGGACATTAACACTTTCTTATACGTGGTATAACCACGGGACGAGAAAACGTTTTCAACTTTTTCAAACTGCCCAGCTTCAAGTCCATCCCGTACTCAAGGCCGCCGTTCCCCTTGACCAGCGGTTGAGCTAAAGACCGTTGGTCAAAAGAAATACAGGTTTTAAAATGAGATTGTTGTTAGGCTGTTCCAAAATCTTACTTTTGGCCATTTTTTTTTCTTAATTTTCTTTCCAAGGAAAACTACAGGAAGAGACCACCGAGGAGAAGCTGAACGTGTTTGTTTTAATACGAGAATAAGTGTGGAGCCTTTGATAGAAGAGTGTTATTTAATTTATTTTCATGCAGATAACATTCATTATCGCGAGTTAGATTTTGCTCTTGGCCGCATTTTAGAAATGAAAGGGGATTGAAACTGGCAATGGCTTATTGCCTTTCTACTGTGAATTAGGAACGAGTGAAAGAAATTTCCAGAAAATTCAGCCTTCCAGAACGTCTTGTAAACATAAGATCAAAGAGGAAATTATCTGATCTTTCTATCCTTCTAAGGGGATCATTGATAAAAAAAATTACGATAAGTAAACAACAAATAAACAAACAAACTAATAAACAGAAAGGGTTGACAAAAAGAATTTTACTTTCATTTTCATGATTTTCCTGTAATCAAAAAAGAACTAAAATAATTTGTAGTTCAGCAAGGTAAAAACAAACAAACAAATAAGGAAACAAAAACACAAAAGAGAAAGTAGAAGACCAATCTGCAAAAACGAAGGCTCAGCTTCTAAGAGTGCGAGATATCTTCGCAAAGTTTGTGAAAATAAAATGACATTTCTGACAGTGTTATTGTTTTTGTGTTTTTTTTTTCTTCACCAGTCGAGGTCTGTGTCCATTTATTTAATCAACTTTCGAGAATTAATAAATTTTTTAAGGGCACTATGAAGGTGATGATGTTGGTTCACGAAAACATATTACTACCTTTTTCCAAGGGCCTTTGGAGAACAATGTTATGGTAAATTCCTTACAGATGATTGGTAGAAGTAAAAGTGTTTTGGTTCGCGGTGTGAATAACTTCCTAATACGAGGAACACCCTGCGCAGCTGCAGATTGACTACCTCAAAACTCAAATTTGCCGTAACACACCGAACATCGAGGTTAGTGTCAGCAGCATCCAGTGAAATAATTCTTTCTGGGGAAAATTCCCCTTGAGTAAAGGTTGTCTCTATGTCTGTTACAAATAAACGAACTTTTTTCCCCATTTTCCGGCTCAGAATTCCCTGGAGTGGTTTCTTCACGAAGATAAAAGATGTAAAAAATGTTTAAAAGATTACCCCGTGAAAAACGCAAAAAATTATGCCGTTCCTGCAAGCAAGCGTGTTCCCTGGGAACGAGCCTGTGGTTGTTTGAACGAAAGGAACCTGTGTTTAGAGAAAACAGCATCGCATGACTACAGCGTGACATAAACAAAAGGCACGATGGAGATGATTCGTCTTCTTTAAAACAAATTTGGCCCAAATGAGACAGTTAGGGCCATTACTTGTTCGAAAAATTAGTTGCAAACGAAGAATAAGGTATGGAATCGTCTTTTGACTAACAATATAAATGATTTCGGGGATAAAAGACTGATAAGAACTTGGAGATTAATCAAATGGTAGTCCTCAGCTGAAGGAAGATAATGGATACCACGCATATCATCTCAAGGCCATTTTTGCCCCGATTATTTCGCGCATCAACAAATTTATGGCTCTGATAACACTGATAAAAATTTGAAGAGTCGGTAGTCTCGTAAAATTTTCCAATATTTTTAGACTAAAATGTTTACTTACCTACATCACAATTCTTTACTCTATCGATTCACTAGCTTAAAACTTCATTCTATATTATTTGTTCGACGAACGCAGTCAGTGGGTGAAAGAGAATGGTTTTAGTCTATCAAAGGGCCTAAATAGCTCGCTTTCTTTTTGATAAATTTTTATTGTATACCGTTTTTATTCGATTAAACGCCGTGGCCTTTATTAAATTTTTCGTGATTCGAGTGCGGCGTTTCTACTAGGGCGGCATTTATTTAAAATCCAATTTATTTCTTGCAATTTATAGTATGGTAACTGACCATTTTTATTTGTATTTGAAATATGTTTTAGTGCTTGTCTAAAAAGTAATTTTTTATATTTTTCTTAATTTTCTTCAACGTCATTGCCCTCATCAGCTCATATCTGCAAAACAATTTTAATATCAAGTTGATTGATGATAATATGTGAAAACAACAACAGCACCACTGAACAAGTTATGATAAGTCTGATTAAAACATTATGTACAAACGATGATTTGTTCAACAGGATTGAAAAAAGCATTAAATTGGACAAGAATTATTGAATTTACTGTTTGGTTTCATTTTGGACCATGACTCATCACATGTTGTGTCTGTTTGCATTGATTCAGTTTTCCAAGTCTGGAAATCATAATTATTTAATAATAATAATAATGGTAAATAGTGGCAGTATGAAATATCACACAACCCAAAATGGTGTTGTGCACTAAAATTATGGTTTTGAATTGATTGATACCTCCTGCTAATTTTACTCTGAGATTGGGCTTTCGTTGTGTCTTCTTCTTTGAATTAAACTAACACATTTATTTTTTGCCAATTAGCAATGTCATACCAACCAAAAGTAGTTGTTATTGGAGCAGGGATAGCAGGACTGTCTGCAGCCTGTAAGTTACATGAATCAGGGCAGGTGGATGTGTGTGTCCTGGAGGCAAGTGATCGACTGGGTGGGCGAATACACACAGGCAAGGTTGGAAATAACCCAGTTGAGTTTGGTGCTTCATGGATTCATGGAACTGTGGGAAATCCCATCTTTGACCTCGCTTGTGACCTGAAATACCTACAGAAATCAGATGTTGATCAACAGATAGCATGGATTAATGAAGACAGTCGAGCTAAGCCAAAGCTAGATCCTTCTCAGCTTAAACAGAGTATTGATGATCAGATTCTAACAGAGGTTTGGAATGTATTTGAAAAGTTGATCACTGAGACAGAAGATATCACAAAAATGAAAACATTCTGCCAAGGCATCACAAAGGATAAAAGAACAGTAGGGAATTACATTACCCACGGTTTTCAAACTTATCTAGACTCATGTACCTCTGACACTGCTTTGATCAAAAACATAAAATGCAACCTGTTTCTATTTCTTGAAGAAAGGGAATGCAATTCAGTTGGTTGTAATTCACTGAATGACCTAAATCTTGAGGACTTTGGAGAGTATGTTTACCTGGATGGTTCAGCTTATTGTCCACTTCCTGATGGTTATGACAGAATAACTGAGGCTTTAGCAGCACAATTAAACAGTGGCTGTGTCCATTTGAATCATGAGGTAACAAAAATACACTGGGGGGCTTCAAGTGAACTTAATGATGATGCTGAAAAAAGAAATTATCCAGTCAAATTGCATTGTGGTAATGGTAAAACATTTTGTGCTGACCATGTGATCATAACTGTCTCCCTTGGTGTCCTGAAGGAAAAGCACACTACACTGTTTTGTCCTTCCTTGCCATCTGACAAAACAGATGCGATTAAAAATCTTGGATTTGGATGTGTAGGAAAGATTTTTATTGAATTTGAAAAACCATTTTGGCCAACAGATGAGTACAGCCTTCATCTTATTGGGAACAAGAAGAAAAATCCCAAGCATGAATCAACAATAACAATTTGTCCTTGGGCTCATCATCTTTATTCAATGTACACCACTCGTCCAGGGTCTAATGTTTTGCAGGTTTGGTTCCAAGGCAATGAATCATTAGAAATTGAAAAGACCACACCTCAAGAACTTGAGAAGCAGTGTCTTGCAGCCATCAAAGAATGTACTTGTCTTGAATCACTGCCACCCATTGTGAATGTTGAAAAAACCCAGTGGGGGACAAATTCTTGGACAAGGGGATCATATACATATCTATCTAAAGCAGCTTGTGGGAGTGACTTTGATACTCTGGCCTCACCCCTCCCTGGGGAGTCATCTGGTTGTAAGGAAGCCTCTGCTTTACAACTTATGTTTGCAGGAGAGGCAACACATCGTCAGTTTTATGGAACTGTTCATGGAGCTTCTTTGACTGGAATAAGGGAAGCTGAGAGGCTTTTGAACCACTTAAGGAATTGAGCGTGACACTCATCTTTACTAAGTTCAAGACTTTATTTTTTACCTTTGTTGTGCCAAAATTAGAATTACTCTTTTGTAAATTAAATGACTTGATTTAACTGCCACCAGACATTTGGATGAAAGCAGTTTGGAATGGTTGTTATCAAGAAGGTAGAAAGGATGGAAGAAATTTTGATGTAAATATTAATTTGTGTTATTGATCAGTTAAAATATTTGGGAGAGGTTTTTCTGATCTGCAATTTTGCCATCATTTCAGGGGGTTCTTGAACCAAATTCATCTTAAAAAAAACTCATGTCTATTTAAATTGAAATTAACTGAAACTGTGTTTTGGACAAGCCATACCATTGCCATGGTAACTTAATGAGTCCTCTCCAGGGGTGGACTAGAGCAGATTTTATTTAGACAGCAGACAATCATCACTGAGGGTTTAAATTTTTTTGAAATGGAAATATCTGAAAACTTCTAACTTGGAAGCAGTGTTAAATAGTGTGTGCGTATGAAGCTAATTTTGATGGAAATATTTACCATCAACCTATATAAAATTTTTATATTAGTTCGTAAAATTAACGAGGCTGTTGTGAGTGATCCGACCTTCCTGATTCGTCAGTTTCCTTTTTTTCTTTGTGACGCGTAGATTTATCTTGGTGATTTGATAAGATGTTCTACCGTAGACAAGTTCTCACACTGATGACGAAATGAACGCATATTATTACAGCTAGGAATTTCAATGACTACTTCCCTCCTCATTGACGGTAATGTTACGGCTGCTATTCGCAGCTATTTTAAATCTAATCATATGGGGTGTAAGTTTTGTATTATCAAAAAAAATTGGTACATAGAAACTGATACCAAGCCGAGAGACAAAGCAGACCGCGAAATACTTTTTCCTAGTTATTAAAATGCGCCGATTGTGTGTACTGTTTATACAGGTGAAAGTATGAATAAATATTGCGTGTAATAAAACCTGTTGTGTAGTGAATCTCACAAGAAAATTACGTGTCTTCATTAGCTTTTTCTTTTCCGGGGAAATACATCAAGTTTTTGCGAGAGACGGAATACTGTGGTCGAAACCTTGCCTTTTTACGACCATATCTCTCCGAGATGCAGAACACATCTGGAGTCGTTTTGGTGTCCTACTCAGCATTCAAAAGTAATCCTCCAAACGAATTTAAAGTGAACAAAGAAGGCTCTGATAGCATACGTCTTCCCAATAGCTCTCTCGTCACGATCATAAGCGACAAGGAAGAATTCACCAACACAGCAAAGACTAACATAGTGAAGACAATAGGTGATCTGGAAGCTTTTCGCAGTCAAATCCTCAACCGCCCCCTCTTACTGCTAGTTACTTGTGGAAAACACGTTCCACACGGGCAAAGGTACGCAACGCAGATCTTACATTCTTAGCTTTTTTTACAATGGATCAATTCAACGTCGGCGCTTACTTCGGTACAATTGTGTCGGAAATATTTCATGACGAATCATAACTTGGAAATTGCAAACAAAGTTTTCATCAAAGTCCAGTGCTAAGACTAGCTTAGCCAGGGAAAATTCCCAGAAATAATGATTAGGTTATTCTCTATGGACTAACTATACTCTGTCTGGGAAACAATACGTTGATTAGGAAATAGAAACTTCACAGTGTCAGCTAGAACACGGTGTTAGCTAGATCGTGTCACCTCGATGAACCACCAAATTCTCTTAACTTATTTTCAAGGAAATGCGAAGCAGTCTGTAGAGGGGATAACTAATCAGATCTTTGGAATGACAAGTTAGTAGTAGTAGTTTGTGTTCGGAGTTTATTATCTCCACTTTGCCGCGCAGATCGCCTTCAAAACTGCCAGCGACACTGACAGTCTGCAAACAATCCAAGAGAGGGAGAATTGTCTCGTTTACTGCAACTTGCAGATCTGACTTAAAGGAAAAAAAGAAACACAAATTCTGCCGGCAGTCCTCAGATATTGAAAAATCTTACTTCAAAGCGGAAATGCGATTTAGAACCTTGTAAGTCAATCTTATCGGAGCTTCATCTGTCGTTTTAGTTTCAAAAGAAAGAGGTTTCCTTCAATTCTCATTTTACCCATCAGTGTACTTTTACGATCCAGGTTGAACAACAGGGGAGAGTACCTCAGTTATCGAGACCCCGAGTGGTGGATACAGTCGAACAACACACCCTGGCGGAATCCGTATGCCCGATGGGGGAACGAAAACGGCACATCCCTGTACGAAGAGCGATATATTCGACCGGAGTTTGTTGTCAGCGTGGATACATCTAATCCCAACATTAGGCGTTTGTTAGAGGATGGGCTAGACATGGCTGAAGACATGATACGAGAAAAAGCTAGTTTTGCCATAGAGGTTAGGTAAAGAATTGATGTATTTTCCTTAAATGTAAATATATGTTATCTTTATGAGGGTTTTTTGGATCAATATCAGTATCTGGGCAACTGCCCACCTACCCCTCCCCTAACCTAACAACAGTCAATTGATAACAAGTTAGAGTTAATGTTGGGTTAGGGGAGGGGTAGGTGGGCAGTTGCCCAGATACTGATATTGATCCGTTTTTTTTTTTCGGTGAATATCGTAAATCCCTTTCACTTCTCTTTTTCAGTTCTAGATGTCCTTGAAGAACAAAGGGCTCACAAATATTATTCATTTACAGAGCGGTCATTATTTATCGCCTGGGGGGGGGGGGTGGGGGAAGGGGAAGGGGGAGGGGGGGCAGAGGATTTTGATTGTGCCTCAATAACAAAATTTCCTGATCCGTCAAAAGGCTCTCTACAAGATGTTATAAACTGTTTTTATTCTTTTGGCTCTGTAGTATTCTAATGCTCTTTCCCTCCCCCCCTCCCCTCCCCCCACCTCATTCATTCACAATTTTCACGATCCTTTTTCCCACGGAAGTTATATATAAGTAACAGCACTGAAAATTGTGCAGATAATTGCCCTGAATCAAGAGAAAATAATGTCCATTATTATCTCTTGCCTTAATGTAAAAATCCGAAATTGAAATAGAAAACGTTTGACACTAAGCATAACAGTGGGTTCCTGATATACCTGTGCGACTTCTGAGCTTTTTCAAATGAAATGTTAGCTTTTTAAAAATCCATCTTTTAATATTCTACCAAAACAATATCTAGATAATGGACCCAATCAGAAAACCGTGGCCAAGGTAGCCAGACTCCCAAAGAAAAGAGGAGGGGGGAGGGGATGGGTCAATGTGATAAAAGCAACATTTTTTTTATTGTTCTCCACTTCATACTCCGTTGGCGACGACTAACACCCTTCCGTTACTGCTAGTTTTCGTCAAGTGGTGTAGTCAACAGAGTGACTACATCGCGAGACAAACGAAAAAAGTTCATTTCTAACGTATTAATAACGATGAATAATTAACCAAGACATTTTCCAATTGAACTCCTTTTCTCGACAGTTTGATTTTAACCCCATGATTCTCCGCTGGTGGAAGACGCAAGGCATTAAACGTTACGACTCGTTAGAATGTCTCGAAATGACAGCAGCTGCTGGAGCAAATTTTGTGATAACAAACTGTTCTGCTATCAATCATTTCTTCGACTGTCATCCAGCCTGGTGCGCTTGTTGGCCTTGCTACCTTTTGTTGGCAGTTCCGTACAAGTTATGGCGTAACGCAGTTCAAGGAATTCATGACACTTCTGTCACAATGAAAGGAAATGCCGTCTCCTCGAGTCCAGGCCACTCCAACTACAGCTTGATCGATCTTCACCAGTTCCCCGTGAACAGTAATCAGCCGGGCGCTGGAGTAGGAGGCATGACATCGAGTCTTGTACCCGGGATGGCTCATGGGATTGCTTCTCACTCTTTCTTTCCTCCTCCCTCCTTACATGGAACGCTGGGAAATCCCCGGTTTAAGACAAACTAGTCATTAGGGAGCCTGTATACTTTTGAATAATGATCTATTGATGTAAATATCCGATAATTCAACATAGTGTTTAACTATCAGAATTCATTATACGGACAGAGGATCAAACACTCATGTTATTCTGAACTGGCGTTAAAATATTTTCAAGTAAATTATATTTAGTTTTGGAGCTCATTGCATTAAATAACAAGGTACGGAGTTTATTTTTATCCGGTGCTAATTCTACTTATATTTATCACTTAAGTTTCGGCATAGTTTCTTCAGGTTCATTTAGAGACCATTATCTATTGTCTGCTTGATATTGTATTGATATTGTAAGGAGAATTTCTGTCCTGGTCACTCATGGGAGTTAAGGATTAAGAACACTACCCAGTACGCTATACTCAGCATTATGAAAGACAGAGGAAACGCCAGGCGACAAATCTCGTCAAGTTTCGCTGCCCAACAAATTATGAACCGCATTTTGTTGCGGGATCTTTGTGGCTGACGTACGCTTGGTTTTTGCTCTTTTGGTCTCGTTTCCACTGGAGGCTCGCTACTTGATATGTGGAGGTTGGTCCATTGGAGAATGTCGTGGGAATTTGTTGGAGCAAAACTTTCCATGAATCCGCCATTTACTACACCGTTTGCCATTGCTTTGTTTTGATTGTGATGATTGAAGTGGTATGAATCCTCCATCTATCAAAAGGTAAAAGCCAAAAGTAGAATGATGTTTAAATTTAGGCTGAGTTCAACCTCTCATTTCGATTTAAGAACTAGACAGTTTGATATCACAAAAAAAACCTTCAGTTCCAGTGACATTGAAAAAGAATCAATAATGTTTTATCTCGGTCTCTGAGGCTCTCACGTTGAAATAGGGTCAAGGAAAAATGATTTTTTGGGTTAGCATGACTCAATAACTTATAGCCCATAGTAACTGAGCCAATCGAAACCCCTTAATTGTATCATATTGAGATGACCATGAAATAGAAATTAATTACTGACAGCTTCTTTAAAGCGAAAACCACTGATTACCTCTAGGTCATCCTTCTTATCCGCCTGCATCTTTTCCGCCATTCTTTTTGCGTAGTGAACAAAGGGGTACTCCACCATACAACCGAACACGAACACAAAGCACGTGATGAGATAGATGTCAATTGCCCGTACGTAGGAGACGCTTGGAAACCCCTCCTGTTCGCCAATAAGGAAACTGCCCATTGCCAAAATTGTGATCGTACCGAGGGATATTCGAGCCGGTGTCGACTTGGTATCGATCCAAAACCCGACCCAGGAAAGGGCTACGATCAGTGTGGCGGGGAGGTACCAGCTTAGAAGGTAGAAGTTGATGCGCCGCTTAAATTCAAATGCTACTGAGAGTAACCCATATTTGCCTGCAAGAAAACTCAATCAGAGAAAATCTATTTGAAAAGCTTTCAACAAATTCCTATATCTATACGTAATGGTTTTGGCTACGTTGTTTCTTATACTAGCGGATGGGGATTGAAGAAACTCCAGAACTCCCGCTTGCCTGGCAGGAAAATAAAATGAACTTTTAAACCTATTAAGCATTTAAGTATATGAATTGATTAAATAAGACGGGAGAATTTTTTTTGTTTATTGAAGTTTACAGTGAATTATATGATATGCTGAATTAGGCACGCTTTTTCATTTTTTTCTTTCTTGCGCTCAGCTATAGGGCAAACGCATAGATGACGTCACCATGTGCAACATTTTGCTTCTTTATTGCACCTCATATGCCACCTTTATGTTTTTACCCCATTTTGATGTCATCCGTAATGCATTACAGAACCTACGCACACCATCATGGAATATACTTGTCAAATAGAACTTTTAAGAAGTTGGCTGGCCTTCTTTCGTGTTATTTTCACGGTCTCAATCCAGGCCTCTCTCTCAAGAGCCTAGCGCGCTCACCTACGAGCCATCAAGTGCCTTCAGTGGTTTAGCTGACACAGTTTAGAGTCATGACGCACATATTGTTACCTGATGTAAACTCTTGTACAGTTTTCTTCTTCTCGAATGACACGAGAACAAAATGTGCAATATGTTTGTTCAGCACTGTTAACTCGCCCCATTCGTAATGCAGATCTTCATCAGTGTAGAAAACTGTCAAGTGAAATATTAAACCAGAAGTACCTATAGCTAGGACTGATAATTGTTACCGTGGTAGAATAAAAGGATTGTAAATCACTGATTAAGTGAAAAGGATATCGAGAGGAACAAGAATGAGATGAACTCATCTTACGGCTATAGAAATGGGGGTTGGGGAGGGTGCTGCGGTGTTTAAGTGCTGCATTTTTAGATTCGTCCGACCATTGTCTGCGCCAAAAGTTGAAGAAGACTAGTTTTCCTCTCAACGCTTCTATTTACTCTTCAACGAGAAATCCCTTACAAATTCCTTTCACTCTTAATCTCTCAAATTGCTGAGTGACCAAATTTTGTACATCGTCGAGGTTTCCTAGATCACCATCATAATAATTTTCTGCATTTCGACTGTTCTTCGCCCATTTTAAACCTCTTTTGCAACCCAATTGAATCACCTATTCTTGCAAAAGTTTGAGATGTATAAAGAGAAGTCACTTACAACTAGTGATGTTTAAGAAGCATTTCTGTTTATCCATGGGAAAATCGTGAAAGGTCATTGAGCAAGACACTGTCATACTAAGCCTGCAATGTAATAGCAGTGAAGATGAAATCGATTACTTTAATAGAAGAAAAAAAAAATATAAGGGTATAAACCTTTTTGATAAGGATAAGAATAACACGTTTGCACCAAGCAACTAAGCTGAGAAAGATCATATGACAGGAATATTTTGAGACGCTCTGTCTAAAAGTTGTACCTATTTCACGAAGTTGGGTTGCTTGTTCAAATATGAAGTTAATTACTTTTTTTGTTCAATTTTTTATCAAAATTGTCAGTTTGGATGATGACTCACCAACTGGCTCATATATACCTGGTACTGAAGAGCACATCTCCATTAGGTGATATACGAAGACCCTCGCTTGCAGGGACCGCGCTATCAGTCTGCACGGTCTGTATAGACCTAATACCATAAATATACGTGTCAGGAGTCCACAAGTCTTTCACTAAATCGACCTTAAAGACAATGAACTTCTTTCCACCTGCTTGTTTTTCTTCATAGGCCAGATTAGGATCATTCCATCCTTGTCTGAAGAAGAACTCCAACGAGAAGTCCTACAAGAATATATAGATGTGCGTTTCTACTATACGCAATGTGTACCTGCGCACCTACCCCTCCCCTAATCCAACGTTAACCCTAAAGTTTCAGCAGGGGAGGGGTAGGTGCACAGTTGCGCAGACACTGATATTGGCTCAAAAAATAGTTTATCTGAAACTAGCTAAGCAAGAATACAGATAAATTGGGAAGAAAAAATAAACGAAAAAGCTTCAGTATACCAATAATTGAGGGAATTTCAATCAGATCTAGCACATAGCAATCGAATTTGTCAAATACAGTATCTTCTATGTTTGACAATTGGAAGCTATCTTACTGAGCGTTAAAAACAGTTACTAACGTCGTGCATTTAAATTGTGCAAAACGAAAAAAGGCTGAAACAACAGGCAATTAATTCCATGTTATTGTTGTTATTGTTTTGGTTTTGTCAGTAACGTAAGTACAGGATACGTTTCGAAAAAGAGTTGATGTAGAATTTTAAGAATAATTTTCAAGTGATATTTTCAGGACGAAACGTGCGTGGAATGAATTTCATACCATATCTCCTGTATCGACTTGAAGAGAGGCGACCTCGATAGAAATGTTGACCACCACTGGGTGATCTGAGAGGAAAGAAGCATTAGCATCAGATGGAGGAACGATTGCTGGAGCATGCTCCCCGTCAGAGCATCGCATCCCTCCTGTCCACGTACAAAATATTTCTCTTAATGAGGAAAAATTAAGTCAAGAGTAAAGCATTTTTGCTGAGGAATCATAGAGGTTTGGGGAAGAGGAGCATGAAAACTGTGATATGGTGGGATGAGCGGGTGTCTAACAGGGGCCCGTTTCTTAAAATACAGGGGTGTATGTTTCTAAAGAAACTGTGGTGCTGCGCGGTGGGAGAGTATAACAGGGTAGTTTAGTATTATTGACTGAGTTGATAACGTCAATTGGCCACCGTAAAGAGTTTTAAAGCTGACGTTTCGAGCGTTGGCCCTTCAGAACGACGACAAAGATTGAAAAGCTGTGTTCATCAATGTCCAATGAGATAATTGAAGAACCGTTTTCTTTTTTCCTGATGCTAGCACAAAATCCTTACACCATCGAACAATGGAAAATTTACGTTATAAACCCAGTTGATGATACTAAATTATCCTTTTCTTGGAATTCCCGGCAACTTAACGGGCCCGAAGCCATATTTTAAGATCAAAATTCAAAGAAAAGAGAAGCAAGTTCTGCCATCCTAACCTGTCCAGTTTGTTTTGTTAGCCAATAGTATTATTGCAGAGGTTTCAAAACTTATGAAACTTTATCTTGAAGGAAAATATCACAGACCAAATAGTTTACCAGGATCTTAACCTTCGAGATGATTTAAACCTTTTTCCAAAATGGATGACAGTGCAGATACTTTAATTTTTCTAAAATCCTTTGAATTCTGATGGTGCGATTGACAGAGAGGGCTAATTATCAAAACAAAAATATTGCCATCATTTTGGAGAAAGGTCACAACTACATTAACAATCTGTGTTGCCTGCCTCGAGGAAAAAATGTCTTTGGTCTTCTTGTCTTGTCGTAGATGATCCCGTTTCTCACACAGTACACCAGGTCCTGAGTTGTCTTGTACACAGATACGTTACAACGACTTTCGTCAGCTAAAATGGAACTAAGGGAGATAAAGATAGCCGATTAAAAATCCTAATTCTGCGGCTTAATCCCTTCCCGATGTTAATTTTGGTTTAGGACAATGGCTTCAATATAATTTGACTAGATTGGTGACTAAAGGAAAGAAATATAACGTACGGTATTTTGAATAATTTTAATTCCCTATGTAAGCAATAAAGAAAGTCAATGTTTTAGAGAGCTAAGTTAGAGATCTTTTGTTTCCTGATGGTGAGAACCACCAGATGAAAAGAATCGAAATATCCACAAATAAACTTATATGGAATAGTTAATGACGAATAACAATTTAATCGAAAACTTGGGATATGCCTTTTAATCATGTCGTTTAACCGACAGACTGAGAAGCTAACTCAAACAGTGACTGTATCTCTTTTGAAACTAAAAATGAGCCCAAGTGGTGAATAATGATAGTTTGGCTTTGATATTCTATTCTAAATAACAAACGCGAAAGAGAAGAAAATAATATTGTATCAACAAAATCGATAGCACACGAGTGCTAATTCTCCGACTTAAATTGACAAGTTTCTTTTTAGTTCTAGCTATTAATAATGAGTAGTGAGTTTTCTCTGCTTTGTGATAATCATTTCCATACATTTATTGAAACAGATAACGATGCATTTACGAAAAGTGAAACTGTATAGGTTGAAATTGATTCCTGAGGAAGTTATTTGAACATAGCTTGAAACTAAAGAAATCGTTCTTTAAAGTGTGAATTACCGTAATAAATTTTTATTTGAATGTGGAGAACTCTGGTCTAGACAGTTGGGAATGAAATTTTAATCAGCTATAGATGTCAGAAGCTAGGCTCTTTTACTTGGACGATCCGTCATGTTATGAACACAAGTAGTTCTTCGGGCTCACGTCCGACAAACTTTGTGGGTAAAAATCTGGTTCATATGTCTCTAAATACCTTGAAACTACGAATCGACGTTTTACGCGTTGCATTACCTTGTGACTGGAGCTGAAATGCACCTCACTTTTGCCACAAAAGCGACGAAAGCTAAAATGGGATGGCAAATTGTGAAAATGACTTTCTGCTTACCTCATAACGAATTCACTCCACATAAACATAAAAACCATGTACGAGTAAAACTTAGCCATGATATCGACCTGTAAACAAAAAACGATGAAAGTCGAATTTCTGAAGTATATTTTGGCCGACCGGTGTTTTTGGTAACGTTTGCAATTAGAACGCTGCCAGAAATTCAAATTCCGTAAATTATACATGCAACACTATACTAAGTAATGTGATAGCGAAGGAGCGTGATGCGAACAGGTGTTTACGTTAAGAGAGACATACAGCTCATACTGCAGCGATGGAGTGGGGCGGTCTTGCTCTTTATTGGTCAATAAGAGGACCCCTTCCTTTGTTTTGTTAGCTGAAGATTGTCGATGAATTATGAAACCCAAACTGGGTTGACCACAAAATTGCTTTCCAAGATTGTGTAATTGAAAACCCCGCCTCGCTTCGAAAACAATCATATTTTTACAAAATATTCGTAATTTAAGTTGCCCCCTATAAAAATGAGGTTTATTTGCAAATAAAGGCAAGAAAGTCGTTTTCTCATGTAAAGTTCTTTTGTGACCCTGAGGCAAGTAGTTTTTTTCACTCCGTGGAAAAAAATCAATCTCAAGCAGTAAGAGATTGAACTATTGTGTTCATCAATCGTCTGATGACATGATTAAAGAACTGTTTTTTCTTGCTGATGCTAGTACAATATCCTTACACCATCGAAGAAGAGAACTTCACTTGAATTTCACGAGTTCTCGCTGGATAAAAGTAACAATGTAAACGTTTTAAAGAAAATTGTTCGGAAAATTGACAAAATTTATCAGTTTTTACTTGTTCCTCGCTGGCCAGTAATGTCGTATGATTTGGTCAAGGCGCCGGCCGGTTTATACCACGGGTAGTTATCAAGTCGTGCGTGTTTAGCGGGTTCCCCAGGAGGTTATGTTCTGATTCGTGAATCTTCTTCTAAATAGTTTGAGAACTAATAATAGCCCAGTGGTCTAAGATAAATGTCAAATGAGTTATGTTGACGGCAATTAGCAATTCAGACGGAACACTTTGAGAACTAACTTTTGGTAATTACCACATTATTTATTAATTAATTTCGAAACTTCGAAAATATTGTGATTGTGTGGTCGCACGAGAAAATAAAAATAGAAGCTTAATCGCCGCTGGCAAAAACTGATCTCATAGTAAAATAGTTTGTGCAGTTTCGTATTTTTCCCCCTAAGACTGCATCAAAATGATACGAATATTTTACTCTCTGTAAAACATTATGTGAATATTTTGTACACGTTTGCTAATTTTGAAATTTTATCTGGTTTTTGATATGAAATTGTTTGATATTTGATACTGCCGACGTAAAATGAGATTTCTGTTCTTCATTTTAGAGGGAAAAAAATTGTGTTGCACGATCAAAATTTTTCTACTCCATCAGGAAAGCAAAGTCTTGCGAAATTTTTTGATCTTTTTTTTTTCTAGAATTAAGTGGCAACGTTTCATTATGTTCAAACTTAATGATCGTGACCTTGGAGTCGAATAAAAAAGATCGACACTTTTCCTCGTTAACAGATGAGCGTATTATGAAGAAGCCTGAAAAAGAGAGCAGAGAGGACTGGTTTTGTGGCCTTGACAAAGTTCGGATCAATATCAGTATCTGGGCAACTGCCCACCTACCCCTCCCCTAACTCAATAGACTGTTGTTGGGTTAGGGGAGGGGTAGGTGGGCAGTTGCCCAGATACTGATATTGATCCCAAAGTTCAATGGAAAAGCTGATGTCCCCTCCTTTCCTTTTCCTCCCACCCCTGAAAGGTGAATGACGTCAGAGGCCCCCTCTGCATCGCAGCTCGGTCATTTTCAATCACTTGCCACCGACACTGAGGGGAATAGTTGTTATTTTAATACCACACAAGTGAATAGTGCTTTTCGCGCGCGCTTATTGGCTAGTTCGGAAGTGAATGGCAAGTACTATTCATCTCGACACTAATTCATCTCCGAGCGGCCGATTAGACGAAAGCGCGCGTCGAGAGTTTAATTTCTGACCATTTTTCGGTATATTGAAAGAAACAAACTAAGCTTTTGGTATCTGTATGGTATTTCTAAAACGATCAGTGTGAGTGAAAGTGGGGGATATTTACCTCCACTTTGGAGAAAAATTGTTAAATATTGTAAAGAGGACCCAAGTTTTCTTTGTTGGCGAAGAAAAGGGTGCGGTTATAATGTTCAACCATTTTCTTGTTTAATTTTTGTTGCTGCTATTAAACGCCTTTTGCCTGTTCCTTTTTTCTTCGTCTTTGTTTGGAAGGGGAAAGGAAGCCAAAGGAAATTCATTACACATCAACACTTTATTTTCTCCTACAAAATCAAGACCGGGTATTCAATTTCATAAGTAGTGTTTATTTTGCCAAGTGACACCAACGGAAATCAGTTCTTCTTTTATCTCAAAATATTTAACTCTATTTCGCCAAAGTTTTGTTAATCCGTTCACTAATTTTCCTTTTAATTTTTGCTTTGACTTTTGGCCTTAATCCCAGATCGAATCCATGTGGATTTACTTTTATCACACGCTGTACATTAGGACACAAGTTGCAGTCAATAAGTTTTTGAACTTGCTTTTGTTGTTTTTGTCATTGAAGCATGATAATGTTAGCTGTAGTCAAGCGAATAATTCACTGGCTCATTATCAAGTGCCACATGTCAGTAAACAATATACAAACTAGGTAAATGGGATTATGTTGTCGTTGATTCCTCCACAAACTAAAGCTTTGATCTATGGAAATTCACTATGTTTTCTTTATTTCTTTCGCTTACTTTGTGTCAAGACCAGTAAACAATGCCAGCGGCAAGATTTCCACTTCAATTAGCAACTGATCATACAATTTTAATATCGGACAAGGCGGCACAAAAAGAGAACAAAGCCTTCCCACGTAATTAGTGGTACTGGTTTCACGATTGAAAAAAAGTGTAATGATTGGCCAATTACAGCGCTCTATAACAACTCATAAACAAATTATCGCCGCGTAAATTTTGTTTCACCAAGTGGTCTGCTTTCGCCTGAGAATTGTCGCAATTCGGAACAGTTTCCAATTTTATTTCGCCGCATGGTTATACATAGCTGTCTCAATGTCGCTCTGGAAGAATAAGGACTTTTGATATTTGGTTCGCAGTATTATGAAAGAGCGAGACAGCCTTCGTTTATAATACACAATGAGCGAGACTATGATGTCAAATGTTGAAAGAGACTTGAATGGAAACGTAAATCATAAGAAATCCTTCACCCGGTTTCCTGAAGATTTGATAATCCGCGAGACCGTTCCCGGTCAGGACACAACTGAAGAGCTGGAATTGATTGTACAGAGCTCGGAAAAAATCGACGTGAACTGCTTGAATGAGTACGGCCATACTGTGTTGAGTACGGCGGCATTTGTAGGCAGTATGAAATGTTGTAGGATACTTGTTGAACTTGGAGCAGAAGTAGGAAAACAGGACGAAGATGGCTGGACTGCGATGCATTATGCCATGGCAAAGGGATATTTGGACATTGTAAAATATTTGGTTATGTGTGGAGGAGATTTATTCGCTAAAAATAACGACGGCGACGCACCATTGGATTTTGTCGAAGATAACGAAATTAAAGAAATACTCTTAGCGAGTTACGAAAAATATTCGCAGAGCAAATCCGAAGTATAATCGGTGCATCTAGCGTGACTCAAGTGTGAATTTTGTGGAGTCGTCAAGAGTGATGTCTTCTGTCGCATAAATTTAGGATAGACACTCTAATCAATATTGCATGCCTTGCAGGTTGATTTCATGTCAGTTACGAATGTAATTAAAAGCAATTTTTGCGCGAAGTGAAAAAGAAAAAAATATGACAAGAACTATAAAAACGTCAAATGCATGATTTAATGGACAAATAAAGCTCATTTAATAGAGTACAAATTTTGAATAAATTTGAAATAAGTTTGTCTATCGCTTAAAGGACATTCAGGAATGTTGTGCCAGACTTAAGTTGTTATACCTTTTTTTAAAACTTCCAATGGTCTCAGAATTTAAAATAACAAAAGCCAATTCAACACTATACTTTTATTTCTGGCAAAAATTTTATCCCAAGGTTGAATGACAAAGAAATTTGAAGAATTAGTTAACTCGCGACAGAGTTCGTGATTAATTAATTAGCATACGAAAACTTTTAAATGATAAGAGTCCAAAATCTTAATCTTTTTGTTCGGACTTTACTCAAGTTATGCGTCACCAAAGGCATATTTTCCAAACTTTTGGCGGAAATCTCTTTCTTCTTTGAAGAATTCGTCTATCATGATCATCAGTCTTGGGTCTCTGATACCTCGGCTTGCCCATGAACGCAGATTAGTCAATTTTTCTTCGACTTGATAGGTCAGGTTTCCATAACCGCGACTGAGTATCTTCTTACTACAAATATTCAATTCCTCTGGCGGTAAGTCTGTCTTCTTGATATCCTGTAGAACGACATGTGTAAAGCGAACGCTTTGATGTGTCATCAACCGTTGTGCTTGTAACAACCAAGCTTTGGAACGCTCATACATAAGCTTATAGAAAGGGTCTTGGGGTCTGATTCAAAGCAACCCAGGCAAAGAAAAAGATACATCTTATTCAAGAGGAGATTGATGTACTCGTTGATCTCTTTGTCGTAAGGGCTGAAAAGAACAAAGTTTAGATCGGTTACCGACATTTTAAAAGATATTTGTCCCTTTGGTGCGCGAGAGCTCTCCCTGGAATAACTATCGGGGTAGAAATCACACTTATGTTAACTGAAAAAGACTTGGTTGCCAATGAGTCATTGGCAACCAAGTCTTTTCAGTAGGAGTTGTTCTAAAATTTCACCAATTTTTCTGCCGTGCCCCATCTCCTTTTTTCGCCTAAAACAAGATATTACCAATTAAATGTTATCAAAATGCTCTTTCTATTTTGTGTTTTTCAAGATAAAAGATGAAAGTCTGTTCCAGTCAATTGTATTATATCACTAATTTCTGTAAGAAAAAGGGACAAGGGGCATTACTCCAAGTAAATGAGATGTGAGTCCATCACAAGGTCCCCTCAGTAAATGTTTTTGCCATTTAACTATCATTTACACAAAACCGTCACTTCTCAGCCAACAGCTAAAATTTCAGCTGATTTTCGTCATTAAGGTCCTTTCATTGTCAAAAAAAGAGAGCTACTTACCTCAGATATATGATGAATTTCAACAATTTGATTTTGTCTTTTGCTTTCATCTTTTATAAAATTTAGTGGCGGTATCATGGCCCTGACATCCTCTGAGAGAGACATCCGCAATGCATGGCAAGCGTCAAGTGGTTTAAATCTGCCGCTCGTATGATAATCGGAAATTTTGAAAAATCCCGCGTGTATTTTAAAGCTGTTTCCGCCATTGTTCCAAAGTAGCCATATACGGTCATTGTTAATCGTTAAACAAAGCCTGCTTAACTTTAAGCTGATCCGCTTTTCTTGATACGAGTGAATTGTCCATTAACGAGTCAAGGTAACCACTAGATCAATAAGGTGTCTCTGATAAACATCCACTTCGATTCTTAGTGCCCAGTTCCTTCCCATTACCTTTCAGGAAACTTGACAGAAGGCTGAAACACTTTTAAATCAAAGTTCTTTGGAACCATGGAATTGCTCTTTAGTCGCTCTTCGAAGTGAATGCACCGTAATCCTGAAGGGTACTCGGTAAAAGTGTGACTCAAAAGCTCCCAGGAACCTTGCGCATCTGTAACCTCTCTACGCACTGTAAAAGATTGATCTTCAGGAAGTTCAGTTTGAGAGCCGTCAAGGAGGGACGCTTTAATTTCAAAAGCACCAGAACCTCCAGTTTCGACGGCGAACCTATGGAAAAATAGATGAATGAATAATATTAGCCGATCAAAAGCCATAAAAGTGAGACGAAAATACCGTGAAACACTGTTTTTTCTCTCGTCAGCTAAACGATAGGAGGATCGCGATACTTTTGTTTATAATAATCACAATAACAATAAAATAAATACTGATGATATAATAGTAATGATACTCGAGAAGTTGAATAACAACATTACTACGAAAATATAAAAATACTTCTAACTAATATCACTGTTGTTGTCTTTATGAAAATGCAGTATTTTCCAACGAACCATTCTTTAACCTCAATCGGCTTTCGTTGGTCTAAATATCTTACAGCGATTTCTTTACTCAAAAGGTCTATAAGTTGACTTCTCCCACCAATTCCATCCGCATTTTTAACCGCGATATTCCAAGCACTTTTTTCTTCTCGTTCTAGCCCATCTGAAGTGCATAAAAAAAAAGGTACATAAATGGAAAAGAGAGAGTAAATTTCATTGGGTAGCTTTCGCGCGCGAACACCTGTATTTTAAAAAATAACGATATCATGTTTCATCCCTTCTAGTCCCGTGACGTTGTTACCTCTTGTGAACTAATCGAAGTAGGGGTACTTTTCGAGGTTCTGTTCCAGTGAAACATCACTGTTAGCTGAAAATAGGTAGGGGGGGGACACTGTCTCGCGGATATTTAAATGTAAGAGAAGGCATTAATCTCTAAGCCTTGCTACAAACTAATCGAAGACAATACTTAATGCCCATCAATATCTCTTTTTCGCGTCTTTGATTCTTGTCTCTCTTTAATGGTTAAAAGTGCATGTGAATTCGTCGGAAAAAAAAAATCTCGTGTTTTCCATGAAAAACTGCACTCTTGTTTGAGATACGTATTCATCTTTGCTTCTTACATTTTAGTTGATGTTCCAGTCTGTAGTCTGTGCTGACAGAACCAGTAAATCTCCAGAGGTCGGTTTTGATATCGTAGGCATACCCATACGCGTCGAAGCCTCTAGAGGGTTCAAAGTTCGGATTGTTTATAAGATTGGAAAACGACCTTCGGAGTCCAGCGTAAAAACAAACAAACAATTATGGAAGAGAGCCTTGCATTTCGTGTCGCTGCACCAAAAATGTCATGACAAGCGGTATTGTGGTTACACTATTAGAATGCCATTTTTGATACGACGCCATCTCGGCTCTATCTCTCATGCGTTTATAGAATTATCTTTTATTTCCCAAAGCGGATCGAAATATGGAAGCATGGCTTTCAAAGGCAAAGTTTTCACCCCGACGGAAACTAGTTTTTTTTCATATGAAAAGCAAAGGGAGTTTAGTTTCCGTTCACAAGAATTCATTACTCATAAATTTATTGCGTGTGTAAATTACTGATGCACGTACGTTCCTCAAAAGTTGACCAGAATTGTGGAACCTGAGTTACAAAACTCTAATAGAATGGAGAATTCTTGAATAACATTTTCACATGTCTCTAACTCCTGACGATGGTTATGGAAATAAACAAAAGTATTTGTTTGTTTTGGTCGATTTGGATATTGCATGGCGTGTATACGTTCACTCTTAAAGTCTTTCTCCTAAATAATAAAATAACTCACCATTCATAAAATTTAACTGGGGGCTTTTCTTCGTCCAAATAAAGTAAATCCTTAATACCTCTGTCTAAAAGGTCAATTGTCTGAATCCTCTCACAAACTCTTGCTAGGTTTTTAACTGCAATGTTCCAGGGGAACTCATCATCTTGTTCTGGCCATTCATTCTTTCCTGATCATAGGAGTAGCTAAGTTAATTTCCACTATAAGTAACTTATTGGTACTAAAGTTCGCGATTTTGATATGAAGGTTTTACGCGGGATTTCATTTTTGCGCTTTCAATGGAGAAATTCAAAACGTTCAAGATGGACGTTAAAAATTGAGAAAAAAGAAAATTCATCTGAGATATGCGTTTTTGTCTCACCTTGAGGTCTGTTTTCCAGTCTATAGCAGGTCTCGTGCGTATTAACCAACTTCCAAGGTTCGGTTTTGATATCATAGGCACAGCCATCTAAATCAAACTCTCCAGTGGGCTCTAAGTTTGGACTCTCTATGAAATTGTCTCCTATTTTAACTTCCGTGAGACAAAGCAACGAGTACAAAGAGGAATGAAAAGGACGCCGCATTTATGGACGTTATAAAAAAGTGTGGCTGTAATGGTATGAACTATGATTGAGGAAGTATGCTTCAAAATTCGTACAGCTTTCATCGCTGCAATCCATAATTAGACATAGAAACTTACGAAAAAACAAAAATCGTTTCCATATGTGCTAAAAATTGCGCTTCGGAAGCCGCCATTTTGAAAAAATTCAGTAACTTGCAGGCCGCCTAAACGCTTGACACCCCAAAATTCAATTCAGGTGGTGGAAACCAAAACGCCCTGGTCACAAACAGCTGCTACCTTGGTTAACTGTCTTTCTGTTTTTACTTTTTCCAGAGCTGAAGTTCATATTAATTTGATTTGAGAGCCGCCATGCGATATCCTAAGGTCTGTTAGCTTGCAGGATAGAGGCCACAGTGCTAAGCAAGATTCACGATTGCGGCATCGGTAGCCCGATTTTTAGCGCATTTGACGACAATTTTCGATAGGTACCTATCATAGGTTGTTGAATATTTTTTTATGGCGAGGTCAAATGAAATATTGTTTCTGTAGCATTACCCTCCTTTAAGGAAGGGGAAAAATTTGCCTTGTAACGAAGAGTGAGGTTCTTTTTGCACACCTAATAACTTAAGGTCTCACCAATACCATGCCATTCAAGCTTTCACTGAATGTCCCATCCCTCCTCCCCCCCCGCTCTAATAAGAAACATTCACAGTTACCATCACTGGTGCGGACACTTGTAGCCGGGCTCCTTACACCCATTCCGCGGGTTTTACTGACAATTGAAATGCAGAAAGGGTAATCACGGTGTGGCGCCAAACCCGTCATGATTTTCTCAATTTTCGATAGTTCTACTTCTACGTGCTTCCATTTTGGATATCGTACATTTCGTTTGATTCGATACCAAACGACGTAGTTTGAAAAATCCTGGGCTTGAGACCCTTCAACTGGACTCCACTGAATCTAAGGAGTACATAAGGAGGAATAATTTTTTTTTTATCTTTTTTGTTTTGTCTTTCTTTCTATCAAATCTTTTGATTTCTTGTAATTCCTTTTTCTTCGGCTGTTGGTCACTGACCTAATTAATCTACCAAGCCCCATCATATCAAAACAAAACATTTTTTGAAAGCGAGATTTTCTCCCCTCTTTTTGTTTTTTTTTAACGCGTTGTCGAACTACATATAATTGCAAAACCTTTCTTAGCTAATTTTTTTGACGTTTCATATTTGTTGCTTGACTTCTACAGTGGTGTTTTTCTGCAATCTTATTTATAAAAATAGACTGAGTCAGATTGGTGACACGTATTCCCACGTATTTGAGCGCGGAATTGCGGCATCAAGAGATTTGATTTAACAATAACAATTAACTGCAAAATTTGACATTAATACCATCAGTTGCGTCTGTACTTCATGTACTACTGACGTTCTTCAATTTAATCTTTTTAGCTTGGGGATAATTACATTGCAAATGTAGCCATAGTTTCATCTTCTCATTTAATCAAGCCTCAATCTTTATCTAATATATAAAAATAATAATGATACAAATAAAAGTACAAGATCAACATAGTAGTTGGTGGAAATAACAAAAATTAAGTTTATACCAGTTGTTCACACCACTTATACCAACTATAAAAATTAAATCTTAATATTTGTACCCGTTCCTTTTTCTTTGTTTCAATATTCATGCTTGCCCTAAGATTTGAAACTACTGTTGCGCGAGAAAAAACGAGTGGGCGCCGGCTCCAAGACCCACTCTGATTTCCACTCGATCAAAAACAGGCTTTGAGCTGAGCAATCTGAGTCAGACAACCTAATATCTAAAAAATAACCCCTCCATTCTGTATTTGCTTTTAACAATAAAAAAGGTAGCTTTACGAAACCCAAACTCAGTTAGTGTGTATTTTTCAGAACCTAATTTAAAACGTTTTGCGTTGCAAGTATTTACTTTCCACAATTCAACTTATCTAAGTCAATTTTCGTCTATTTGTTTTATTTAAGTATTAGCAGAGCAAACAATTGTATGGCTATTGGTAGTATTGGTATTAGTAACTATAAACACGCCAAAAGGAATCCCACCTACTAAACGCCGACGCCCAAACGTGTCTGCGTAGTTCCTTGTGAATTTAATTTGGCGGAGACACGTATCGCAATCAGTCAACCTTATCCTTGTAAGGAGACTAACAGTTTACAGTCGAGACGTCGCAATTAATCCATAACGAAAATGACCTGACCATGATATGCAGACAAGTCACTATTATTTTACACGGCAAAAAATTTTTTTTTCCCACTGCATTTCTATCTTAGCCTGCTTACTACTAGAAAACTACTGTAGACCGTATATTATAACTAATGCATCGTCACCGCTGTTTTCATTCCCCTGAAGAGAACTTCACGGTGGCTCCATAAACTTTCAGAGCATAACCCTGGCCGTGATTCCCCAGGCAATCAAGAACATCCTCAAATCGTATGAACCTTAATCCAGAGGGATAATTATCAAAAACGTGTCCCAAGCGCTCCCAAGTACCATCACTTAGTTCAACTTGCTTATGAGCTAAAAATGGTGTTTCTCCCGGAAGTTCCCTCTTTTTATCGTCAAGAAGCGACACTTTGATAAAATATCCACCACTGCAACCTTTCTTGATGGCAAACCTGCAGGAGAGAAAGAAATAAAGAAAGCAAAGCCTTTATACAGGCCCAAGTGGCCCATGGGACCGGCGCTTAACCGGCTGGTTTCATTAGCATGAAGCGGCTAGGAGTATTGCTACTCCCCCCCTGGATGGGATGCTAGTCCATCACCGGGTTACCCCCAGCATATTTGCTGGTACCCATTTGTACACCTGGGTGAAGAGAAGCACTGTGAGAGTAAAGTGTCTTGCCTAAGAACACAACACAATGACCCCGGCCAGGGCTTGAACCCGGACCACTCGATCCGGAGTCGAACGCAATAACCATGGGGCCACCGCGCCTCCAAGAGAGAGAAACGAAGGAAGTTAAATAAAAAGAAAAAAATGAAAGAAGCAAAGTCATAATGGAGAAGACCTACAGTGCATTGTCTCTTTATAGCGTAACTAAAGACTAATATACCGCAAATCCTGAGTTTCGTAAGAAGTCTGGGTCTGAGGAGTTCGCACCGACCTCTCAGCCAATGGTCCCTCATGTTATCCTGCATTAAAGGCTGTTGCATACGTTCCTTTTGATTTTCCATTGGTTGGTTAGGCTTGTCGAAATCTACATTTGCTTATTGCTGTTTTTGGTTACTTGCTAGGCGGGGAGGGGGGGGTAATTGTCGTACTTTTTATAGACAAACAAGCTAAATTTCTAACTCACCACTCGTAGACTTTAATTGCTGGCTTCATTTCGTCCAGATACTCAGGAATAAAGCCTTGATCGAGGAGATTGATTGTTTGAGTTCTCCAACTGCTGGGTCCGCTAGCTGCTGCAATACACCAGCAATTGTTTCTGTTCTCTTCTGGCCAGTCATCAGTATCTAGAACACATGAAAAGACAAAATCATCATGAAAATAGAACCGGTGCTGTAAAACGTTAACGAAAAATTCTGAGTCTTGAGCGAGGTAATTATTAACGATTGATAGCGTTCAGGTCTGCTTTTGTTTAAATAATCGAAAGATATTACTACCTTGTGTAAATGGCGCGCTAATGAAACGATTTACTACAATGGTTTGTGAAGACCACAAGATACATTAGCTTAATTTTGATTTGCCACCCAATTGATTTTGTATAGGATTATTTTTGTTATCAGATATTTCTCTGATATTTTGCAACCTATTAACTTTTCTTTTTACCTATTACCTTTTCGGTTTATCTTCTCAGGCTCAATTTAATCCTTTTATTGCAGGGAATTTCTCTTTTACAAAGTCTATTGTTTGAACGAATTGCGATTTAAATATGTTTGTCTTCTATATAATGTCATATATCCCTGACTTGGAGGTATAACCTGTGAATTGGCTATAGTGTCGCTTGGTGCATTTCCATTGTATACTCAACTTGTACATTTACACTGTTTTTCTTACCACAAGGTGCACTCTCTAGTCTGTATTGGTTCAGTGAAGGCTGTATCAAATACCAAGGGCATGTGATAATGTCATATGCAAAGCCCCTCTCGTTCCATCCTGTCGCAGGTGCAAAGTTTGGATTTTCCAACAAATTACCTTGCAGTCCGACGTCTATAAAATGTATAAAACAAAACAAGACGGAATTTAAAAGGCACGTAGGACACCTTAAGGTGGCATTGCGTGAAAGGTTGGTTTCATAAATTTTCTCTTTCTTGGAGTCAATTTTAAACGAGATTAAAAGAATTTTAAAAAAGCAAAGTAGTTGAGTCAAGATTGCCCTGTTGCCGTTAAAAAATGTCTTATGTAAGCGCTTTTCTCTTTAACTGTCTGAGTAATGAATAAGAGCATTTTGGCTGGAGCTCCTAAGATTTAACGGACAAAAGGTGATCATGAAATCACAAACAGAATTCAATTACCGGCATCAGTGTGAACAGAGGTGGCTGGGCTTCTAATGCCAATTCCTCGTGTGGCACTCGCTACAGAGATACAGAATAAATACTCCCTGTCGGGTGTCAAATCTTCGAGTATTTTCTCTGTAGCCGATAATTCTGCATCTGCCTGTCTCCAGTCTGAATCTTCGTCGTGTTCGCGGTAGAAGATGACGTACTTTGAATAATCTTGAGTTCGAATGTTGTCAACAGGAACCCACTGTAGCTGAAATATGCAAAGGAAACATAAACAGACTCCACCGACAGTCTCAACTAAAGCGCATGCGAATGCCAAAGTTTACGCTTTAAGAACCAATTGATGAGCAAGTTAATTCCTTTGCATATTTTTTTGCACAGGAGAAAATTTCTCACATATGCTTTTCAACTTTCTCTACAATAGCAAATCCCACATGCATGAAATTCTCATGAGTACTTACTGGTAAAAAAAACCTCATTATTATTGTGCTTCAATTTCAGTTAATACGAGCGCCTGAGTTCACGCTGAAATGTGTGGGATTGTATAAATTCGTACAAAATAGTGGACATAAGTTATTGCGCTACAGGTATGGAAGATTTTATTTCCGAGTGCTATAGCGCAAGAAACGGAACTTCCAATATTCTAAGATTTATCCAGGCAGAGTTTCAAAAGTGGACGATCGATTTCATGTTAACCTATAGCCCTGAATTAAAAAATGATAAGATGTTCTAGACACTGTGTAGTGACAACTAGTAATATGAAATTACAGACTGAAAAAACGGCATAAATGTCCGGTGAGAAATAACTTAATCCTACCAGCAGACTGTTCATGACTTACTGTTACTGCAGAACTTTTCCGCATGGCAATAGCAATTGGAGCGTCCATGATGATAGCCAAGAAATCAGCCTCTGTATAAACACTGTGTAATTTGTGGGTCGACCCCTCTGATCGAACTCCAAATCTGTACCAGCCCGGGGAAGACATGCCTAAAGCTTCAGCTGTTGATGTCAACTGGTGGCTGGTTGCCTAGATTTTGAAACAAATTCCGAATAAGGGATTAATTTAAAGAGACAATGTCCTAATATTTTTGAGGAGGACTCAAAACAGCGTTAAAGCTTTCAATTCTAGCCTATTGCTTAATCTGGATGAGTCATTGTTAAAAAATACTTTTACTGTCAGGTTAGAACTATTGAATCGCCGGCTATTTAGGTGCAGTATCAGCCGTATCAATCTCTTTGCGGTTAGAATGTTAAATGGCTTGTTGTGTGACTGGTGACTCGTGATATGGTATGAATTGAGCAGCAAGAAATAACGACGTAACATAGTGGCCGAGCACTCCTATTTGGTTTTCTTGGTGAAAATGTTTGCCATGTCGGCCTGAAGTAAAATTACAGAGCGTGAACGTTTCGACCATCGTTCATCGTTTACAGTTTGTGAGAACGTATAATGACTGACTCACTCGAAGCTTGCAATCTATTCACAATGTTCGCGCAAAAACGCACGTTGAGAGGGAAATGAGAAAATGGCAATTGAGTTCCCCTGTCCATTTACCACGTCCTTTTAAGGTCGGAGGAAGATTTGGCTAAATCTAATTAGTGAAAAACAGGTTTCTGTTCCCAAAAATTTACTGACCACTCCAATTGACAATCGTCGGAATAATGGCTGGTAAAACTTATAAAGAGACTTGAGTATTCCCAAACCTTAACTATGCAGACCATCACAGAAGTCTGGTTCAGCATATGCAACCAGTTATGCTGAGCTGAGCACTACACGCACAAGTCACCGAACACAACCGCATTGTGGGTGATAAATGACCGATGTTGAGCGAGACGTCCTCTGCGACGCGAGAATCGGGCATAGAAATGAACTCACGACAAAACTGTCGTTACACAGATATTTACCCTCCCCTTGAAATACAGCCTAAACATCAAGGCCAAGGTTTTTCTTGCGTGCTAAGGCTTCAAAAAATCATGGTAGAAAGGGATATGTACAAGCAGCATGCATGAAAACACGTCTTCTAGTAGAGTAGTTTACCTTACGTGCTCCTTTTTTTTGACGGCCTGAGTCTGACATTTTCCAAACGCTCACTTCGAAATTTTTGGACGAATATCCTTCCCAGCACACTTTAACACATTTGTTGTCAACTTGTGAAACGTCAACATTGGTTGGAGATTCTTCGCAAACCAGAGTCTCCGAAGAGTAACCGATAGAGTGAAATGAAATAACTAGGCCCTGATTTCCTTTTGGCTGGACTTTGGCCACAAACTTGTCAATCCCCTTTACGCGGAAATTTTCTGTGTTGATGCTGCAAGAGATAGCATCTTTCGGCACCTCGTCTGAAAATGGAATAAGAGTGGTAGTTCCATTCTTCTCCTCCCTTGTTTGTATTACTTCTATCAAATATCGAAGAGCTAGATTGACAGGAGTCCAAGTTATCTTCAGAGTTGAACTTCCTGGATCGAATGTCATGTGGATCGGTAAAGCTGGCCTCAACCAGGCCACTTCTTCCTGAGAGAAGGAAAAGGCACTTGGAAGACATAACTGCGCTTGTGTTTCGATCATCTGAGCAACCCCTTTGTGGCGACCATCAATGGAAGTAATTAAGACACTTTCATCGAATTCGATGACCTCCTTTCCTCCTCCGTGACACTTTAACTCTTTACATCCCAGCAGTGCCTCTTGGATATCCCCTTCTTTCGTTTTCACTTTGGTAGCGTCAATAACTCCAAGTATTACAGTTCCGTCGGTGGAACATATACAGCTTACGATCATGCGACGTGTATCGTTGTTAAAGGTAATATTGACGTCTATAGGTGAGGAGCAAGACGGAATAGTTGATTCAGACTTTGTGCTCGCTCCTCCAATGTTGACCTCATCTCCTAGCACCAATACCAGTGATTTGTAGAGCCCATTGGATTCCAACAACATCGATAATACGTCAAATTCCTTCTTCATCTGGTTTCCAACTTGACACAAATCGTGGGTCACTCTCTCTTCAGAAGCTATGCATTCAGTCTTTGAGTTAAAGACTTTGATGCTATACCCAGCTGCAGATTGAACGGATTTCCAGGCAACAGTGAAGACTCTGTTTTTATATTCCTGTGCTACAGAAGCAGGTGGATTTAACAAACACACTTCGTTTGACTTTTTTACCTCACTAGGCAAATTAATTTGATCCCCAATGTTCACAACGAGAACTTGATATACTGCACCTTGAGGTTCGTCCGCCGGGTAGATAGGAAACTTAAAGAGCGTTTGATGAAGCAACCGATCTCCAACATCTTGTTTGACGACAAAGTTTTGCTTGTTCAATTTGTTACTTCTGTGAGCAGTATCCTCTAACGACAAAGTGAAGTGTCCAGGTTTAGAAGAGATGACCGACTCCAACTGTCTGGACTGGATGTTATACCTCAAGGAAACGCTTTCCGGGGTATCCCCGCTCTTTAACTGGGTCGAGCTCAAAGAGGGTGGACTGTTCATCAACCTCGCATTACCTATTGCAACGACCCTTGTCGCAAAAGGACCACCATCGCTAAAGCACATTTTATCGACTTCAAAAGAATAGGTAACTGTTGGGTACCAAGTACTATGTGGCTTCTGAACGACATGTCTGCCTGCTATTTTGGAAGGCGTAGTCTTACTGAAAACTTCAATCACATGAGATCCTGCACCAGGAACCGATTTGAAAGCGACCTTGAGCAATCTATCTTTGAATGAGTATTCCTGACTGACAGAGGCAGGTTTCGGCAGTTGGGAAAACTCTGTGCTTGAGGTAGATGGTACACTTGGAAGATGAAGGATGTCCATTCCTTGGGCAATCACCGACACAACGTACATCAAACCAGTTTTCATCTTTATTTCATCCATTTCAAACACCACCTCGTCTTTCTTCTCTTCGCAAATTAGCTTTTTCGCAACGCTCGAATTGCTTTCCTTCTCCCTTATGCTAATTTCATACATTGTTGCTCCTGTAACAGGTCTCCAGGTAACGGTAAGTTTATTTCTCTGAGGGTCGTATGACGGAAATACACCTTGAACATCAGGAAGGAAGGACAGTTTCTCTTTATAACTGACAAAGACACTTGCAAGCGTTGATTTTTCCCCTAAGGAACATAGACGAATATCATAAGGAGATCTTGCATGATCAGCTATTTCACTGACCTGTACTTTAACAATAGATTTGAGATTGTCTCTCGTTGGCCTTGCCACCTCTCTTGAATAGATTACGTTGTTTGCCTCCACTGAACTTATCTCACAGAGGAATCGTGCGATGTTTTGGGTGTTGCTCACCTTCCATTCAATTTTCAGTTGCTGTGGCTTTGATTCGTACGTGACATGAAGATCATTGGGTGCCGCTACGAGGTAAAGTTCCGGTGAATATCTGAATTCTCCTGGCACTGCGTCCTGTGCCTGAGCACAAACACGAACGCGAGTCTCACCTGGAGCTCCAGAAGTAAGTTTTTCTGCGTAAAAAGTGTGAGTTATCTCTTCTTTTCCGGAATGCCCATCTACGATGGCACTTCCGACTATGGTACCGTCACAGGTTATGACTTCAGCTTTGTAATCAACTGCATACTTGACTTGAGAGAATCTGACGTGCACCTCCCTTCCATCACGCCTTGATTGAGCCTCAAGTTGTGACGGCTGAGGAAGGAAAGGTTTTACTTCTTCTGATACCAATTGCTCTTTTCCTTCAAACATTATATCATCGTGAAGGTAGACAGCCTGAACAGACACTTTGAAAATTTTGCTGTTGTACTTAACTGTGGTACCTTTGCAGTTGACTTTGTTGTCTTCGGTGGTCTTGTCTAAAAGAATTGTCTCCATTTCTCCGATATCAAATCGCGAAAGTCTCACATTGTACTTTACATTTGGTTCTAGAGGTTTCCAGTAAACGGCAACTTCATCTAGTTCTGGAAGGGAAATTGTCAGGCCTGAAACAGTTAGCCGATCATGAACAATTTTCCTAGCTTCTGTTTCTTTTCTTTCCGCTTCTTCTTTTCTTTTCTCTGCCTTTTTTAGCTCTTTGGACTTCCCAGTGAAAAAGCTAATGATGCCTTTTATGAAGGACATTAAAGCCCCCAGTCCTGCAACTACGACAGAAACTTGAGCTATGACGGATGCAGCGCTGACAGCGAGCTCTGCCAAAGTTGCTCCTCCCTCAGCCACTCTACAGGGAAAAAGAGGGAAATCATTACAATCATTACATTAAGGGTTCTTCTGCATAGTCTGACTGAAAATTTAAATGATCTGTTGAAGAAAGGATGGATCGATAAAATTATAAGTACATAAGTCTCTCGAAAAAATGTCTTATTCAGATATTCGTTTCTAAAAGTACGTTCTTTTTCCGCTTGATTGCTCATTTAAACGATTATGAGGATAGACTTACGAGGCAAGCCCTCTCGAGGCAGTCTCCAAGGCCTTCTCGACATTTGATACTTCTTCCACCATGGTTTCGAGTGCCTTCTCAGCTAGATCTGTCAGATTGGGGCTGTGTGCTCCACGACAGATAAGACCTGAGAGGACTTTACGCGAGAGCTTAATACCACCAAAGGCTGCCATAAACTTGGTTAACTGTTTCGGCTGAGAAAAGATTTGTTTAGCAATCTGCAAGGAGTTTTTCGCAATCTCTTGGATTAAAAACCCAGGTAAGTCGCTCAACCGGAATTCTCGGGAAGGCTTCGTTATCGTTACCACCATCTCTGGGAAATCAATGGTAAGAGAAGGCTCGTCAGTATCGATCATGATATCAAGCTGCCCCTGCAACTTTAACGCAAACCAGGCATTCAGATTACTGGAATCCTTTACCGACGTCTGCTGCACATTAAGCCTACACCTCGAAGTGACGACCTTGTCAAATGCAAGTCCAATAAGCTTCTCACACGGGCTATCGATGAGTTGGCTTAGTTTCTCAAACTCCTTCGCGAAATCGATGAGTTTCTGTAATTCAAGAATGACAGGCCAATTTCGAATCTTGAATCCACCTTTCTGGCTCCATTCAAACTCGACAGAGGGATGAGAGACCCCGAGAAGCTCGCCATTATAGGTTACTTGTCCAACAAAGCATTTTTGGTTCACATGATAACCCAATACACAAGAACCAAGTTTTTCTTGAAGGAGTTTAACGCCGGTTTGTAATTGGAACTCTGGTTGACCTTCGTAGCGAGATATCTCGATTTCTGGACCCTCGTCGTCTCCAAAGTTCTTCTCAGTAAGTGTTGCAATAACCAGATCAATTTCAAACTTGGTAGATCCTTTAATGCGCATACCTCTTTCGTCTATCGACAGTTCGACTCCAAAAGCATAGTCAAAGACCTCTATCTCAGTCTCACCTTTGAAACCTTCCTGGAATGTCTTTCCATTTATTTCCACGTTAGATTTTGCATAATAAATTTCTCCCTTTTTAAAGCCTATATCCAGATATCCCGAAGGCCATTGTCTTTCAAACAAGGCAGCGAAAAGGTCATCAATACTCAAGGGGTAGCTAAAATCGAGCGACACCATCGCTACTACAGGTCTGCCTTCTTGAAGAAAGATAGATCCTGTCAGCGCCGTAACAGGTTTGTCCTCACTTGTTGAACCGGATTTATAGAATTTGACCGTGCCACTTATGCTACAAACAGGAAAAATCGACTCCTTCTCATCTTGATCAAATCTCCAGCTGAGATGAAGTTCTGGATCCTCAATTGAAATTCCAAACATTCCTAATGGCTCGCGTATGATTCCTGGATCAAATTCAGCTTCCATAGTAAAATCGGCCTTCGATTCCGAGATCTCCAATCCTCCCCTAAATGTAATCGGCTGAGAATCTTCAGTTAATGTCAAGCCCATCATTCCTTTCAGGCTCAAAGTCTTCTCCTTTGATGGCTGGTACATCAGGGTAATTCCGTGAAATTGTAGGTGTCCACCAAAGATCTCCATTTGCGGAATGTGAGCCATAAACTCTGTGTCACTCCCATTCTCAGCAATGTGGGCAAAAAGAATAATTTCTGAGTGATTCTGTCTCTCTTGAATTTTGGTGACGTTTGACAACAACTTTGATTCTCCTTTGGAAAAGTCTATCTTCGCAAAAACAGTCATTCCACTTCTCATTTTTTGATCTGAGATGCTTTGGCTTTCTAGGTTGGTGAAAGGTAAGTCGGCCATTAGTTGTTTCTTCTCAATGTCCTCAAGCTCAGAAATTTCTTTCAACATTTCTGCGACTGTCAGCTGCTCAAACTCCTTTGAAATCACGCATAAGTTTGCGTTCTGCACCAAAATGACCTCATCAACAACGTTAAGACTCTCATTGATTGAGGAAAATCTGAAATCATTTCCGAGGCTTAGACCGAACAGGAAACCGTACCGAGGAGAATTCTCGCCAGAGGCTGTTTTCTTGACTATCAGCAATCCTGTTCCAAACCCAGCGACAGTTCCGAAAAACAGAAGTAATCTCCTCGACACATTTACAGACAAAGACGCTCTGTTGAACCTGGGACAGCGTACAGTGACATCAGTTTCGTGAGGAAGAAGTCCTTTCCATGAATTTAAGGAATCCGAACCAGTAGCAAATGATTTAGTTATGACGTCCAGGTCAATATCTGGTGGATTTTGCACAGTGCCATGAAGAACAGTTTCACCTTTGCTGTTATGGTACACTTCAACAGCCACATCTAAGGTGTCTTGTACGAGAACCTTTCCATTAAGAGAAACGGAGCCGCTCCACGCATTGGAACTACGTTCTCTCTTAAAATGTACCTTGCCACCGAGATTGTGAACGGTTAAGGTACTAAATCCAGCATCGAGGGACCAGTTGCTATGGGATTCACCTTCTAATTTGAGGGAAGTTGTTTCTTCACCTTTTTCTAATCTGAAAAGGAAAGAGCTTAATGCAACACTTCTAGGGAGACTGAAAGGTACACTAGGAGATATCTGATTGGCCATCTCCTCAAAATCGACTTTCGTTGAGTGGTCTGCCTTATTAAAGAGACCTTCCAGCACCAATCCTAACTGCTTGTCTCTTTTGAACGTAACATTTAAGGAGAGTTTGCCGATGCTAAAAATTCCGGCTATGAAGATTTGTACTTCTGCAGGATCTTTTGTTTCGTCCTGATGATACTCAAGTCTTGCCTCGTGAAGTTGAATGAGCGGCTTCTCGAGTACTGTTATCGCTACTGTCGTCTTGACTACAGCATCCATCTTACGAATACGAAATGGGGATGCTTCAAACTGAAGACACGCTTCCTAAAAGTAACATCAAGAGAAATAGAGCGTGAAATTGTAATAGAGTTGTTGTAGACTAGCGGAAAATTACCCAACGAAAGGCAACAAGCATTTACCTTTAATTCAAAGTTAAGAAAATCTGGGGATCCATCAACTTGCGGAACTTTGTCCTCTGGACTCTTCAGTCCCACAAATCTGAGTAACGATGACAGTGTCAGTCTTCCTGGAGAACTTGGCTTGATTACCGCCTCCAAAATGGTACTGCTTGCTTCCTGGCTTGTAGAGGAGAGCTCCACGGTAAAGCTTAGGGTCTGGTCGTTGCTCTTAAATTGCCCGACGACTGAGATGTGCTTTGTAGCGTTACCAGACAGTTCCGTCGTGTATACTAGACAGAGCTGGTGCAAGACAAAGGGTCCAAGTGTAAGGGAACCGTCGATTCGCACACGTACCTTTCGTAAATGCCACTGTTTCTCTGATGGAAAACTCAAAATTACGTTAACTTCTTGAACATGAAAAGATTTGACCTGCATATATGCATTACTGCCGGAACAATCTTCCTTTTGCTTTGGAAAGAGACGCTCCAAGCACTCATCCGTGGACATATTGTCTACCAAGATGTAGTGTCCCAGTAATTCCCGACGTTCGGTATCAAAAGTCAAGGTTGCGTGACTTTTCGGATTCAGATATCCTCGCAGTGAAATGCACATCGGCGAACGCCCTTGGACATCGGCGTAACGCACTGTTGCCTCAAGGTTGTAAAGACTAATACTTCCGATGGAAAGGGTTCGTTTTCTCAATACCGCCTCGATCTCAGTTAGTTTAAGTGTAGAACCATTGTTTTCAAAAGAAATGGCAGCCCTAGAAATCATCACGTCTAGGATTTCATCGATGACAGGAAGATCGTGTAACACGGAAAACCCAATGCCTTCAAGGAACTGATGAAGGGTAAACGAATCATCCCCATTTTTGAACGTTAGAGTTCCGGGCACATCTGGTTTTGGCAAGGAAAATGCAGCTCTGCATGTGAACTTATTAAACACCAGCAACGTCACCTCTGCCTCTGCATACCATTGATGACACCCATACTGCACCAGAAAGGTTGCTTCTTGTATGGTAAATTTTTCCTCAATAATTGAACATTGAGAGACAAAGAGAGACAGAGAAAAAGATTCGATTGCACGCTTCTGGTAGTTTACATCGAGGGTGATTTTATTCAGCAGGATTGCATTCAGGATATTTACCATAAACGGAAAGAAGGACATCATGGACGTCATCTGCTGTCCGAGACCGATAGCTTCAAGTGCTGTTTGCATCGATATCTCTGGAGGGTTTGGACACAACGAAATGATGCAAGCATAAGCCTGGGAATTGTGATGATTGGAAGCATCTACTGGCCACAATGAGAACTTCGAATCCAAGAATGCATTGGCATCTGTAGATGTGGCAAGAGCTAACTTAAATTGGACTTCATAACCAATATGAGGGTGACTGCTGAGTGGATTGAAAATCGTGATGGTTGCTTGGCTACCCTGAGGTGAAGAAAGACCGCTGGGAAGTATTGATGCAAAGTTGTCAAGCGCAAACTCAAAAGCCATAGAAGAAACCCGTGTCACGTCGTAACTTTGGATATCTTGGACAACACGAATGGTTGGCTTGGAAAGTTGCAAATCATGGATGACTTTGTTTAGTAAGGGGACCGCTAATTCTTCAATGCTTACTGAAGGATCTAACATCTTTACTACTGAAAGGAAATTGGCGCTTTCAGAAAAGCAAATAATCACCTCTGGTACAACTGTCGATGTAGGTACTATTCTCAGATTTACAGCGGTTGTTCCTATAGTAGCTTCACACTCTATCACAAAATCACTCCTTTCGGTGCGTGGGTTTTTTACAGTGACATGACACTGGGATAACTCTATAATCAGTGCTCCACCCAAAGTGATTTTATTCTTTTCTGTAGGAAGAATGAGGTAGAAGTCTCCATTCAGTACTTCGACAGCTAATGGAGAGGTGAAATAGTTAACTGTCGAAAGAAAACGATCTACCTTCCAGGTAAATATTTCTAAACCCAGAAGGTGCGTAGGGAAGGCTTTTGCTAAAGCCTCCAAGGGAAGGTATCCCATTACACGCTGAAGTATTGTCCCTAAGGTCAATTTGTCGCGGTTTTCCAGTGGCACACCTCCAAGCGCATTCAAATACATATCAACGGATGGTTCTTTCGGTTTCATATGCTCACTAACATTTAAGGCATAGTTGGCAAAGCAAACAGACGTGGTGATCAGAAGAGACACGTCTGGTTTGGAACATAGATCTTTCACTACGACCTCCAGCGCGTTAACTGGGGACGCGTCGAACATCATAGGGCGCAATTTGGTTAAGACCTGGATTTTGCTTGAAATGACTTTGCAATCGACGGAAGATGAAAGTTCAACTATAGATAAATCCATATCGACTTCGTTATCCAGGGCTTCATATCCGATAGATCCAGCGGGTAGTTCCTTCCTAAGGCGCTCCACGTTTGAAAGACCGAGCAAAAGCTCGAGTGCACCTCTAACATTGATTGTTTTTTGCTCCCTTTTGGATCCGAGTGACTTCAAGAATTCCTTAAGGGATATCCATCTTTCATCCATTAGTGGACCAGAAAACGTCTTGTGGTCGAAAACGAAAGGGATGGCTTTATTTTTTTTATTAGTACACTTAAGGAAGCTGTCTTCTTCAAAAAAGTAATTTCCCTCAGGAGATCCTTTGATTAAGAATCCAGCTCCCGAGGCTTTCTCGAGCCAAATGTCTCGTTGATAACTCGCTTTAGACTCGCGCTGAAGGGTAATCAGATTTAAGTCGCCAGCTATGGATGGAGCATTGGAGACATTGAGGATATTCTGGGCACCTTTCCTGGGAGTCAGACAGAGTTTCCCGTCATTCTTTACTTCAAGCCAAAGAGGTTTTCCATCTGATCCTTTAGTTTTGACATAGTACTGGTCAAGGTTGGGCAGAAATGACCTCCGTGGGATGGTGAATCCATCGTTTTTTCCCAGTTGTTGAGAAACATCGATTCGCACATTGTCGTCGTTCTCAAATCTGCTTGTTCCAACAGGTGCAGTATTAATTTCCTCGTTTGGGTCCAACTTAAATGAAACGTTATTCTTCAGGTAGTAAAGAGAGACAAGCTTATTCCACTGCTGGAACGGTTTTTCATTTACATTAGGAAGATATGAAGACGGAACGGCTCCCCCAGAGGTGAACACGACTCTGCATGGCTTGTTCTTTTTCACGGCAGCTTTTATGATTCCCTTGATGACATCTGGTGAAGGGTGTTCATATCTTCCGCTGGCAGATACGTAGTATGTCTTGGAATGGAAGGACTCAAAAAAGCCATCAATACCAATTTTTCCGGCAAAGTAGTCTTGAAAAATATTGTCATTACCCATGAGGCTTACGACTAGAGGCCACCATTCAATCTTCCTCTTCTTTAAATTTGTAGAAACCCTTGGAAAAACTAAATCATCGGCAACGTTTTTCTTCAGACTCTCCCAGTTTGCTAAACCACTTAAAGCTTCTACATTCTTACATGGGTCGACGCATTCAGACGGCTGCTGAAGCGCTGCCAGAACCTCAAGGTGCTTCTCTTTCACTTTGTGAAATAACTCTTCTGGTGTTTCCTTCGTTGTGTTTTTCAGTTGCTTTTTAATTACCTCTAGGAACTTGTCGGCGATCCGCTGAACGGCCTCTCCGTTTCCCATTCCAGGTCCTCTTATTAGCTGCTGACGAAAGTAATCAAGGTCTCTCTCCTCTTCAGGGTTCTTGTCGCATAAGATCTTCTGGTTTAGACTCAACGACAGTAACACCATCGCCGCCAAATTTTGAAAGGCCCATGAAGGTGGCATGACCTTTCCTAAAATGCTGTTCTTAGAGCTCCCGTGGTGAGGTAACTTGAAGATGTCCAGATCATAAGCCTCGTGACCTCGAAGCATTGCCACAATGTCATAGCCGTAAGCATCCCCAGTCAAACAGATCTTGCCTCCTTCTTTAGTGTAAAGAATGATGCTTGATTTGTTCAAATCTTTGTCTTCAGTTCCCCCTTTCAACTTGCTTCTTTGCTTCTCCTCCAGGTGAGGCTTCTCATCTTTGGATGGCTTGTGACGCTGGTATAGAACACCAGGCGACGTAGGAAAAGAAAAGATAATATCATTTCCGAAAGCATTCTGTATGTCGTCAATGTCTAGGCTTATCTCGAATTTCGTCTTTAAGAGAAACTCAGAGAAGCTGCGATAAGCTTTTCCGTCCTGAGCAAATTTTCTTGTGAGTAATACAGGACCATTGCAAATCAATCTTTTGTCTGGGCTGGCTGATGTGACGCTTTCTTGGTACACGTCGGGGAGGAGCTCCCTAAAGAGTCTTTCCACGCCATCTAAGTGATCGGCGTGTGGATGTGTGACGATTGCCCCGTCGAGTTTGACTCCTGACATAGATTGGAGTTGTACACAAAGTCGTCACAAGGAAGGTGGAAATGGATATCAATAAAAAGAAAGACAGTTAAAAAGATTTTTGAGAGTAGACGATTATACGTTACCATATGATGATATAGTTTTCGATGATTAAGAATCTGTAATTGAGGTTATGAATATATGTATATTTTTTTTTTCGGAACCACTAGCCTCCATTGAAACGTTTTTTACGTAACCTATTTAGATCAAAGCATTTATGGCGATAGGTATACAAAAAATCTTCTTCGTTCTTCGCCGTTGGCATTCGTATTAGGGAGGTTTAACAAGATGTTTACGTCGAATGACGAAAATTGAACTTCGTGCGTTTATGTCTCCGAATATTTCAGTTTATAGTGACCAGAAAAGTCGTTTTCAATCCTACCTCTGTATTGGTGTGAGGATTGCTGGACGAGTGGGCAAAGTTAGGATTATGTTTTCCCGTTTCCCGTCGCTGCTAACGTCATGAAAAAGTCTCTTAGTCCATGGGCCAGAGTAGGTTCTCGGTACCACTCAGGGGAAGAAAATGTGAGTGTCATCTGATGAAATGTTATGTGAAAGACTTTTCAAATTCCCTTGATAGCAATCGTGAAAGAGTAGCTTACACTACTTTTATTTTTTACTTGAAAAAATTCTGCTTTAACATGGAAACGGGGCTGACAAGAAAACGATTATTTTAAATGCCACCTTTGTTTTTTCATCAAATAAATCAGTATCTTCAACATTGTACAGTATTTCAAAATGATTTTTGTCTAAAAGCCAAAATTTATGATTTAATTTGAGAGAAAATTTCAATAAAAAACATGAAGTCAAACTTATGATTTTTGTCTAAAAGCCAAAATTTATGATTTAATTTGAGAGAAAATTTCAATAAAAACATGAAGTCAAACTTGGAAAGAGATAAGGCTTTAAAAAGTCACAACTTATTAGCTTATGAAATTTGTATTATTCACTGCTCAGATTATGAAAGTTTGCTTGTTAGCCCTAAAGATCTCGATTCTTGGAAATTATTATTAAGAGAGGCTACCATTAGAAATCATACGCCGTTGCTTGATTTGGCTGAGAGTACTAAGGAAGGAGAAATTCCCTCAGTAAGTTATTACAGGAAATGTTGAAGTCTTTTAACGATGAAGCGAGAATTAGCGAAAGTTTCTCAAACAACAGCAATCTTGGTAGAGATTAATGAGAATAATGTCCTCGCGCCCGAGCGTTCGTCGAGGTAACTGCTGTGGAGATCTTGGCAGAGGCAAGAAAGAAGAGTTGGCTTTGAATTTTGGTGCCACTCTATGTAAAAGAGAAGCAAAAAGATAGCGGTTGGACTGGAATTAACATTTCTTTCCGTAATGAGGTTCAAGTCGCTTAGGATGTCATCGGATAAAACTTCGCCTCAAAGGCGTCTGATGTCAACGAACTGCGTTATTGGTATGGGGAAGTTATGCCCTTATTTGTTTATCTTATTTGTTAACTGGTCTGGGGCTTTTTGATTAAGGAATGATTATTGTTATAGGTTATTTTGTGCGAAACAAGTTGACTCGAACCAGCTACCCCCTTGTGCAGACTGTTTACGGATGCACTCCCTGAGGGCAAATTATCAAGTAGTGCGGTTTGGAGAAGGAGTCTACAAAGCCGCCCTCAATTCCCTTCACCTAACTATCCATTTTAATGGATGAATGGGGAACCAGCACCTGGAGTTCTTCTTGAGTTTTTCTATTGTTCCTATGCAAGATCATGCAAATTACCCACCTGTACATGCCTCATAAATGGTCTGAAATGCACCGATTAGTGCCGGCTTCGCAATTGCAACAATCTTGCAGAGGAGGAGGAGGAGATGTATGATGATGATTTTTCTGAGGACGATGTGGATGAGGTTGAAGACTAAAACTCCACAAAAAAAAAACATCCGTAGACTATACATTTTTAGATGAGACAATTATAAAGCTATCATTCCTCAATGTAAATTTGGTTCTCAGGCAAATTAATGTACTTGAATTACTCCCTTTTTTCAAATATTTCGTATCAATTTTTGCCCTTCTTAAACTCACGGAAGCATTTGAAGATGAAATGATAAGTGCTTTGACTTAAACGTAGAGTGGTTTCAGTTTTTAGACAATTTGGCTCCATTATGTGTTATAACATAGCTATCAGAGCCGCGCAATCAAATTCAGTATACGTAAGCGTGCTCAAAATCCCGATAGTGCACGCTGATAGCTTCGCCAGAAATTTTTTTTCTCGCGCTTGGGGCCATTGTTAGCGCGGGGAAAAATAATATATTTCGCGACAATAATGGATACAAACAGAGACTCAGCACACCAGCCCCAAAACGAAGACAATTTTCCGACCTTCTCCCTTGGGCTAGAGTTCTTAAATGAGGCAGAAAAAGAGAAAAACAATGGAAAAAGAGACTCGGCATCAGCGCCGGCACGATTCGCTTCACTTCACTTAATATTTCGCTTACCACGAACAATCACTTCTGATCTTGTTGTCCGTTTTTCGCGTCGGATTTTATGTACAATTCCACCGGCTACGTTATAAAACAATTGGTTCATGCTTTTAGCTGTGCACTATCGAGTTATGGAGCACGTGGGAAGTTTGGAGAGCACGAAAGAAGCGTAAGAGTTGCCCGAGAAGAGAAGCTAGACTCAAGCAGCTAGACTCAAGAAGCTAGAGTGCCCTCGGCTATTGCCTCGGGCAACTCTTACGCTTCTTTCGTGCTCTCCAAACTTCCCACGTGCTCCATAACTCGATAGTGCACGCTAAAGTATGAACCAATTGTTAATTAGAAGAATCGCATCTCAATATCGAAGATGGCGGATCCAAGATGGCGTACGGATATCAATGAAGATATCTTGTCTTCGTAGCAGTGGCATCTAACTTAACTAATGGCTGTAAATCAGTTGCTATTTTTGTCTTCCATTTGGTGAAAATTTTGCGAGATCAGACTTTGAAAAAATAGGTCTCGCATTCGAGAATTTGAATTTTTTGCTTATACCTAAGTATATTTCTGCGTTGCCATTGAAAAAAATCGTTGAAACTCAAATAATTTGTAACTCAGAAATTTAAAAACCCACCTGGGGCAAACTTATATCATTTTCATACTTAAAGTACCCTTAAATAACGGTTAAATCGCTTGCAAAGAATAATGTTAGCAGTTATTGTTTCGTGTCAATTCTGCAGAAACGAGTGACGTCACTTGATCACCTGATAATGCCTGTTAAGCTACTCATTATGCACTGCTATCATACGTAATATTAAACAAGAGTCATCGTAGTTTTCAAAAATGCATGGTAGCATTACTCCCCCTAAGTGGTACCGAAAGGTCAATTTTGGACGTCCTGGCCCATGGGCTATTTATAGTTACTTTTCTCTTACCGCGCAATCTCAATTGTTCATGTACCTGTACTGTTTGGAATCTTTGCCAAACTCATCAGAGTGTAAAGAACGTATTGATAGTAGGGGTGAGTTAATTGTAGCTTGGTCAGTTTCTTGGCTCTGTTCGCTTCTGTTCCCCCTGCACCAGTATACCGGATTGGGCCCCCATCCACCAAATAAAATCGACGCTTGTTGCCTTTAAGAATAAAACAATTTATTATATAGATACTGATGAAATACCAGGATTTTTCCTTTACTAAAAAATCATATCTTCATCGTGCGCAGTGAAGATATCATTTTTATCTTTCACGCATGAGGATATTGGTGTCGCCATGGTTACTAACATGATTAGCCAATTACAAGAGAGCTTCCCGCTCAGGCGCGCGGCCGATTCTTTTGAAATTATGCAGGAATTTCATCAGTATCTATAAAATGAACAGAACATCACGTGGCCGCTTGGGGATACGAATTTTATCTTCGAGTGGTGAAAGTATCTCTCACGAGTGAGAGTGAGCGGCCATGTAATATCCTCTATTTATTACATAAACTACGATGTTATACAAGAATTTCCAGCCCTGAGGAAAACCGTAACAACACACGTGAAAAAATACGATATTTTTCCAGGTTTGTTTGATATAACCAATCAGCTGCTAACACGTAATTCGCCTTTCGCGCCACTCGCTCAGGTTGATGAATGACGGCAAAGCCTTCACCATTCTCAATCCAAGGTCGTTTGTCGGAATTTTTTTGGATTATAGCTGCTAAAACACTGAAAAATCAGTATTGCTTACAGACAGAGTCGTTCAAACCTACCTAGAAGGGGAAGAAAACCAAAATACGAAAAGAAAAACCGAAAGTTACGTATTCAGTGGCTTTGGTAATGACATTTCTCGCGGCTGAGAACGAAAATCAACAACTAAAAGGTTCGCCACAGGCCGATTTTGGCCGTCTACCTGAAGGATTTCTCTGTCGGTAAGGACCGATTCAGTAACTGAGAATTTTGTTTAAAGAAAATTAGGCCCATTGTTTGTTTTTGTAGTGATTCAACGCATGTTTTCATCTTGAGTGCGCTAATGCACTGTACGAATTTTTACCCGGGGTGTTGATGCTTTTATTTTCATTCATTGATAAAGTCGACTTTTCTTGTCAGTAAAAGGCTATTGTGTTTATATGATAAACAAAATAATACATGGTTGCTTGTAGATATGAAATTTCTCTTTTCTTGTTCAACTCGTCATCTCAATCGTTCGCTGCGCTCACTCGTGGGCTATCGAGTTAAACACTCGAAGAGAAATTTCATATCTACGCGCCTATGTATTATTCTATATATAAGACGATAGGATCAAAATATTCTCTCAGCTGCTGAGATCTCATCCTTACGCGAAATAGCTTATCCATCACTGACATTTCTAAGTCTCTATGTAGGCATTTAGAAACTAGGATTCGGTTACTACTTACTGCTAACCTGATTGAAATTCCAAAATGGAGGCGTCACCGAAAGCGGCGTACACGACATGTAAATACGCCTTGATGTTACTCATCGTCCGGTCTCTCTCACTGAGTGGCCATTACTGCATTCTAAGGAGAGTACATGAGGAAGTGTCAGTATGTATGCACCTACTGCGCGTGTGAACTATGACATTTGAAGAAGAAGCCTGCAACTCTGCGTATAAATCTTTGCATAATCATAGCCTGGATAAGTAACAGTTTCGTGTACGCCTCACGGTTTTGTTTGCATTGAGTGATCAACAGCAGAGCCGTGAGTGGTGCACATGAGACTGCCAGGTAAGGAGTCTATAAAAAACCTAAAAACTAAAACATTGTCCGATTTTCTTCCAACTACGGGAAGTGAACACCTATTCTGAATGAAGGATAAGCCCATCATCTTGCTATTTAGCATTGCGTGACAGAAAGAGATCTGCCGGCTGTTTTTCGCGTTTATGTTTGAGGATATTGTCCGACCAAACAAAGAATGAAGGTAAAAATCAAGCGATAGATATATAAGAACCTGGCTACAGTTCAAAGGTTTTTAACATCAGACTTCAAGTTAACCAAGAAATTTCCAGCAGGTGAAGCACACTTATTTTTCCACGGGAACGTCTAATTTTGGGGCTGTGGCTGAACGTTCTTCATCTTCTCTTTTTGCGATTTGTGGTAAAGTATTTCAATAAATACAGAAGTTCTCTTGTTGTCCTCTCGTCGCCTGAGGTTTATCATGATCAAACTGGAGATTTCTTTGATTTTGAATTCTAGCTATTTTTCCGTTACTCACAGGTACGTGACCTGACCGATTTGCGTGACATGTCTTAGTGATCTAAATTAATATAGTACAAGAACGCCCCCTTCCTCTCGAGTTCACATAAATATGCTTAATCATTGACACTTCTTAGAACGATCCAAAAGAAATCTATAAACAAGCTACCTATTTATTCTTTAGCGAGACAATGAAATGTTCAAATTTCTCAATATTAACCGGTGTCAAGCTATTGGCTTACAAATAGCATTAGAAACAGCCAATTTGAGAAAGAAAACGACACGAGTCTGATGATACGCTGCACTGTGACTCAAAGAAATCGATAGCCGAGTGACTCCCAGTCACGAAACTTTCACTGCTCGCAGTTCCCCTTATTTGAAACCGAAATTCGATTACTTCAAAACGATGCAATTCTCTTTGTCTTATCATCATGCTATGTAAAAATTACACATTTTCAGGAATGTATCCGTTGTTATGCTTTTTGGATTCACCTCTCTTCCTGTCTGACACTTTCGTTTTCAACAACGGGCGAATTCGTTCTGCATCGTCTAATAAGTACAACCCATTGACCAACGAGAAATGGATTTTCGTTTTGATTTAAATGTGGAAATTCTTTAAGATCATATAGGGATCTCTTACCTTCACAGTACCGTGAGGCTGGAAAATAAAAGCACAGCGCTTCGCTGAATTATGATTCCGCACTGAACTAAGCCTATTGTGCAGTTTACGGTGTCATATGATATTTTGTGTTACGGATACGCTGTTTATTGCGTAAACAAGCAAAAGCTTTTGTTTCGTCCAATTCGCGGTAAAAAGCTTCTCGGAATTGTTTTTAACATACGTCTCAATATTCAACACAGTTAAAAGAGTCCTAAAAAACTTCCTTTACTGGCTATAGCTTCCGGTTAGCTTTTTTTTTTGTCGTATTTCTTCTTCTACTAGCTTTTTTTTATTTTTTTTGTTTTGTGTTTTGTGTGCACGTGTGTGGTACCTGACCCTTTATTAAAATAATTTTTCAATAACCTAAGTAAGGCTGCCCTATCTTTTTAGCCCCCAATGGTTATTATAGGCAACCTGAACCCTCTCCATTTTTCATGTGATATATATATATATATATATATATATTTATTTGTATCATTTAATTTAATGTAAGGTACAGATAAAGTTGTTGTTGCTGCTGTTGTTGGTTTTTTTAAGACAGAACGCAACATATTCATAACGAGCTATTGGACAGTTCATTTTCAACAATTTCTAAAAAAGGCTGTTTGTTTGTAACAGCAATAACTCTAAAAATTTACTTAATTCATTCCTTATCATGCATCTACCCTTATTCGAAAACCAGAGAAAAATGGAATGAGCAAGCCCTGAAAAATAACGATACTGTTATGAAGCATTTAGTTATTTTACCGTCAATAATTCAGTTAGTTTTAGTCAGTTCAGTTTGGTTTAATTTATCGTTTATATTTAGAAAGTGTTGAATGCATGAATTCGAATCCCGAAGTTATTTGGGTTTGACCTGTCCTGATGAGTTTCCGAATTGTGACAGCCTTTTCTAACTTCCTCAAGAAGACGTGCTTTATTTGTTCACTGTCCTTGCTTTGGACCCACACGAAAGTTCTTCTTTTGACCAACGCAGTCAGAGGTTGGCTCAGTTGAACGGAAGCATTATGATTAAGTACTTTGTTGTTCAGATCGAGTCTCGTAAAATTGTTTGGTTTAACGTTCTAACAACAAATGTGCCGAGCGTGATCTCCCCCCGAATTAAGTCGCATCCCTATAGACTATTGTAATTTCCTTCTTTGTAAATACATTGTTATGATGTCTTTTTTTTCATCTTATTTTTTTTTTTTTATTTTCTCAAGCTCTCTTATGCTGAGGATCAGAATTGGTCAGAACAGCAATAGGTCGATGGAAAAGTTTGTCTTACATTTGACAATACTGTCAACTCTCTCAAACTGAAGATCTTTCTTGATGGCAAATGCCAAAACTCGGAGGGAGAAAAAAAGAGAAAACGAATGCACTTTACAACTCTTATATGATCAGTTATTATGCATGAAGTGTCCACTCACAAGAGAGCGCATGTAACAGAAAATCCAAATTTCACTTTGAAGTGTCCGCGTTCGCTTACAGGAATGTGTGCAGAGTTTGCAAACGGAGAATTAAAAAATGGTCAGTTAGTGGAGCTGTCCGCTTACAAGATTGTCCGTCAGCGGAGAGTGGATTGTGATGAGGAACTAGCAGTGGTTGACAACTCCTCTTGGTTACTAGGCTTACTTACTCTTCTAACCCTGCTAGAAATATCCAACCGCCGCTCTCCTTTGAGAAAGCAGAAGCAGTAGACATACCTGGTCGCTGTTGATAGCATGCTGAAGACAGTTGAACCCTCGATCGTTTGAGATATATATTTCTATAACTACATTCCAGTCGAGTCGAGGAAATAGAATACAACACGAGAAAATAATGGAATTATTTTCTCTTAAATACAAGCTTGACATCAGCTTTACTATTTCGTTGTAGGGAGGCCAAATGCTTCATCGTATCAAAAGTTCCACGCAGTTTTTCGGGGGAACGGGTATTTCGCTAAATTAGTTTTTTTAAAAAATGTGCCGCTCCATAAAAGTATGATTCATAAGACTTGGAGAACCTAGCGGTTAGCCCCTTGAAAGATTTTTTAATAAGTATCCTCTCTCTACCAGGCAATGTAAAGTAGATCTAGAAGCAGTTTACGGGTTAGATGGCGCATCGTGGGGTAACTTGTCATGCCCTCATTCGTGACGAAGTGACAGAGTAGCCCCCTCCGCCCCCTCCGCCACTACCCCCGTACCCAGATCTTTATTCTTAGTGGCAAAAATGATTAGTTATAATAGGCTCACATTAGATTACTGCTAACCCTACCCCTGGTAAGATGACCACAAATGCAAAGCAAGAGATTGTAAAGTTTATAATCTCTTGTGCAATGTCGATGGACAAAAGCTCGATGTTGTGGTGAACTGATTCGAAAGTATCAACCAGGCCGATTTAATTATTAGTTTGTTAGGAATGTTATGAGTCAACGATTGACTTATCGACCGTTATTATAATGAGCCACAAAACGTTTCTTAAATGCGGTATCAGATCGTCATTTCTTTCGTTAAAAAAATCTCAAGCTTCCTCTGCTAGCTGGTTTTTGCGTTTATTATCTTGTGAGGCACGAAAGGCTGAATATTACAAAAAAAATTCACTGATGCATTACAAAGCAACGAGTCTTGATGGCCTTGATTGACTATAACATGGCTGTAAGATTTCTGTAAGCCAATGCTCGTTTCCCTCGCAAATTTTTATTTATACCAGTTTATTTTAATCAAACGCTGTACATTTTAAACAACGTTTCTCTACAAGCTTAAGACGTGCGTTGTAAACGGTTAATGACCGGTCGACCAATTTTATTAGGTGACGAACAAAGAAACAGTTTTTAATCCCTGGTCCAATAATTGTAAATTGCCAAGCCATTAAAGTTAGTGCAACATTGTTTGGACTCAAACATTACGTACAAAAAACAAGAGAGCATTACCATCCCAAATAATGTTAGTAGGCACTTAATGTTTGAGTGGGAGGACCGGAAGTCAAAATACTTGGCTCGAGGTCATCACGTATGGACCAAGCACAACGTCAATGGATCGTTTCCTGTCGCTATCTTCAGGCATTATCCTCCAGCCGTTTGGAATTTTAAGGAAACTTAGAAACTTAGAAACAAAGCGTACACTACGATGCTAGTTCTTTAAACGCTATATAGAGAGATGTGGCGGTTGGGAAGGGGGGAGGAGCGGTAGAAGGGAGACGAGGGCGTTGCATACGGCATATTCAGAGAAATAGGAATGAGAAATAAGGCGTCTGTTGTGTTATTCTGCCCCCTGGCCGGAGGCAACACCCCCCTTAAAGCTCCCATCTGATGGGTGTTCACGCGTCACGTGTAGTGCTTATGACACGCATTTTCTTTTTGCCTTTTCTGAATGATAGTTGTATTTAACATTTTAAATAATCGGCATAAGCGCTCGAATTTGTTTACACCAATTTACAAGTTATAATTTGAAGACTTGTTCGTCTTTGCTGGTACTGAAATGAAACAACTGAGTAGTTCTTCATTCGTTCATTCTTCATTTGCTGACTGATTAACTCTTTAACTTCCAAGATATGATTGTTAATTCTCCCCTCTTGCTGCTCCAAATTTCCTTGTAGTCGAGTTATGAGACTTTGCTGTTAGAGCAAGATAACAGCTTTGAGTATTCTCATTACCTGTTTGCTGGATAACGTTAGGATATTATAGGGAGACGTTACATATTTATGTCCTTTGGTAAAAATTCTGGTCCAATATTTGCTTTTTAACTATTTCAGCCAACAACTCAATATTTTTTCTTGAAAAACAAGGAATCAAAGAGAGGGCCCTTATTCCTCTCAAACTTATCAATTGTGGCTTTGCCAACCTATAATTATTTCCACCCGTTTTAAGGCGTGCACAATTTGTTTCACCCAATTATTATTTCAAGTCAATAGGTCCCGATAATATTTTTAATATCTTTTGTCTCCCCAGCCTGTCCAGCTATAAACTGTCTTGTGCATTAGCAGTCAATTTAATTCTTAAACAGCTCTGTAGTACTCAAAACAATGATTTGAAAAAGAGAAATTTATACTTTTGCAAGACGTGAATTTGTTACCCTGGAGAAAAAAAATAACATTTAGGTTGAACAGATTCATCTCGTGAGTGGGAACCGTTTTCATTTGCGTGATAAGCCTTTCTTTTGAAAATTGAGTAAACAAAACCTAAATTTAGTTCTGAGAAGAAGATCAAGGATCAACGATCACTGCACAATAGTCCACTGAACAAGCAACCAAAACAACAAAAATAGTATCGTTCACCTGGATACACTTAACAATTATACATCATTAACTCAAAGCTCGCCGTGCGATTCGAGTCATCGCAATACCCCAAACATTTCAGCTTTAAGGGTATTGGTTTTCTTTGTTTATTTGTATAATATGGGAAATTCTATTTTCCATTATAAATACAATGGGAGCCTATGTTATTATCCGTGAACTGCACAAAAGTCTTGCAGATTGTTCTGCAGCCTAGTTTTGTGGTGGCGGGGCGCCCTCTATCGAGCACAATGTGCATGGTGAGTTGCGACTTGCGGTTTGATCCTGATGAGCGGATTGGCTGAGTAACGTGCACGATACTCCCACTCATCAGTGAGAAAAATGCATATAAACAACAAAGAAACGAGCAGCAAGCATTATCATCTTTTCGAGCTGCCTAGAGTTTTGACACGAACTGAAGATCTAAGAAAAAGAGAAAAGTCACTGTCAATGAACATGGCTTCTGGTATTGCTGAGGGAACATATTTCATAGAAAACGTCGAAACACAGCGTTACTTGTTCCAAGACGGCCCTGAAATAAAAGGAAACCGAGGAGACGAAGGCGGTTGGGAATCTTCCTCTGGCTTTGAGGCGCCTAGTGTTGTGGGAGCTGATGCCAATTACTACAACCGAGCCTATTGGAAGATTATTCCACAAGGTAACGACAAATACTTCATAGAGAATGTCGAAACAAAGAGGTATTTGTTTTCAACTGGTGCAAAAATTGAAGGCGATCGCGGAAGCGAAGGAGGCTGGACTAATGCACCTAAAATTGTGGGAGCGGATGCCAATTACTACAACCGGGCCTACTGGAAAATCATCCCCCAAGGAGATGACAAATACTTCTTTGAAAACTTTGAGACGCTCAGATACGTATTTCAAGATGGCCCCAAAATAGAAGGAAACCGAGGAGATGAAGGGGGATGGACGTCTGCTCCCAAGACTCTGGGTTCTGATGCCAATTACTACAACCGCGCTTACTGGAAACTACTCAAGCAGTAGACTAACGATAAAACCTGAAACTGTGACTTTTTTGTGCTTCTTTTCCCAGTAACAAGTATTTCGAAAGTAGTTTTTAGTTTTAGTTTAAGCAGAGTGGTCTTTGAGCAGCGCTGGACATATGAAGCTGGGCACAGAGGTTGACAGCGGAGAGAACACTAGTGGCCACGCCAATCAAAAGGCACCATTTTTTAATCAAAAGCTCTTATGAGCTATTTCAGGGTTTATCTTAATGAATCAATAAAGAGGCGAGAGCTTAAATCCTTTGCCATCTCCTTCCAATAGCGCGTGACAGCTGAACTTTTTTTCTATTAAACCTTTTGTGTAATTATGTATATTAAACTAAGAGGGAGACACTTTTAATCTTTAATCTCTACAGATTCTGATGAGAATTAAGGCTGAAATGTTACCCTTTGAACAGTACTTGACTTGAAAATTTCCTAACTCAACTCTCCTCCTTTTTGTTTCTGTTTTAGCAAGCTTCTAGTAAATTAACTGCATTTCCAGGCGAAAAGCCGTTTTACATTTCTACGCATTAGCTAGGGGAGGGGGAGGGGGGATTTGGGCTGATGGATCGCAACTATCTTTGGAATAATAGCACTGGATTGCCTTGGAGCACAAATAACGCTTGAATCGGTCGCGTCTTCTCCTTCCATTAGTTAGGACTGTGCAAGGCGGCTCAAAAGTATGGATCATAATTATTCAAACGATGAAAAACTCGATTTAAATTAGACGTAGACAGCTTAAAACTCCACGCTTGTCAAACAAATGTCTTAATAATCCGACCAATCTACTTATGAGTCCAAGAACTGCACTTCAGTTTCTGCGTCTCATTATCATTTAGACTAAATATTTATGGTTTGTTTTCTGAAATATTTGTTAATTGTCTCCATACAGCATCGTTATCCCCTTGTTTCCAGAGTTACGCTCAATCAAACAGAGGGCCCTTATTCCTCTCAAACTTGTCAATTGTGGCTTTGCCAACCTATAATTATTTCCACCCGTTTTAAAGTTTGTTATAATTCGCTCACATTAGATTACTGCTAACCCTAACCCTGGTAAGATGACCACAGATGCAAAGCAAGGGATTGTAAAGTTTATAATCTCTTGTGCAATGTTGATGGACAAAAGCTCGATGTTGTGGTGAACTGATTCGAAAGTATCAACCAGGCCGGTTTAATTATTAATTTGTTAGAAATGTTACGAGTCAACGATTGACTTATCGACCGTTGTTATAATGAGCCACAAAACGTTTCTTAAATGCGGTATCAGATCGTCATTTCTTTCGTTAAAAAAGTCTTCAAGCTTCCTTTGCTAGCTGGTATTTTAGCGTTTTTTATTACCTTTGTAAATTGAGGCACGAAAGGCTGAATATTAAAAAAAAAAGAGAGCATCACTCCCATATGTCTGTTTGTGTTATTCTCGTCCCAAGCACAACATATTATTGATTATCGTCCAGCCGTTTGGAATTTTAAGGAAACAAAACCCTCCTTAAAGATGCTCCCATCTGATGGGTATTCACGTTGCGTCACGTGTAAGATGTCTGTTGTGTTATTCTGACACGCATTTTCTTTTTCGCCTTTTATTCTGAATGATAGTTGTATTTTACATTTGAAATAATCGGCTTAAGCGCTCGAATTTGTTTACACCAATTTACAAGTTATATTTTGAAGACTTGTTCGTCTTTGCTGGTACTGAAATGAAACAACTGAGCAGTTCTTCATTCGTTCATTCTTCATTTGCTGACTGATTAACTCTTTAACTTCCAAGATATGATTGTTAATTCTCCCTTCTTGCTGCTCCAAATTTCCTTGTAGTTGAGTTATGAGACTTTGCTGTTAGAGCAAGATAACAGCTTTGAGTATTCTCATTACCTGTTTGCTGGATAACGTTAGGATATTATAGGAAGAAGTTACATATTTATGTCCTTTGGTAAAAATTCTGGTCCAATATTTCCTTTTTAGCTATTTCAACCAACAACTCGATATTTTTCTTGAAAAACAAGGAATCAAAGAGAGGGCCCTTATTCCTCTCAAACTTATCAATTGTGGCCTTTGCCAACCTATAATTATTTCCACCCGTCGTAAGGCGTGCACAATTTGTTTCACTCAATTATTATTTCAAATCAGTAGGTCCCGATAATATTTTGAATATCTTTTGTCTCACCAGCCTGTCCAGTTATGAACTTTTTTTTGCATTAGCAGTCAATTTCATTCTTAAACAGCTCTGTAATACTCAAAACAATGTTTTGTAGAAGAGAAATTTTATACTTTTGCAAGACGTGTATTTCTTACCCTTGAGAAGAAAAACATTTGGGTACTCGTGATAAACCTTTCTTTCGAAAACAAAGTAAACAAAACCTAAATTTAGTTCTGATACGAATGTCAAGGATCAACGATTATTGCACTGTAGTCCACTGTACAAGCAACCGATTCGTTCACCTCGATACACTTAACAGTTATACTTCGTTAACTCAAAGCTCGTCGTACGATTCGAGATCATCGCAGTACCGGTCCCAAACATTTCAGCTTTAAGTGTATTCGTTTGCTCTGTTTATATGTATGACATTGGAAATTCTATTTTTTTTTTATAAATAAGGCTAAACTGCAGAATACCCTGCCACTCATTTACATGTCATTGAATGAGAATGGCGTCTATTGTATTATACCTCGATCTTCAAAGCCTCCCGACACATGTAAATGAGGTGGACCAAAGTGGCGGGGTATTCTGCACAAAAAGTCTTCCAGACTGTTCTGCCGCCTTTTTTTGTGGTAGCGGGGCGCCCTTTATCGAGCACAATATGCATGGTGAGTTTTGACTTGCGGTTTGATCCTGATGAGCGGATTGGCTGAGTAACGTGCTCGATACTCCCACTCATAAGTGAGAAAAATGCATATAAACAACAAAGAAACGAGCAGCAAGCATCATTTTTTCGAGCTGCCTAGAGTTTTGACACGAACTGAAGATCTAAGAAAAAGAGAAAAGTCACTGTCAATGAACATGGCTTCTGGTATTGCTGAGGGAACGTATCTCATAGAAAATGTGGAAACACAGCGTTACTTGTTCCAAGACGGCCCTGAAATAAAAGGAAACCGAGGAGACGAAGGCGGTTGGACTGAGGCGCCTAGTGTTTTGGGAGCTGATGCCAATTACTACAACCGAGCCCATTGGAAGATTATTCCACAAGGTGACGACAAATACTTCATAGAGAATGTCGAAACAAAGAGGTATTTGTTTTCAACTGGTGCAAAAACTGAAGGCGATCGTGGAAGCGAAGGAGGCTGGACTAATGCACCTAAAATTGTGGGAACGGATGCCAATTACTACAATCGGGCGTATTGGAAAATCATTCCCCAAGGAGGTGACAAATACTTCATTGAAAACTTTGAGACGCTCAGATACGTATTTCAAGATGGCCCCAAAATAGAAGGAAACCGAGGAGATGAAGGGGGATGGACGTCTGCTCCCAAGACTCTGGGTTCTGATGCCAATTACTACAACCGCGCTTACTGGAAACTACTCAAGCAGTAGACTAACGATAAAACCTGGAACTGTGACTTTTTTGTGCTTCTTTTCCCAGTAACAAGTATTTCGAAAGTAGATTTAGTTTTAGTTTAAGCGGAGTGGTCTTTGAGCAGCGCTGGACATATGAAGCTGGGCACGGAGGTTGACAGCGGAGAGAACACTAGTGGCCACGCCAATCAAAAGGCACCATTTTTTAATCAAAAGCTCTTATGAGCTATTTCAGGGTTTATCTTAATGAATCAATAAAGAGGTGAGAGCTTAAATCCTTTGCCATCTCCTTCCAAAAGCGCGTGACAGCTGAACTTTTTTTCTATTAAACCTTTTGTGTAATTATGTATATTAAACTAAGAGGGAGACACTTTTAATCTTTAATCTTTACAGATTCTGATGAGAATTGAGGCTGAAATGTTACCCTTTGAACAGTACTTGACTTGAAAATTTCCAAACTCAACTCTCCTCGTTTTCTTTCTGTTTTAGCAAACTTCACTGATATAACTTAAACGCATTTCCAGGCGAAAAGCCGTTTTGCTTTTCTACGCATTAGCTAGGGGAGGGGGAGGGGGGATTTGGGCTGATGGATCGCAACTATCTTTGGAATAATAGCACTGGATTGCCTTGGAGCACAAATAACGCTCGACTCGGTCGCGTCTTCTCTTTGCATTAGTTAGGACTGTGCAAGGCGGCTCGAAAGTATGGATCATAATTATTGAAACGATGAAAAACTCGATTTAAATTAGACGTAGACAGCTTAAAACTCCACGTTTGTCAAACAAATGTCCTAATAATCCGACCAATCTACTTATGATTGTGCAATGTCGAAGGACAAAAGCTCGATGTTGTGGTGAACTGATTCGAAAGTATCAACCAGGCCGGTTTAATTGTTAATTTGTTAGGAATGTTACGAGTCAACGATTAACTTATCGACCGTTGTTGTGATGAGCCACAAAACGTTTCTTAAATGCGGTATCAGATCGTCATTTCTTTCGTTAAAAAAGTCTCAAGCTTCCTTTGCTAGCTGGTATTTGCGTTTATTACCTTGTGAGGCACGAAAGGCTGAATATTAAAAAAAATTCATTGATGCATTACAAAGCAACGAGTCTTGATGTCTTTGATTGACTATAACATGGCTGTAAGATTGCTGTAAGCCAATGCTCGTTTCCCTCGCACATTTTCATTTATACCAGTTGATTTTAATCAAACGCTGTATATTTTAAACAACGTTTCTCTAGAAGCTTAAGACGTGCGTTGTAAACGGTTGACCGGTCGACCAATTTTATTAGGTGACGAACAAAGAAACAGTTTTTAATCACTGGTCCAATAATTAATGAAAATCAAGGAAAAGGTGATAACTTTAATCCTTTATCACCTCCTTCCAATAGCGTGTAACAGCCCAAATTTTTTCTATGTAACCTTCACTGTACTTATCTATACTACGCCAAAGCACACGTTTTACTACACTAGCAATAAGTACGACTTTCTGCTGATGTGATGACGACACACTTTTGAGGAATTTATTTCACAGAGTCTCAATGCATAAAAGAAATGTTTGTGGTGGCCGATCTGCAAATAACAATGGGTTCTCTGAACCAATCACAAAAAGTCAAGCTAAGTAAAGCAAAACCAACAGCAAGGAATGTTGAATATTTCTCGGTAAGGTCTGTTAACACGCCACTATTTCGCTTCTTAAATGCTTGAATCAATACAATAAAATGCTAATGGTAACCAATTAGCCAGAGATATGGAAAGTGTTAAATTTGAATATTGTGCCCCGTGAAAACACACCATGGATGACTAAGTCTGGATGAGGTACTGACTTGATTAAGTTGAAAATTTTCTAACCTCATCTTTACAGATTCTGATGAGAATTGAGGCTGAAATATTGCCCTTTGAACAGTACTTGATCTTGAAAATTTCCCAACTCAATTCTCCTCCATTTCTTTCTGTTTTGGCAAGCTACAAATACTAGGGGAGGGGGAAGGCGAAAGGGGGGCTGGGGAGGGGGAGGGGGAGAGGGGGGCTGAAGGATCACAACTATCTCTGGAACAATAACATTGGATTGCCTTGGAACACAAATAACGCTTGAATCGGTCGCGTCTACTCATTGCATTAGTTAGGACTGTGCAAGGCGACTCGAAAGTATGGATCATAATTATTGAAACGATGAAAAACTCGGTTTAAATTAGACGTAGACGGCTTAAAACTCCACGCTTGTCAAACAAACATGTTAATACTCCGACCAATCTACTTACAAGTCCAAGAGCTGCGCTTTGGTTTCTGCATCTTCTTATCATTTAGACAATTGTTTATGGTTGGTTTTTTTTGGAATACTTGTTAATTATCTCCGTACAGCACTGTTACTGTTCTTTCCAGGGTAACACTCGCTACTTTGATCTCCTTTTATTGAACACAATCTATATTTTTTTGCTTTCCCCTTTATTGAGGGTGATTTTGCAGGTCGCAGAAAACCACACTGAATGTTGAAAAGGAGCTCCTTCAACCCTCAGACTGACCAACACAGAATTTCTCCTTACAATTTCAGCAGACAAGTGATGAGAATAAAGAAAATATCAATTAGGGGATTAGAAGTTGATCCAATACCAAATCCTCTGAACTAACATCATCAGAATAATATGGCAAACGGTAAGGAGAATTAATGATAATATCTTGGAGTGAAAAGCATAAAACTACTATGTTAAACTTTCCCTGTAAACAAGTTTAGAGAATTTGGTTTATATCAACATGGCATCCTCCGCCTGTTTTGGTCGCCCATTCTGATCTCCTGTTCACTGTGGAATGTAGTAAACTGTGAGAGGCGACTTCACATGTTGATAATTTTCGAAAGTTTAAGGATTAGAAAAGATTCCGGCAAAGCGGACAAGTGGCATTGTTACTGGTGCTGAACCATTTGTAAAGACAGGCCGAATGGAATTTTTTCTTGCATGTTTTGCAGCTCAGTTTAGGAAGAGAGTAGTTACTGCCATGAATGACAGAGAAACAGATCATGCAGTCTTCTACGCCCTCGAAACGCTTGTCAACGTTGCGTTTCCACAGAATGAGACCATCCATTATGCTTCCATTCTAAAACCAGAAATACAATAACGGCATTTATTGAAGTCATTGTCACGAAAAAGACATCAGAATATTACATCATTAAAATCTAATTATATTGTACAGTTCCCTAATGAGGTTGCTAAATCCGAATGTATCGAGAGCGGTTCCTGTCGGAGCCTCAGAAGGTAAAATAGGTTAACAAGAGTGAAACTCGACTGCTTTAAAAAGTAAGATTCACGTTTCGCGAAGAATAGACCTTTCCATTATACGACATTAGGTGCAGGCGAAAGTTAGTAACGTCAGAAACATTGCAATTTGACACTGACCTGATGTGTTAGAAACGTCGTCATCTGAAGCATCCAGCTTCTCCATTGAGCAGCTGTCACCCCGATCTTCTTGCCGCTCTCGACAGACACCACTCCCAGTGGATGGTTTGGCGCCAATTTCACAACCAACTCCATGGAGATCTCTTCAATCGTATAAACCGCGGCCACCTCGCGGGCATTGGGTCGAGCCTTGACCTGCATGTTGTCAAACCGGATCGACGAAGTTTGAACCAGTTGCATTTCGCGCCGGCAAAGTTGTGGGGTTATGTTGGAAGTTGTGAATCTACGCGAACGGAGACAAAAAAGAAAATATTCTTCATTTAAATTAGTTTCTAAACTGATTCTTAAAGTATTTATATCTAATATCACACTTTCTCAGTCAAACTAACTTTCAGCAGTTTGGACCAACTTGTTCCATTTAAGGCGCATTTCCATGGGATATATCGATAAATCAACTTATCCGACGGAACACAGAATCTATTAATTGTAACTGTGAGTGTGGAGGCAGCGTTGCCGAGTGGTTAGGGAGCTGAACTTATAATCTTGCGGTCCGGGGTTAAGTCTTGCACCCTGCTACTCTCTGGATTTGTTCTCGGTTGCCGCAAGTTCAACTCCTTAACTCCGGCCAGTTGGGATTTTAAGCACCTCGTTTATTTACAATTTGTTTGTATTGGCTCGAAAAAGCGCCACCGGGAAAATGGTCAATTAATGTTGTTATTTGAGGCCGAAATAAACCGTGACTGGACTCAATTTTATTGAATTTAAGGAAAAATAATTCAAAAGTAATAAGAGCATCTTACTTGTCCACAATAGCAGATTGACGCTTGTCTACGCTATTCCACCATTGCCTGACAATGGCCGGCATCCATTGTAACAAGGAATAAAACAAGCCACATGCTAACTGCTGGATAGTACGCTGACCAACAAGACGACTTATACCCGGCTCAGAATCATCTGTTTCCACTACTACTACTGTTGACTTCACGGGAATCAGTCTAAACAGCACGCAAAGAAGACTATCCACCATCTTATTTTGCTTGATGTATTTGGCGTATTCAACTCGCTTTTCTTGTGGCAAACTTCTAAAGAACTGAAGCAAAACTTTCCAAGCTAACATAAGAGCGAGGCTGACGATCTGCGCCTCGGTGTCGCCTGTCATGTCCAGATGTTCTCCGAATGGCACATGCGCTTCGTGTACCATCTCAGTCATATGTGCGCATGACGAATTTATCAGCTCCATCAACGCGGTAGGCGGCGATCTGTCAAAAAACAATCAAAACAACAAGTGATTGGCTTTTTTCGAAACACATAGGGTGTCTTATGCAGGAAAAAAACCATTGCAGTGAATCTTAAAAAAATAAAAAAAATTAGTGAGGTAAGAAGGTTTACTGATGGAGAGAAGCATTCGTGACAGGCGTTAGAGTGAGAGACATAGCTGTTATTCTCGAACTCACTCGCAAGCCTGTGAACGTAATCCAAGATGGCTGTTCTGTACAACAACTAATTTATTACATCAACACAAGGCATTATAAACAAAGGCTGGGAGCTTGGTAACTAGCATATCGTAACAATAGCATACAGCAATAGCCTTTGAGCTTGCGCAGTTGAGAAGAGAGAATAGAAAATAACTGGAGAAAATAACTGAATGAACGCTCAGAAACTCGTCAAGTAAATGCACCTCAGTCTATAGGTGATTACGACAGGCTGAGAGGGTTTCCATTGTTTTTTTTTTCCTTGAACTATTACAAAAACCGTAAATGTCTGTAACTGGGTACCTGACAGGTTCATCCACTCCTTCCTCGGTCTCTGATTCATTTTCGACCGATAGCGTGACTTCCTTCATTACTCTACAGATAAAAAAAACATACGGAGCTTCAATACCACGTTCTTGAGATGCGAACGACTTGATTGACCTGGCTAATAGTGTTCCCTCCAAGGTTGTCTTTTTAAGGTTTGTACATGCGCGATGCTTTCAACCGCTTGCATGTCTTGCTTCTTTGAAAATTGAAGCGAAAGTGCAGTATATAATTTGATCCGGTGGTTACGATAGTGTAATTGTCTGGGCAGAGGAAGTTCTGCTACAGACTGTTATTGGTGTTATGACCGACATTTTGACTGGCTCCAGCTCAGCGGTAATCAGAGTAAGAGTAAATTGGGGAATTCTTTGCGAGTGTAATGCGTGAAAACTTCTTAGTCAGCCTCGCTGAAATGTGTTTGGTGCTTTTACCAACTGGATACAGGAGTCGGAGTCAGTACTTACTTAGAAAGCAGATGATAGGCCGCAAATTGGAGTCCATGTTGACTGCATCTCAGGAGAGGTAAGCAGTGTTCCAGCAGCTCAGCAGTCCATTGGGGCATATGTGAACATCGATTATCTGTTCCTTGTGGTTGCCTCTCAAATTTATGTTCCTTTAGAATTGTCGTAGGAATGTAGACCACAGCCGACCCAAGTCCCTCGCTGACACGGTTTGACCACAGTGACGTTTCAGAAAGGGCGCTTTGATACTGACCTAAAATCAAGTAAGATAATTTTGATTAAAGGAACCTTTTTCAATTGATTGTCGAAAGTAACCTGCGATTGCACTGGCTGTTCTTTCCTTTGCTCTGTGATTGGTTCCGCAAAGTGCACCAATCGGATGCAGAATCAAGCAGGTCGCGACATGGTACTTTCGTTTTCCCGCGCTTCAGACATTCTTCTTGTTATGCTTTCAGCTTTCATTGGTTCCTCGAGGTATTTTCCTTTGATGTGATTGGTCGCTGCGAATACTTTAGATCTGGATTTGAATGTTAAGCGTTTGCGAACCTAGGCCAGCTAACCTCTCCTCCTCTCCACTGGGTGTAATGAAACAAACACGACCAGAGACTGAACTTACAGCGGACCCTTCAGCTATCTTGCCTTTTTTCATTTATTAACTTATCTTTTTCTTTGATCAAAACAAAAGACCAAGCCGTCGCTCACCTGCATGGAACAGGAACAGTTGTAACACCGCATTAAACAAAGTTCCACTAAAGAACTCCTGCCATTCCGTAAAGATATTTGTGGGAGAGCCAAGAGCGTCAGCTGTCGTTAAAGATCCGCCGTCCACTTCATGTGACGCTTCATTGACCTTGGGTAGTTTTGAGGCATTCTCCTCAAAGAAACGTGCCACGGTGCAAAAGAGTGAACTAATTTGGCAGCATAGTGCCACACATTTCAGTGACGTTGTAAGGATAAGGCGATTTTCCTCGCAAGTCTGTCAAAAGACAAGAAATGCTCATAACCACACTAGCATGCAATGATTCTTGAGCTCTGCAAAAGCTACGGTGAAAAACGTTTGAGCTTTTCTACAACATCTTTGTGTAAAAATTCAATAAAACTCATGAGTGAATGAAGTAACTTTGTCCTTCGTTATAGCTCCCTCGACACTACTCGTAAGAAACATGATCTTGTAATGGAACAAGATTTGAAAAAGAAATCGTTGATAAAAAGGAGACTTATTTTTGAAATTGAGGCATAATAATTGGTATGATGCATTTTGCCTAGAAGTAAGGGAGAAAAGAAGAACAACAATTTGAGTTGTTTTTTAAAGAACAACGAACTTTTGGGATAGTTGCAAATGGCTGTTTTGTTTTCGATAAATCTGCGGTCGTAAATTATGGGATTAATTTCAGTATCTGAGCAACTGCGCACCTACCCCTCCCCTACCTTCACAACAGTCAACTGACCACAAGTTAAGTTAAAGCAACTTAATCTATGTTTTCGAAGTTGCCACTGTTACACTCTACAACATTTCCATAGAAATCCGCACAGATACCTGCAACCAGCCAGCCAAGGTACACAGTATAAAATCCCAGTGCTTGCCACTCATCTTCTCAGAACAATGCTGCAGAGCCTTCTCTAGAATCCTGATGAGCGATACGTTGATGGTCAAAACACTAGTTGATGCATCGTGCAGAGGACTGTTTACGAGCACAAGGCTGTCATGTGTCTTATTCCACTCCACCAGCTCGTCCAAAATCTCAGTTATCGTCAGTTGATACTCGAGCACTGCTTCTTCAACTCCTTTGGTTTGTTGAAGCCACTGGTGGAGAGCACCATCGATGATAGCGAAGACACGGGCGAAACCTACGAAGAATGACATCACGAAAACACCAGTTACTAATAACTTCTTACGAACCAAGCATAAGGGCTGAAGTAGGGAATATCGGTTTAAGGTTGTGGCAGAACAGACCGAGCACAGCAAGGTCCTTTCAAAAACGACCGCGGGTCAATTTTCCCCGGCACGGTTCGAGCAAGCGAAGGTAGTTTACTACATGGCACTCGGACCAAACTTGTTTATTTTGAATTTGCCGGCTTTCGCAAACAAAGATACACAGGTTGTGATCGCTTCCGTGGATAAAATCCTGCCCAAGTAGAATCTAATCAGAACGCTGGGATTTACGTCAGGACTACCCTGTCATATAATAATTACGATTAACCATTTCACTCCCACGATCTCCTATGATGTTAGTTTGGATAATTTGGTATTGGATCCTCTAATAATACCCTGATTGATATTTTTCGTTATTCTTATTATTTGTCTGCTTGATACATGTATATTACTGATATTGCAAGAAGAAATTTTGTTCTAGTCACTCATGGGAGTCAAAGGGTTGAACTGTAAAAATATAGGACAATAATGTGGATAGATTAAGAAGTTTAAGGCAATTACAGCACTGACAGACGGGTGACAAGTGACGAAACTTGAGCCGCTTTCATTTTGCCGCGCGCAGCAAATCGGCGCACCTATAAGTTAATTTTTGCTGGCTTTGTATGATTACCAAAGTTACTTCCTGTTCAAAGAGATTCGTTTTCAGACGACCGACAAATTTTTGAAAAGGTAGTCACCAAAGTTAAGCCTTATTTGAGATGAATTCTGATGGGCGATGATGGACGAGTCATGAACGATGGACCCTGTGCAAGTGGCTATGAAACGTACGACACAAAGCCACATTGCAACAGACTGAGCAACTCTGACGGCAACAGGACAAAAGCACACATGTCAATAGCTTACCTCTCTCATCGATATCTTGGCGCATAAGGGCGATAAACTGATCAGTGATGACTTTTAGCTCATATATTCCATCCACATGAGATAATAAAGTGTTCAAAGTCTGGCATTCTTTTTCCTCTAACGATGCTAAAGATTGAACCTCGGCCAATAGGAGTGCGGTATCACTAGGTACACCAAGCCGCCGAAGGTCTTGTAACACGCCATCTAAAGCGAGGCACCACAAGAAACCTTCGCTTCTTGAACGCGTGAGAGCTTCTGAGATAAGAGCTTCGCCCCACTGGTTTTCATTTATTTGTTGCAGAAGACGGCTACTTGAATGGTTTAGGTTGAGCAGAACATTAGCCATATTGTGGTCACAATTGTTTCCAAACGCAACAAATTCCTTTTGGGAAAAAACAAACAAACAAAAACAAAACAAAACAAAAAGGCCGGTTAAGTTTCCTTAAAATGAAACTTATAATTATGTTACACGTAGCAGTGCTACACTTCGCACAATTTTAAACTTTTTTCCAAGAAATTAAAGGCAAATCAATGTTATTATTATCATTATTGTTGTTAATATTACTATCGTTATAATTATTATTATCATTACATATACAAATTGGACACTCATGAGTACAAATTAGATCTTAATTTAAGACAGGGGTTTCCATGAAGGCGGGTCACTGGTGGTTTATCCCCGCCGTCTGCTTATTATTTCCCAACAACTCCCTAGTGGGAAGGGGGTCTCACGTTCACTTTCCCGGGCACAATCGCTTATTACACCATCGGCAGCCGGTAATGAAAACCTTTAAAAGGGTATTGCAAGCCCTGACTTAATGAAAAATAATAATAAAAAGACAATTGTGAAATGACTCAAAGTTTGCTGTGCATGCCCTATGGTTTGAAACTCCCTAACAGCGATCTGGGAAACAAAAAGAAAACTTTACTCCACCTCAGTGACGTCACTAATTCCCAAGACACACGAGCACCAATGTCGGACCCAGCTCGTCTCCAACCACAGGCGGATTAAACTTTCCTTTGTTACAATGTCACTCTTTCGGCTCGATAGCTCATCGGAATTCGAAAGCGTCTTAACGATCAGAGTCGACGAAAACACGATCACTTTCTGATGATTTGTAAGCGTGGACTGAACAGTTTCATTTACGTCGCACAGATCGTCAACATCTGATGAGACAAGAATTTTTCTTTCGAGCAAAGGAACCAGCAACCACTTTGTCTGTGCGAAAAGGAATCAGAAAACGAACAACTCAAAAAAAGACAAGAAAGCCAAGCTTCACGACAATTTATCGATAAGGTAATTAACCTACAACGTTTTCTCCGCCTATAATACAGAGTAAAAGAATTTCTTTCCACGCACAGTTTACTCCGTTAGCCTACCGTAGAGTAATCACTCCTAAGAAATCTCAGTTGTTTTTCAGTCGGTGTCAAAGCTATGAACACTCTTTGTGGAAGTAACTCGTCTATTGAATCCTCAGCAGGCGATAGCTTGATTGAGTCTCTAAGAAGTTGAACGGCTACAGTAGCGAGATCATCCACTCTACAAATACAAAAAGAGAACCAAGGAATTACAACGAGGGGATTGAAGTCACCTTAAATATCGTCTAAAAAAATTCGAAATATTCATTCTTTTCTCGACCAGAAAAGAGCAGAACTTAGTTTTAGATACCTCTCCAGTGTTTCAACCTTCACCAATTTGTCTAGCACAAGTCTGGCCGCTTTAATCACCAGCGCCTCACAACAAGAACATTCCACATCAGAGGGAAGTTGTCGGAAGACCCTTAATCCTTTTTGCCATGTTCCTATCAAAGACTGAGTTACAGTATCTGGAAAACAAAGCACAACAAGTGTTATACTTTTGCTGCAATTTATTTAAGATTCCATTAACGAAAGACAAATGATGCAACTCTGGTCTGCTTTATATAAACATTTGAAGTGAGTCGCTCTATCTCTATCCTTAAATCTCTGTCCGCGCTCAGAGATCTTGGCTAACCACGCACAAGAAGGACAAGATGACGAGCAGTCCCTCCTCTCCTACGAAGTCCGTCGCACGGAACTCTGAGAGTGAGGCGCACCAAAAATAGTGCACAAGAAGTAGTTCGCCTCACTCCCAGAGTTCCGCGCGGCGTGCTGACATCAACTTTCTTTTCGCTGACTTTGTGATATAAGTACGTATGTTACTAGCGTGTAATTTCGATTACTCAGTTTCTGAGGGGCACTGTGAACTTAACCCATCTCCCTTGCATGATCTCTAGTTGACCGAATGACGAATAATGTGAAATGAAAGAAGATGAGTTTCTTGTTCTTGTTCTCTTAAAAGACATTTTACCAGCAAAGTATCTTTCCCCACCCAGTAATAAAAACGTCAAGGGAACATGACAAAGTGGTGAAGAGAAGCAGCAATCCTTAGTTGACCTTCATCCTATGTAGAAGGAAAAGCAATATTCCCAACGCCTCAAACGGATCGATCTCGTATGCGAAAGCCTCGAACTACAAGACGATGTTGCTCACCAGTAGGCGGCATGTCTCCCAGTTGTAGCTGAAAGATAGCTAGGAGAAGCTCTTCTGTACAGGGCACAATCTCATCAAACTGAAAAGCAAACCCAGAATTGATCAAGACAACCTAAATGACAGAGCCGGCTAACACAATTGTCTAAATAACGATCCCCATGTTTCCCTCTTAAAGTATTTCTAACAACCCTTACCAACCCAACCCAACCCCGGCACAAGGCCGTATCGATTCACTTTTAGTTGTTATTGTTATCTGAGGTCTTCTTTAACATGAATGCAATTTTGCTCGCGACATATCCTCTATTAGAACGAATAATAATCAATTAACACTTACGTTATTTTCACAATTGGTGAGGAACAAATGTAAAATGTCGAGCAACATCAACAATTCTGCCTCATTTTCCTGCTTTGATTGCTTAAGAATCCTGAGGAAATGCTGACAAATTTGGTCTACCAGTTCATTTTCCAGCAAGGCAGCTGAAATCGAGAAAAAAAATTAATCAGTTGATTTGAAATAAAAAATCTGAATAAAAAGATGTATCTCATCTATCAAAGACATAAAAAAAACTAACCCTTCCCATTCGTAACAACGCACAACTTAAGGAGACGCCACACAACTTCTCGCTCTTCGTCAGAAAGAGTAGACTTATGTCCAACTCGAGGAATCAAACTCATAGACAAGCCAAGAAGTTTCTCTTTTCCTTCATCGCCTTGGAGCCAACTTGCAACACCGGGAACCTCAGCGTGGAGTCCCTACGAGTAAATAATAACTTCTTCCTAACCGAGAGCGCGGGTAGTATTGGGGAATATTGGCTCAGAGAAGTGGCGGTGCGGATCGAGCGCAGCGAGGTCCGTGCAAGAACGACCGAGAGTCAATGTTCCTAGGTAAGGCTCGAGCCAACAAGAACAGTAAGTGGTTTGTTAAGCGGCACTCGTATCCATTTTGTTTATTTTACATTTAGCGGCTTTTGCGAAAAAATACACTTCTTATGACCGTTTCCGTGGAAACAGTCCGTATGGCTTAATACAGACCAAGAAAAAAATCGGAAAGCCCGGATTTACCTCAGGACGACCTTTCCATATGATAAAATAAGATAATCACCTGAGAGCTTTTAAGTGATTTAAAATTCTACAGCTCTCGATGTAGAAAATTATTTTTGTACATCAAATTAACCGAAAGACTACGAGCGCCCTGATTGGTCAAAACCTATCGCTTATAGGAACGGATAACCCATGGAAAACACCGACCTATCATGCTTACCTTTTCGAGAATTTTGTACAGGAAAAGGATGGAGTTGTTTTGCTGGAAATAAAGAGAGCGCTATTAACTGACATTATACACAAACACACAACAAAAAACAACAAAAACCTGTTCAAAGAATTAGAGAGCCATAAGGAAAAAGAAAGCCAAAAGGGAAAAGGAAAAGGGAGAAATAGAGGTAAGAGATTCTCTTGATCAAACTTGGAAAAAAGGAAAATGGGTGAAAGAAATTCTTAAAGAATAAGTTTGTTGCTTTTAAGTACTTTATACTTTACAGTTGAGCATTTTCGCCCTGGATTTTCAATTGGAAATACAGAATTGTAAAATGTAAGTTTAAATTGTAATGATTAAGTTGTGTTCAGTTTATTTGGACACAACTTAACCATGACACGCGCACAACAGCGATTATACAAACACCTTACCTGAAGGGATTCTGACACTAATTCCACTTGTTTGACAATTGGTAAAGCTGTTATAATGCCACATAAAATATTGATGAGGTAATCAACAGATCTGCTGTCCTTAAAAACACAAGTAGTAACATTTTCATTCCCAGGCAGGGAGGACTTGATCCAAGGAAACAAAGTATGTAGAAGGAATTCTTCACACAAAATTGAGTAATCATCATTTTCTGAGGCAAACAAAGTTGTAGGTGGTCCATTTGAGCTGTCAAGCAAAGATTTGACAAGTTTTGTTGATGTGAAGTCGGGGATAAGAGAAGAAAGAAGTTTCAAATGCACCACTGAATTGTTTTTAGTGATCTCATTCATACACAGTGTACAAATATTGCAAACTAAATCTAAAAGACAGCCATTGTAGAGTCTCTCCACATTGACCAATGTCACTTTAGAATCACTGTAAGGTAAACATTGATCAGCCTCAGATGAATCTAATGGTTCAGATGACGAAAGTTCCATAAATGCCACTCTGTGTTGTTTTTTCTTCTTCTTGGTGGGACATTTTAGCATAACCAAACAGTGAGACACAGAATTAACAACCTCATCAACTACCTGTAGGAAAAAAAACAAAACAAAAGAAAAAACAAACAAACAAAAAAAGCATCAGAACAACATCCAAAAAAATGTTAATGTACAACTGAATAACCACTGAGAGAAAGACATGTTGTATTCAATGAACTGCCTTACTTTACCAGCCACAAGTATCCTTATCCATTTGTTTTTCACCCCAACCAAGGATTCAAATTCAAAGTATCAACTTAAGAAATTCTCTGTGGTAGCCAATTCTCAGTTGATAAAGCCAAATTATCTATCATGCCCCACCAGTGCAGTACCACAGATTCTTCACAAACTTACACTTTTTATTCAAAAGTACCTTCACTCTACTTTTTACAACTCCATTTTCAATCACCAAGGAAAAACCAGATAAGAGATTGACAGTTTGTTTTGTTTGAGCTGATGACCATAATGTTACACAACAGTATTACATTCCCCTAAATCTTATCAAGATCTTGGTAGCCACCACATGGATTACAAAATGGGAATATCCTGGTCTGGGAACCTTGGAATGATATGAAAATCTCCTTCACTAAAGCACTAGTCAGTTGGCCAGCAAGCTCTGACGTAGTAAACAGATTTCATTACATAGAACCATAATTGTGGTAACCATCCATTTTCCTGTTTACAAGCACAAGTTTTGTTTACAAATAAAGAACAGTATGTTTACCACTTTTCCGGAGCCAGACTCAAGATTTTCCAAACAGATTGAACTGAAGCCCTCCCAAAACCATTTCAATATGTGGCAGAAATTTTGCGGTAATTTTTCCTCCTCTACATCCTTTCCTGTCTTGGAATCACTTTTTGCTTTGATAGACAAATATGACAGCAGATCAGCTGCATGAGTATACAGACTGTCATATGTCAGTTTATTTTGCTTTTCCAATGATTCTTTCAACAGAGACAACAGCTGAAAAGGAGTAAAAGAACAATCCACAATCAGTCAGCAAACTTACTGATAAGAATGTTGTAAACCAGTTAAAAAGCCAATCTAAAACAGCAAATGGCATCACCTTACCATTTGCATGCCTCTTCTAGGAGTGAGCAACAACACTTGTTTGCAAGTATTTCTTATAAATATACATCGCATATACAGCTGCATGTATATGTAACCTTTTCGCTCACAATTTTTCATTTAGTAATTCTCCTCACTGTTTGCTGTACAGTTCTCATGATGTTAGTTGGGAGTATCTGGTGTTAGATCAACTGATAAATTCCCTTAATATTAATATATCAATTTTTTCATTCTCATTACTTCTCTGCTTGATGTTGTATTGATATTGTAAGGAGAAGTTCTGTCTTGGTCACTCATGAGAGTTAAAGGGTTAAGATGTGAGGTATAATCCAGGGTTTTGCAATAGCCAAATTTTATTCCACTTACAGAAAAATGAAATAACTAGGAGTGTTATCACTTCTCCAGGATGCAGAGACATTTGCTTTCCCCCAACATTTTTCCAGGTGGGTACTTTCCCCCCACAGTTAGCTTGTGTCCATTTAAAGTAATAAAATTCTATGTTTAGAGAAGGGCTATGGGTGTACAGCACAATCCGCTGCATGTACATGAATGATTAGGTAATCACATCTGTCAGTGCTTTTGCAAGCAGGCTGTCATGTTTTGGTTTTGCCTTTTGGCACAGCCACCTTTTACTGACACCATCCTTGGCCACAAAAGGAAGAAGTTATTTTAAACAACCCCTATCTCCCTTAACTCAATCCTTGCTTTTGGTGGGATGCAGACCTACTTTCAGTGGATAAACTCCTAAAATTGAGTACCTGCTCCTTAATCAAATATTCCCGGATTTCCATGTTTGATCCATCCCCATATTCGTGTAGAAGGCAAAATTTCAGGCACTCCATGAATGCTGTAATCACTGCTGAACATTCACTAGGGCTATTTTGCACTCGCTCCTTAGTCAGACCTTCTTGAAGATTTGTAAAGAATTCTTGGTAGAAACCCATGCCACTACCAATAACCTGAAAGAGCATTATTATTGAGGGCTGAAGAAGATAACCCACCTCATAAGGTAAAAGCATTCCTTTGCCTGCAGGAAGTTGTCTAACACTGATATTGAGTGCCAGACCTCCTGACAATCCTCCCCCAGAATTGTCTCTAATACAGCCATGGGTGGAAAAATGAGTGTCCTACAGCCCTAAGAATAGGGGCCAAATTGCAGGCTAAAAGAGTAACAATGTAAGTGATCTACATATCAAGCTACATGTAGGTGGCCAAAAATGATGGCTAATACACTGTACACATCCTTGGCTGTTTCATAGACAAGATGCAACAAGTGTTTCTTCACCCATTAAATTGGATGTTGGTCCATAACATATTACCCATCAGCACACTGCACCAGGTTTCTGTGACTACTTAGTGATAATTATTGTGGTCCAAGTAATCTAAAGTTTCTTGCCCAAGAAGACAAAACCTGGTGAGCTTGGACAGGATTTAAACTGGAACCTTTCAGCCAAGCATCCACCTGGACTCCAACTAAGTCATAAAAAAATTCTTAGGGTTTGGGAATAGAGAAAGACAAGAAATAGGAATATTAAAACTTCCAACTAATAAATTGACTTGTATTTGGGAAGTGACAGATTATTTTTTCACTGTTTTGTGGTTTTTTTTGTTTGTCTCTTCTTTTTTTCAAGACATTCTTGAAAAAAAAAAAACAGGACTGTAAAATACCATGTTATGATTATAGCTGCAAAATATGTATTCAAAGTATAAATGCAAACCTCTGAAGGTACTTTGCTCAAGAATGGAAGTAAGTTAGGAAAGATCATGGTAGCACAACCACTGCCACCACTCTTCAAGACAGACCAGAGTTTAGGCAAAACAGCTTTGCGGGCTTTCACTTGGATCCAGCAGTCCTTTTTAGTAAAAAATTTCAAAAATATAATTTTAATAACTGACTGTCAGGAAATGGATATTTTGAGAGAAAGTAACAAACAGTGCACATTGTTAAATTTTCCCTAAGTTAAAAAAGCAAGAAACAAGGTCAGTTGCTTACTGTGATATTCTTGAGCACAGATAAAACAGCATTCCACAGTTGTTGACAGACTGCAGGATCAGAATCTTCCAGTGCAGATAACACTGCTGGAGAGACCTGGGAGCTGATTGACAACATCATAGAAGGAAGTTGCTCACAGGCAATGCTGACAGTAGAGAATACAGCACCTCGCACCTAAGTGAACACACACAATGTGTCCTTTGTAACTAGAAGTACTATTTTCCAGGTAGGTATAAAAGTTGGACTCAATCAACTTGGATTGCTAGTCCGGGTGCAGATTAACACTGACTTACTCAGATCAGCTGAGAACCTGCATGGTCATATAGAGACCTGGCACTAGTTAATAAAACAACATGGTGGCTTAACCATTGATCAGAGGGCAGATGGGACTGAATTTGACATCATGATAGTTGAATTTTAAGGTGAAATAGGATTTCAAAAAAGACCGTTTTGGGAATTTTACCACAGTCTAGGGTGATCAGAGTAGGATTTAGGAATTTGTTTCAATCTGAGGCAATCTGAATGAGTCCAAAGTGATCTGAGTGAGCTGGAGTTGATCCGTTCTGACTTTTGCACCTGTTCCTCTTGATCTTTTATGTATTGACGTGTACTACCAATACTTGAGCATTATAGTCATGAAAACTTACATTCATAATGGGTGAATTATCATTAGGAATGGCAGTGATAAATCTTTTTAAATGCAATTGTAACTACAATACTGTACAACAACATTCTACTTGAAAAAAAAATTGTAGCTTACTTGAAATCATTTCAACCCAATAATTGAATATGTGTAACTAATGACAATACATAAATTGGTAAATGTTCCACAAAATACAAACTGATGTTAAACTTTTATTAGACACATACATGTGGGGACTTGTGCCTGGCATATTTCCAGAACTTGTTTTGCCGCAGAACTTTAAGATAAAGGTCCACCATATCTGCACTGTCCTTCTGCGATGTAACATTTATCAGGTGTCCAAGCCCCAAGATGGAAGATGAGAGCACTCTGTTATATTTAGCCTCTCTTTCTTCTTCAGAAACAAATCTTTATGTACATAGAATAGAATAAATGTTAAATTTTGAGTTTGGTCATAACAATAATTAAAGAATATGTTATTGCTTCTGTAATGAGAATAGAACAGTATGTCATTAGGAACTGAACTCTTGAGCTTTGAGTTACATGCTCCAATACTCTTCTACTTCAGTTACAATGGGCTCAGGAAAATCTAAGGCAAGGTAGGCCAACACTAGGTTTAAACAATGTACATGTGTATGACATTATGCATTCTGCATATTGCAAAGATCAACAATGTCAAAAGCAATGTGTGAATAAAATTGATAGAATAGGGAGTGAGACAAATTTTGAGCTCAGTAACAAAATCAGAAAGGTTCTGATTTTCACAGTGTTCACTTACTTTGGATCAGAGAGGGTGGAAGGAGTCTGAGTTAATATATTGTCCTGAAAGAACTGTAAGATCAAAAAATTTGAATTATGAATGAATAACCAACTGAATTATTGAAGAACCAGTCATGTGAATGCATAAGAGAATGGATGAAGGGAAAGAGGGTGGATGAAAGGAGGTACTAATGATAAAAATAATTATGTAAGAAAATTATTAATTGTAAAACTGAATATAAATGGTTGGAACCCACTAATGACAAAACAAATGAAGCAAATGTCCTTAGACAGGAGAACAAATTTCAATCAGAAGGAAAATATCCCCCTTTAGGTTTTATTTAGTAGTACTGAATGCTGCAATTGTCAACTAGCTAGTGCACAAGACAAAAATACTGTACTGCACATATACCATGCACCCTGTGCAGTAGATACAGTTTACAACCTGTAAGAACATGCATACCTCAAATAAGTCCTTCCTACAAAACATGATGACATCAGTTTGTTTTTCCTCTGAGAATGCTGCATGGAATGACTTCCTAGCTGATGATGCAACAACTGCATAGTTATCGAACTGTGTGCACAGCCAGGGACCAATAATATAACGCAGATGAGGAGCAAGATTACGACCAACTCTGAGAACCAACTGTTCCATGGCTTGTTGAGTTGCTTCTCGCACTCTGTGATCAACATCCTGTGTAATAAAAAATTAACTGAAATATTGAAAAAAAAATTAAGCAATGACATCCACAGGTTGGCTTTTTTTTTTGGGCTGTTTTCAAGTAAAATTGAAATTTGGAGTGTTGGTTTTGGGTAGAAAGGAAAATCAGAAGCTATTAAAAAAGAGCAAGTTAAAAGATACAACAAAAACAAGAAACTCAAGCTACATGTACATGTAACAAAAGGTTCAGGAATTCAGTCAGGGCCCAAATGGTTGGAGGAGAGCTCTCTTGTCAGTCACCACCGTCCATGTTTCCATTTCAATTTAACTTTTTGATTTGAGAACTTACCAGAGCTAATTTGTTGAACAGCCTTGGCCAGAATGGGAGAGCACTTTCCACAGCCTCAACAGTCAAATTCTTGCATAACTCGGTGAACTCTTGTACAGCCTAGAGAAGAAAATAATTAAAAATAAGTTAGAGACAATACAGTAATGACCATTTACTTGTATATTGTGCTATTTTGCATTTTACCACTGCAGTCATATATCTTTGGCTTACACAAGATGTGACCAAAGGAAGGAAGGTAAACAAGATGCAACCAAAGGAAGGAAGGTAAACAAGATGCAACCAAAGGAAGGAAGGTAAACAAGATGCAACCAAAGGAAGGAAGGTAAACAAAGGGTTCTCTGATGATTTTTTACTGAAGATATTGTGGCTTTTCTTTAATAACAATAATATTTATGATTACTCCCATGATTTCAGGGAAGCAAGCTAAGCTATGGTGGTAGGAAGTTGGTGCTCTCCCTTCTGCCTGTTGTGTGATCTGCAAGGAAAATTACTCCCTACTGTTGCTTAATAAAATACTGGGTGCTTTAACCCTTTCACTCCCAAGATCTAATAAGTAATTCTCCTTACTATCTGCTGTACAATTCTTATGATGTTAGTTCCGAGAATTTGGTATTGGATCAACTAATAATCCCATGATTGATATTCTTCTCTATTCTCATCACCTGCCTGCTTGATATTGTATTGATATTGTAAGGAGAAATTCTGTCTTGGTCACTTGTGGCAGGAGCATGCCATACACAAATACAAGATGATCACACATACAGAGAACTTTTTAGATTGGAAAGGTAGAGGTTGAAATTGACAACTTTTCCACATCATACTGAAGTACATCAACTAATCTCAAAGGATTACTATTTTTGTATTCAGGTACAGGTGCAATGTGAATTAACAGTAAATAATTATGGGATGATACAAATTTACCTTCAATTTTGTAACTGAGTCTCTCTTCATCAATTTCCTCATCACCATCCTGAATTCTCCATCAACAGATGCATCAACGTCTTCACTAACACCAGTGCTCATTGGAACATAACCAAGGTTACTTGCACCTGGACTGCCTTGCAGTCCTCCAAACCCAACAAAACCCACAGTTCCATCTTTCGAGATCAAAGCAGCTGCACGGCCACTGCTAGATGGCTGGTAAAGTATGATAATACGGAAAAAGTAATATGTTTTGTAATAGTGTTGCAAGACTCCTTCCCTGTGACTAAATTACATGTATCTGGACAAGACTTAGCTTTAATTTAGTTTTAATTTACTGATTATAAGTGAAATGAATTAGGAGGTTTCTAAAGAAACTCACCTGTACTGCTACGTCGGTGGAGGGTATAACAAGACAATAAAGTTTTATAAACCGAGTTTATAATTTAACTAGGCTACCATTTAGAAACAGTGTTTCTAAAGCAGGCGTTTCGATCGAGCGTGGCCCTTCGTCACAACGAGTTAACGAACTAGTGTGAGACAAAAACACCACCATTGAATATAACAGCTGTTTTCAAAAATTATGTGTAAACAGATAAAATAGATCGGTGTTTCGTCCAATTGCTATCACACCTCATTTTCATCTCTAGAGTTTGGTTGGCAAAATCCTACTCATATTGGAATATGATGAAAAAACTTGATTACGATAGTAGTAACACAGGAAGTTAAATTTCTTCAAACATTGACACGCAGAAGAACCGCATCACTATATTTATACCTTCGCGTTTCCTTTAGTTCTTTGTTTATCTTTTCCTCCCATTATGAAATGTGGTGTAAAGCAACCAGACGTAAATATGAAAAACTCATTAAAAACCTTCTATGATAAGTAGGTTTGGGAAGCCATCTTGGATTAAAATTTTTAACCCAGTCTCTTCGCTAATATACAATTATCCCACAATGCCACGCTTTTACCTCAATGCGCTTGCGCTCTTGACATGTGTTGTTTAGCTCGAATGCCAAAGGGGCATGAGCTCGTGTTATCTTTTTCAGTTATAGATCGTAGTCAACCGGTGTATTGACAGTTGTAGTTCTCCAGGAGTCCTCAGGGATTAATTCCTCAGCTCACCTGTTAATCTGCCTGTGAGAGGAGGCGCTGGTGCGTTGCGCTTCATCGGATGGTGTTAAACTTCCACCGTCAATTTGAAATATTGCTGTTGTGTCGGCGTCGACTAGATTTCTGATTCGCTGGAGACTAAATGAAAAAGTCTGACACTTGAAAATGAAGATTTTTATTCTCAGGGGATAGTGAACTGAAATCTCAGCGCTTTATTGTGAAAGATTTCAGTTCGGACAGGAGCATTTTTGGTATGGCCAAGGAGTGAATTCGACAAGACACGGATGGCATCGTCAGGCGGAATTGCCCCTTCCCTACCTGGTGTGCTCATTTGTCTGAATAATTACATTTACAACATAGATTCTTTTTTTTCTCTGCTTACTTGGGAGGGTACTGTTGCTAAGATTCTCCTTTTACTTTTGATTTGGTCTCTTTCTCTTTAAGCCTCGTGGGTGATAACATCTGAAGATCGGACTAAACATGAAGCAACCTTTCAAAGTTTGAATCCAGCGAGTGGTTTCCTGACAGGTTTGCTCAATTCCTTGATATTGGACACAATTATAATAAAGTATGCTAGTGATCTTTGCCACCAGATTTGCACATTCAAGTTGTAACGTGTTTATTTGCATTCCTGTCTTATCCGCCTCCCGATAATCCATTTGTTTCAATCAAAATAATGAATGACGTTAAGTTAGTTGAACTGAGACAGTGAAATCTCTTTGATCCGACCGTAGATCTGTACATGGATCCTTAACATACAGATTAATTTGAAAGATTCTTTGCGGCAGTTTGTTAACAATCGACTTGTGTAAAACACATTTATAATTTTATGGATTAAAACAAATATGAATGGAAATTAACATAATAAGCTTTAATAAGATGCACTTGGAAGGGGAATCTAATGCTATGCCTATAAAGCTGTTAAAAGTGAAATTTATTTTCTGAATAACTGTTTAGTTTTTGTTTCTGATAAAATTCAAAGGCTCTAGCTAATTTTATAGAATCACTAATGATGTAAATATGTATTTCCTCTAGGGGAACAAGCCAAGAAGTATTTCCTGAAGTCTAATCTTCCACCTATGGTGTTAGGTCAGATATGGTAAGACGTATTTAAATTCATAAAAATATTCTATGTGGTGCATGTAGACAGTGCACCAAAGAGTTCCAGCTTGACTGACATTCATACCTGAATTAAATTTATGTTTGAGTTCACAATAATTTTGTATTATGGGTAATTTTTGTTTTGTTGTTGAATTAAGCCTCAAATTTAACTGAGTTCCTTCTTGATAGACTTTCATACCCAGGGTATTATACTGTAAAGAGAAATTGAGTGTTGGTTACTACTGGGAGTTCAAGGGTTAAAAACTGATGTATGAATTAAAATGATTGGGAATGACCTTGTGTACTCTGCAATATCACAGAGGTAAAACTGAGATCTTTTTAACTGGTACTCTAGGAATCTTGCAGACATGGACCGGGATGGCAAGATGACTATGCAAGAATTTACAATTGCTGTTCATTTGATACAAAGCAAGTTAAAAGGAGTGGAGTTGCCCACATCACTCCCTAATAGTTTAAAAATGACCTCAATGCCAAGCACCTTTCAAGTGGGTCAACAGAAAGCAAAATCTTCCACTGATTGGGGTCAGTCCTCCAATCAACCAATATCAAACGGCTTCTCCAAAGCTGGTATGATGACACTGCCACACAAACAAACTTCGGGCATTTCATGGTCAGGAATAAGCCAATCACCACCACAAACAAGAGCAGCAGTGTCTTCATCATCTTCTGTATTTGGTTCTTCTTTTGGGCCGCAGATATCAGCAGGCTTACCTGCGGCATCATTATCATCATCATTTAATGTTGGAATGAGCAGTGCCTTAAACACTGCTGCTCCTAGTGCGGCAATAATAAATGGGCCTGGAGGTCAAAGTCAGAGTGGTTTTGGGCCAGGAATTCCCAGTGTCCGCAGGGCAAACTCACTGACTGGAAATTTTAGTCCAGCTGGAGCAGGAACATATGGAACTATATCACCAAACAATAGACTGAAATATAATCAGATGTTTAAAGCAAATGATTATCAGAAGACAGGCTTTTTATCAGGTGAGGAAACTGTTCAAAATTGGCAGACTGACCAGCTAAGTGGTTGCCTCTTTGTCTTTTTTGATTTTCATGAACCACATTTACTGGGTTTACTCAGTACTCTTAACATCACTTAGTTGGAAAGCAGTTTTGGTATACTGAGTTATTTTTGTGGCAAAAAGAATTCAGTGGGGGAAAAAATCAGGTGTGAAATGTATGGGCGAAGGATTCAGCTTTGTTGTGAACAATGTATATGGATATGCACCATGTACATTGAATGTGTCATTCAAATACAATGTATAAACAAAAACTTCCATTTGGCACAAATGTTTACAATGGAGTCTGCCTGTGGACATTATCCATTCTAAGATGCATACACATTTTTGATAGCAAAGGTTAAAGAAATCTGTGAGCTTTGACAAAAACTATTTGATAGATTTTAAATCAAAATGTCCCTAGTAAGGTAATGAGCATCAATGAAAGAAGTGCCTTTTAAAATCAAGTTGACTTAACTTGATACAATTAAGTGCAATTTATATATTCATTTGACACTTTTTTGTCTGTTTTTGTTTTTGTTTTTTTTTTTTTTTAGGTGAACAAGCTAGAAGTATGTTAATTCAGTCAGGACTTTCACAGGGAATTCTTGCTCAAATATGGTAAGTTAGATTTAAAAAACATTTCAGTCTTGTTAATATTTAAATAACTAGAAGGAGCTCTTTTACCAAAGATAAATCCAGAACAATCAGGATAGTTGGACATCAGCTGAAAAATGAAAATCTAAAAATTTCCCAGTGGTATTGTGCATTGCTTCTTGTCCTCAGTTTTATGCTTTTCTTTCACATTTTTATTTGTGAACATTTGGACTTAGAACAAGTATAGTGTAATTTACCTAATTTTTTTTTTTCATAATTTAGGAATCTTTCAGATTTAGACAAAGATGGACAGCTTAATATTGAAGAATTTGCATTGGCAATGCACTTGGTTGAGCTGGCAAAGCACGGTCAGGCCTTGCCCCCTACTGTCCCACCAGAGCTTCTTCCACCTTCATTCCAGTCACGGCAAGCAAGCACTACATTTTCATCAGTTGCAGACGGTCGTGAACGGTCTGACAGTGGACGAGAGAGAAGTGGGAGTGAAAGAGAGAGAAGTGGAAGCATAGATGGAAGGGCACGGTCTGGAAGTACCTCAAATGCTAAGGGAGTTTGTAAGTTTGAACAGCTATTTTTGTATCCTTCTAAGATGTTTAGGTCTTACCTTGTGTGGTACTCAAACTTTTTTTAATTGTAATCAATCCTTCTGGGAGGGTCATCAAACAAAAGTGTTAAAAACCTGTATTAGACTTTCAAAAATTAAATTTTGACATAACAGTCAACTCACATGGACTTGCAGACAGTATGGGTTGTCACTAGGTTATTGATTTAATTCTTTTTTTGTTTAGTTACTTTTGAAGACAAGAGGAAAGATAACTTTGAAAAGGGCCGCCTGGAGCTTGAGAGGAGACGCATGGAATTGCAAGAAAAAATGAAAAAAGAAAGAGAGGAGAGGGAGAGGAAAGAAGCCCTGGAGGAGGAAAGGAGACAAAGAGCAAAACTTGAAGCTGAACAGAAGCGACAAGCAGAGCTGGAGAAACAGCGACAGCAACAGCTGGAGATGGAGAGAGAGCAAGAAGCATTGAAGAAGAAAATGATTCAGCAGAGACTTGTAAGACTCAAGCATGTTCATGTGCAATTTTCCTTTGCAGTAAAGTTAGTTGCATTTAAGGGTACTTGTGGTAATTGCATGTGCATTCAGCTTATACGTTTCAAATTTGCTAAAACTGATTAAGGTGAAAAATATATTCTGCCATGAATGACTCTGAATTCTAAGTGAATTGGAGGAGATTTAATGGGTAAGTGGTTACTGTGCTGCATCAGGAATGACTAGGTCTGTACTGTACCTTTGAATAAAACACATTTGATGCACTGATCAATCCAAGACTTGAGAAATTATCTGTTGTTGAGGTATCCAATCAACTTGCCGATGGTTCAACTCACCAACGCCAACTCACCGATATATAAAATCGAGTAGAGATGTCGGCGAGTTGGTCCTCAATCCAATACAACTTATTAGAAGTTAAACATACAGAAAAGTAAACGATATTTAGTAAAAAAACACTGGTGAACATTGGTGAACATCAAACAGAAGCTTAAACATTGGTGAACATTGGTGAACATCACCAATGACTATAACAGCTTAAGACGCGAACAAGTTATAACTTATTCGCCTTGAGATCTTTAAAAACTTTGTTACAAATAAAAAGAATTTTTTTTAATGAAGATCTTGACTAGAAAGCCAAGTTTTCTTTAAAAAATCTGAACAATTGACATGATGACTCTTTACGGTGTTGTTATCACACATAACTTGTTCGCGTCTGAAGCTGTTATAGTCATTGGTGACGTTTACCTTCTTTTTTCACCATGAGGTTCTTATTAACTTTGTTGGAAGAAAAATTTTTTCTTTTACTAAAGATCTTTTACTTTTCTATATGTTTAACTTCTAATAAGTTGTACTGGATTGAAGACCAACTCGCCGACGTTTCTACTCGATTTTATATGTCAGCGAGTTGGCGTTGGCGAGTTGAACCGTCAGCGAGTTGACCGTAATTCGTTGTTGAACCCTTTAACTACTATGAGTCGTCAAGACAGAACTTCTCCTCACAGTATCAATATTATACCAAGTGGACAATGGATGGGCATAAAGAAAAATATAAATAAGGGATTAATTATATGACCTAGTATCTAATTCTCCAAACCAACAGGATGAAAATTGAATGGTGGACAGTAAGGAGAATTACAAATGAGATCTTGGGAGTGAAAGGGTTAAGTCTTGGCCAGATTCAGCCTAATGATTAGACTGTCCATGCACCACTCAGAAACTGAAGTGTTGATGTTGGAATTTATGAAGGCTCTCCTCCTGAAAAACTCATCACTGAATAGTTTTTAGTCCCATCATGATTAAATTGTATATTCTCCTTACTGATTATTTATACAATGTCATGTACTTCTTTGAATGTAAGTTTGGTGAATTTAGTATTGACTGTAAATTGTTAAATTCCTACACTTTAGCTAATAATCTCTTTGATCATTCGGTATGTGTGCGTATGAGCAGGTTCACTATGTGTCTTTGCAGATTACATTTAACCCTTTAACTCCCAGATCAAATGTATAATTCTTCTTATTGTCAATCATACAATTCTTATGTTAGCTCAGAGAATTTAGTATTGGATCAACTAATTATCCCTAAATTGATATTTGTCTTCATTTGCATCTCTTATTTGGTTGATATTGTGGGGAAAAATTCTGTCTTGGTCACTCATTAGAGTTAAAGGATTAATGTTGCCATGCATCTGTTCGCTAATAGATCACAAATGACATCAAAATGTACCAAAAAAAAAATCAGTTACACAGTCAATCAGTGAATCTCAAAATGCTGGTATCATTTAGCTTATCATATAATACCTTTTTGCTCTTAGGCTGCCCAGATTGAAGCTGAAAGGCAACGTCAATTAGAATGGGAAAAGAGAAAAAAGGAAGAACTCTTAAATCACAAAAATATGGAACAAGATATTGTCAATAATCTTAAATCAAGGGTTCAGAAACTTGAAGAAGAATTACTTAAAGTGGTGAGTACATGTGCTTCTCTATCTTTTGGTGTAGTTATTTTGTCCAGAAAAGGGTTTTGTTCATTCACTTAACCCTTTACATCCTAACATCAGTATCCATATTCTCCATACTCTTCTCTAGATATTTCCTAAGGTGCTGATAAGGAGGATTTGTTTAACAGTCAAGCGATTCTTTAGTTGGTGATCATTTCCTTTATCCTTGTGGCCTTAATGAGTGATTCATGGGTGATGTTGTAAGAAGAAATTAGATACTGGTCACTCTTAGGTTTTAAAGGGTTAAATGTAGTTGAATACAACAAGGTTTTGACCAGTTGTCAATGTTTATTCTGTTTACACAGAACCAGGCCAGAAATGAAGCACGAGAGACATTAGATAAAGAAAGACAAACATATGTGCAGTGTCAGTCTGCAGTTAATCTTATAAATCAGAGCAGAGAAATGAGACTAGCAGAGATTAGTAGGGTTCAGTGTGATATCAAGGTATGTCTAGATGCTGTTCTGAAGTCTTTTCACCCTTTCTGTTAAAGTAACTTTATGCAGTAACTTTTTCATATAGTTACATTTGTACAATGAATATTTTCACCAGTTTGTCTGATAGCTGCAACTTTGGATTTAGTTAATCTTTTTGAGTTAGCTCCTTTTGTTCTTTACACAACTTCTTTCTGAAGTAGCTTGCTACACAATGTACATCCATCCAAATTTGACAAAGGTTCTATGAAGGAACAGACCATTTTCATGCTGATATGTACTCAATCATGGATACAGTGTACCCTGCTTGAAGCTTATTAGGAAGTTTGTTCTTAATGACATATCTGCTTACCTTGTTGCAATAAGACATAACTTAGTAGATCAATACATTTGGATGTAAGCTTAGCTTTCTTTGTCAGGTCTGTTTTGAGTGATCTGATTTAAGTTATTGTGTGGAAGAATAAGCTGTTGTGGACATGTTTCTACTGACCATTCAGACACAGTACTGAATGTTTTTGCTCCTACCATATAGGACTCACAGCAAAGAATAGTTGTAATGAAGAAGGAGAGTGAACGACTTTCACAGGAAATCAACTCAATAGATTCTAACAAATTAGGTAAGTTTGGTTTGCCACAGATAAAAAAGTGATTCTTACATGGTATACAACTATATTCTAAGCTATATGTTTGGTCTTGAAATTTGTGCAGGTATTTCAAGCAATGAGATGAAAATTGGGTGTTTGAAACAGTTGAGATCCATAAGCTTTCTTTGGCTCATTGTGTAAATGTTTAAACCTTATGAATAAAGTCTCTGTATAACCCTGTACATGTAACATTTCCTTATTTTAGTACATAGCTTGCTTTCCTTGAAGATACAGTAACTATTCATGCTTGAATTGAAAACTTTCAGGAGACACCCATGGCAATGTTATGGCCAGTGTACAGGACTCAGGGGGAAACTTGAGAAGACTCCAAACATTACAGAACAATATGGAGAGGGTTCTTTCTGAGAAATTTAAGGAGCTTGACACTGTTAATACACAGCTTAAGGTACTGTTAAGCAGCTTTAGTCGATATCACGTCCTAGGTTTTCACTCATCTGGACTTTGCTTTGTAGGTTTGGTTCCTTGCTAAGTCTTAAATCTTTTACTTCATTTTAATCAGGTTTAAGCAATCAAGTTTCTTTAGTTGGTTATCATGTCCTTTATCCTCCTGACTTTTATGTGTGATTCAAGGGTGATGTTTTAAGGAGAAATTAGATGCTGGTCACTCTTTGGGGTCAAAGGGGTGAGATGCATTGTACAAAGTGCCGTTTGCCTTTTCATTGATCATGAGTCAGACCTACCATGTGCCATGAAATAAATGCAATATTTTAGAGGGTGCAAAGGTGACACCTGCTTGTAAATGGCAGTCACAGTAATTGTGCAATTGTACTTAAATATGTAACCTGGGACTGCATATGTTTCTCATCACTGGAGAGTGCCTTAATGAGAAAGTCTTTTGCATGTTAACCTGTTCAGGATCTTAACACAAGTGCACAGCAATTGTCTGGACAAAGTACCAGGCTACAACACATATCAGAAGCTAAACAGAGAGAATACACCACTTGGAAACAACGGAAAGATGAAGATGATAGACAGCGCAAAGAAATGGATGCCAGACGGAAACGCGAAGAGGAGGAAGCAAGGAAACAGAGAGAAAGAGAGCTAGAAGGTCAGTAACTTGCAGTGCCAGCATTTTCTTTACATGCCTCCAGGAAGTGATTCCTCTTGTTTGTTCTTACAGGTAGTTTTTTTTTTATCAAAAAAGGGAAGAAAACAGTCCATGCAAGATGCACATGTGACGTCAAGTTGTTATTCAGATCTTATTATTTGCACAACTTAACTTTTTACACCCTAACATTAATATTCATATTCTCCACACTGTTCTTGTTACATTTACTATGTTACTTACAAGGAGAATTTTCTTGGCAATCAGGAGCTTCTTGAACAAGTGATCATTTCCTTTATTCATATGACTCAGTGTTATGTGTGGTTGAAGGGTGTTATGGCTAGGAGAGATTAAACACCAGTCTCTTTGGGGATAAGGGTTTATTAAGTCATCATTACATTGTAGTGTTACCAGCAAAAGTTTATGTTCATTCGTTATCTATGCGTACCCTGCATGCATTTCAGTACTGTTATTTCATTTGTATCTTTTGTCATCTTTTAGCCATGAGACAAGAACAGGAAAAACAGAGGAAGGAACAAGAGATGCGCCGACGCCTTAATGAAGCGAGACAGGCTGAAGAAGCCAGAAGACAAGAGGAGCTGAAAAAACAGCAGCTTATAACAAAAGACCAGATACTTGTCCAACAACAACAGATGTTAGTGTCAAGTGCACCACCAATGGTTAGGCACATCAGTAGTGAGTCAACCAGTAGTACCAGCAACACCAGCAGCACATCAGCTGGTGATGTGAAGCATAAGGTCCTCCAGATGCAGCAAATGATAAAGGAACAATCAGCTGAAGTGAGACCAGCCCCTTCAAGTAAGATTGCTAAGATTTAAGCGTGATAGATGTGGTTCAACCCCTTCCCTCCCCCCCCCCTTTTTTTTTCATGGTCATGAGTTAAGCATACCAGATTGAATTTTACTTTCCTTTGGCTTGTACTCATATTCTTTTGCATAAAAAAAAAGAAAAATCAAACTAGTTTGAAGAAGTTATAGCAAAGATGAAGCTTGAACCTTAACTTAATTATAGATGTTTAACCTCTGATTTGTTAATTTGGTTTAATCAACTGAGTTTACAATGTAAATTGGCTACAGTGAAGAGTTTATAAGCTGACATTTCAAGCGTTGGCCCTTGTCAGAGCAAATATCGTCTAATTTGTGTGCTATACTTACATGTACAACTTTACATGGTTTGTGCAGAAATAGTACATGCCAACCTGTAATATTACATACTTTCATTTATTTTCTTTCTTCTGAGAAAGAATGTTTATCATATACAGATGAGCTCTTTTCAACTTTATTTCTTTTTTTATTACAGATCTCTTTAAGCCCATTTCAAAACCAGTGTCAAAGAAGGAATACTACAAAATTCTTTACGAATTTGAACCCAGAAATCCTGATGAGATGGCCCTTGAAGAAGGAGACATTGTCATAGTAAGGGTTCAGAGGAATTGTATGCATCTGGCAAACAATAATTTAGTGGTTCTTTCAAGCAGATGACTCCAACAACAGTTATGAAAAGGCTCTTGCGCAAAAAGGGGGTTATATCACTTTGTAGGCCCACTATTTTTTTTGCTAGACTTGTGGCATGTTTCAACACTATAAACAGACTAATGTTCACAAGTCAGTGTTCACTTTTAGCCTCACAATACCTGTGGATACTGTACATAGACAGAGTAAAGCATTTGACTTTGAAACAAAAATACTGCATGAAACTTGCATCTAAATACCAAACAAGCTGCAAAAAATTACATTTAAGGTTAAATACCATATATTTGAAATTAAGCAGCAAAAACATTACAGAAAACAAGATTGATACAAGAGCTTTTTTATAAAATTCCAAACTTTCTAGCTTCTTACTGTCTCAGTTGCCTTTCTTTTCTTCATTTCTGCACTGACTAGAGTCTTAAAATATGATCAGACACCTTTAAGGGTACCCCGCTGGGGCCCTCTTCAGCCAATATCTACAAAAGGTTATGTTTTCACCTGTACACATGTGTAACATGTTTCTGTTTAATTACAACACACTTTATTTGTAATAAGTTGTTCACCTAAGACAGACCATTTGTCACAAATTGCTTTAAACATGTACCTTTTCTTTTCCCAGATTGATCCTAGTGAAAGTAAAGCTCCACCTGGTTGGCTTCATGGTGAGGCAAATGGCAAGAAAGGCTTGTTCCCAGCAAATTATGCTGAAAGAATAACAGAGGAAGAAGCAAAATCCTCTGACAAATCCCAAAAAGAAGCTGTCACTGTTTCACCTCCAGAGAGCTCTTCTACGGTAAAGTCTCTTACAGCAGCTCTCAACTTGCAGTTTTCCACAGGAGGCACAATCAGTCCAGCAGTTCTGAACCAGAACTCTTCTGTAACAAACACAAATGTTGTCACAGAGGTGAGAGAAAAAGAAATAAATTATTGAAATGTATATTGTGTTTCAGCTGTTAATGTTATGATTGTGGTTTTGGTATCATTTTCCTTCATCTTTTTCATGGTCTAAACCTGAAACAAACAAAAATTAAAAATCCAGCTGGTGATAAAAAATTCTTAACCCTTTCACTCTCAAGATCTCATTAGAAATTTTCCTCACTGTCTTCCTTACAATTCTAATGATTTTAGTTCATAGAGTTATATATTGAATTTACTAATAATCCCTAAATTGACAGTTTTCTTCAATCCAATCACTTGTTTGCTAGATATTGTATTGATATTGTAAGGAGAATACTGTCTTGGTCACTCATAGGAGTTAAGGGTTATGAAAGGAAAAATTTAAATCAAAATGTAAAACATTTAGTATCACAATGGTACAGTTGTTAAATTATATTTGCCAATTTCTGGCAAACTTGCTGGTATTTACAGAAGTCGTTCAGCCATCTGCCCATGCACCACTTAGAGACTGAAGTTTTGATGTAGAAATTTGTGAAGGGTTACCACCTGAAAAGTCATATTGCCTGTCTCCAGTAACCTATCAACACAAACTGTTTTTCTCGCAGGCGCCAAAGACTGCTAGCACCCAACAGTCTGCCGAAGGCTTCAGAGTGATGGCATTGTATCCTTACAGAGCGAAAAAAGATGATCACCTTACGTTTAATAAGAACGACGTGATTATCGTCAAGGAGCAGCAGGACATGTGGTGGTGTGGAGAACTCAACGGCAGTGTGGGATGGTTTCCTAAGTCTTACGTTAAACTTCTTGGAGGAGTTAGCGGAGCCACAAAACCGGGCGAGTAAGTGTGACTGTTGTGAAAATGAAACTTCACATCTCTTGGCGTTTCAGCTTTCATGTAGCTGGTATCGTTAGTCACACTCCAACAACTGCATGCATGTTCTTCACACTATTCTGTATATATTTCCTAAGGTTCTGACAAGGATAATTTTTTTTAATAATCAAGATCTTGTTCTGGTGATGATCATGTCCTTTATTCTCGTGGCTTCAATGTGTTATTCAGGGGTGATATTGTAAGGAGAAATTAGATGCTAATCACTCTTAAGGATGAGAGGGTTAACTAGTGTGTCTAGGAGGCAATACTCGAACTTCGTTTTAGCCTCAATTTATCCCTGTTATCAGCCCCCTCTCAAGGTCCTGCTCTTTGAGTAACCCTACAAGTGTAATCTATCAGTATCAGGGCTCTGAATGATCCCTCTGTTTTGTTTTGTTTTTTGAAGGACAAACGGGGCACCGAAAGAACAACCGAGTAAGTCTCCAGAATCCATTCCTCTTACTGAACCAATTCCAAGTTCACCAACAACACTGTTTGGTAAGTAACTGTTGACTAAAGATTCATCCAAGCTTGGTTTTCGTTTGATTTTCTGAGTCGCCCTGTTTAATGCTCAATCGGTCGCAACAATTTAAGGCTATTAGGCCAGACAATCACGAACGTTTCATGATCACTTGGATTGCTTCAAACGACTCGAAAACAGGGGCGTTGGAGACAATTTGGGCGATGGTGTGGATTGAAGTAAGCAGAATCTGTTATGTCAGTTATTAATGCGCTTTCCACGGTGTAAGGCACACATTTCATGTGGCTAGAAACGAGTAGAAAAGTAATCCCAATCGATATTCATTGATCATGTCAAAGGGCAGATCATATTAGTTTCTCGAGCAATTTCAAACTTGTGATCCTTTGTTTCTCGTTGTCACGTTTTTCTAACAATGTGAGCTACAAACGGCAATTTACTTTAACCTCCTGGATGGTTTTCTTAAAGTTTCCCATTGGGGTCGACTGGAAAATATCCTCTTCTTGGAGAAAAAGATGTTACATCTGTGTCGAGACTGTCTGTCGAGACTGTCTACTTACTAATGAGCGGCACTGTATCTCTCGCTTTAGTGAGAAAAAGGGGCTCACTTGCAGAATTGCTTTTGTTTATTTCAGAATGTGTAGCGGTGTATAATTACACAGGTGAAGCTGGTGACCTGTGCTTCTCTGAAGGTGATGTTATCAAGGTTTATAAAGATGAAGGCGAGTGGTGGGAAGGAAGCTGCCGAGGGGAACAAGGGCTGTTTCCTGCCAACTATGTCAAGAAAAGGGAGACAGAGGTACTTATGAAAACTTGCAAACTCGGTCGAATACTGAACATGACGTCAAGTTAGTCTGTGCAAGGGTCTCTGTTAGTAAAGACGCGCAAATGAGGGGTGGGAGAAGATCGGCGAGGTCTGAGAAAGAGTGACGACGAAGCGTGCAGTCCTTCTTTCCTTTTCTCTCCTTAGTCCCCTCGTCCTCTCTCTTTCGCTCGTTCCGTCGGCGCCTATTCGTAAAGTTTTCCGGAAAAAAACTAAGGGAAATAAAATGATTCGAAAACACTTCAGTGCGCGTTGATGAGAAACAATCTCGGATTTTTGGCAATGCATGCTATTTGTTTGCAATGCACAGGTAATTGTTTGAAATAATTTCTTTGTATTTTTAGGGACCAAAAGCAGCTCCTCGCATGAAGCCAGGTAAGAACTCACCCAAAAAAACAACAAAAAAAAACCCGTGAGAAAAACGGGAAAACGTGAGTGATCTAGTCGCGATTGGTTTTGATTTGACATCTGATTGGTTAAGAGGGTGGCGTGGTTTTTTTTCGACCAATCACAGAGCGAAGTAAAGCCAGAGCACTGCAATTACGGTCTGTTTCCAACACTCAATGAAAACTTGCTTTTGTGTGATTTGAAAGTTTACCTAAGGATTTTTTGGAATTTCAGAAATTGCCACTGTGATTTCGGCGTACAATGCATTGTCAGCGGAACAGTTGTCTCTTTCACCCGGCCAGCTGATCTTGGTCAAGAAAAAACACCCCGATGGCTGGTGGGAAGGTGAACTACAGGTACAGAGATTATACGTACTCCGTGTACTTTCTGTTTTTTGTTTATGTCATGTCGCACGGAGGCCTAATGATAATATCGCTTTACTTTAGATTGGAAACTCTAAGTTCAAGACTTAGCGAAGTCATTGTATTCTCTCTTATTGCGAATTTGTCTACGACAACTCAGTGTTCTTAATTCTTTATTCTTTTGTTTGTTTGTATCTGTAGGCTCGTGGTAAGAAACGCCAAAGCGGCATGTTTCCAGCAAATCATGTGAAAATATTGGATAGGAAAACTTCACCAGCAGCAAGCTCTCCAGTCACAGAAAGCGTAAGTGTCCCGAAATGACATCTGAAACTGCACGTACATGACTCATCTTCACAGTTGAAAGCTCTTGTTTACTGTTGCTTTAATTACACTGCCAATGTCGGAGGGATACTTTCAAACTCATTTTTTTCAATGATGCTGGGTTTCCTTTTCCATGCTCTTCACGGTAAGAGTATATTTCAGAGTTTTTTTTAATCCCTTTTTTGTTAAAGTTCCTACTAAAAGCTAATTTGGTGCTATTCGACTGCCGATTTTTCAGGTTTATAGTGTTCCTCCTGTGGCAAGAGGTGAGTTTCTAAAAGGTTTACCTTTTATTAAAGCGTGGAATTGTATGCCTAAGTCTAAGTTGTGACTGATTTTCCCTCGTTTCTTTCCTCGATCTTTCTCGTAATTTGTACGGCGCCGTTAATGTTCCTTTTCGATAGATACTCTACCTCTTGGATGTTTTTTTGCCAGAGAACATTAATTCATAGTTTTATTCTGTTAAAAGTCTAAAAGTTAATCTTCTCTCACGCTTAAAGTGACCTGACTTAAAGTTACATAGGATCTTGGTAACAGATTCCCACCATCTGTGTGATGTAAGATCCTCTACAGGTTTGACAAAGATTTCGTCCTTTCTTTCGTCTCTAGTGACTGCGAACTTAGAACATGCTCACCGTTTCCACTTGCTTCCTTTGATTTAGTTTATTTGTTTTAATCTCCACAGCGAGACTAGAGCAGGTGTTGGCCATGTTCCCTTACACGGCCCAAAACTCTGACGAGCTCACCTTCTACAAGGGAAGCGTTATCACCGTAGTAGGTAAGGATGGAGACTGGTGGAAAGGAGAAGTGAACGGACAGACGGGCTTGTTTCCATCAAATTACGTTCAGACTCTGAGTAACGCGAAAGTGGGAACGACTCAATGTAAGTAAACAAGTGAAGGTATTTACTCTTAGAACTGTTGGACATGTTAAGTCTAACCTTTCCGCACAATTTCAGTTCGTCATGCAGCAAGTAGGTAATAAGAATATGAACCGGACAGAGTTATAAATTTAAGAGGCCTCATCTTTGATGTCGCACTCAATACTGGTAACTAATTTACGAGGGAATATATCGCGGTTAGAAGGAAGAATTATTTACCGGATCTTAACCCGCTGCGGTACTGTTTTGCGCTCATGTAAGAATGGTCGTCTGATTGCGCTGATTATGAGATCGAGAGTTTCGTGTAAAATGTAGTGCTGTTATTTTAAAGTTCACTCCGGTGAAATGGTAATTGCGTTGAAGGTACGTTTTCTGCCTCTCGTTAATTATTAGTTTGATTAAATACATGTATGTCTCAGTCTAATGTTAGCTATTGAGCAAGACGTTTGTTAAACTGCTACTTTGGCTGGAAAACCTCTAGCGACCCAGACGTCAGATTTCAACCATTAGGAATGAAAGTACAGCAGTACAATTATAACTTTGATTCTAAATGAGAACCTGCTTTGAACTGCTTGTTGGAAGGCTATAAAAATTGCTATTTCTCCGCTTCAAATATGTATTATGAAACTTGTCGACTGTGGATCATGTTTGTGGGAAAAATCTGACTCGTACATGAGGATTCGCACCCCAACTAGGTCCGATGTTGTGGTCAAATGCTCCAATGTTGCGGTCAATGTTGTGATGTTGCGGTCGAATGCTCCAATGTTTTGTTCGGATACTCCGATGTTTCGGTCGGATACTCCGATGTTTTGAATTTGCTGCAGAGAACTCGTTAGCGAGCCTTACGCTACTGAAATTTTACTCTGTACAATCTGCTTGCCATCCTAGATGTAATTTCCTCGTTATTGCTGTGTTTTCCTCTGCAGATTGGAGGGAATGAGGACGACAGAAATGCTTTGGGATTTATCTTCGCTTAAATTGCGCATCTAAATGATCTCGAAATATTTTGAAATTATAGCCTCTTCATTGATCATTCGGTTGTTGTTTTTGAGTGTTTCAGTAGAAGAATTTATCCAGGTCCGCTCGATAGATCGGGATTTAAAACGCGTATAAACTAAAAAAACTAAGGGATTAGCATTGAAAGGCTGACTCGTCATAGCTATGGAATTTATTCAATGTGATTAACCAGCTGGAATATTTTGTTAGGTAACGCATGTTATTCTAGATATATAATTATAACGGTTTCTGCCGGGAACATTATTTTTGAACCAAATAGATAGTTGGTCAGACAAATTAGGTTTATGATCGGATCATAAAAGTAGCTAGGTAGAGGATTTTTTTCAATTGGCTGGTTATAATATGCCGTATACCTAACTCTGGTGGTTTGATTTTTTTAGTCGCGCATATATGTCGTCCAGATGATTTGGTATTATCAACCGAGTTGAAAATGTAAATTGTCCACCGTATTGAGTTTCTTAAGCTATACTTGTCGTTAAATTTGATTAAGTTTCTTTTGCGGAACGAGACAATTTAGTTATAACTATGACGCCCTGTAATGACTGGTGGATGGAAAATAAAATCAATATTTAATTTGACGCTGTTTTGTATCATATTCTAGTTAATTTTTCCATTCCCAAAGCATTTTTGTCCGCCTCTACCTCGACTGCTGGAAAGGATCCTGCGGCACCAGTCAATGATTCTTACGCAAAGTTTGACGAGACTCGTGAGATTGGTGGATATTGCTTCGGGTCAAATTACTGGACTAGTCGACACGCAAACTAAATTACCTCGTCGATGGCTGAAGGATCCTTTTCAACACATACCGTACCCCCCCCCCCTTCCTTTACTCTCTTTTCCGTCATCCTTCCACCCAAGCTAGACTGAACTCTCAAGTTCCTTTTTGATAATTTTCCCCGAAGCTAGCAGAAAAGCTCTGACTGTTCACTGATAAAAACGATTGGAGGACTTTACCGCTAGGCCTTGCTTCCTTACACAAACTCACATCCAGAGCTAAATAAAAACAATGATAAATGCTTCTAGGATAAAATTAAATTCGCCTTATCGAGGAACAGGGCGAACTGTAGCAAAGTGAGTTGGAAAAGGTTTGCAATGTTTGAAAGAAAGTCGTGAGGCTTAAATTACTCATTTTGAAGGAATGCAAGTGACTCAAAGTTAGTATCCACGATCGCACTTTTCAGACTTTCGTTTTCGTGGGAAGGTGTGTCGAGTATCATCGACATCGTCACCTAGCAGTTTTGAAAAGGAAGTCTGAAGTGGTTTGCTTTCTACGCGGGAGACTTTTTCCCCTGGTGACTGGAATATCCAGCTTAGACATTTGGATGTCATAATGTCAGAGGTGACACACGTACTTGAATACAGCTTGTGTAGAAGGTGTTACGAATGACCCTTCCGTCTAAGTACAACTGCCAACTAGTGCGGCTATCGAACAACGTAAAAGAAAAGCGCGTGTTTTAAGGCTCGCGAGTTAAATGCCTGCAACGCCGTATAGTCAGATTCTTTCACATTTTTGTGTAAACGAAGTATTTCTGAATCGGTCAACCTTTCTTACGTTTCCCGTTGTATTTCTGCTCTCGCAAAGCTTTTGCTGAAAGACGTTTTAGTTATGGTTTCACAACGTAATTTGTTTGGTTATTTTTTTAATGATATTTTGCCACAGGGAAGTAAGCCAAGTCTATGGTATGTTTACAATATAAAGTGTCGCGATAAGGTGGATGATGCAACAGTAACTGGTTCTTGCCTTCAAATGTGTTTTTAAACAGAGACATTTTATCGAGAAGCAGGTTACCACATTTGAAAAAGGCTCTAAAACACGAAGCTCATGTCTGTTGAACTATGAAAATTAACCTCTTCTCTATTATTTTTTAAGCAGGCTATATGACTCTTATTTGATATCAATGAAATCGAAGTAAAATGTAAATTTCGCTTTCCCTAAATGTCAGAATATTTAACCGGCTGATGCTGGATATTACCACGTGGAAGTTATGACTCAGTACTATTTTTAACCAATTAAAAGATATCTCTCGAAAATAATCCGCATTTCCGTCAAAGCTAGCAGCAGTGTCAGTGTTTTGTCGTCGTTTTCAGAGCTTTAAAGCCGCTTAGATCGAATACCCTTTCATTCGTTTGTTATTACTGTTACTTTGCGTTATGGGATTCAGTACGCGTGGGGAATCACCACTTCAAACCCGTGTGGCGAAAGCTTGTCGTAAAAGCTTGCAAAACCTGAAAAACCAGTTTCGTCCCAAGAGAAAGGTTGTCGTCATGAAAGAAGAACTCAATCAAAACAACCGAAATATTTTGCATGGTACGTAACATTTATTTCAAATAACGTTCATTAAACCCATAGGTTTCAGAAAGGTTGTGTTTTTTTTTCCGACAGCGAGTTACTAAATTGATGCGTTCATCGATGGCAATTGTTAAAGAAACGATATTTCAAACACTGTATAACTTTTTAAATTGATATTTTGTACAGTTTCGTTCTGTTTGACCTCTATTGGGCATTAGGTTAACAATCTTTTCGTTTTTATCCCTCAATTTGAAACAAATATTATTTGATTCTCTGCTTATCGTGGTTTTTGTTAACTGAACCCAGATTCAAGGTTTTTGCGATGCTTGGCGTTCAAACGGAAATTCAATTCGAGCGCTTGTTGCTAAGTTTCACTTTCCATATGAACGAAACCTCGAAGAAACAATACGCGTCAAATTATTTTTTGTTTGCATTTTCAGGAGATCATTTCGGGGATTTGTGCCTCTTTCAAACAATTATCCTAAAATTTTCAAGTGTGTCGCTGTAATCTTTGTTAATCCGCCCTTTTCTCTGATCTTTCTAGATCTATGTGTTTTTTTGGCTTATTACTTTAACATTCAGTGTTTCACTTTCTTTCATGATCAACATCATCAACGATCTTAAGTGCTAAAATTGTTTCAGTTTGCCATTTCTTGTACAGGGAATCTTCCCGCTTTCCTCGTCAATCCTTCTTCCTTCTCAGCTCTTTGTGAGCAGTTTGTTTTTTCTCCCTTTCTTACTGAGCCATTATTTTTGTTACTTTCCCTCAAGCTGAAGCAAGTTTACCTTTTCGCAGTAATCCACGTGTAGATTATTGCATGTGACTTAGCTGCTTTAAGATTTATGAATCACCAAGGAAGTTGATTCAATTATCTGCGAGATCTGTGACCTGAAGAATTGACCCTAGCTGTCAAACTAACTTATCTGCCTACTACCTGAATACGGCCGTACCTATACTACCTGGGAAAAAGATCCGTGTGAATACCAGCTGTGGAAACCAATAACAACAAAAACAATTTTTTTTATTTATTCTTTGTTCTTCTTAGTTTTAATATAAGAGTTACGGCTAGTTCGGTCGGCAGATAAATAATATTAATGTAGGCGGGCCAGACTACAAAGTTTAATGAAATAATCCGAATATTACGTGTTACAACGCCGTGGTCGAAATTGTTTATTTGAGCTTTACATTGGTTCGTATGTTTCTGTCTTCTTAAACTGTTCTTTTTTTGCCAGCCTATTAGATGTTGAGAACAATTGATAGCATGTCAAGGAAATGTTGACGCGTATGCACCCTGTCGCGAGAACGCTTGGAATGATTAAAAGTGAATTTAAGAATATAAAGTTTGCCTTGCGTTTATCCTTCTACGATTTGGACAAAAGTCCTATTTCTCGTAACTGTGATTCTTGTGTACGCCGTAAAAATGGAAAGAAAATTTGGCATTTTACCACTGTTTTGCGGCAGACAAAGACCTGACTGAACCGTCTGTGCAAAAGTTTCACTCAGAATGCTTTCTTATCTACGGCAATTTTCTCGACAGGGACTGGATCATTCGATGAAAAAGTGTTGGCGACTATGTCTTCAACAGAGCGACAGAGACAGGTGCGATTGCCAAATCCTAACTTTATATTACTTTGTTTCTCGGTCTGAGCATGACTTTACAACCAAAACAATGCTGTTTCAGATTACCTTCTCCTCAGCCCAATTGGCTTCACTGAAAAACTTTCCTTTGTTTATCATCATCTGTTTATCTTTAGTTGTGAGGTTTTTTAGTTCCAGTAGCAACTAATAATGTATCGCTTGTAACAGAAACATGCGACCTTTGTTGGTATGCCTTTCTCTGTAGCCTCAGTAGGTTATTTCGCCTTTCGTTTAGACATGTGGCTGGGTTATTTCTTAAATACGTATTATACTGAGCGTTATATCGCCTCTCCCCCCTTCCAGATTATTTTCAAGGAGTGCTTCTTGATTTTCTTGCAGTGACAAACTGAACATATAACACAATATTTGCTTTCTTGTTGTTTCCGTCATTCATAATTATCTCTCCTCTACAGAATGTTATATATGAATTGATGAATTCGGAGCAGAGCTATATGGATGATCTGAGTGCGACTTTGGAAGTAAGTGCATGATGGACTCAGAGTTGATTAGCTGAGGAGTTTATCAAATTAATTCACAAAAAAGGAAGGTATTGCACTTTCTCTCACCTCTTGATTGTGAGGTCTTCTGATGAGTTTTTTTGTTGAACAGCCGGCCTAGCAGTGATTAGGGTTAAATGATTAAGGAAAAAGAAAAAGGTAGATAAATATTGGGGACAAAGCAGAAGGCCGAGTATTTTAGCGCAGTGGTCTTATAATCTGTAGGATCCAATCGAGTCCAGTATCTCTACTTTGAAACTTGTTGGATTTGTCGTCAGCACTTTCTTGTTAGTTCTCCAGCATCCCTAGCAGCTGGTCTGTTATTTCACCATTAGCTGTGTTAAATTCATATAATTCAGGGCTCCAAATCGGGGCTGTTTTAAAGAAAGGCCATTTTTATTTAAAGCTAATGTACAATAAAGAAAGTTAAAACTATGGGTACTTATTTTATACAGGTGTTCTACAATCCTCTCGCTGATTCCGGTCTAGTGACGCAGCAAGAACTTAGCACTGTGTTTATTAACTGGAAAGAGCTCATCTGGTGTAACATGAGGCTGCTCAAGTAAGTAGTTACGCAATGCTTTTCATAACGGTTCTTTCAAACCCTAAAGTGAGTAATTAAAATCACCCAGTTTAGTGTTTGAGAACTCATGCTACGATGATACCCAAACAGGCCAAAATAAACATCTTGAACTGTGTAATCGTATTTTTGACGTTTTGTATCATGATAAAGCAAGGCTTGGCTTGTTCACTAAGTTGTCTGCTGTTTTGATCCACAGGGCGTTTCTCATTCGAAAGAAGATGAACAATAACGTGGCAATTACGTCGATTGGGGACATTTTGTGCGAAATGGTGAGATCTCTTAAAACCCAAACTTACTGTCATGTCGTATTTCATTTGAAAGAGCAACGGAACGAGAATTCTGAATCGTCTAGGTTCCGAATCATCTCATTTTAAAAGAAACACCGTTAATGGTAATTTTAAGGATGTGATAAGTTTCTTTTGTAGTCGACTTCGAATTTTAAAGCGATATGACGACGTGAGAGGGTGTGAAAAAAGAAGTGGAACATCCTCTCTTAAAGTTGATTATTTTCATTCCTAGCATTGTATTTTTATGTTCTGCTTTTAGTTGCCCCGCTTTACTCCATACGTCAGGTTCTGTAGCTGTCAGCTCAAAGCTTGTCAGCTATTACAAACCAAGATCGAAACTATTCCCGAATTCAAGCAGTTAGAGAAGGTGAGAATTTTGTGTTAGATCAATTAAGATTGATAGTTGATATGGGTCTTTCTTCTCACCATTTTTCTGATTGGCGATGCATGGATATTCTAAGGAGAGATTGCTTTCAGATTGGTCACTCCTGAGAGGGAAAGGGTTAAAGCCGTTGAAAACTGGAACAAGAATTTCACGTTACTGTGATCTTAAAGCGAACATTTGCGTTTATCTCCATCATTTTGTCAATACCGCTGGAGTTATTTAAAATATGTCAATTGGAAAAAAGGAAGGCTGTAAAGAGAGGATGAAGACCGCCTCTGCATCATCTATTTGTGTTGGGAAATTTAATTTTTGTCAGGGAAAATTTAAGGCTTTTACTGAATTTGTGTTTCTTGGTTTGTATCTAGAGATGTATTGCGGATCCCAGAGCTAAAGGTCTTCCTTTGAGTAGCTATTTACTGAAGCCTTTGCAGAGAATTTGCAAATATCCCCTTCTTATCCGAGAGGTAAGTAAATTTTTTTTTACTGGTTGAGACTAGTTAGACGTTCCTTTTTCTGCAGCACTTTCATGGACTGACCCGTCCACTATGTTTTGTTGCTTTATCATCGATCGACTGAAAGATGGCAGCTACAAGTTGGTAATGCGTCTTTTTATGTTACATCTGTCTTTGGGTATTTACGTACAATCTTTCTTTTCTCCCTCTGTAGATTTTAAAATTTACTCCGGAGAATCATTCTGACAGAGGCAACTTAGAAACCGCGCTTGAAAAAGCCGAAGAGCTCTGTCAACAGGTGAGAAATCCTGGTGCTTGATATGCGAGAGGAACTGTTCCTCTTCTCCTTCTTCTCCTCCTTTAAACTTTCCTCCTTCCTTCTCGAATTCCGCATCCTCCATTCCTCCATGCTCTCCCCTTTCTTCCTCTTGATGCACACCGTTGACTTCATACCACTTATAGCTACAAGTTTTCCTCTGTTGTTGAGTTGTTGCGCGTTTTCTACAGGTTAATGAAGGTGTACGCTCTCAAGAAAACACAGATCGCCTTGAATGGCTTCAAGCACACGTCAATCTCGAAAGTATTGGAGAGGTACATGAATGGTTGTCGTCAACGTTTAGTTAAGTAATTGATTTCCCTTACAGAGCGGTATGCTTGAAGTTCCTTTATTTTGTTTGTTTCTTTGCAGCGTTTGTTTTTTAATTCCACCACGAACTGTCTTGGACCAAGAAAACTGTTGCACTCCGGAACATTATGGAAGGTACACTTATTTTTTCTTTGTTTTTGTTTTTGTTTTGTTTTTAATCTGTCCTTTTTTTTTATCCTGTCCACCTTGATTTTGCATTACTTATTAGACGATCTGCTCTCCTTGCTTTTCGCCTTATTTAGTAACTGGTCGATTTAAGGGGTACCTACCACGAGAGGTAGGCATCAGGAATTTTATCCCTGGGATTTGATGCGATAGCTCTCATAACCCGGGGACTAAGCGGGAAACCGAACCACTTTGGATTCGTCGATAACTCTTTTGACCTAAATATCTGAGAAAGTTGGAAAGAAACTGGTGAGATGGCATGTGCACGCCTGCCTAGTCCTCTTCTGGGTAGACTCTTAAACCGCCCTGTTTTCATTATTGCTTTCTGTGCTTTTTTAAGTTCTGTCTCTCTCTACCAAGAAAGAAGAACACAACTGCTTCGTGTCATAATCAAAGTTTGTTTGCAATGAACAAGCATACCAGTGATTAAGGATCGGCGTTATACATATGCGTGACTCTTGACAGTCGCGAAGACTGCAACAGAAAATAGTGTTCCCTGCAGCTCTATTTCATTCAAGAATTTTAACGCTGAAAGCCAACAAAACAGATCACAGTTCAGTGGCGATGAAATTGCGCTGAAAAGGAACTTCACCTTTGTTATTTTAGGTTAAGAGTGGAAAAGAACTGAAGGCTTTCTTGTTCAACGATTTTCTCATGCTCACCCGGCCGCGAAGCTCCATTGCAGGAAGTTTGTCCAAGAAGATTGGATTTGAGTCCAATGAACAAGATGCTATATATGACATTTACAGAAAGGTAGGTATCAATACACTCATCTCGTCCATTTCTTTGTCGTTTAGTTCTCTTTACTGTAACTGTGTTAACTGTCATGGTTTATCAGGAATTGTTCTGAGGGTCACGTATTCTTACCACTTTGTTTCAGCCTATCATGCTGAATGAAGTCATCGTCAAGAGAAATCAAGAAGTGAATCGTAAGTAACGATCATTTTACTCCTTATGTTGCCCAAAAAAAATGAATTAAAAATACTAGATTGAAAACGTACCTCAAGTGTTGTTGTTTTAGATTATGCAAGCATTCACCAAGACTGCCGCCGCTCGTTTTTGCTAAAACTTGGGTACAAAGCTGACCAGAATTTCAGGATAAGGTGTGACAGCAAACCCACGAAAAATTTTTTTTTTGATATCATCTTTTTCTTCCCTAACTTTCAGCTGAAGAGACTGTCTTTCACATATCGCATATTGATCAGACGTACTCCTTCCGAGCAGAGTCTAAATCCGAAAGGTAACACCCACACAAGAAGCCATATGATATGTTTAATTGTAGTCGTGTTCAGCGGACTAATGTTCGATCGTTCCTATCAATTGTGGAACAAACACGGTGGCCTAAGGCTAAGTGCTCAGAAATCAGGTTTGAGAGGCTGGGTTCGAGCTGGGTTCGAGCTTTCGCGAGTATCATGTTTTGTTCTATGGCAAGACACAATTTAACGATGTCTCTCTTTACCATGGGTTACAAATAAGTTGCGACCAGCTGTCTGATGAACTGCTAGGGTGTTCTCTCTGATGTTATATTTATTATTTTCTTATTGACGAGATTTCCTTTGCAGAAATCGTTGGATGGATTTAACGGAGAAAGCTTCCACGACATACATCGAAACAGAACGTGAATCGCGACAGAAAGCGCACAGAGGTTAGTATAATGATGTCACCTTCTCTTTGTGCAGGTCCCTCCCTCTCTTTGAGGGAGGAGGAAAGGAAGGCGGAGGAGGGGGAGGGTAGGGTTGTACAGAAGTTCTTAACTGTAAATGAGGTGATTGTTCAGTAGTTGGTTGTCCCATATATCTGCATGAAAGGTAAATGTGTCTTTTAAAAAACCCATGGATGCTTAATCCGAAATGAGTTGATAAGTGTAGAGATCTACGAAACGCAGTCAGCGTTTAGCCGTTTCGGGCCATTTTCTTTCATTGTTTCTGCGTTTTCCGACACGTGATGTTAAATTTCGCGCTTGTAGACCGTAGAAAAGTCCCGAATGTGTCGCAACATTCTGAGCGATTCCATTAGGATACGAAAAACATAATGACCAAACGGTTACAGGTCTGAATTTGTTATAGAGTGATTCTGGTCAACAGGCTGGGGTATTGTTTCTTTAGACTGACCAGCTTCCCGTTCAGGAATAAATGAGGGAGGGAGGGGGGTGGGTGGGGAGATTGGGTAGATAATCTTATTCATTTTATGAAACCGGCCATGTTGGGCACTCTAAGGAAAATCATTTTGTCAATCAGAACGCCAAGCAGATGAAAAAATCTATTTTCGAAGTTAATTTGCTCACTGTTTAAATTTTGTAAGTATTCAATGTATTTATCTTTTCTTTTCCGTTTCCTTTCATCAGCGCGATCGTTTCGGACGGGCGGAATTGGAAAGCTCAAGGTGACCATGATCGAAGGGGTTGACTTAATAGCGTCTGATCCCAATGGTGAGTTTAGTGATACTGAAGTCGAATCAGGATTTTAATTGCATATTGTCGCCGTACAGCCCAAGGGAACACGAAATAAAATCACCCAACTTTAGCCAACAAAGGGAGAAGCAGCACGCAGAATGTCGCAAGACATCTGAAATGTTAATAAAACCAAACGAAAAGTAGTTTACGGCTCCAGCAATCGCTAAAACGTTTAGCATTACTTTCGAAATTTAAGGGACGATATTAACATCCACTGTAGATTATTGATAAATATTTCAACGCTAGCTCTGGTGCCTTAAGTTTTGCTATAAGGGCTTAATCAAGAGAGGGTCTCCTTCCACCATCCGTTGTTTTCAGAAGCTTTTTCAGATACAGTTTTGAGATAATTTCAGCTCTTTTCATCTGCTCATTCACCTAGACGGTACTGAATTACATGAAAGGATAATGAACCACTTGCGCTTATCATAATTTTACATTAAGTGCGCAAAGGAAAATGCATAACTTCAAACTAATAACTTATAAGTACTTCTTTGTATGTCATTTCATATATTTGTTAAAAAGAAGCGCGCAACATGCTGTTCCTCGGCTAATTTTAGACTTAAATCAAAATGCAAAAGTTGCACGAATCAGTTAGTTCCTCTTCGTTTACAATTTGTGGATAACGTGAAAGGAATAGCTGATTTAAAGCTATCCTTTTACGCGAGTCGGCGTGTTAAGCGCATACTCAGTCAAATACGCTGTAAGTTGGTAATGCTTTTACTATATTACCAAAAAACACGGTAGTATTTGCGATCAAGATGGGTGTGATGGCCTTAAAAATTGCCCTAAAATAATAACACCGGAATCTTGCAAGAGTTCTGATATTAAAAGATTCAGGTGTTTTTATATATGTTTGTGGTTATTCTTTGGTACTAATGCGAACGAAAGATTAGCCGCATGTAAATCCTAAATACCAAGGGTAACTAACGGAACACATTCTTTATAGCTCGTTAAACTAAATCTTTCAGTAAGTCAGGCTAAACAAAGCTTATCTAGAAATGCTTCGTTATACGCAAGGTTTTTAAGCAGTCGTTAACTGTGGAAGTGAAATACTTAGATGCATATTCAGTTAATGAATTGAGGATGAAAAATAGTGCAGTCGCTTACAACTCTTCAGTCCTAACCCCACGGTTTCTGTCGCTGTTTTTTGATTGAACCACTGTTCTAAAATCCTGAGTCTGTCCTAAGCAGGCACAAAGTCGGAACTCATTCAAAACTTCCTTAAACGCAGTTCGGTAATTTGTACTGTTCAGCGCATAGGTGATAGGATTCAAACTGGAACTGCAGTACACCAGAAAATACGAAGTCTTGTAGAACACACTGCTTTGGGCTATGTCTGCTGCAGTTGCAATGGCAAAGGGAAAGAAACAAAACAAAAACACAGCAGTGACAATCAGCAACATTTGGACGATTTTTCGTTTGAACACTCCATCATTGTCCATTCCGGCGTTAGCGTTTGAGGAGCAAATCGTGTTGGTGAAGTACAAACCTCTGATTATGCTGAAGTAGCACATAAACATGATAACAAAAGATGAAGTGATGATCACGGCAAGGGCGATCCAATATGCATTGCTTTCCGCGGCAGAAGTCGGCCAGCTTGTAATGCACCGATGGTATTCCTCGCTGTATGTTTCGAAGATAAACAGGGGACACACATAAGCGATGGCGAAAATCCATATCCCTATGATGGCATAGAGGACGTTTCCTTTCGTGAGACGAAACCGCGTTTCCATTGGAATCACCAGAGCTTTGTAGCGTTCCACAGAGATTAATGTCAGTGTCAATCCAGAGACGATCATTCCAACACCAGCGATGGTGTGTGTTGTAATGAATTTACAGAGGAGATTGCCCATTTGCCCGTTTGGTTGCTTGGTATAGGAAAGAATCATCCCAGGAAGGCAGAAGACGAGAGTTAACAAGTCTGAGATGGCGAGATTGACGAGCAGGAAGTTCATGGTAGAATGCATGGATCGTTTTCTTCGCACCACTTCTATCACAAGTGAGTTACCAGCGATACCCACAAGGATTACCACGATGTAAGCCATAATCAGGAAGACATCTGCTGTGCCCACCCGCATTGTAAATCAAAGAGATGCGACACCTATATCAAGCTCACCTTTCTTTTGTTTCCATGAATATGAACACTCCACCAGCAAAAGTTCTCAATGGTATTTTCGATTTTTCTGCTGACGCGCTGTTTCAGCTATCTGCTTTATCCGCAGTTAAGACATCTCGTGTGACAGTTTCATCAAAGTTTTAGCGTTCCGATGTCTTTCCTGTCAGGTTGTTTTCGTTATCAGACTCTCCACGGTTTTATTTCTTTGTCCCAAGTTGCCCTTTCAAAGGTTGCGAGCAGTTTTTTACTGTTCCTCCTGAAAAAGGACGGAAAATTCTGTGAAAATCTGCTTGTCGTAGAAATAGACGGAAACTGTTCGTATTTGCCTTTGATGTCTTTCCTCTTACCTGACGTTTCAATGCTTTTTCTGCCTGGTGGTATTTAACCTTTGGTGAATTGTGGCATCCGATAGCTAGGTATGCAATTTTTTGTCTCAGTTGCCGCATGAGCGATGCTTTTTTACTGAAACCTATTTAAAAAGTGACAACGTCAAAGAGTGTGTAATTTGAAAGCTCTAGAAATTGAAATGGAATCACTTATTGAACCGGAAAGTTCATTTGTTGAATAAATAACTTTCTAAATATGTTTTTGTGGTACAGTGTTTCAGATTTGTTTGTGAAAGGGAGCCATTGAATTTGGAAAATTTTATTTGAACTTTAACAGCTGTTGTGTAGTCCGGTTGTCTGGGTTTACTCAGCTTTGGAACAATTGCAAAATTGCGAGAATAAAAATAAAACCTGGGAAACATTTTTATTTCATGTTACCCACAGAGTTTTCTTCACACGCCCCTGGCATAATTTTCCGTTGAGTAAATGATGTTTACATTATCCTAGAATGCAAAAGAGTCATTTTATATGCAGAAAGGTGTGGCGAATTGGTTGTGATGTGTAATAGATGTATTTTTACTTAGCACCCTGTGGCTTTTTTCATTGATACTATTCTGATATTTTGTTTTTCTAGACACTTGAAGAAATGTTGTTCTTCTCTATTCTATATTAGTTCCACGTCCAGTCATTAACCTCAGTAGTTCTCCAATAAAAACCGCTCTTAATTCGGAGCAAAATTCTGATGGAAAGATATGCGCTTAAAATGTTTTTTCTTTCTTTCTTTCTTTCTTTCTTTTTTCTTAATGAAAGGAGAAACATTAACAAACGTCGACTAAAACCTCCGTGATATCAAAATTTACGCTTAGCTAACTAGTGTTCCCAATAATGACCAATGCTAGTATTATCTGTAAATCGAGTAGCTATTGACGATGTGGTTTGAGTCGGAAGGTCAGAAAGTGCAATATGATCTTTTCGCTCGGTTTCACCTTGGAGTGAAGGACAAATTTCTGCTCTGAAACATGATACGATTAAAACTCTTACGTAACCATGGAGTTAGTTTACCGTATCCTAAGTTTACATTATGTCAGCTGAAGAGTAAACACCATCTCATCATAAGTCGATATGAATGCAGTACGTGGGGAAATCTGCAATGAGCATTATCCAGTCACTTGAAGTTTGCCCAATTCTTAATTATAATTTTGCTTTTTAGGGGGGTTTTGCTTTTGCTTTTGTTTTTTTCGTCGACGAGAGTATCGCTCATTTTTCTCAACGAAGTTTACAATTACTCAGAACCTATATCTTGAGGATATAATGAGTCCTGCATAATCGCTTTCAAAACAGTGTGAATCAGACGTGACTTTTGAGCTTTGTTACTTTCTACTTCTCGATCAACTTTCAAGCGACTAAAAGTATAGATGTCCAATTGCTTTTGCGCTCATTGATGTGTGTGTCTTACAGGAACCACAACCGGCATGGTTTGAGTTAAACAAAGAATTAGCATAAATATGACAAATTTGTGGCGTAGTAGTCAACGTCTGTTTGCCTTTCACATATCGCTAAGTAATGGTTTTTTTTTTTAATATTCTACCTGGAGGCAATTTGTTTTCTTATACATTAGCCAAAATAGTAAAAGTCGGCAATCATGAAAATACTTATTTTTCCTCTTGATAATCAGCAGATAGCAGATGACAGATATAATAGTGATCTGATGTACGTAGTATTTCTCCGTAGTGACATCAAGAGACTTGGCAATTTTCACTAAGAACTGATATTTTGATATTGGGTCTATTATAGTTCGTGATGTTTAAGTCTCCGAGACGTCACACTTATTTCTATCATCTGACATTTTGAAGATTTAAAGAAATCAAACATGTTGAACTGGTTCATCGAAACATTGTCATAAAACGAAACTCTTCCCATTCAAGAGCGGATCGCTTACCTCAGAGTCATTGATTTTTTTTCCAGAATCTTCACTTGAATTTTCGTACTTGACACTAATCACAATTGAACGACACGACGTCGTTTTTTAAGGCGCCTTTGAAATATAATATTTTAGGCGTCTATACACCGATTTTCAGATCTACGAACAGGATAATTTGTGCTTGGAGTAGACAGTTTATGCTTTCCAAGAAAGAAAAAACATCTGCCTCGTTCAATTTGTTTAACTAAACATTGAAACATTAAACTTCAACGATATCGCTTATTTATTCTTCTGTCTACGTTATTGGTAGCTTGGGCTTCCAGGAGACAGCTCTTACGCGCAATTGTTTACTGAATACGAAAAGACGTGAATATAAAAGCGATCTTCGCAGTAATGATCACTACTTGAGTTAGAAAAGTTATTATGTTTTGCTGTGATTGATGAGTATTAAAAGCGTATGTTTTGCAGGGAAATCAAAACAGTGCTGTTGAACTTCTCAGGAAAGTTCCATTTTTAGAAAAATAACAGATACAGCGATCTTTTGTCGTTTTTAAACTTGCCCTAAAGGGTTTCAGTATCCTCCTGCGGAAAAAAAAAACTTATATCTAGCTTCTACAATTGCTGTAGTTACAGATGAAGTACGTAACTCACTTTTATGAAACTGTTTCAAATGTCTCTATCAGTCTTGTCTTGCAAAGTTGCTAATGATTCTTCAGACCTTAGCCATGCCCATCTATGTCTGCCACAAAGGTGCCCCCAACTTTAATCGCTTGGTAACACCGAGTGGTAATGAGCATCAAAATTTAATTGGTTTAGCAGTTGGTGCAAAGCTTTGGCCAGTCGCTGCAGATATGTCTTAGAGCCAATCAGATACAAGATGTTAAAGAAAATATTGTTTTTCATCGTGGTTCTGCAGATGAATTAATGTTTAATCGTTTGTCTTGCGATGTAATTATCAGGCTATCAGTAGTATCAACCGCGACGTTTCGACTACTATACTGCGTCTTCGTCAGGCGACGAGGTCGAAAGTTTACTTGTCGTTATTTATAGCACCTTGGTTTGCTGTCATTCGTATGATAACATACTGTGATTTGAGTTCGTGCGCTTTTTGGCGTTTTTCTCTCCTCTGTATTCGAGGAGAGCAGTTTTGTTGCTGTTTGACAGACTTCTTGTTAGCCGTGGACGATATTGTTGGAATAAAGTAACCCTGGGTGAAAATGTAGATGTCTTAACTGGCTTACTTATGTTCTTGGTCTTACCTTGTTCTTTTAATGCATAGGTCTAAGTGATCCCTATTGTGAAGTGAGCATGGGCAGTCAAGAACACCGCACGAAAGTGGTACCGCAGACGCTCAATCCGAAATGGAATTCTCAGGTAAAGTTCGCAAACCAACTCACTATCAGATAGCTGGCAGAGTGATTTTCTATGGTGTCCATTCCGTCACTCAATAATAATGCGTTCTCTTTAATTTTTCTTCGCAGATGACTTTCACGGTGAAAAGCCTTGAGCAAGATGTGCTCTGCATTACTGTCTTTGATCGAGACCTGTTCTCTCCAAATGGTAAAGTAACAAACCACGAACGATTCCTATTCTGTAATCGCTATTTTCGTTTGTTTGTTTGTTTGTTTTACACCAATGACTATTTCTGAATATTTTTTTTTTTACTTCTTTGTCAGACTTTCTGGGTCGCACAGAGTTAAGCTTGGCGAAGCTTTCATCAAAAGGCAGAGGACCCTGGCTGGAAAGATTATTATTGCACGAGGTTGAAACGGGAGAAGTAGTAGTAAGGATTGAACTACACTTAGAGGCAACATAAATGTAATGTAAATCAATAGCTGGATGGAACAACCGCTTAGCGAATGGCCTCAGCCTCAAATATGAACACGTGTTACCTTGTGACGCCACCACCAGCTGTACTGAGTCGTTTTTAGCCGATGACATTTACAAACTAAGGCATCTAATGTTTGACATGTATTTTAACTAGCTTACAGATAGAGAACAAGGCGTGAAGACACACAATACTTTTTTTGTTGACGTCGTGTCTGTCTAGTGTTAGATGTCAGACTAGCTGGTAAAAGACGTTGTTTGGGGAGAGCTTTATGTATTTTGAGTTTTTTTTTATAGTATCCACTGATCGTTCGAGAGTAAAGAACTGGCAACCAGCCTCGAACATACTCATTCTACAGAGAATTGTGTCTATTTAGGTTTTTTCACCTATTTCCGACGTGATAATCCTTCAACACCTGCAAATTGAACTAAGCTACTGATGTAGAAAGTTGAAAAGGGTGATTTCCTTAAACAGAGTTGTTTTTCCTCCCCGTAAAAGGTCTTACTTTGCGAAAATGTGTAGTTCGTAAGGACTTCTTCGCAATTTTAAGGTATTTTAATTCCAATTGTGAACTTGTGAAAATACCATTTGAAGCCACTTAACTGAGAGCAAGGATGAATAGATCCTGGCTTAATGTCAAGGTTGAATTTTTCTTTGGACGTTGAAAGACACGGTGACAAACCAAACCAAAACCGTTTTTTTTATTTTTTAAGTGCACCCTGTAAGATTAAAGTAATATAATTCCAAGTGTGCGTGTATGTAATCTCTTTTAGTGCTATCCTTTTGAGCATAAGGAACTATGTAGAGAACTTCATGCTTCAATCTATAAATAACTTGTAATTAAAATAATCTTTGTCTTCTTGTAGAAAAAAAAAACATAGCAACTTACAGATTCATTTTTTCTGTTTTTAAAACGATTTGTCGTCTTGTTACATCATTTAGATTTGAATGATTTGTTGGTCAAGTTTGCTACACGCCAGGTTTCGTCTATTTTGTTTGTTTGCAGACGAAGTCGAGCGAGAAAGTTGTACACATTTTTGAACTAAAAATTTCTTTAAGAAAATGGAATAAAATATGAAATTAATGAAATAACTTGAGGTGTAAGAAAATATGTGTTCTAATATTTACAGCAACATCGTATTATGTCCTCTGTAAGGTGAAAAGTGCAATTAAAAAGTGTTAAACTTACTTTTCTGCGTGTCTGGTATGTTTCTTGCTTTTCTTTCATATATAGTTGTCTTGTACGGCACTATGGTTAGGTGTTCGAACGTTTGGAAAACACTTTGCAACAAGTGAAAAAGAATTTGGATAGCTGCACCCCCAGCAACAGCGTAATTTGTTCTGCATAAGGTAAAACTGTTATTAAAAAGTCCTTTACAGACTTTTCTTCGTGTTCCGTTCTTTTCTCGCCTTCTTTTGTTTCCTGTGTTGTCGTGTGTTCCCACTAGTAAGGTTTACATAGTGAGCTGAATTATACACGCATTTTAACCCTTTGGACTCCACGAGTGATTAGCATCTAATTTCTCCGCATAATATCACTGTTGAATCACACTTTAAGGTCACGAGAATAAAGGAAATGATCACCAGCTTAAGAGACTATTGATTATTGAACAAATTCTCCTTGTCAGCACCTTAAGAAATGTATACAGAACAGTACAGAGAATACGAAAACTAACGTTAGGGTGTAAAGTGTTAAATGGTTCTTACTTATGATCCATTGGAGGACAGACGCATAAATGACGTCACCATTAACTCTTTACACGCTACCGTCATTATGCATATTCTCTATACTGTTCTTTATACATTTCCCAAGGTGCTGACAAGGAGATTTTGTTTGCTGATCGAAAGCTTCTTTTGTTGTTAATCATTTCCTTCATTCTCATGACATTAATGTGTGATTCAGGGGTGATATTGTAAGGAGAAATTAGATGCTAGTCACTCTTAGGGTTTTAAAGGTTAACAACTTTTTGTTTCTTCGCCATAAGGACATCAGTAACACTCTGTTGAGCCTCGTGTGCCGTTTTTTTGTGCTTCTTACATCTTGACGTCATTTGTGATCCACTACGGAACCAGACGCAAGGCAGCATGGGACAGATCTGGTTGTTATTACAAAAGTTTATTTAAGAAACTTCTGTAACAGGAGCGTCAAAAATCAATTTCAGTGTCCCACTGAACGTTCGCCAATGTGGGTAATGGGTGTTGCAAGACTCAAACAACATCCTCTATAGTCCCGACAACACAGTACGCACTACCTTGTCATGCTAACGGCGATGGGTAATATAACATGTGGTATTCCACAGGGGTCTATTTTAGGCCCTCTCTTATTCACTATTTATATTAATGATCTCCCTTCATGTGATTTGTTTTCAAAACCCAGATTGTATGCAGATGATACTACCCTTACCACATCTGCAGAAGACCCATGGGTCCTTGAATATAACAGGTAATTTAGTGTTAACAACTGGGTTGAAAACGTAAATTAGCCACCGTAAAGGGTAAAAAAGCTGACGTTTCGAGCGTTAGCCCTTCGTCAGAGCGATTGGAATATAAAATGAATTATGATATGAATTTAATCCAGTCATGGCTGTCAGCAAACAAATTAACTTTAAATGTGAAGAAGACTAAATACATGCTTATAGGGAGCCAATTTAAGTTATCCCAAATAAATAGTGACTTCACAGTCAAAGTCAATAACACTCCCTCAGAAAGAGTAATTGAACATAAAACCCTTGGAGTTCAAATTAATGAATCTTTAAGCTGGCGCCCACACATTCATACCATGTCAAAGAAAATATCCGCTGGTATTGCTATCTTGAGGCGTGTAAGTAATTTTATACCACTTGATACTAGAGTGAACATGTATAATGCACTGGTGATGCCATATTTTAATTACTGTAGTGCCGTATGGGGTAATATCAATAAGGGACTAGCAGACAATCTTCAAAAGCTGCAGAATAGGGCTGCTAGAATTCTCACCTTTTCTAACTATGACGTTCGCTCAAGTGTTTTGTTGGATGAGCTTGGCTTGGAAAGGCTAGAACATGTAAGACTTAAACAGTTGGCTGTGACAATGTATAAAATACATAATAATCTTTCCCCATCGTATCTGAAGCGGATCTTTACCAACACCTCAAATGTACACTCACACAATCTTAGAAATTCTGAGCTAAATTATTATGTCCCCAAACCCAGAACTGAGTCTGCAAAAGGGAGCCTACACTACAGAGGATCTGTTCTGTGGAATAGGATTCCTTCTGAGATTAAAAAACTGCCTAGTTTGAATGTTTTTATAACTTCGTTTCATGGAAACGATTTCTCTGATACACCATTGTAACTCTTATTATTCATGATATAAGTTTTTGTTTTTTTAACATTATAGTAAATAGTTCCTTGTTACTCATGATATAAGTTTTTGTTTTTGTTTTTGTATGTTTAACATTATAGTCAATAGTTCTTAAAGTATTTTATAATAAAGCTCGGATATAACACGTACTGTCATTGGTTGAAAGAGCGTGCTCTATGAGAGTATAGAGCATAGAACTGAGCTAAAGCTGTCACGCCATCTGCCAAATCGTACTATGTTCGACCTTTTCCGGGACTTCTTTCTAGCTTCTCTTTCATTAATAAAAGTGAAATTTCGGAACAAGCAAGCAAAGGTTTGCAAAAATGCCAGGCGCAGTAATTTATGTTACTGTAACGTGAGCAGAGACAAAAATCCTCAAAGATAAAACAAGATAGACAGTCCGAGTTTTTTTAACGGTCTTCACGCTCAGTTAGATTGCGAGTTTACGTACGGTAATAAAAATCAAACACAGCTAACACTTGTATAGTATATAAAGTTTCGATTTCAAATAGAAAAAAACAGGAATTATGAAAAATATAACCTGGCATAACTGTTAAAATTCATACTAATCATGACGGTGTCAGAGCGACTTAAGGTCTATCGCGGCTAGCTAATCATGGCGATCTTTGGTCATCGCAGTGGAGCAAGCCTCAGGAACTAAATCGACTACCCTTCGAGTGAAAAAATAAGAGCTTGTCCTGATTACCTTTCCGATGTGTTGAGTGGAAGGCCAGATCAGTCACTGCAACCGAGTTTTACGGCGCTGTCATTCCGAGCGATCTTTTTGTCTTAGTGAATTCGGCTGTTGTTCATTCATAATACACTCGCCTTGAACAGTTTGTTTTCTACTTGTAATGTGAAACAACTTGCGTATTTTTGTGAGCCACGATTGGGTCGAATTTCACTGAACATTTCACTTTCAGATCCTGTATTAGAAACTAAAAAACTTCAGGCAAAAGTGTAAAATTCGACATGCCGAGTTATTTTAGTTTGTAAACTATTGCAGAATATGAACTTTGATGGTTTTTTAACTTTGATGGTTTGACATTTTTGACAGCTTTAGTCTTGTACAGACAATCAGATTATTTGAACCATTCTAACAGGAATTCTGATTGGCTTATTGTAGCGTGCTTTATGAGAGTATAGAGCATGCTGACGACACTGTTGTTCGCTTTAGGAATAAGATTTGTTTTGAAAATTGAAAGTAATTCTTGAGGAATTTAACGGATTCTTTATTATAAAACAAATAGAGAAGCCTTGACTATGCTCTGTCAGAACAGAGCACAGTCAAGGCTTCTCTATTTGTTAATTAGTATAATTTAAACACGATTCTTAGGAAGACCATGTAAAATGATATGATTTCGTGTATAAATAAAGATTGATGATGATGGGTGCGTGTGGTTTCTAGGGGGAACAGAGGGGGTATCAGTCATTCCCAATAGAGTATAAAGGGGGTATTATAATAAATTGACAGCCATTGAGGGGATCATAGGAATATTACAGAGCCCTTGTGTCATCGTGACACGACCAAAATCCCCCGTCCCCACTCCCCCACCCCGACTCCCTAAGCCGATGAATAATTACCGGTCCCTTAATTTGTCTTGATTTCCGGCAAACTGATATAGTTAAAAAAACAAAGCCCCCATGTGAAAGGTTTATGATATATTTTCCTCTATCTTCTTTGGAGCTTTTCATTTGTCTACCAAGAGAATTATGATGTCAAAAAGAAAATAATCACGATTTGAACATTTCTACCACAGCTCTCCTCTTCCATAGAGTATTTCGCTGATGAAATTAATTGTTTGCGAAAGTATCAAAATAACTCCAACCTTGTAGCGAATGTAACGTATTTGTCAATGATGAGATTTTATCAAAAAACCGCCTGATAAATAATTAACAGAGCTTTATTATTATATAGTTTATCATTGGTACCTTGAAGATGTTTCTGATAAAAGTGGTTTTTCACGCAAGTTAATTGATACATGTATTTGCTTTAAAATTTCCTTTGTTGTAGTATTGATATACGAAACGTTTTGTTATCAAAATCTATTTTTTATGCATTTCCAAAATCTTGTCTCCAGTGCATCGTTGTCATAGAAACGATTACTTTCACGGCCTTGAGATCTGTCTTTGGATCACTTTTACATGTAGATCACCGCACTCATTACAACGTTTTTTAATTGCAGTTTGAGTAAAGATTATTGTTTAAATTGAGCATGAGTTTAAAAGTACATCCGACTGGCCTTGCTACAATATCTTCAAAGGAACTTCGCGAATTACAGAAACTTCATGAACTGGGGAAGAAGTACTGGGTAAGTAACTTGAGATCCGTGTTGTCGGGAGAAAAAAAATTCCTATGGCCAAATTATATGATCTGAATATTCTTAAATTGCTGTAAATTGCAACTATTAGTTTTAGTCTTACCGCTATAACACACTCGGTTTAGAGAGATCCTCTTGTTCAAATGAAGTGTTGATAAGAATCGCTAATGAATCGCTATTTATTTTTAAAACCTGCTTTAATGATCCCTTCATTTCGTTTTTCGTTTGTCCGTTTACGCTTTTTTAAAACTCTGTTAGCTCCTTTGATAAATTCCTATATGAAAACCAACGGTTAGGGAAATCTTAATTTTTCAAATGAATTGATCTTTAGTGCACTTGCGAATTCGAAATAAGGTGCTCCAAGAAACAATAATTTTTCTACCGATAACATTCCCATATATCCAAATAACGAAAAAGTTCGCTTTTAATATCTCTTCTTACACTAAACATTTACAAATCATATAATGTTACAGCAAATTACTAACATTTTGCCAATTTGCTCAAGCCCGCTGCTGATAGGAAACGTTACGAGGAAGAAGTAGCTCGACCTGAGCCACGCCGAAGTAGATATCTGTTCCGCCATCCTTATTCCAGACTCATCACTGCTTACCTGGTTGTTTTCTGTAACTTCCTTATCTTCGCTGAGGACCCAGTCTCCCACAGTTACCGTGAGTGCGTCATTGACGTAATCGGAGAAATATACACCTTCGTATTCATAAGGTAAAGGATTACGGTGGAGTTTTAATGAGTTTCAAGTTCAAAAACCTCTCTTAGTGATTTCTTTGTTAAATTAGTCAACAAACTCGGAAAAAAATTCTGATAAAAGAAAACTTGTGGAAAAATAAAAAAGGCTTAGATAGCTGAGTCGGCCGGTTGTCGAAGTATTTAGTCAAGATTTTTATGAAACGAAATTTATCAGATTTAATAAAGAAATGCCAATTTATGGGAGTCCGTTAGGTCACCTATCCATGTTGAGTAAATTACAAGGTTTTACTGCAACCTGTTATCCCGAACATAGAGTGGTTCTTGTGTTTTTTAAATGAAGGCCTTTCTACAAATCTCCAGGTGGCCTCGCGGTTATTTTTCACTGATTAAGTTCAGCTGTTGGATGTTCGCTGTTGTTCTTGGCATGTGCGTCGGTAAATGGATCGTTCATGGATGGTTATTCTGTAAAAAACTTAAGTTGAAGATGTTTACTGAAGATGGACAAGGTTCGTGGATGGTGATGTTTCTCACTTCGCTTCTGTCGTTGTTCATCTTTAGCTTCGCCTACAATGGTTTCTTAATGTTGGAAGGTAAGTCCTAGAACTTCCCGGGTTGAGATTTTGATATCTGTGCTAGAAATACGTTACACTTAAAATTTTCACACATGACGTGTTTTTGAGTCTACCTGCGGCAAAAAATCACGCCAATTTCAGTATGCTCTCACCCGCTGTGAAAGAGGATATATGAAATAAAAACATTAACAGCAACAACCACTTAGCATCTTTTTGAATTTTTGGCAATTTTTGAGCAACTTTCCAGCATTTTACGAGCGCAATCGGGACAGGCCCACCCACATCACTCGTTCCTATGCTTTGCATAACTGCGAGTGAAAAAGGAACCAGCCAAGAGAGGAGAAATGATATGCAAAGAACCAAGACCTTTATTAACTATGCATATACCACTGCTGACATGATTTTTCTTGGAAGGTAAATACATGGATAAGATGCATGCGAGTAATCGGATGGGGATGGAAAACCAAACGTTCATGAAGGTGGCCGCCATTGGTACATGGCTTGGAGATTTTATAACAGCTTGGATGGTTACAGATATGATGTTACAGGTAAGTAAACAAAACGGCTAACCGGGGAAATCGACGAAAATTGATAGGTATTTGAGACCATACCATAAACGCAACCAGTAGTAAACGTTTTCGATCAGCCACTTGAGAGCATCTCTCATTTCTCCCCAGAAATCCTCCGCTTTTAGATTCAAAATGGCGGCCATACATTTTACGATGGAATAAGTCTGCGCTGCAAGCCAATTTTGATTCCACAAGGCGTAATTATGGTATACGAGTCACCGAGGACGAGATGGCTCCATTATTTTAATATTCTTTGCTTTTTGTTTTTTTGCTTTTTTTTCTTTTGTTTGTTTTTTGTTTTAAATATTCACATTTTCAATACAGTATATCGACAAAATACTGTCCACATTATTTCCATTGTAGGGAGCACAATACGTACACTGGGCACCAGGTCTCCGCCGCTTTTGGAAGACAGGATTAAACCGGGTGTATGCCTTTTGGTTCGTTTTTGTTGCCATGACAATAGTGGTAAGCACGGCGATCTCCACAGACTATGTAAACTGGGACAGATTAAACAGAGACTTTGTAGCGTCCAACGAGTTAGCCAGGGCGTTTTTGGCTTCGTTTATTCTTGTTATGGATTTGATGATTGTCATGCAGGTAAGAAGTACGTTAGAATTTATGATATTTTTAGAGAGTCTCAAAGGAGTTAACCGTTAACCCTAAAACGGCAAAAAAATGTAGCCTTTGGGTTTTAAAATTGATAATTTTAACCGTTAGTCGTTAAAAAAAGTGAACTGTAAAATTTTTTCTTTCAAGCGTAACGGAAAGAAATTAACCGTTAGCCGTAAAATGGCCAACATTTTAACCGTAAGCTGTAAAAGCAATCATCCCATTGAGATTCTCCTTTTCAGGATGTTATTATTTCTATTTCCGAATTAATTGATCTTTTTTTCATATTTTGAAGGACTGGGAGTTTCCCCACTTCGCTGGCTCGCTTGATATAAAGCTCCCAGGAGTGAATTCAGACGCCTTCGATGTTCGACTTCCCTCGTGCTGCGGAGGAAAACCGATTGATATTTATATTACAGGAAAATGGTTTAACTATGGTATCATCTTCATCGTCATGATCTTGGACCTCAACATGTGGAAAAACCAGATCTTTTACGAACCTTTCGCATATGGCCAATACACAGATCCAGAAGGGTACATTTACACTGTGTCTGACAGACAGTTTCTCAGGTGGGGGAACAGATCTCTGCTGTCCTATGAATATCGTTGGAATCACATCAACCCCAAAACTAACATAACTTATGGACTCGAAGATCTGCGAATGAATGCCAAATATAAAGGATATTCTTTGACATTGAAGGGGATCGCATTCGTGCCTTCGATTTTTGCATTTTGTGTCTTTGGTTATTTGCTTTATCTCTTCGGCTTAGAAGAGAACCCCGATGAGGTGTTAGTGAGTAGGTATCGACAGGATGTCAGACGGCAGAGGCAAATAAGACGGTTGAGAAAGAGGAGCAGAAAGGAAGCAAGGATATCGATGGACAGAGAGGAGACTGGGAAATACAGAGGTGATTTGGTGAGTGCATGTCCCCCTCGTGGTATAACTTTCCATTGTACGCACATATGCATATTCGAAGCAGAATGTCGGAAAACCAAGTAATGACGAGAACGAGTCACGAGCTTTGCAATCCTCATCGAGGGGTGGAATTTCTAAGTGATCGGACTCTCAAGAGGTTTTTTAAAAGATCCGACGTTGAAATCGATTCTGGCAAAGGCTCGAGTCTTCGTGGGAGTGGGGTAGGGGGTACAGGTTATTCTCATTTCATTTCATTTCGTAACGCATATTTAGCAGCTCTCGTCTCTCAGTAGACTTCGTGGCTAAAAATGAGGTTAGTTTAGATAGACTGGTCAGTTATCACATTTACAAATGAATGAAGGGGTTAGTTTCTAAAGAAAATATGGTGCTGCGTAGATGAGAGAGTATAACAAGATCAGAGCGAAAGTTTAAGGCTCTAATGAAGGGCTAGCGCTTGAAACGTCAGCTTTAAAAACTCTTTACGGCGGCCAATTTACCTTATCAACGCAGTTGATAATACTCAGTTACCCTGTTATCACATTTGCAAGCACACTCTGGATACACGAAGGGTAATTATAACGCAGTTTTCGTTATCTCTGCACAGCCCAATCCATTTACAATAAATAACTCCCGAAGCTTTAACAGTCTTCCACCTTCTCCGGCCGTACAAAGAAGCCGACAAGAGGAAGTTTTAGACATGAGCCTTTTCGACCACGACGAATCGTCCAATGAGAACGAAGAGACTCTCGACCAATCAGAGGAAAAGAAACCAGAAGTGAAGAAGAACTTCACATATTTCTTTCGGCATCCATACTCTCGCATTGCTACTTCATACTTAGTGGTATTTTGTAACTTCCTAATCTTTGCTGAGGACCCAGTCTCTCATAGTTACACGGACTGTATCATTGACATTATTGGCAATATGTACGGGTTTGTATTTTCAAGGTAGGTCATTACTATTTTCCTTTATTCAGTCTGGGAAAGTATGGTCAAGCTTTTGATTTCTTCGAAGGGAACTTCAGTTTCTTGCGTCAAAGTCTCACCTCTCTCTAAAGGGTATACAGTGCACACATTCTAGCGCAGTGAATTAGTTAGAAGTAAAAACACTATCTCTCCCCTCGCCCTTTGAAGTACCTTGAACGGAACGAAAACCAAACTGAGCTGAGGAAAAAGCTGCCGAGACACGCAACTTAAAGCTCTCCCTCCCCCTGTTAGTACCGATGATAGGCAAATAAAATAGACACCACCGATATTAGCTCATTGTTCCTTTGTTTGCAGGTATCCCCCTGATCTGGGATTCGTTGCTCTTAAAGTCTTCATGTATTTATTCGCCGCAGGACTGGGCATATTCGTAGGCAAATACTTCATTCACAAATTCCTCCTTTGTCGTGTTCTCAAGCTGCGCATGTTCACTGAGGAGGGCCAAGGATCTTGGATGGTAATGTTTCTCACCGTACTGATGTTTCTGTTTATCGTAAGCTTCATATACAACGAGTTTTTGCTTCTGGGCGGAGCACACTTCGCACCTTATGTCTGCAGTAATAACTTGGGAATCGAGAACCAGACGTTTATGAAAATGGCTGCTATTGGCACGTGGCTTGGTGACTTCATCACCGCCTGGATGGTTACAGACATGCTGTTACAGGTAAAGACGCTGCGAGGGGCTGTATTGTTTCTAAAAGTATGTTCTATGTTTTAAGAGGTGAACGCGATGTTGAGACTCCGAAATAAAGGTGCTGCGATTCATACTCTTCGTTCACAGAACACTTAAAGACGAGAGGATGATGTCCAAGTTTTATTTGCCTTTTTTTTCCTCCTTTTCCTTGTTGTTTTGTTTTGTTTTGTTTGTTTGTTGTTTTTTTCTATAAATGCTCCTCAGTCTCACTTTTCATCTTAAGATGACTCATTTGAGGGGTGTTTTGAGGTAAACCGTAGTTTTTACTTCCACTTAAACGATTTCCCAAGAATTTTAACGCGTGTGAGGGTGGTGTGGATTTAATAACCTGATGATTCAGGATTTTTAATTTCTTAGTACCTTAGTTAGTCGCTAATTGCACATGAAGTGAAAAAAAATCCAAAAGATGATACAAAAATTATGAATTTTAACCTAGCTCTTACAATACAGACTTACATTTGGCGAGAAAACGCACAGTAGTATATCTTCAGAAGTTTGGCCGCCACTTTTTCCCCTATCACGTGAGTGGACGATAGGCGAAAGGTAACTGAAACAAATATTGAGGCAACTGCTTCCTGAATAATATGAGACGGCTTGGTGAACGTTTACGAGCTTGTAACGGTACGTTTCTATCCCTCCTAAGGAACCTACACTGCAGAATGGCTTTAACCGAAAATACTTTCCTCGTTCACAGGAAGAACAGTACCCAAACTGGAGTCCACGCCTCAGAGCGTTTTGGAGACGCGGTCGTAACAGAGTGTATGCGTTCTGGTTTATTGCGTGCGGCATGAGTGTCGTGGTAGCCACTGCCATCACAACTGACTATGTCAATTGGGATGAAATAAGCAGAGATTTTATGCCGACTAATGAGCTCTCCAGAGCCTTTTTGGCCTCCTTTATCCTTGTCATGGATCTCATGATTGTTATGCAGGTACCATTCACGATATCTAACAATGAAGCAAGTTCTGACGCAAATTTCCGCTGATTATTGTAATCACACAATCCTTCGCAGCGGTTGTTTGGTCTCTTCACACAACGCGCTCTCTCCTCTCAATAACGGTGGTTGTGTAGAGAACGCGTTAAGTAACGAGACTAACTAACGTGTGCGAAGGAGACCACATGCTTTTAAGCATTAGGTATCTTTCTGTAATTTTCTGACATTATCCCCCAGATTTTAACGATCCAAGACCTGCTTGATCGATTTGAATTGCTTAGCAAACCTGGGCACAATCGGCCGGAAGAGTTTCAAAATTTCTTGACCATTGCACGAAAGACAGAAGTGCGTCATGTAATTGCATGTGAATGAATTTGCCATTCATTTTCCTCTCCATCTCTCAATAGGACTGGGATTTCCCTTACTTTGACGGAGGTATGGAAATAAAACTCCCGGGTCTCAACACAGGGAACTTTCATTTCCATCTTCCCGGGGGAGATATTCACATCACAGGGAAATGGTTTAACTACGGCATCATATTCATTGTCATGATTCTGGATCTAAATATGTGGAAGAACCAGATCTTTTACGAGCCATTTGTTTACGGTCAGTACACTGATGATGAGGATTACATTTATACCGTTTCTGATAGAGATTTCTTAGCCAATGCTACTGCGGAAACATTGAGTTACGCTTGGCGTTGGTCACACAATAAGCCACTGACAAACAAGACCTACGGCTTGGAGGATCAAAAAATGAACTCAAGATACATAGGATATGCTCTTAGCGCAAAAGGTACAGCGTTTATCCCGTCTCTATTTGCATTTGCCATGTTTGGAATCCTTGTGAAGTGTTTTTCCAAAGGTGGACCTCCGCCGAAAGTGGCGCCTTCTGTCGAAAACGACACCACGGACGCCGCCGTCGAAGAGCGAAACATAAACGATGGAATTACAAATGATGCAGAACTCACTTCATCAATGCCACAAATTAGAGAAAGTCGTCAGTCAGTGGCAAGTTCCGAAAGCGTGTTTGATGCCAATAAAACCAAAAATATCGGCTCCTTCTTCAGCGTCGATAGCTCACGTCATGGTCTAAATGCGCGACGTGATGACCTTGACAGTTCACGCGATAACTTGGAGAGTTCACGAGATTTTCTGAATAGTTCACGTGAAAACTTGAGCAGTTCGGCCGATAACTTGGAAAGTTCACGTGATGATCTCCACAGTGCACGTGATGATCACGAAAGCTCTCGTGACGACCTCAGAAGCTCTGTTGAAAATCTCGCAATTTCACCGAAGGGCGTGGTGTCTGGCACCTCGTCTCGACCAGCCTGGTCATTCGACTCTCCGCCAAAAACGACTGCAAGCAAGAAGGGAACTAAATGCAGTGGCAGTTCTGACATAGAAAAAACGATTCAAAATCCTCAGTGCTCTAATGACGACCAAGATAAAGAAAATATGGTGCAAGACTTTGTACAGCAGCTGTCCTTTTTGAACCTCGAAGGTGAAGACAATCAAGCCACTAGTAAAGATAAGGACTCATCACCCGAAGAAAATAATCTTGCAGTGGAGAGCAAGGACGACAGAGCTTTGTCATTTGGTGAGTTGTTTCGCCGAGATCCTACCAGGTCATCCATGTCCCAACTCTCTGCTACTTCGTCTGATGACGAAGACAGACATGTAGACTCAAACACGGACGTCAAAATAACGAAAATTCTTTTCAAATACCACGTAAAAAGTGAATGAACCGAAACCTTAAAAGTAATTTCTGAGGTTGTAAAGACATAGTAAAAAGTAGATGAAGTAACTGCGTTATAATTTTAGGTTATAAAAGTTTATGGTCGTGTATTGTTTAAGAAAGCAAGTTTCGTGTCTGCTTAGTGTCCATTCAATAATTTGCCTCCAAAAGACAATCATTGGTGAAAGGACAAAAACTTGTACTCCATATGCTTAAAGACCCACGACAGTATCAATAACTTTTCATCACGTGTAAATTAAACACGTTACAAAGTAACTTGATAATCATCAGCATGATAGAAGAAACTGCAATAAATTAAAAACAGTTAGCTTGGCTTCATAAATGCCCACACCAGCCAGGTTGGCCTAACCACGGAGGTCACCACACAAAGTAGCTATCACTGAGATGCCTTTTTAGGACGCAACTTTGACGACTAAACCAAAAGAAAAATACTTACAAGTCTACAGATAGATGTTGGCGCCGTTAGTGCATTACTGCCTCCACATCAACTAACAGCAGAAAAACCAACGGCCTATCAGAAATAAGTTTTTTGCTCTCTCAGTAATGCACCCGACAACCAAAATGCAAGTTTTTTTTTTTTAATCATTTTTTATTTTCTTTTTGGAATATAGAGAAATTTTGAATTTATTCAAAATCAAATGCGACTGCGTTTTACGCGCGTTTGGTTGGGAAGGGATGACTCGATTTTGGCTAAAAGCTGCTCGAAACTTACTTACATGTACTAACAGATAAAGGGGGTAAGTTTTTAGAGTAACCGTATAGTGTTTCTTCGATGGGGAGTATAACATGATAATTTGGTTTTATCTGAGCGAGTTGATGATATAAATTGGCCTCCGGAAAGAGTTAGTAAAGCTGGCGTTTCGACCGTTAGCCCCTCGTCGAAGGGTATTGAAAGATAACAAAAGTGATTAAAATTATTACGGTCCTCATATTCGATTACGGCTCCTACTAAACGTGATCAACTTCCCAGACATTTTCCAAGTTTATTTCAATTTGTTCTTATGAGGTGTCATGTAGCAACATAGGAAATAGTTACTCGATCTGTTTTGATTAAGACCCCTTCTGCGAATCTTGAATGCGGTTTCCGGTGACTTCCGGAAGAAGCGCTCGATATGAAACAAGGCACTCGTCAAAATCAAAACCCAATCATGCTGGTGAAAAAAACCTTAATACGCCTTTTCATGTCGATTCCGTGTACAAGGCCCTTGTGCTGACACAATGAACTAAGAGCGGTTAAGTGTTCTTTGGCAACTCTTCATCTGGACATCGTATCATATTTTGCTTCTGATGGGTAGACGCTCTTTTTCTGAGGGACTTTTCTTTTCTTTGATAAGTGTTAATGAAGCTATTGATATGCGTGACTGGGGGTATGTACATGTCTAATCGGCGAGCGCGCACATCACGAAACGCAGACCCCCTGAATTGCACGTGATGTAGCCGGATATGATTTGTCCCTTAAATTTCTATAGAGTTTAGGAGTGCTCTTTATCGGTGTTTGTTTCGAAAGCATTTCTTAATTGCAGACCTCCGAGCCCTCGAGGTAGCGATAGTCGGCCAGAAATTGGTCAGAGTCTCAAAGATCGAAGTGCAAGAACCAAAATATTTTTCGTGAGTTCTTGTGTATAGCGTGAATGATTCTTCTTTCAGAGGGGGTCACTGAAAATGTTTATCACTCAGCAGGCCGATGAAAGTTCTCTCCTCATCTCCGAATCTTTTTTACCATTAAATTTCACACGGGACGACTGCCGTGGCAGTCGTGTCGTAATTTAAAGAATAGCATTCTATAAATTACGACACGACAGACATAACTGTGCAGAATAATCTCCGAACTCATAATAATATCCCTTTGATAATTCTTTACGAAGCCGACGTACTTTTTCTAGGTTCATGTTTCACTTGATCGTAATCTGTCATCGAATTTCTAATCACTAAAACTATTTCTTGGCGGCGTTTCGGGGGAAGGGGAAGCTGTAGAATTTGAAGATGGTTTCAATGCATTTTAGACCTTTTCGAGTTACAACTTTAGAGAGCATAATTCCCTGCAGTAATCCTTCGTAAGGAGGATCGTGGTTCATATGGTTAAACAATTCTCCTTGACACGATTGGTCTGTTTTTGCTCAACAACTCAAGGCGTCAAAACTTGAACGAGTCGCAGTCGTGAGGTGCTTTCTTGAATTACGCAGCGTGGCGAAATTGATGATAACAACTCCGCTCTGTTTGAGTATAAGGTCGACGCTGTTCAAAAGGACTTACCTTTATGAAACAATAATAACTTTATTTCGAAGAGGAGAGGAAAAAAACAACGAGTCCGAAAAGCAACTTTTGGTAGTTTTTCTTTGTTTACAAATATTACGTTGTACGGAATGTTAGAACTTTAGACTCGTGAGGACACAAAACTATATTCTGGACTGGATGATCTCAGTTTAGGGTGAATCATTGTACGAGGAAGAAATGTCGACACGGAAATATTGCACGAGCCAAGACCAGGGACTATCGCGACAAAGTACGAAGACGTACAAGGCAGTTCGACAAAAATCAAACGCTGAGCTTAGTGAGAAACTTCGCCGCTTAGACAAGGAACACTACACGACTATCTCGAAACTCTTGAATGAAAGGTACACTTGGAGAACGATTCATTACAATTTACAACGCTCTGGAGAAGAGTCTTCTTCAGATAGCGATGGTGACAGCGGACCCGAAGACGTTCCACATTGTACTTTCACTGCCGAGGAGGAATGCCAAACTGTAGAGAAAAAGGTTCAGGGTGCGCTCATGGACAACGCTAAGAAACAAAATTTTCTTCAGTTACCGAGCATAATTGAGGAATCAACGGCGATTTCGAAACAGAGATCTCCGAAATTAGGTCGGAGTCCTCTTCCACCGCTGTCAGAACATGGCTTCCCGACTCGTGTTCGACGAAACGCCGAGAGCAACCACGAAAGGCCGACATTAACACGGCAGCGTCAACGAAGCACGACCCTTCCCGTGGGTCATATGTCTGGGGACAGACAAAGAAAGACGGACTTCAAGAAAATGACGAAACATGACAAGTTATTTCATGGCGAAGGAAAACGAGTGGGTGACGATAAGTCCAGTCTGAGCAGAACTCAAGACGATAATGAAGTGAAGAACACGACTTTGTCGTGGGAGGATCAGATGCATGGCTGTCGGTATTTAAGATCGCACAAGAGGAACTCGACATCTGACATTCTAGACTTGAAGGAAATATTTGACGTAACCTCTGATAGATCAACGAGTAAGAATGATTAGCGTTAATTTATACTTAGCGGAAGGAAGCGTGCGAAAAGACCGTTTATTGGCCATACAGACCGCAATCTAAAACCAAGGATAAATTGCCCTTGGAGGGAGTTAATCAAAGTACGGAGAATCTTTCAGCTCTACTATCTTAATTTCCAACAAGTGCCTAAACAAACATCAGCTAAGCAAGTTAAGGAAAGATTATATTGTTACTATCGGTTGACTTTGTTTGCCGCTGAGTGCCTGCTTAGAGACTACAGAGTATACCATAGCGCATGTCAAACCATCTAATAAGTGTTATAATGAGATCATGATCTCTTGGCTTGAGATTATTATCTCTTGTCTCCTGGGTTTATATTGCATGTCATAGCTCGCGGATTTGAAGATAAGGAATTGGGTGAATGCAAAAAACAAACAAACAAACCATAAAACTGATAATTAACAAGGATGATCATGGATGGAGAAAAATGACACATGCCAACGAAAACCTCAGACTAAGATTTTCATTATGCCCAAGCGCTGCAGTGGCTGGTAGGGGAGCAAATAAAGCCCCCCTCTGATCTGAAATTATGATAATTTTAATACTAACTAAAATTCGTAATTATAAAAAAATATATGGTATGTTCCTGTATTCATGTAAGCCGCTATTGTGAAACCAGCCCTCTTCACCAATGTCTCTTCGTATGTGGGGGGGTGTGACAGAGACGTTGCTGGACACCTGATAGGACGGAGATTAGTGTGTTGAAACTTCTTGCCTACTTAAAATGACGATGGAAGTATTTGAGCTTCTGATGTTAGTTTTAATACGATGTTCAACAAATCATACATCGATCGGTTGATTACTCTCGTTCACCAGGAGTGGTAGCCTGCGTGCAGGCCCAAAAATAATACCGCTTTGGTACGAGCTACTCCTCGCCCGCGGGAAAAGCAAAGCGAGCCGGCTCGAGGTTTACAAACGGTCTTGTATTGATTATTAGTGCCTGATCCGCGACAAACCTCCCCCCGACTCGTCTCCAATCTTCCCGCGGGCCGAGAAAAGCGTGTTACGTCTGCTCCCTGGCTTCTAAAGGGGAAAATTCTGAAGACTGATCACATCACCAAAAGCACACAGAATATGTTTCTAAATCGCTCTATTCAGCTCTTAGTATTCTGCTAAGCATATTTCTATGCACTTAAAATTCTTATTAGATAGGGGATCTCCCTATTTTCATATCCTCTCCCTCACTGAGAGTGTTCACGGCCTTTAAATAATTTTTATAACGCATGAAATAACCAGTTATTTCAGTTAAACAGTTTATTGCAGTTTAATTTATTTCTTGTGCTCGACGCCTGAAGAGCAATAAAAACATTTTAAGAATGAAAGAATGCACTGACAAGCAACACTTAGTTGTAAATACCTTTAGGTATCCAACAGTGTTGTAAAATTGAATTCAAGGCGAAAACTTATGAAAGTATTATTAAGCAGAGAAGGCTCATTATGGTAATCGTGATGAGCAATAAAAAGGATGAACATAAGTTTAGATTGGTTCGAGCATCGAAAAACCATGACGATACATGTTCACTACTTTGCAAGCAGTCCTTGCCTAGTCTTTCTGTGACTCCGCTGTCCGAGTGTACTCTGAGAAAGGGTCAGTGCTTCTTGGCGACATATTTCACTCGGTGTTGCACACGCTGTTAACATGGCGGGATCCTCTGGTATTACAGGTGACCGCAGGAAGATGTCCACCACTCCTTAGTAGCGTTGGCGTAGAATAACCTTCTTGCTTCCAATTCGACATCTTGAGTTTCTCTTTAGTCTGAAGTAATGATTTGTGAGGAAGTAAGGAGAAGCTTGTTTCTAATCCTCGTCCTCTTCGTCACTGAAATAAGAACTCTGTACAATTTTGCGCTTTTTAGCGCTGCCGCCTCCGGTAGAAGTACTGCTCTGATTGGATGGTTCATCTTTGGAAGCCATTCTAGCGCACTCGTCGATAACAGCACTCAAGCTGAACTCGTAGGGGTCTTCACCAGCATCTTCTTCTTCTTCCTCGTCTTCATCTTCTTCATAGTCATCGCTATAAATAAATTACAATTACAATTTTGATCATCAAATTTTAGCAGAACAGAACCAAACGCTGTTGGAGTCGTCTGGACGACCTACAGAAAGTTAGAACTACACATCAAAAAATTAAACGTATAACTTGAGGTGTTAAGAGTCCTGCTCACGTCTTGCTAGGGTCACGTTTGACTAAAGCTTTGTGTGTAAATGTATTGGGAAAGATGGTACATTTGGAGCTTGACACATGTGAGCCAGCCTGTGCAACTCTCAGTAAGTAGACACGCGAAAATCTGGCAAAATGCTAAGCAGTTGCGGGATCCACGCTCTCATTTCGCGAACTCAATTTCCACACACCCACTTTTGGCTGGTGTCTACTGACTGAGAGACTAGAAAGCCTATCGAGTTCTCTGCGGCTCTATAGTAGAGCATTCGACCGCGAAAATGTCGGTGGTTCGAATCCCTAGGGAGACTAAGATTATTCTTCGTCCAACGCAGGTGCACTACAGGTAAACTCTCCACTCAAAACTAAAAAAGTGATCGGCCTACTCTTGCTTCTTCCTCTTCTTTTGCTTTTTCGGGGGAGGCTCTCTATCTCCGAGCATGTTTTTTGGACACTGGTAACTTAAATGTCCATATTCCTGTTTAAAGAAAGGAACACCAGATCGTAAAAGAAGTTAGTGGATTACTCGTAGTTGTACACTAGTATGAATAAAAGAAAATCTCCACGAAAACTCAAGAAACTCCTGGAGGCAAAGTTGATAAAGGATCCCCTTTTACCATCCACGTTAGGGTGACTAGGAGAAGAGAAACTTTAAGAAAGACGTAAGAATTCTCCCGCTTCTCTCCTTTTTTAGTTTTCACGAAAACCTCCGGAGCTAGCTTCATTTCGTGAAGATCAGTCACCCGTATCGAATCGCGACCATAGAGGCAATATCCAAGATAATGGTGTGAATGTGTAACTGTAAGAAATGAGAGCAAACAAAAGGCTTATGAATTGCACTTGAGTCATCTAAATCTTGATGAATCGGTAAATCTTTATTTGGTCAAATAGAAGCCAACATTCTTTTCCATTGATCTCTTTCCCTTAAGCCATTTTTTTCGGTCTTAGCAAATATTCAGCTTTGCTCTGTAATCGGCTAAAACTAAGAATATCGTGCAAAACCTTTCATCAGCAAGATTAAAGATATACATGTCATTTACACACTAGTTTGTTAACGCCTTACTATGACATAACTTTTATAGTGTTTCCATTTTCAAAGATCGTAGGTAATAACACACCGACTTCATTCCCTCATGCGCCTTCACTTACGTTTGAGAACTTTGTGTTAATGTAAATTTGCTGGAACAAAGCGCGCTATCGATGTGATTTACCTGTAAAAGCACTTATATAACTCGGCTGTGTACAATACTAAACCTTGCCATATGAAGCCGAACGATACTCTTTCCTGATAACAATCTTTTCTTTAACCCATAAAATCAAGATTCAAGGGCAATACAAGATGTTACATTTACAGAGATAGTGCTAATTGTTCAATTAGTTTGTTGTAAGCGTCGAAGAACCAATCTCTGGCTGGGGCATGTTCCGTCATTGAAAGTAATTTCCAACTTGCATCGAATCCAAGAATTTCAAAGATTTTCTAGTTTCACACCAAGCAAAAGCGCTCAGTTATCACAGTTCGCGAACAACAACAACTAAAAATTTTAACTGTTGTCTCGGGTTTGGTGAGAAATAATTGAATAATTTCAGCACATTCGGCTGTTACATGTACGGATGTACATGTTTCAAAGAGACATCCGCGCAAAGATTTCTACATGCTATGTCCATCATCAATATTTTAGGGGAAAACGTATTAGTTCAAGTGCAGTATACATCAATTAATGTGCATCTCTTTTCATGCCACGCTCATAACCTGAAAATAATTTTCAAGTTAGGACCTGGCATAGAAAGAAGAACACAGAGAAATTCCTTAGTCACGTCCTAAATTTCAGATGTTATAGTTTAGTAAAGAGCAAAAAAAATAAATGACTTAGTTTCTAATACCAACAATCACAAAAATCCGCAATTAAAGTCTGTGAAATTAATCTTTGAATATTTTCACCATATAACTGAAACATCTTTCTGCTACATCTCTCATCAATATTTTGGGGAAAAGGGACATGGCATAAGTGCAAGGTGGTATCCCTTTCTCTATCTGACTCTTAATCGGAAAATAATTTTCAAGTTAGAAACTGGCACGGGGAGAAATTCTTATGTGTCAAGTCCTAGATTTCAGAGATGTCCTAATTTCACACTGGGCAAAAACCACTTTGTTTACACATCTCACGAACTACAACAAGTAAAACCTTTAACCAATTATTTTCTATTTATTTATATTTAAACATTATCACCACAATTGAGAGATACAAAGAATCTTTCAGAAATCTGTCTGGGTAACATTTAATTATAAGCTATCTTTCCATCAATATTCATGGGAATAAATGAAATGGTGCAAGTGCAGTATCAAATAAATTGAACAAGGTGCATCTCTTTCTATACCATGCTCGTAACCTGAACACAATTTTCAAGCTAGGACCTGGCATGGGAAGAAATAACACAAAGACATCCATAGTTCAAGTCCTAAATTTTCACAGTTGTTTTAGTTTTGCACTGTGCAAAAGCACTCAGCTCATGCAGTTCACAGACACCTACAATCATCACAACTAAAGAATTCAGCCCTTATTGTCTATTGTATGATAAATAAACGTTTGCACATTTTCACCACATTCACTAATACATACAATCTATCAGAAATTTATCTATGAAACACCTATCTTTTATAGATGCCATCTCTATCATCAATACCCAAGGGAGATTTGTAGTGGTGTCAGAGCAGTACAAATTAAGCAAGATGCATCTCTTTCTATACCAGGCTCCTAACCTGAAAACAATCTTCAAGTTGGGACCTGACATGGAAAGAAATACTACAGAGAAATTCCTGTGTCACATCCAAGATTTTGACAGAAGTTTTGGTTTGGTACAGCACAAAAGCACTAAGTTCATACAGTTTGCAAACACCAACAACTACAGAATTCAACCAATTTTTTCAGTTGAATGATTAAGAAATGTCTGAAATGTTTACCACATTTTACAAATATGATCATGGTGAAAAAGGATATCTTCATTCTTAAAAATTAGAGGATGTTTTAAAGTTAAAATAAGTACTCTCTTGATTGCCTGTGACAAGTTGCCTAAATACAGTTTTCCATCACTTCAGCATCCTAAAGGATAATCAAGGCTGCCCTAATCCATCATCATCAAAATCTTCTAAAAGATATTCAGAATTGTTTTTATTGTTGCAAAAGTAACCTCACCCCACATTCATAGCAGTGTGACTTGTCTGGGTAGTTCTTTCTTCTAATGAACTCTGTGGCCCGTCCATTGTCATTTGCGATGGAGCATTTTATTGTGCGACCAAACATCTGCAGAAGAAAACCATTCTCTTACATGCATTAAAAACTGAAACAACAATGTCAGAAAATAGCAGTTTTGATAACAGGTGCAAACACCACCCAATCTTCTTGTTTACTGTACAACAAATGAAAAACTAAAGTATGTAGATCTCTACATCAGTGCACTTAAATTTCTATCAGAAAGTGACCATTCACAATGACACAAAAAAGTGAACAGCTCTTATGATGTACCTGTAAAGGGTCTTACTACTAGCTTTGCACTTGACAAAGTAATAAGCTGGCAGTGAGACATGAACAATTTGTATTCCAACCTCAGCCTTAGAGGGACTAACATCACATTTCTCCATACAATATCACCTAAATCAAACATTAAGGTCATGAAAATAAAGGGAATTGATCACAAACTAAAGAAGCTTATGATTGTAAATCAAATTCTCAATTTCAGTGCCTAAGGAAATGTATAGAGAACCACATGGAGAATATACATACTAATGTTAAGGTGCAACGGGTTAATTACATGTAGCTTATAATGTACCTGTTTCTTGTTGACTGCTGCCACTGCCTTGTGTGCTGTCTGCCGATCCAAGAACAACACAAATGCCACTCCTTTGCTCTCTCTTGTCTCCTTGTCTCTAAGAATTGTCACCCTTCAAAAAAATCCACAATGAAAATGTAACTTTTTGTATCATATGTACAGTAATCAGCATTTGAAGGATGAAGCCAAAATTCTACAAACTATCTTTAAAGAGTACTCATTTTTTTCAATCAGTATTAATGATTTTATAAATTGTAGTCATGCAGATCTAAATACTTACTTCACAACTTTTCCATACTTTTCAAATATCTGGTAACAAGACAAAATCATTCAAAATAAAGTATTGTCAGAACTGCTTCAGAAACTTAAAGCAACAAGTACATTGTATGAATGGTTTTGTCGGGGAAGTGAGCCTTAAAAATCCATGAAGAGCAAACCAATTGATCAAATTGACAAACAAATTTCATGTTGCTGTAAGTTTGTTCAACAATAGATCACAGATGACATGAAAATCTGGTAAGAACAAAAAAGTGGCCCACAAGCTACAGCAGAGTGTGTCATTTATTTTCTTAATGAATACTGATGTCTTCCATAATCTATCACTGTACAGACCCATGGAAACATGGAATCTATTTGATAGATTCTACATGATAAAGAGGCCAGAAAGATAAAATTTCAGTTGCTGATGGTAACCTCATCTACATACTTGTCCTCCTATGAAATCTGTTCAACGGCAGCATTTGAAGTTCTAGCCTGGCCAACTTACAACATGTATGTTATCCGACAGAGCTGAATAATGAAATGCTACCTCACAGCTATGTGGACAATAATATGCACTCAAAGTTAAAAATTTGGCAAAATTTGTGGAGAAAAATAGGGCTGGCATTTAAAACAGAAGTATTATGTTGTTATTAAGGGCATTTTCCTCTTTCCAGGGCGTGAAATTGTGCCTAATACAGGCGCCAATGCGACTAAATTTTTCACTTTGGCAACCAAATCCTGAAAGTTAGTTGCCAAATTGGCGACTAGAACGTTTCATCATAACCTTACCAAGAGATATAGTGAATTAAAAAGATTTGCAAAGATAAATCCGCGGCAAACTTCCTCGTTAAGTTTGTTTCCAAAACGTAGCACATGCATCTCGATCGATAACTAGACGCCATCTTGGATTTAGATGAGCCTGAACGTTGTTTATCATCCATCCTAGTGTCCACCTTGTAGCACGTTAAAGATCTTTTCCCCAACTTAATTTTGGAGGGTCTATCTAGAACGCTGACAGCGTAAAGAAAGATTTTGTTTGTCTTTGAAAATGGCGACCAACTTTTTTTGAATTGGCTACCACTTTGAAGAATTTAGGAGCCAAGTGGCTATCAGAAAAAAAAGTTAATTTCACGCCCTGCTTTCTGGTGTTTTTAAGGAGAAAATTAATTTTGGAAATATTTAGGGGGTGTACAAAGTTTTTGGAAGTTGTTCTGTAAAAGAAAAGTCGCAAGGGAAACAATGCCTAGAAGCAACAGAATAGAAAATCTAAAATGCAAACGACTCAAAAGTCATTTTCTGCGCCAAAGCCTGGCACATGCCCAAACTTTATTCAGCTCTGTCATGTTACCCAGCCATGCATCCCTTTAATCATTAACAATCATTTAAAGTTGTTTATTAAGTTGAATGTTGAAAGTCTTGTTCACAATTGAAGAGGGAAGGCTTAGAACATTCTGCAGACCTTACACTTTTCATGTAAATCTGATTAAGTAATAACTATTTCCATAGGTTGTCAAAACATCATTCAAACCAACAGCCACCCTCACCTTGATGATCACACCACCTAAAATAACTTTTTTAATTCTAATTTTAAAAAGGAACAATCATATTCCAATGAAACAATAAAAAATGAAACAAAAAACACATTTGTATTCCAAAAGTCAAGCTAGAGGTTGCCAAAAGATCTTTTCATTTTACTGGTGTGATAGAATTTAACAGTCTCCCACGACATATCAAATCAGAGGAATCCTTCACAGAATTCTCAAGTGAGACTAGAGACCTTTTCCTTAATTAGATGATTAGTTTTATACGTAGATGTATACTTCTTTTTATATATTTTAAGCCAGGTGAAAATTCTTAGTGAATTTTTACCATTTTAGACCTTTTGTACTTTTACTCATGTACTCTAATGATGGGACCTCCTTAAATACCAGCGCTTATTACGCTGAAAGGGTTATCCTATATAAATATTATTATTATTATTATTATTATTGTCATTATTAGTATTATTATTATTAGTATTATCATTATTCAAATGTTTGGTCCAAGCTGTAAATGATTACCTTGTGCAAGTCATTGTTTGTGAGGGAATAAGGTAAGTTTCCAACATATACTGTAGATTTGCTTGGTGCTAGCCCTCCGCTCATATCAACAACTAAGAAAAATAAAATTTCATTCCAAAAATTCTTGTATCACAGCAATCAAAAACAGAATCAAATGAAGAATCTTTGCATGCATATTGATGAGTTAAAACTTCCTGGATTCGATGTGGTCCTAAAAAAATTTTCCATACATTCTTTACTAAATGCACCCCATAAGTAAAATATTTGAACTTTTTCCTTTTCAATAGCTTATTACTCTATCAGTTTTTAGCAGTTGGATGAATAATGATCAGAAACTTAAAGCAACAAACTATTGCCGTAATAAAAGGTTTAACTTTAAATCTAAATGGTAACACCACTCATTAAGGTTTGAACCTATTGAAGACACTGAGTATGATTTCTGTATTCATAGAAAGGATCCTAATTTTAAAGGAGCTATCTCACTACTTGTGCAAGTGCAGTAAAAATTGAGAAACTACTAGCAACACCAATGGACCATTGGCAGTCATTCCCATCAGGTTTCAAGCAATCCATTTAATCCTAAAATGTTGCAAATGCCAGGAGGTATAACATTTGACTCACTTTGTGATGCTGTGAATATCTTACGGATACTTTGATTCTACAGTTTTAAGTCTCCAAGTCTTTGTTTGGTTGTGCAAGCTTAAGAGTATAAAGGAGGATTTCAGATGCCTGCTTCAGAAGAGTTTTCTTTTTGTATAGAACGAAAGGTTCAGAAAAAATATTTCAAAAACAAATTCTGAAAGGAGGAATTTTTCCTATACACATCTTTACTTGATTCAAGGATGCATTGGTCAATTTTAGGATTCTTCACAACCACTCTTGGCTTCTTTGTTATATAATATTCCTCAATTCATTGGTAACAAAATGATGCAAATTACTATCAGCTATTTTCCATTTGTCTCATTTTACCACTTGACAAACTAAAAAGGCAAATTTTATTGAAATACACTGTTTTTCACCTCAATACCAATGTGTTTTTCCTCTGAATGGACCTTGCCCAGTTTTATCGTTTTTGGAGTGTCCAGAAAGAAATTTGTTGATGGTATCAAACTCCTAAGGTGGCTTTCTTGTAAAATATTTTTACTTTAATTTGTATTCTGAATTTTTAAATTTACTTTTAGGATACTTATGAATGAAACTGTCCTCTATGCAATACAGTTATATATGTTTGTGTTCTTTAAATTTGATGAAAATGTAAGATTTAGCTTCTTTTCTCATTTGATGCTTCTAATGGGCTTCGTATAATCTTCAGGTTCTGTTTTTGTTGAGAGATAAAGCCCTGGAATTGATTGAGATTCTCAGGACACCACCAGAACACAAATTTTCAACAAGTTAAAATTGTAATTACAGTGCCTAGCATCATATACAGCAGTGCATGACAAAAAAGTAACTCGAGATTGTTGGCCTTTAAGATTGGGAACAACAGCGATTTGATAAACTGGTAATTTTTTTTTCATCGTAAAGATGGCATTATTTCCCTCTGTATGACGAAATGCATTTTAAGACACCTTCATTACCCCGGATGAACTCTACGTGCTAACTCGCAACGTGAAATAGCTTCTTTAAAATTAAGCTGAGACATCAGACGTTTCATTCCAATAAGCAAACAATAAAACTGAACAATAATGGCTCGGTGCTTCAAGTTTCTACAACGAATATCAGGAAATATCGAATGAAACAAACGAAGGTAAAGTTTCCGCAAAGCCCCATACTGTTGTAAAACAAATCTGTTTTCCCGATGGAAATGTATTGTTTTTGTCATCGTTTTCTCTGTTCTAGAACTAAATGCATAATGTAGGATGGGGCTGTGCGAAAATTTTACCGAATAAATGTGGGTCTATTGAAATAAGCCCACTGTCGCTCCAACAAAAGAAGTTTCTTACATCCGTAGTTTTTACCGAAGTAGCTAAATGATGAGACGCGATTTTCGAGGCATCAATTGACAAATCAATCATAACTATAGTCTCATAGTGTTGAAACGTACTTCTAATTTTTTTTCATACCTTTTCGAAGTCATTTCATTCAATTCAATAGCAAGCACCTCACCCCTCGCCATGCTTCAAACTGATTAAACCTTAAATGCTAAACGATAATCTTCGTGGAATGTTCGTAAGGTTTTCGTGACATAAAAATTTTTATACGAGTGCGGCGTGGCTACCAAGCTTAAAGCATTTTCAAAACATTGCCAGCTTGAGAGAAATATTGACCTCGTGTTTCTAGCGTGCCAGTATTGCATTTTATCTTTAAACTGGAGGCATGCCAGTGTAATTAGAGGTTTAACATGTTCTTATTGAATAAGTTCATCTTGTATTTTCTTAAGTCTAACAGGCCTTGATGCGTTCTTTTACGCATGAAAATCGAATTTTGCGGTGGTTGCTGGTTGTTGTGACATTGCTGACAGTCCTTCAAGTTCCAGAACTGCTGGGGGAAAATTTATTGAATGGAGCAAGACTGGGCACGTTTCCAAAACCGGACTTTCGAACCAATTTTACCCTTAAGTCAAACCAGGGCTCTGGTTCATACAAGGAGATTCGTCATGGGCTAAATTCGGATCCATTTTATGTGCGAGTCTTTGCAAGGCCCACAGACGGGAACAACAGTGGTTTTTGCTTTAACGGAATAGGCTCCAGTCAGTCTTCTCCGTCAAGAAGCTCTTTTGGAGGCTTGATATTTGCGTACAACTCAGATTTCGTTCGCATATGGGCTCCGTCAGATCTTAAAGGCCATGTGGTGTTCGTGAAAGACGGATGGGGAGGTGAAGTGAACACCCAACTGTCGAACGAAGCCGAAGTTGTTGTCGAAGTATGGAAGGACGGACCGGTGCCTACATTTCAAATTGAACACATTATTGACACACGGACGAAAGAACCAAACAAGGCGTACCTACTAATAGATCATGAATTGAGACAGTTACCGGAAAGAGTTGTTGTCAGATTGTCGCCCCTAGAGACAAGTGATGCGGAAAGAAACCCAAATAAAGGATTTTGGTTCCATGGAATCGCTTCATCCCAAAATCCTGATCCAAGTAACAACTTTGGCGGGGTAATATTCGCTTATAACGAAAGATGGGTTCGTTTATGGGCTCCTGATGGACTTAACCAAACCACTGGATGCATTTCTATCGGTGAAGAATGGGCAGGGGGATTCAATTCACAAAGAGTTAAAAAATGTAAGGTGGAGATTTTGCTTTGGGCAAATCAGCTTCCTGTCCCAACTTTTCAGTCAGATTGGTTTGGCCTTAGAGGTCAGAGAGATCAACATTCATTTGCAGAAATTTATCATGGTTTGAAAATATTACCATCTCTTGCCATTGTGCAAATTAAAGCATTGAACGATATGAATATTGGCTATGTATTTGAAGCGCAAGGTGCAACACAGTCAGACGATGATGGTTTTAATGAATATGGTGGAGTGGTTTTTGCCTATGATGAGAACAAGGTCCGAATTTGGGCACCAAGCAAACACGATGAGTCAAAGAAGGGGTATCCTATTCTTGTGAAGGAAGGTTGGGGATATGGCTCCAATAGTCAAAAAGGTGGATTTGTCAACGTTGAAATCAGAGTTGTTTTGTATGCCAGCAAATGCAATAGTTCATCTCAAGTAATATTTGAGGGTGACCATTGTATTACAGCTCTTTATGACTCCTACAAGACTCTATCGTCCTGGTCACAGTGTTCTAGTATTTGTAATAATGGAACACAGAAGAGAACATTAACAGGTGAATATTGTTCTGGGAAAGATTTCTGTGCGACTTTATAATTAATTATGCATACAGTTCTTTGATAAAACAATAGCAAACAAATTAGGACTAGGGTTTTTGCTTTTGAATTGTATGGAAATCTTTCCTTGCTATAAGATTTAAACTACTGTAACTGATACTTGTAAGTTCTCTCCTGACTGATATGAATATTGAAGGTATATAGAATGAATGTAAACATATACTTCTGTATGTTAAGAAATACATATCAAAAAATATTGGTGCTAATCATGGTTATATAACTTTACCAATTGTTTGTTGGAGGGGGCCACTCTCAGTTTTACATGAATAAAACCCTTTCCTAGGATGATGTCTTACAGTGTCTTTCCCCACCTAAGAGGTTGTAAGACTGCCTGTAAATAGGCTGGGAATTAACTCTGATTACATTTTAGGACAATAACCTGTATTGCACCAGCACCCCATCTAGAAGAAGTAGCTTAAGATATTCTTCTATTTGGTAACACTTTAAAAGCTGCTTCAAGCATTGACCATGTGGGTTTGTGTAAAGACTTCTGTTGGCTAATTTTAAATGGCAAAATTTAGGATAAGTACTAATGCTGATGCTTTGAATGTGTTTTCTCATTTCATCTCTTTTTGCAGGTTGCCAGGTCACAGTTAAAAAACCTGTGTTCCCTTCATCTTGTGATTTTGAGAATGGAATGTGTGGGTGGACTTCAGCGATTGGGGGTGGTGCTAAACTAAAATGGATTAGAACTAATACCTCTACTCCTGCCTCAAACACAGGACCTTTGTGGGGACATCCTAAAGGCTCTTTCTACATATACACCAATACTACAAATGCTAGAGTGTCTGATCAAGGTACATTATTGTATTTTCTAAAAGTAGCAAGAAACAGTCACAAGGGGTGAAGAAAAATGAATCAAGGAAGTTCAAGTGAAAACATTACAGTTTTTGTATTCTTCCATATACTGTACCCTTAAAAGAAGATGTTATCAGTAATTGTGGTTCTTTGTTTTCTTGCCCTAGCTTTCTTAACAAGTCCAAATATTGGTGGTGCTGGCAATTGTTACTTGCGATTCTTCTGGAACATGTATGGGAGTGATGTAGGCACACTTGCTGTGCATGTTAATACCAAAGATCCTCTTTTGACCATTTATCCTAAATGGTCAGAATCAGGTGAGTGTAAATACTCAGATCACTCTCTCATAAAATGAATAATGATAGGATTTCAATTGTTTCAATTTCTCAATTTATGGTCTTCGTGAAAACTGGGGTGATGTTAGAAAACCAAGTTGAATTCTCCTAAGAGAACACCCAACCAACCATTTTGGGTTGAAACAAAGTTGTTACTGGACCTCTCAGATTTAATGTGATAGTGAACAGATTTTTTACCCCAATCAAACCCAAACCCAAAACCAACTTTGATTTTATTCCAGGTGTTTCTACACTCACAGAATACATTTTGGACATAATTTAATAAACATAGGTCAGGAATACTGTAATAGCAGCCTTAATAAGTTGAGGGAAGAAAATGCAGTATCGGTATCAAACAACTGCAACAAAAAATTTATCAAGTACAAATATTTTTTACTAAGAATGTGATTGTAAGAAAGCTATTATGTGGTACAAGTTTTTAAGGTTTAAGTGTTATGATAGGGGCTAATTGAAACGTGACCACCACAGGGTTAATTTACCAGAACATGTGTGTAACCACTCGCCTGATTTAAATTGTATGGAATAAATTGCTGATTTAAAACTGAAAGTTGTCTTCTCCAGATTTACCATATGCATGTAAACAGGAGGTATAGTTACATGGTAATTTTAATTTGTTTATTTTGCAGTTTGGAACATGACAGGCGATCAAGGGGACATTTTCTGGAGGGCTGCATTTGTACATCTTGCAGAATTTAGCAAAATTTACCAAATTCGTTTTATACATACATTGCCAGAGAGCAACTGTAAATCAGATAAAGCACTGCAGTGTACTATTTGCAAAAATAACCAGTGTCCAGCTGCTAATGCAGCTATTGATGACATTAGGTTAGATTGTGAGACTAAACAGGAAGTTTTGCCAGTGGAGTCTTGCACTAACAGATGGCCAGTGTTGTCTGGTTGTGAAATGAGTGCTGATAAGCCTTCATATATAGGTATTGGTGAAATGGTCAGAGTCAAATATTTGTTAAATGTTAATATGTAAAAACTGTTCTGGTCTCTTAGATGAAGTTTGCACTTTAGATTTTTACATGCACTTCAACTGCCCACTCCTTTAGTCAATTTTCTATCCTTTCTTTTCTTTTCTTTTCTTATTGTTTATTTTTTTCCTTTTCTATTATTTCCCTATCTTTCCTTTTTAGTTCTTTTCATTGGTTCACTTTATTTCCTTTCCCTTTCTTTTCTATTTTTGTTTTTTGTTTTTTGTTCAACCTGCCAACACACTTTCACCAGAGAAAAGGTATTGGTAAGCAAAATGTTTCATAGGAAAGGCAGAACTTATTTCCATGATACAAAACCTTTTAGCTTAACTTTCAGTCTCTTTTTTCAAATGCTTTACCTACTAAGTATCAGTTGAAATAGATTTTGTGTTATGTGCATCTGTTCAGTGATAGATCACAGATGACTAAAAAATGTGGTAAAAACAAAAAAAAAATGGCACTTGGGGCGTAGCAGATTGTGTCACTGATGTCCTTACGACATTCCAACTTCTTCTGTGTTCTATTACGGACTGTACAGATCCATGGTAAAATGAAATCTATTTGTTTTATATTGAAATAAGCATAATGTTGTTAATGGTGACATGGCCTTTGTGTCTACTCTCCAATAGATGATGAGAAAGAACCAATTGAATGTGCATGCAATTCAGCTGATCAAATAGTACACTATTCTTCATGAGAGTCATGCAAGTTTCATTGTAATTTCCTTTTTTTTTCTTTTTTTGTGAGGTCCTGCCTTCAGTGTCCAACATGATGGCAAAGAAAGCTATGTAAGAGCCACTGGTTCACAAGATGACCTGATAGCCATTTATGAATTTAAGGTATTGTCCACAGCCAGTTATGTGGTTTGGAAACAAACATTTGCCACAACAAATGCAACAAATGATGTCTCCTTTAGAGTTGATGAGGGAGATTGGTACGTCTGGCGACTGCCATATAAAAGTTCCAGTTCCTTGTGGACTCAGTTTTACAATCAGGTATTAATTTAGAATAATTCTGTTCATTCTTTCATTTTGCATGATACAGGAAATAACAACATTTTATATTTAAGTTATCTTTCTTCACTTCCTTTTTTTAGCAATTCAACCTAAGACCTGGTATTCATAAATTGTCTTTGAGACAAGCAGAGTATGGTTTCCGTGTATCCAAACTTGCACTTGTCCCAGTTTTTCTAACAATGTGGACTGACCTAGGAATGCAGAGCCGTCATATTCCAGATGCATTTCTTTCTGCGTTTCCCCGTAGTAATTTCCCTGAACCAAGATATGGAAGACTGCATGCCAAAGGTTTGATATTTTGTAATTTTGTAATAAATTCAATTCTTTCATTCCTTTATCACTCATAGTCAGGTGGGCTAGGAGACAAAGTAAATTGGATTCAACCTAGGTTTAAAATTTAACAGCAATATACACTGCCACATTAAAAACTACTGTACATGTAGTTTAAAACAAATATAAGGTCAGAATGATTGAGAATAAATTGAATACAATCCTGATGAAAAGTTCATGGAATACTTAAATAAGATATAATTAAATAACCTTGTTTGTGAATAGAAATAGAAAAACGGTAAATTTTTGAGCGCAGTAAAGAAATAGAGAAAGGCTTTTTTTTTGTCTTGTCACAAGTGTGGGACAAAGAAAAAATTCTGAGTCCCCATCGAAGCTCAGACCCTCAGTGTTGTGAGGGGGTTAAGGAGGAGCAAGACAGCATTGTAAAAAGAATAACAGGGTAATTAAGTAGTATTAACTGAGTTGATAACATAAATTGGCCACCGTAAAGAGTTTTAAAGCTGATGTTTCGAGCATTAGCCCTTCATCAGAGCCAATGGTTGGCCCTGACAAAGGGCTAACACTTGAAATGTCAGCTTTGAAACTCTTGATGGTGGCTAATTTATGTTTTCGACTCAGTTGATAATACTCTACTACCCAGTTATACTCTCCTATTGACACAGCACCACAGTTTCTTTAGAAACCTATCTCCTTTATAGAAAAAAGTGTCACAGTGCTGTTAATTTTGTGGGAGCCAGAGTGGGAATGTCTCTAGAAGTGGCCAAGACTTAAAAATAATAAAGAATATATAAATAATCTGTACTTCATTTGTTAGGGATACATGTACATGCAATGATATTGATAATTTCAAACAAGGCTGGCATGAAAATCAAGCTTGTTTGGTTGATTTAAAAATTTCAACTTTGATGATTCTTTGAAAGAATTGAAAACATTTAGGGGATTTTCAACAGCAATAATAATGCAAAACTTCAATCTGTAGAGATACATGTATATGATTACATCTTAGTCGTTACATCTTTCAGATGCTTGGTGTTCATCAGACAGCAACAAGGGATATGTGTACTTCCAGATTGAACTGCCTCAGTTAGCGCTTTTGTCTGGAATATCGGTACAAGGAGGAAAGGATATATTACAGAAGTCAAATAATTACTGGGTTTCAAGGTACATTTACATGTGCTTTTAATTAAGGGTGTAGTTTGAGTGCTACTAATACAAGTTTAGAGAAGATCGCCACAGTAACAACAATGTAGCACAGTCAATTGTAATCTTGGCATTGGGTTTGTAACAGTATTGTTAGTAGCTGTTGGGAGATCAGTCAAGGTCATGTTATAGGCTAAGTGTTTGTATGCTGCAAATGACCTGAAAAGTACCAGACTGTAATTTGACTGATGAAATACATACATGTAACAAGGTAAAAATTTCTCCAGTCCAAAGCTGGACTGGGCTTTTAATTTCTATAGTATAAATGAAAGTAATTTCTACATGTGGCTGCTCCTTGGTTACTTTGTCCTTTATTAATCTTTTAGTTTCAGAATGAAGGTTTCCCTGGATAGTGTCAGATACACTTGGTACAGGGATACCCATGGCAGGCGGACATTTACAGCCAACAAAGGTAATGACTAAAATGATAGAGAGTAACCAGCAATGAACTACCAAATGCAGCAAGTACTCATGTACACATTCATGTACATCATACTCTTGCTGTGAATTTGGGCGTGTTTTATGTGCATTTTTTGGTTAACGTACATCTGAGCGGTACTGTACATGTAGTTCATCAAACCTATGTGTAGTTATTTGGTATTTGATATTTTCAATGTCAGTTATTTTCAAAATACAGATGCGTCAAGAATAGTTAATCACACTTTGGAGTTTGCCAGCCCAGTTCGTGGAGTGAGGATATATCCTTGGGACTGGGCATACTGGATATGTTTGCGAACTGAACTCTATGGAATTTACCTGAGTAGTGAAGTTTGTGCCAATCCTGGCCCAGCTGAAGGGATGAGCAGGTCATGTGTGGGCGATAGGGACTGTGGTCTGAATGCTGAGTGCAAACTGCCAGATGCATCAAAGATGCAGAAAAAAGGTACAACTTGCTAGATAATAAAAATAAAGAAATGATACTGTGCTCTCCATGCTGAAGGTTAGGAAATCTTCTCATGCCTCACATTATAGGGAAATTGGTATAAATCACTGATGATGAACCTCGGGATGTGTGAGGTCATAAATGAAGTAAGTTTGTCATGTGGTAACTGTGCTGCTATTAGATCATCCCAAACCTGATTGATTAATTCTTGTCTTATTGATGTTGTTTTCTTGTTAGCAAATTAAACCACAGTGTATTTTGAAGGTTTTGTTCCATCAGACAAAAATTTCTTATGTGCCAAACAGACTGCCAATTGTTTTCCCTTGATTGAAATGGGTGTACCACAAATGTATGTTGCATGTTTTAATACAGTTTGTTTTTCTTCGACTAGTCTCAGATAACAACGTGAATCAGTTTAATGAATCTTGTGGCTGTTTGCATGGTTACCATGGCATCAGCTGTCAACACTATGGATGTTCATCAAATCCTTGCCTGAATGATGGGAAATGTTCAGAGGGGAATGACACCTTTCATTGTACCTGTCAACCCAGTTACCATGGAGACACCTGTCAGCACTCATGTGAAGAGGGTTACTATGGCTTCAACTGTAGTCAGAAGTGTTCGTGCCAAAATGGTACATGTGATGGAGTAACTGGACATTGCAGCTGTGAACGTGGATATCATGGGAGATACTGTGAACTGGGCTGCAGCCCTGGTTATTTTGGCTACAACTGTGTCCAGCAGTGTCAGTGCAGAAATGGTGAAGTGTGCCATCCTGTGACAGGGGTGTGTGACTGCACAGTGGGTTGGAGAGGGGCATTGTGTGATAAGCCTTGTGTGTTGAATACATGGGGAAAGAACTGCTCGTTAAACTGTTCATGTCAAGAGTCTGCCAAATTTTGTGACAGGTTCACAGGGGAATGCATCTGTTTACCAGGATATTTTGGAAAGTAAGTGAAAGCTGTTTTTTATGTAATACTATGTACATGTATGACTGCTGATAAGTGCAGTATATTGGTTTATTGCACATATGTTACCACCAGATATGTCAGTATCAGCAAGGTAGCATAGTATTGTGAAGAGAATTATTATCATGCCAAGAAACAATTTATGTCAGGTCTACAATGAGTTAAGTTAGAAGTGAACCTTAGGATGTCTGTTTGTGTTTTGCTGAAAACTGCACTTTGTCAAAACGTGCCATAGAAGTTTTCTTTTGTATTTCGTCTGTGATCAACAGTAATTTGTTCCACTTCAATTCAAGATTGATGTGAATGCACACCATAAACAAAAATTACCCAGAGAGGGATGTACATGTACACTTAAGAAAAGTTTGTACTGTATGTAGACTAACAAGTTTGCCAATATTTGAAACAGGAAATGCCAGTATCCTTGCCCTGTAGGAACATATGACTACAACTGTAGTGGCAGTTGTCAATGTCAACATGATGCAAATTGTTCCAGTGAGGATGGCACTTGTAATTGTACCCAGGCAGGGTGGACTGGGGTACTGTGTGATCAGCCTTGCCCAGGAGGATACTATGGTGTTAACTGTTCCCAAAAATGCAGGTGTCAGAAAGGGTCAGCTTGTGATCCAATAACAGGTAGAGCTGTTTACATCAAAGGCTTTACTTTGTTCTGTAGTTGGTCTTGATTACTCATGCTACCTCTCAACCAACAAGGCAATAAAATGTTACTGATAATGAATTAGTCACTTACATTTGACTACCTTGATACATTCTCATGTAAACTTGCATTTACCAAAGTGGTCAGAAAGAGCCAGTGGTCTGCTAGTCTCTAAACTGAAGTTGCCTTTGTTTGCCTCAATTTACTAGAAGTATTTATAAAATATAGGATCAATGAAATACCATCTGAGAAACTTTTGCAGCTGCTAGTGTAGATGTGTGAATCAATTTCATAGTCATCATTTTCTCTGAGGTTCTTGCAAACTTTGTGCAACATTTTGACAGAATAGTTCCTAGTCTTTTATGTAATCTGAAGCAACAATAGGGCATCTTTGATAACCTGGTGCCTACTACCTATATCTTGTATGCCTTCTTCTTTCAAACTTATCCACAGCCTTGGATATATGTTCACTTTGTTTTAATTGGCAGTTTTGATTGCTTTAGTATTGGTTCAGTACCTTTAACTTTTGTCCTTCTTATCATAGGATCTTGCATTTGTGGTAGTGGCTCTTCAGGTCTGCTCTGTGACAAAACTTGTAGTCAAGGGTACTGGGGTAAAAACTGTACAATTGCATGCTCCTGTGTTAATGGTGCATTCTGCAATCCTGTAAATGGACAGTGCAAATGTGAGAATGCAGGTGGCTGCCAGTGCAATCCTGGTTGGACTGGCTCCAACTGCACTGTGCCTTGTGGCAATGGTTCTTGGGGAGGATCTTGTAACAATACCTGTTTATGTGGACCCAAAGGAGTGTGTAATCAGGTAAGGGGTCTTCTACAAAAGTTAAATCACAATGATAAAGATGTTATTATAAGTGCTACATAATTTGATTATTTTCTTATCACATCAAGTTGAAGCTACGTGTAGGAGAGTGACACAACCTGTTTATCAATAATACAATTGAGTTATCTTGTTTTTGTTAAATAGAGTAATGGAAACTGTCACTGTCTGCCTGGTTACACAGGCTCCAAATGTGACCACCTTTGCCCACAAGACCACTATGGTCAAAACTGCACCTACAAATGCAATTGCTCCTCTTCATCATCTCGTGGTTGTGACCCCCACACTGGCAGCTGCATCTGCAAACCAGGCTTCGTAGGACCACTCTGCAATATCCCGTGCTCAGCAGGCCAGTGGGGCACTAACTGTTCCCAGTCCTGCTATTGTGTGAATGGCTCTTGTCATCCTATGTCTGGAAACTGCACTTGCAATCGAGGTTGGAAGGGGCTGCTATGTGACCAGGCCTGCCCTAGCTGTGGTCAGCCATGCCCCACTTGTCACCATAGTAATGGTTCCTGTGATCAGGCCTTGGGGAAGTGCATCTGTTTTCCAGGCTACCAGGGAAGCTCATGTTTGGAACCTTGCAGTGCAGGCTACTTTGGTGAGAATTGTCAGAGGAAATGCAACTGTGCGAATGGTGCACTTTGTCATCACGTGACTGGGGAGTGTCTGTGCAAACCTGGGTGGACAGGAAGCCGATGTGAAAAACGTTAAGTATTGCCGTTCATCACTTTTAGTTTTAGTGTCATTATTGATTTTGGTTGAGCTAAATAGGAGGCAAATCGACGTTACGGTTCTTCAAAAGCCTGGTGCTATACAGATATCTGTCAATTTATAATTGTAGTCTTTTGTGAACGAATGATTTATAGCTGCACATTTTTATCCACCCGTAAGGGCTGGTTGGCATTTCTCAGGTATTTTTTTCTCGAAACTTGGCTAGTTTTTCGTATAGTCAGATTTCATTTAATTTGGAACAAGGAAGCTTTCATAAACGCGAAGCAAGATATTAATTGCATAGTTACAGCATGTTCAATTAATCCTTTAACTCCCAAAAGTGATTAACACGTAACTTTTCCTTATGATATCCATACACTATCCAGAAAAAAAAGCTATGAGAATACTCAAACTTATCAGGTTGATCTAAAACCAAATTCTTATAACTTATTTGCGAGGAAATGCGTAGAAGCTAGAGAGGAGAATTAACAATTGGATCGTGGGAGTTTAAGGGTTAGCTCTTTGAAACACCAGGGATTAAAAGACATTTCTTTGTTACCAGGTTGTCCTCAAGGTTTATTTGGAATGAATTGTACCCAGTCCTGCTCCTGCGTTCGTGGAACTTGCAATCCTCACGACGGAACCTGTGAATGTCCACCCGGTTACTATGGTTACCTGTGCGACAATCCATGCCCCAGTGGATGGCATGGCCCAGGGTGTGGTCTTAAGTGTCTTTGTGGCAATGGTGCTGCCTGCGATCATCAAACAGGACAATGTAGATGTTCCCCTGGCTGGACAGGTTTGACGTGTCAACAATCCTGCTTCAACGTTTCCACCGTTGTTGGCTTTTTCGGAGCAAACTGCTCGGAAAGGTATTTCTTAGAATCTAAAAGAAGTCTACGGACTACGGAAAGAAGTAAAAGAGTTACTCAGCTCTCGTCTAGGAGACTTCTGGACGATCGATGCTGTTAGGACACGATGTGTTAGCTTTAATGCTTCTAATGTCTAATTTAATAACGAGAGTGTGATGGTGACTAGGTATTTGATGCTTTTCGATTCTGGAAAGCAGTGTGGAAGTAACGTGTTTGTAGGTTCCGCACAATCCATACATGAAATTTTTTTTCTTTTTTTAAATTTATTCTGAATCAGATGTGTGTGTCCGGGGTCATGTGATCCGGTGAAAGGCACTTGCTCTTGTCCAAGTGGATTCCGAGGTCCGAATTGCGTCGAGTCCTGTCTTAGGGGGTGGTATGGACCCAACTGCCTACAAAGGTGCCACTGTATGAACAGTGCATCTTGTGATCACGTGAACGGTACGTGCACATGTGCGCCAGGATGGTTTGGGGAGAACTGCACGGAGAGGTGCCCCACGGGCTATTATGGAATGCAGTGTGCCTCCAAGTGCCGGTGCAGTGTCAATGGTACAGAGGTTTCTACTTGTGATTCGGTGACGGGGGAGTGCAATTGTCGACCTGGCTATAGGGGTTACAAGTAAGATTCACTTTATGTTTTGTTTGTTAGAGATCTGTAGGAACGTTCAATACTTAGAGTCAAACTTTTACTACTGTCTTTATATTTATGAAGTCATGACAAGTGCATTAGTTGCAGTGGTTTTGGACTCGTTACCTTTGACATCGGGAAGGCCCTGGGTTTTCCGTTTGCGCGTTACTGACTGTTTTCTAATAGTTAGTACAAAGGACATTGAGCACTTTTCCGAACATTTAACAACTCTTCCCCTAAGTAGAAGTGGCTAATAGAAGACATTTACTGAGCCGCCAAGCGACGAGGTAAATATCCACTGCTAGCCACGGACACCGAGGTAAATAGTTGTTTTAGTATTTACTAATACAGCAAGATCATGTTGCGCTAAAAAGGTGATTTTATCTTATTCATTCCTGCTACGATTACAATGTTTTCGGGGTAAATCCTGCGCTCAAATGTTCGTAGGTAAACATCAAAGGATATTCGGAGTTTGAGTAGCCACTGTTTTAGTATATTCTGATTCACATTAGTTTCAGTGATATGCTGTGTTTTTTTTTACGATTATATTTAAGTCTTTTTGTTTGTCCAAGGTGCGAAGAGCAATGTCTTGAAGGGTTTTTTGGCAAAAACTGCAGCCAGCGATGTATTTGTGAGAACAGCTACGCTTGTGACTTTACAGATGGTACTTGCTACTGTAAACCTGGATATCACGGACAAACATGTAAGCTAAGCTGCAGGACAGGTTACTATGGTATTAACTGCAATAATACGTGCCCGTGTAAAAAATCAAACACTAAGTCATGTGACGAGGTTGACGGAAGTTGCACGTGCCTGGACGGTTACACGGGTGTCTTTTGCGAGAGTGTGTGTTCCGACGGTTTTTACGGAAGTAACTGCGTCCAAAGATGTACGTGCCGAAATGGTGCTGCTTGTGACCACGTAAAGGGCAAGTGCAGCTGCACGGCTGGATTTCGAGGTCGAAACTGCGACAAAACGTGTGACGAGGGCAGCTTTGGTGTCAACTGCGCTAACAGTTGCTCATGTCGAAATGGCGCGAGTTGTAGTCCTTATACTGGCGAGTGCTACTGTTTACCTGGCTTCTCAGGCAATCGTTGTGAATCTGAATGCCCTAGTGGCAGGTACGGTATTCGCTGTGCACATCCCTGTGACTGTAACCTGGGGAACAGTCCCAAATGCGACCCCAGCACAGGCAAGTGCATTTGTGCACGAGGATTCCAAGGTATCAGGTGTGATGAGGTTAGTATATTCGTTTTTGTAGTTGTGGTTTATTAGGATAACCCTTCTCATCCTAACATCAGTATGGTTCTTCTCCATAATTTTCTCAATAAATTTCTTTAGGAGCCGACAGGGGGAATTTGTGTAACAACCAAGATCTCTTAAGTTGGTGATCATTTCTTCTATTCTCGTGACCTATCTGTTTGATCCAGGGGTGATATTGTGGGGAGAAATTAGATGCTGGTCACTCCCATGGATCGAAGGGTTAAATATTTTAGAATTAACTGCAATTACTCAAGCAAGCACTCCTTTATGAAATCAAATTTCAAGGAAACTGAAGAAGGTATCGAGCCGTAAGCTACTTTTGTCATGGCATTATGGCAACTAACTTTTTAAATTTTTGTTCGTAATGAAATGTTCTTAAACGAAAGGAGATCGTCAAATGACAAGGTACGGGAATGAGGCTAGGGTAGAGGAAGCTTACCAACCTTAAAAGAATCTATTGAAGAAACTGCTCTGCCGGAGCAAGTATGCAAATGTCGCCGTATCTCTTTTCTGTCTTTATTCTCGTCTGTGCAAATCTTTCTTGTTTGTTTTCACCTTAAAGATTCTACAACATTCCTTTTTTTCCAACCGAGATTGAAGGGACGTTTTAAAGATGTCTTGAATTTGTAAATTTAGAGTATGACATAAACGATTAAATTTTACTTTTAAAGATGTTCTTAAAGTAAGCCACATTGTCTCTGGCTTTGTTTTTACAGCCTTGTGATGATGATTTCTACGGCGAAGAATGTAAAACACAATGTCCCATATGTTCAAGTCACTCGTTCGGTCCTTGTGAGAAGGTACATGGCAACTGCTCGTGCACTCCTGGTTACCAAGGATACCTTTGCTTCGATGACTGTGCGCTGAACCGATATAGCTTGCATTGCAAGGAAGTGTGCGAGTGTTCGGTAAACGAACTTTGCCATCACATCAACGGAATGTGTTTGGATCTGTCCAGAGGAAAATTCAGCTTAATCGTACAGGAAAGCGTGGACGAGCTTGACCTACTTGCAAGGAAGAGAGACATTAAGAGAGGGTTGGAAAAACTAATGGAACTTTACTATGATAAAACTGAAGATAATGGAAAGTGGGGAACAAAAGTTCGTCGCAGTTTACAGGATAGCGACAACGCAACTTCCCACAGCACGGATGAACCCTCAGATCAGTCCTCCAACCCTGAAAGCAGTGACGGTCTTGAGAACAAGGAAGTCAAGCATGTGTTCATGGTCCGCCTGCTGGAGCTACAGCCAGTACTGACAGAAAAACAGGAAAATGCCACAAGAGTCGTTTGTGTTCTCCTCGATAACTTTACTGTGGTGAATGGACATTTTGTGGATGAAGTCCTATCCAAGGTACCAAGTGAGGATGTTTCGTCAACTCTTCTAGTCGAGTACTACACTGGCAAACTGTACAGGGAAAGGCCTGGGTCTACCATGGCGGTACATCTTCCGCTTATCATTGGTGTCTCTGTAGGTAAGTGGGGTAACTTACCTGGGTGACAGAGACTAAGTGACTGACTAATTGACAGGTTGACTGGCTGATTCACTGATGAACTACCTGACTGACTGTCCGGCCGGCTACTGAGTAACTGGCTGAGTGGCTAAATGAATTGCCAATTTGCTTAATGATTGGCTAATTGACTGACACTGACTGTTTGGCGGATTGAGTGATGGACTGACTGACTGGCTTAATGACAATTACTGACTGACTAGCTCATTGACTTGCGTAATAACTGACTCAGTTAGTAGCTCAATGACTGACTCAACAACTGACTGACTCATTGACTAACTCTGTGAACACCAACCGACTCTGATGGATGGACTGACTGACTGGCCCAGTGATTGGCTTAATGGCTGACTCAATTTCTGATTCGTTGACTAACTACTGACTCGCTGTCTGACGTACTGTCTGACGCACTGAGTGACTTACTCACTGACTGACTGACTGGCCCAATGCCTGACTTAATGACTAACTGAAAATCATGTTTGCCCATTTTCAGGCTTCTTCCTGATAGTAGTTATCCTCGCCTTGTTTGCGCTCATACGTCGGAGATACAAGCAAAAGTGTGGATTTTCCAGCTACAAGAGAACCACGAAAGACCAAAGCGAATTTGAGCTTCAGCCTTGGATTGGTCGAAGTACAGGCTACTTGCTGGCTTTCGACAACCCTTACTATGACGTTCTTGCTGCTATGGGTTTAGACGATGACGTGGAGGAAGATTATTACAATCCCCTTTACGATGATGTCAGTGTATACAGTGACAGCGGTGAGAACACAAGTGAAGACAGTTGTCATAAAGACCTTAGCTCCATGGTGATAAGATAGGTAGTGTAAACCTTACGTTTCACACCGAGAAGGGAAAGTGGTCCTACATAGTGGCCAAGTCCCTGCGACGTTGAGTTAAGTTTCGCTGCTCAGCTTTGCTGGCACCACTTACAACAGGGTATTAAACTTGCTAAAAATGGAAGGCCAGAGTTTCAGGCCAGGTTAAAAAAGGCCTAAAGAGCTGCCACAATACAAATATTAGAAAGCCGGAAAATATACGGGCTTAAAACGTTAAGAGAATATTTGTTAAAGTTAGTCGATTATTTTTCTAAGTTTACGGAGTTAATTTACATTTTATATTCATAAGTAGTAAATTTATTAGTTATTTTTGGATACCTCGATGAGGCCTCGAAACAAAGAGGTTCAGTATCTTCACGCAAAGGCACTGTACTCGTGTTCTTAGTTTTCGGTCCGGCTTAAATGTTCTCATAAATTTTCTATGCTTGTCATGGAACGGAGAATCTTGTTAATAGTGCTTGAGAGAAAAAAGGCCAGCATGGTACTTAGTTAGGCAATACTGAAGAAAATGTTATCTTTGTTTATTATTTGGACACTTCCAAAAGCCTTACTGTTTTGTTTAAAAAGGATATATATTAAGTATGGTTAAAAATCGACTTATTTATATTATAAGTGAGTTTGTATCTAATCATTGTTCAAAACTCGTAATTACCATTAAAGATAAGGAAACTTGATTGTGTTGATACCTTGGATTGTAAATGTCACGTACAAAACCAAAGCCTATGTCAAACCCAAACGGTGAGAACTGACCGAATCATCCTCGTTCCTTTGGTTTTCCTTCGACAATTGGGAAAGGGCACGATCCTGCCTTCGTCCCAAATACCCGCGAATACGCCTTGAGAAGAAAAATGTGCTCAGGTGTAAGAATATGTCGTTTGGCACACAAGTAGTGTTGCTCGTGTTGCAAGCACACATTTCATCAATGATTGTTTATTGATTATCACCATTTTCTGACATGGATTTCGCTGTAAAAGAATGAGAAATTTTTCAAGAAGTGTAAATGTGTTTTGGGTGAACTTCAATTTTTTATGCGCGTCATACTTGCGTTCTAGCCGAGCGCTACCGAATACCGGAACGGCCACTAAATGATAGATTTTCCAACAATTCCTGCTGCATTTCTGTAGATGGATGATGGAAATAGAGCTGCTTTAGCTATTATTTTTTTTTCTACTTTAGACTTAAGGATGCAGGTTCTTTACTTTGTGACGGTAATCCCTTGCAAGCTAACTCGCTGCCAAATGCGCGCAGTCATGCGGCCAGCCAGTCCGAGCATTTTATCATGGCGTAAAGTCAAAAATGATTTACGAAAATACAAAGCGTGTAAGTTGACTTCAATACCTTTAATTCATAGCTAAAAAGATATTTTCTGTAACCATGCTATTGGCGGTTACATTTCTACACGATGGAATACATAGGTACCATATATATTTACAAAAAAAAATTGTATATATTACAAAGTTGTGAATGAAACACGTGAAAGCAACATGATTTTACAGAAGTTACTGAATTACTTCTCAGGAAATGTTCACACGGATGTTTTCGGATGTGGTTACGTATGGAACTGGACTTCAACGGATATAGAGTCGCTAACGTTAAATTTTAATACAAACCTCTTTTAACAACACTTAACGGGCGTAAATCAGAACCGCTTCATCTGTTGGGACAGTTCTGACGTCAGGCATGACTACAAATATACACGTTTTCACTGGCATCTCTTCAAAAGTTCAAAATGTCTTCTGCAAAGTCGAGATCTTCCCCACTGGCCTGAGACACAGTACGATCTGAGGTAAAGTAACCGTTTAGTGAAGATAGTTGTTCGTCGATGTCTTCCGGAATGCTCATATCACTGTTTGCGAACAAACAAACAAAAATAAGCAAAGGAATTGACAAACCAGTTTGGACTTAAAACCCTCAAATTTGATGCCGTGATTTGTTCGACAGGAATTAAGAAGGAATTTAAAATGAACTGAAAAAAAAAGCAAACAAAACAGATGAAAACGAAAAAGAAATTGTAGCAATAACAGCAACAACATAAACGGACAGTACCTGGTGTGGAAGTCATCCTCATAATCGTCATTGTAATCGGGTGCTTCGCCATTTTTATCGTCATCCGGAATATCTTAATAAAAGAACATGTATAAGAGGGGAAGCAGAGAGTGACCTTACAAACGGAAATAACTTGTTTACCTTCTAACAAAAGAACCAATGGTTTCATTTCGCGGACTGTGTGCCGCAAGTCAATCACTAGTGCACACGATGAGACAGCCCACGAAATTTTCAAAAGTCCACGTGGTTTGTCAGTTGAAATTGCTAGCCTTTCGATTCTATTATGATTTTAAGCTCTCAAATTTTTCGCACGTAGATGTCAAAAGAAGCCGGTCTTTTTTTGGAAACAATTATGGTGAGTACTAATCACAATTGTAATGAGGGTGAAGCGGAGGGAAGAAGTTCATTTAATATCTAGACTTCTCAGGGGGCTCTCTTACCGAAACCAAGTTTGCTGATCTTGCTATCAATGTCGGCAAGGTCCTGCCAGTTGGGTGATTTGGAAGGCTCTGCAAAGGAAAAAAGAGTGTTATTAAGTAAATGCGTTAGAAGAATTGAAAATGTTAAACTTACAACTGGATTCCAATTTTTACCACTCTCCTCCCACTAAAACTTTTCCAAAAAACACAGCATGTAAGTTCTGGGACAAGAGAGAGTGTTCATGAAGAAGTTGTCATATTTTTCCAACAACAGTACAAATTAAAGGACATCTTGACAAGAGTAAACTAGTGAGGACATTTCTTTGAGTGAATCCGGCTTTATCAAAAGAATTCCTTCATCAATCTCCTACCTCTGTTATTGTTGTTCATTCCAGGCAATGGTGGTGCACCCTTCAATGAGCCAAGCCCACTAGAGCCAAGAGAAGGAGCACCCTTCAGAGAGGAGAGTCCACCATTGGATTTGGATCCTTAGAAAAAGAAATGATCATGAGGACCACTCAGATAAAAGGGTTTGTGCTCAACAAGAAAATGAATTTTTTTTTCAACAACAGTGTCATGTTTTTCCATTACCTGTTTCTTTCATCAACCCTTGTTTTTCGCTCTCTCTACAAGAAAAATGGGCACCAATTTCAGGACCAATAAAAGAGGAGTTAGATTCATCAACAGTCAAACATCAAAAACAATGACTGGCCCACCTTGAGTAGCTTGCCAATTTGCAGGCCAGTCCAATGTGATAATATAGTATAATGTGAGAAACAAATTAAGTTTGTTGTTGTTAAAAGTAGACTTGGGTTGCTCACTGACTCACTGCAAACTCACTTTGTCTTCATTGGAATATCTGCAAAAATATCATCTCCATCATCACTTCCGATGGTTACATCTGGGCTTCTACATGGAAAATGCACATTAAATAAACAGTTACTAGATTGCAACCAGGAAATGAAAAATACAAAAGTGGAAATGTGTCATGTGTTATGGTCATTTTAAGAGGTTCTAACCGGAAAAAACAAAACAAAAAAAGACAGGTGATAGAGTTTTGCAAAATCAGCATTGAAATTTTAACTTTGGATCTTTTTGAGACATTTTTACAAAGGAAAAAAATCATTACAGCAACACGACTGTAAAAAGTTGAAAAATTAAACCTCAAGAATTATCCCTTGGACATTACTTTACCCATTGCCTACACAGACTAAGGTGCGTTACACTTAATATTATAAATACCTTCTTCCACTTTTGTCTCTCCTTGAGTCTGAAAGTGAATTTAGCTCCTTTTCAGAGTTCAGTATTTCAAGTAGTGAGTCTTGGTTTTTGTCAGATTTGCTGGATTTCTCATCTCGAACCCTTTGTGGAATTTTGCTTGGTCTGGGACTGGAAATCTGCTGAGAAAGAAGAAATGTAAGGGGACTTCCTTAACCTTTTACACCCTAGCATCAGTATGCATATTCTCCATACTGTTTTGCATACATTTCCAAAGAGGCTCACAAAGAGAATTTGTTTAACAATCAAGAGCTGCTTTTTGGTGATCATCTTCTCTATTCTCATGACTTTCAAGTTTGATTCAGGGGTAATATAATTAGTAAGGAGAAATTAGATGCTAGTCACTCTTGAGAGCTAAAAGGTTGAAAAATCAAACTGAAAAAAAGGAATGAGGGCTCAAGGGACAACAGGTGGAGTTGAAAGATCTGCAATCAAAGAGCTAGTTTACAAAATTTGCATCTGAAGTACCGTAATTTCCGGTCGTTTACCTGTGGGTAATCTGTTGATTTTGCATTAAACGCGCGCCACTGTGGGTAATAGGGAGGTGCGGGTTATGTTTCAAAGGTTAGATTAGACAACTTTTAAAAGACTGAAATTTATCACCTTAATGTCATGTTTTTCGCCACCAAAAAGTTCAATAACATAACATGCGGGTTATCCACCAGTGTGGGTAATCTGTTGACTTTTTTTTTTCGCCGTATGCAATAATTAGCCGGTGCGGGTAATCGGCCATGCAGGTAAATGGCCGGAAATTACGGTACATGCTTGGATTGGATGCATCCAAGGATTCTGACTTACAGTTTTCATTGTTGGTAAACTTTGAATTTATCTCAGTAATTGCACCTTAAAATACATGCATCATTGAAAAGTAAAATATGTATTCCTATACTAGTCTTGCAGAAATGTACATTGAGGCACAAAAAGAAACAGCTGCAGACATACTAAAGAAAGTTTTGCATCATTTTAATGGCATCTATCTGCTGAAAGAACTGTACTTAATGTGTGTTTAAAGTAGAGATGAAGTAGAGACAAGGAAAAGGGATCCTGGTCTTTTTTGAGTGTCCATTGCTTGTTATTCAACTTTTTACACAGTCAGATAGTAGTTAAATTGTTGTTGAGAGTTAGGATTAAAAACTTAAATGTAATTGCTCTTTATGTTATCATTACAATAACGGTAATTTTAATTTATGCAAAATTAGGGTGCATCATCTAATGTAACTTTTCAATTATCAATTAAAAATATTATGTACAAATACTTATGATCTAGTTATTTTATTTGGGTACGTCATTTAGTAGTATTAATTTTTATGAGGTGCCTGGTTATGTTAGATTTATTCTTGAGTTGTCTTAAATAGCCACATAATGTTTTAAGACCTTGAGTTAATAGGAATTTCCCACTTAATATTTGATGCAATGTCTGTCAGCAGTTTCCTAGACTCCAATCTCTGTGTAGAATCAGCATTTTTAAATAAGTTTTAGTGCCAATTAGTAAGATTTTTCCCTAGAGTGTCTCTGTCATTTTGTGGAAGTATCCTAACCGTCAAGTATATTCATGCTCTCCTTCCTTTGTTTGATTTTCATCAACCTTGTTTCTTATCATTGTAAGTTACTGTTCTTTACATTATTTCTTGACATATTTCAAAAACCTCTAGTTAGGTAATTAAAATTTTAAAATCTAGTGTATTCATTATCATATTTATGGTTATATCAATCATGAAAAACATCATTTTACTATCTTAGGATTTGTAGCTGGAGTGAACCTTTGTTTTCAAATTTACAGTATTTAGTTTACCATACTATCGTCACTTGCACTGTCTGAAGAAAGTTCTCCCTGGTCATCTTTGTCACCCTTTAACAAAAAATGCTCTAATGTTAAATATTTCATTGAGTTTAATCAACTGGCATGCTACATTTTAAGAAAGTACCATTCTGTAAATGGGAAAAGAAGACTTGACTTGGCTCACCAATGAAGCAGAGTGTTTTATCATTGTTTTGTTTTCAATGAAATTGATACTCAAATTTGTTCAGTTGTTTTACAATATCTAATGCCACTCAAATACGTATGGAAATTATTTTAACATTTGAAATTAAAACTTAGTGGTGCGCAGAATATAGGTTAAGTGTAATTTCTGACTGACCATTTCAGATTTAGATTGCCATCAAGTTGTACCTTATTTGAGTTAGGGGGACTGGTGCTTCTTGGGCTGTCAGCTGCGCTCTGCCTTGGTGAAGTTTTGACCTCTCCATTGGTGACTGGTGAAAGTCTCTTTATGACTTCTGCCAACAGTGGGCTTCCAGATGTGTTGTCAACATCATTCAGCTTCAGTTCCCTGGCAAGGTTGTTTCGTCCTGGATACTTGTCGCTCTGAAGACAAAATAGGTAAAATTGGTACTTCACTTGATGAAAAACCACTCTTTTAGGATCCATCAAACTAGCAGAATCAATGACCTATCTATCCTCGCATATTTTTCAACAAAGTTTTTGTTAAACTCATAAATTTTTGAGGAATAAGGTCAATTTAGATAAATTTGCAGCACCTTTTGCAGGTGTTCCTGCAGATAAACTGCACCCCTGATTCGTTACAAAAATTTTTGGGATAAAAGGTGTGGCTTACATACCAATGGTACTTTGCCTGGATTGTTGCACCATGAAGATTACTCCATCTGACATTTGAGGACAATTATAGCCTAGGCATTGCATTATCCAGCAAACAGGTAATGAGAATATTCAAACTTATCAGGTAGAAGTTGTTATCTTGATCTAACACCAAATTCTCATGACTAGTTTACCAGAAAATGTGTTGCAACCAGAGCAGAGAATTAACAATCAGATCTTAGGAGTAAACTGACATTCAAAAATGTGTAATAATGTTTGTGCTATCTTCAACTTACAAAATCAGTCTCTGGATCAAAAACTGCGATAGAGAAATCAAGATCAAAGTACTCCAGAAACTCTCGGACTAAACCTGTTACAAGCCGTCCTATGGGACAAGAAGGAAAGAACAATTTATTATATACATGTTGTTGTCTTTTTTTAAGAACTGAGTGTTTTTTAAAAGAAAAAATACTCACATTAAGACAAAAACAAAGTGATTTGGTTACCTTCACCTGTACCTAAAAACTTCTTCAGGTCAGGATTTACAAGTTGGATTTTGCTCTAAAACAAGAAAGAGACAATTTACTGCAGGTTTCCTTCAACTACAAGTTTAGAAAGCAAATGATCCTTTGCCAACATGAATACTACCTTCCCTGTGCAAACAAGTTCCTTACATTCTCTCATACTTTGTATTTCATCTTACGATTGAAACACACAGTAATGATCAGCTTGATGTCAACTTGATGATCTTTTAACAAGCAGACATAATAACAGAGAGACAGACAGACTGAAAAACCTTGACTGCAGATTCAGCCTCTATAGAGAATTGTACATCAAAGGAAAGGCATATATTGCTGAGCAATGTATAATATACATTACAGAAACCAACCTCTGATCCTTCTTGTTCCTCTAAAGCTAAAAACACGCTTGCTCTGAGCTGTGCCTGTCAAAAGTAATGACTGTAACATCACTTTCCCTATATATGTAAACATTCTACTTCCAAGTGTATAGTACCATTAACAATATGCCGGTGTATATCAATAAATTGCTTGACAAAAAATTTAGCTCGTTTAAATAAGAACAATCATACCTGCCGCACGTTAAACTACAGCCACTGTGGTTTCCAAGAAATTGAAAGAGCACGATGGATTGCATTTTTAGTTGATCGAAAATTGAATGCACAGTCAACAACCGTTGTGCGAAGAAGAGGCAAAAAGAAGCACAAATTAAATTCGCAGAATTTATCTAAAGGCTCACTGCAACCCTTCAATCCTTCATATCACATCTTTGATTACACGATTGAGAAATTCAGCAGCACAATGAAGTGTTAATCGGCACAAGTAATTTATTTCTCAATCGGTTTGCTTGACGTAGGGAAAACATGCTAGAGAATTAAAAATTGAGCTAAAAATCAACTAGATCAAACACTTATATAATCAGAAATTTTCGGTGAAATCGAATGAGTGGCACGATACTAGAACTTCCTTCTTTGAATGGCACGATACTAACGACCAAAAAGTAAAAAAAAATCACCATCTAATTCTCAAAAAAACCAACAAAAAACATTTTACAAAAAAAAATGCTATTCTTTCGGTGCCTGCTCGCGTCATATGAAAATAATGGCCTGTACCTTTACTCCAGGAGGAGAAAAGATCAATTGATGATAAATAATTCAAATTAATATTCTTTGTAATTTAAAACTGCTAATTATCTTACCCTGATTTTTCCTAGAACACCCTTACTTTCCAATGTTTGGGCGACCATATCCCTCAATTCGGTGTCTTCTTCCGCCGACATTTTGAAATCTTCTCCCGTTTCCAATCTCCAGCCGAGTGTTATCGGATTCCGAACATAATACGGAGCTAATACGGTGATGTACGGAAAGAGCGATTGTGTAGGCAAGTCCCGGATGCCCGCCAAATTTGTGGCTCACGTGTGTAAGATATTTTGCTTCACCGCCATACTTGCAATGGCTGTGCAACCTTGTCAACAGTTTTCACTTGGTAATGACAATTGAAGAATGTTTCACCTTAATTTGACGATTGTACATGACAGATATTTTTGTCTGTAAATTTGCAGATGGAACGGCAGAGCAGGGCTTTCTGGCCTTCTATCGCTCATTGCCCGAGGTATGTTCTTGTTTAGGCCTTCTGCGGTGATTTACGACATGGTATATCATTCACTCCTAGTTCATGTAATTGTATACCATCTTTTTCCCTTTTAGAAACCTGAAACAACTTTCCGTGTGTTCGATCGCTCGGTAAGTGTTCGCTCGTTCACAATGTTGATCTGTGGGGTTCTCTTTTGTATACACAATTGTACTACCAGATGTTGATGAATAGTGGGCAGACTATTACATCACTAAATCAACAATCAGAGTTGTGCACACAAAACAATGAAGGGAAGTTGTACCTGCTGGCGTGCGCGGTAGGGTGTGGGGAGGAGGGTGGGGGGGGGAATCAGAGCATGGTGGTTGGAGGAGGGGGGAGGGTGGGTCATTTACCCCTATTACTTGGTTTACTTAAGTCCTCCTACACACTTTATTTATATGCATTAATCAAATTTTCTAAAGAAGAACTGGGCTTCTTAATTTGTTTTTGTTTTTGTTTATTTTTTTTATCCCCTGTGCAATTATATATGTTTTCTACGGAAAAGTTAAGAAAGTCACTGCTTGTGTTTATCTTTGGGAAATCACTGCACTTTTTAAATTTTTTTTTTATTGAGAGCATTGTTCTTTGAAATGATATCTGTTCTATGCCCACCCCTCCATGACTGCTCTGATACTCTGTCTTTTCCTCCTCCATTACAGGACTACTATACTGTTCATGGTCCTGATGCAGCATTTGCCGCAAAAGAAGTCTTCAAGACAACAAGTGTTATTAAATATCTTGGGATTGGTATGTTGAAATGTAATAAATAACTTAACAGACTGCTTGCCTTTAGCATATGATATTGTTATAACAACAGTGATATTTGCTATTGTATGTAAAAAGTACCTTGTTTTGCAGGTGAAAAGAAAGTTCCATCAGTTATTTTGAGTAAAATGAATTTTGAGAGTACAGTTCGGGATCTGTTGCTTGTACGTCAGTATAGAGTGGAGATGTACAGAGCAAGTAAAGGTGCAAAGAACACATCAGCCTGGGAACTTGTTGCCAAGGTACAAGATGCAATGAATTAGTTAACAATTAAACAGAGAAATTCGCAATGAATGGACTGAACATGTGTTATTTAAATCTTGCTATCAGTGTTGTCTAGACATCTTTTTTCCCTTGAATTGCCACTTAAATTATCTTAACTCTTTGCCCCTGAAGAGTGACTACAATGACATTAAATGTAAAGGTTGCAAGAATAGAGGAAATGATTACTAACCAAACAAACTCTTGATTGTTAATTAAATTATCCTTGTCAGCACCTTAGGAAATGTACGGAGAACATCTCATATGTGATGTATTTTCATAACTTTATTTTAGGCATCACCTGGTAATTTGCAACAATTTGAAGACATTCTCTTTGGAAATAATGACATGTCTGTGTCAGCAGTCGTCATGGCAATCAAGCTTGGTATGGAAAATGGCCAAAGGGTACGTTTGCTTAAAAATTCATTACAAGATGTACCACAAAGTGACAAGTATGATTGGGTGTTGGGAAGAAGATGCAGCAGAAGCAAACTAAGGAACAAAAGTGAAAGTTACAGCATCAAAAAAATCATTTATGATTAACCTTTTTTTTCCACAGGTGGTAGGTGCTTCATATGCTGATGTTGCAGCAAGGAAGCTTGGAGTCTGTGAATTTGTCGATAATGATCAGTTTTCTAATCTGGAGGTAAGAAAGATGCTAAATGTGGAATCTCTTTATTTGTTAGGTAAAACAAAAGAATATAAGAGGTACAAATAATGAATGAATTATTTCCTAGGCATTGCTTGTACAGCTTGGTCCAAAGGAATGTTTACTGCCACAAAACGACTCAAGTGCTGATGCAGCCAAAGTATTAGAGGTGATTCAACGAAGCAACATTCTCATATCTGACAGGAAAAAATGTAAGATTTAGTTTGAAATTATGGCAAAAAGCAGGGGTTTCAATAATTTTTCTATAACCCCTAGACACTAGAAGATTTCTGTTGCTGAGGACAAAGTCAATAACTGAGAATTTTGTATAGTCAAAATTATACCCATTTTTGTTTTTGTAGCAATTCAACACCTTTTTTCATCTTGATCCTTAGTGCCAATGCTGTTCATGGTTTTTATTCAAGGATTGTTGATCCTTTTATTTTCTTTCATTAATAAAGTTAACTTTAAATCTTGTTATTGAAGGTCTGTTGTGTTTATATTATAAACAAAATAATACATGTTTGCTTTTGGATATAGAGTTATTCTTCTCATGTTCAACTCAACATCTTGCTTGTTCACTGCAGTCACTTGTGAGCTATTGAGTTGAACACTGGAAGAGAAATTCCACATCTTTGCACGTCCATGTATTATTCTCTGTATATCTCATGTCATTTGGAGTGATCAAAGTCAATAGATATATGGATATTTTGGTTAGTTAAAATGTCCATGGTGAAAAAAGACTGTAATGTAACCCAAGTTGATAGCACCAAATATCATGTTTTATTTGAAAGGGAGTTTGAAAAATCCAGGGTTAATTAATGGCTTAAATAAATAGGATAACTGTAGCTTACTGTATGTATCAATTTGTCATGCTTATAGCTGAGTTTTCCAACAAAGACATAGTACAGGATCTCAACAGGCTTTTGAATTTAGGAGCAAGTGGAAATAGTGGAACTTTGGGTATGTCTTTTGTTATTTAATTTACAAAACACTTCACTAGAGGAAATAAAATACTTCTGGGTTTGATAGCTTGAATGCTGTTTTGGCTAAATAGCTTTCTCAGTCTAATAAATATCTTGAGAATTACCGAATGCATCAGACAAGCATCGGCAGATGGCCCAGTGAGGGTAACATGAATAAAATTTATTGTTGCTCTTGCTGTCCATCAACTTTTCAATTTTCTCCCAATGCAAAGAGAAGAGTGTTTGTTATTTCAAGTAAGAATTGATTAACCCTGTTAACTCCCAAGATCTGATTGTTAATTCTTTCCTCTACCTGCTCATCATACATCATATCCTTGTAAATTAGTTTATAACTAGAATGTGGTGTTAGATCAAACTATCCATGATGAGTTTGAGTATTCCCATTACCTGGTTGCTGGATAATGTGTGGATATTATAGGGAGAAGTTGATCACCTCCTGGAGTTAGAGGATTAAGAGACAACTAAAGTTACATTAATTTCAATATAATATTCTGTTGGACCATATAAACCCATGGAAGTCAAGATGACTATATTCTTTGGCTATGTCATTCAAGAAAATTGTGAACAAGGCGAAGAATTTTGTTTTTTATTTGTGGATACAAATTAAAGATACTTTTGCTGGTGTCTTTCATGCTTGTATTATTTACAAACAGTCTGAGATTGATTAACATCATTTAAATTGTACTCAGTGAATGTGAATCTCCTTTTTGCAGCAGAGATAGACTTGACTCATGCAACATCTTCTCTAGCAGCTTTGATCAAGTACTTGGAGGTAACTCACCAACTCTTTACTGTGGGAAATATTTTCATTGTTTTGTTGCCATTATACATCATGTACTTGTACCTTTTTAAAACATTTCTTTCACCTATATATTCACGCATAATTATTGTAAGTTTCAAAATAACAGTAGAATGAAGGCCTGTGAGAATTAATGCAAATATTTTCACTTCACTTTATATCACCCCAAATTAGAAATGAGTACATCAAAACTGTGCATGCTTACAAGTTTAATCTGTAATCATCTTTTCTTGTTCAATGTTCAGGAAAATTTAGTTTTTGGAATATGCTACCGATATTTATTCAGACTTTGTTTTATTATTAATTGCAGCTCCTTGCAGATGAGTCCAACTTCAGTCAGTTTCATCTGAGCACATTTGACTTAACACAGTTTATGAAGCTTGATGCTGCAGCTGTGAGAGCTCTCAATCTTCTTCCAAACCCATTAGATGGTACAGTATTACCTTTGGATATTTTTGTATCCTCAGTATTTGCATGTGCATGTGGTAATGGAATGGAAATCATTTAGTTAGATATGGAACTTTTTTCACAATTGGCAGCCTATAATTTATTCATAGCATTCATTCTGCTTAAGTTCCCTTGTGACATTCTACCCTTTAACTTCCATGAGAGACCAAGACAGAATTTCTCCTTACAATGTGAATACAATATCAAGCAGACAAGTGATGAGAATAAAGGAATATGTCAATTGGGGGATTATTAATTGATCCAATAGCAACGTCTTTGAACTAGTACATAATTGTATGGAAGACATATAATTGTTTGGAGAATTTTACTTATGAGATCTTGGGAGCAAAAGAGTTAATTGGCTCCACATATAGCATTTGCCCAATGAAAGAAAAAGTGCTAGTGTTACAGTTAGAATAAAACTGTTAAGACCTGGTAGAGCCTCAGTTTTACTCTTTTATTTGATCTGTTTCTTCACAAGTTTATTTAGTTATAGGCTTAATTATTTAAGCATTTATTTTATCAACCTCTAACAGGAATGAACATTTGGTCTCAGATTTTTGACACAGTTGTTTGATGTTCTTCCATTCCAGGAGGCAATAAGAGTATGTGTCTTGTTGGTTTGTTGAATAAGGCAAAGACAGCACAGGGACAGAGGTTAATAGCACAGTGGATTAAACAACCTTTGATGGACAAAAACAAAATAGGTTAGTCTACAAATAATTGCAGTCTTACAGTAGGCATACTAGAGTATGTGAAACATCTGTGTGAACAGTTTCTACTGTCATTTGTGAACATTTTAAATTGTTAATTTTCATTTTACAGAAGAGAGACTTGATGTTCTTGAAGTTTTCTTTGAAGACACAGAACTTAGACAAACCATTCAGGTGTGTACATTTGTGGTGATTAACTGAAAGCTTGTGAGTAAAGCTGTTATGTTCATGTCAAGAAGGAGTTGTGATGTATTACCATGGAAAGGTATTTCAGATCTTTTGTTGACTGATGGCAGTCAAAGAAAGATAGGAATTAGTATATAACAGAAACACAAGTTGATTATATCCAAGTTTGAGGCATTAGTTCAACCTCACTAAACTAAACTTGTATCAAGATAATGAAAGAGTACCAGTACTGATGTAAGTTCTCTTATCTTTAGTTAACCCTCTTACCCACCTAACAAACTAGCATCTAATTTCTCATTAAAATATCACTTCTGAATTACTCATTAAGGCCACAAGAATGATGGAAATTATCTTTGACTAAAGAAGCTCTTGGTTTTTTAAGCAAATTCTCCTTGTCAGTAGCTTAGGAAATGTATAGAGAACAGTTTGGTGAATGTGCATACTGATATTAGGGTGTATCAAGGGTATAAGTCTTTCCTTCCAAATTCAATAATTAACCTGCCTAATAAAGATATTGTGTATGCTACTTGAGAACTTCAATGTTTTGGATGTGCTGTTATTTTTACAGGAAGAGTTGCGAAAAATTCCTGATTTTTCTCGACTAGCCAAGAAATTCCAGCGACAGAAAGCAAGTTTACAGGTAATATACAGTACCATTAATAATATTTGATTAAGTATGCAAAGAAATAAGTTGTTCAGAGGGCTCATTCATAGCTATTCTTTCAAATATTGAAGTGGTACCCTTGGCTTGAGAAACACAAAGTTACGGATTTAAATAGTCTAACATCCTTGGAAGTTAATGTGTCAAAAAGTGGGATATTTTTTTTATTTGCATCACTTTGTTTCCTTTTCTCTCACTTACCAGGACTGTGTGAGGGTCTACCAAGCTCTTCATAGACTTCCTACTTTCACTGGTATTCTTACTGGCTATCAGGGAAATCACCATGAGCTTATACGCGACTGCTTTACAACACCCATAAAGGTGATTCAGTGAACAACTTTTTATTTTTAACCCTCTGAACTCTAATTATAGTGACTAGCATGTAATTTTTCCTCACAATATCACCCCTGAATCACACATTAAGGTCACACAAATAAAGAGATTTATCACCCGCTAAAGAAGATCTTGGTTGTTGAACAAATTCTCCAGGCCATCACCTAAGGAAAAGTATGGAGAACTGTATGGAGTATAAGCATACCAAAGTTTGGGTGTAAAAGATTGATATCTCTTTATAATTAACCTTACTACAGCTTTAGTTCAAAGGCTTGGTAATTGAGATATGCTAGTCAATATTCCTAATCTCTTCAAGGGATATTTTCATCTTTGATAAATCTGTAGCAAACTATAGAATACTGTTTAGAGCAGCTATTTATTTCTTTGTAGGATCTTATTGAAGACTTTCAAAAGTTCATTGAGTTAGTGGAGACCACTGTAGATCTTGATCAGGTGGAGAACCATGAATATTTGATCAAGGCTTCTTTTGATGAAGGATTGCAAGGTGTGATTTGCATTCTTGTTTCATTTTACAGTTTTGTTTTATTTTACAATTTTGTAGTTTCATCAAAAAGTTTAGTTTTTCCAAATGAAACTAACCCTTTGACCCCTAAGAGTGACTGGCATCTAATTTCTCCTCACAATATCACCCCTGAATCACACATTTTATCAAGGTCACAAGAATAAAGGAAATGATCACTGACTGAAGATCTGGATCTCTTGATAGTTAAACAAATTCTCCTTGCCAGCACCTTAGGAAATGTTAAAAAAAGAAAAAAAAAAGTATAGAGAATCCACATACTGATGTTGAAGTGTAAAGGTTTAGCCTTATAATGATGTGGAAGATCCCATTGACTTTATGAATACTTTGTTTTTCTTTTTCAAAGTTCTTTTAAACTCCTTTGTTGTAAAAGAAAGCATCCACTCATATTTGTTTTTGAGAAAAGTTTATTTATAGTGAGGGTGACCTTTTTCCTGTAGAGTGTAGAGAAAAGATGGATGAAATCTTAGAGCAGATACCAGTAGAACTAAACAAGGTTAGTTTTAAGCTTATATTAGTTTTATGATTGTTCTCAGAAAAATTTCATGCTGTTTCATACTTAAAAAAACAATGTTCAGTCAATTGAGTAAAACTTCTTTTTGCTATTTAACCGATCTTTTGTTTACAGGCAGCACGAGATCTTGGTCTTGAAGCAGGAAAATCAATAAAACTGGAAACCAATAACCAGTTTGGTTATTTCTTCAGGATAACCAAAAAAGTAAGTTTCTCTCTGTAAACAATAGTATTATGTACTTATTGACTTCATAGGAGGGCCAAGGGTAAAAAATTTTGTTCAAGGTCATGTTGTGGTAGTCCAAAGTATTACTTGGATGTGCTCTACCCAGCCAGCAGTTAAAGTACTGAATTTCAACGCAGTGCATGTTTCCTTTTTGGTGTGTGTGAACTACAGGAAGAAAAGGCCTTAAGAAACAGCAAACGCTTTACAACAATAGACACAAGAAAGGATGGAATAAGATTCAATAATTCAGCATTACGGCAACTGAATGAGCAGTTTCAAGCTTTTAAGGAGACCTACAATGAAGTGCAGAGTAACCTGGCCAATGAAGTGATAAAAGTGGCCGGTATGTAAGCATGTTACCATACTTCCTTGCTTTTGCTAAATGAAATTGAGGTACCCTGAGTCTTGAGTAAAAACATTGAGGACCATAGCTATAATTGTGTACACTCCCTGTTGCTTGTCTCAAGCAAAATGGAAAATGAATAGAATTTGACAAACTCTGTCTGGATCCTTGATGAGAATGGTATCTCTCTTTCCCCCCCTCTCTGCATGGGGAAGAGACTGGTCCGAGAAAAGTATGTTATAAAGATAAGGACACCATTTCAACTTTCATCAAGCCAAAGTCAAGCATGCAGGGTAGCATTTATATACATGTGGTGTAGCTCTTGGGAAAAAAAAACCTACATATCATGTTTAATTTTTTTATGACAGGAGGTTACAGTGAGCCAATGCAAATGCTAAGTGACATCATTGCTCAGCTTGATGCCTTGATAAGGTAAGTTTTCAACCAATCTGTGATTGATTCTGTCAGGCTGGTTGTGAAAGAGTCAAAACTTTTCTTATATCTTTCTAGTTGTGTAGTCAGCTTTTCAACTTGTTGTGAGCCTTTACCCTAAGAAAGTTCACTTTTTGTTTCAAAATTTGCAAGAGTCATATGATAAAAGCCAAGTGGGTGGAAAAGAATTGTATGCTCAGGCCTACAGGGCTATAGGCTGACTATGCCCCTTGCCCTCCAAGTTCTTACATAAATTATTATGTGCAAGTAAATGGTTAGGAACTATATAGTTTACTGACTTACTAACCCTTTAGCTCCTGTGAGTGACCAAGACAGAATTTCTCCTTATTATATCTATACAATATCATGCAGACAAGTGATGAGAATAAAGAAAAATATCAATTATGGGATTACTAATTGATCTAATACCAAATTCTACAAACTACTACTATGAGAATCATTTGGCAGACAGTAAGGAGAATCGCTAATGGGATCTTGGGAGTTAAAGGGTTAAGGTTGGGTGTGTTCTCAGTAATAATTATCAATCCATGGTACAGTGTGTTTCTATTAACAAAACTGGCCTTAAGGTATTATGGGTAAACGATAGCCCAATGCAGACTGTGATATGTCAATTATCTAATTATGTTTTGTAATTAATTTTTTTTTCAGTTTTGCGCATGTCTCAGCTAATGCTCCTATTCCATTTGTTCGTCCAAAAATTACTCCCAAAGGTAAGTCCAAGAACAAGATGACATCATGACTACTTTACAACTTCCCTTCCAAGAACATTTTTGAGCATCAGATGTAATTCATTTGGTATCCTCTCCTTCACCTTCACCTTGCACCCTTCATCAAGATTTTGAAGGGTCAACATTTTTTTGCAACTGAGTGTGTTCAACCAATTCTTATTGGTTCCTTGTGGTGTTTTTTGTTTTTTTCTTATTGGTAGTTAAATTACATATTTAAGCAAGCAAAGTAAGGTAGGCTGAGATTTTAGCAATTGCAGAAAAGAAGCTTCAAACAATTCATGCAATAGTGGAATTGGACCCTTTCCTCCCAGATACTAGTTGGTTGTTGTACATGGAAGGTACAGGTTTGAATCCTGTCGAAGCCTGAATTTTTGCAGGCTTCTTTTTTGCAATTGTTAAAAATTGCAGACCACCTGTGAGGATCCTTTCTTTTCCTGATTTTCATCTGCAGTTCAAATTGATTTTATTTTATTATAAGTTGTTACTAGAGTGGTTGATAATTTTTTTTAATCATATGACTTTCATTATTAATACTGTCCAGACACCATCCCAAATCAGTCTTGTGTGAGTCCTTTTTATGTTCTTTTAACTTAACAGGAGAGGGACACATCAAACTTGACATGGCAAGACATCCCTGTCTTGAAGTTCAAGATGATGTGGCTTTTATTTCCAATGATCTCAAGCTTGAAAGAGGTATAATGAACTGAGTGATTGATTTGTGACTGATAAAACTATTGCAGGGATAATGTTGTGTTATTGAACTACAATTAATAAATACTGCTTGGACAACTGGGTCTGGGGCAAGTTTGACACATTTTTTACTCAGTTTTTTACCTTTAGAAACCATAGGCTTTCAGAATTATTTTGAGTAGTAAATGAGACAATGATACAATTACCGTTTTTGTTGTTGTTCTTCTTATTATTACTATTAATATTATTATTATTATTATTGCTGTATATTGGTATTATCATCATTATAACTGTATTTTTATATGTTCAGTTCAAAAAGTATGGTTGCCTACATTAAGAAGTCCATCTAAGGGGGCAAATTACATTATGTGCCAATAAATTCAAAGTTTCGACATTGTCTCCCCCCCTCCCCCACCCATCTGTGCCCCAGGGGAATTTGAACATGAATTTGACAATTCAATTCCATTTTCGGAGGAACACACCTGTTCTATTTTTTTATGTGGAGGTGTCTGAAGGTAAAGAGTTTACTTTCATAAGCAGATGAATGTCTACAAGAAAGTCATGGTCGCTGATCTTGCCTTTTACAAAAAATTGACCATTAAGTTTGGCACTTGGTTTGGGTTGCCCAAGGGGAATTTTGTAGCTTCAAATTGATCAAAGCATTACTTGCTCGAGGTGGGGATGAATTGAAATGTAACCTACATGTTGTAAAAATTTATGCAAAAAAAGAAAAAGAGAAAATAGCTCGGTGGAAGTCGTAATTATCCATGAAATAATGAAAAATATATAAATGATTAAGAATGTGACTTAATTGTTATGAAATGATTGTTATCTTTATAATAATGTTTATTAACAGGTAACAAAGAATTTCTGATAATAACTGGCCCTAATATGGGGGGTAAATCTACTTACATCAGACAGGTATGTTGGTTGTTATTGTTATCTTAGAAGCCAATTTGTTTCCTGATCTAATCTTTCTTCAAAGTGATTTTGAATAAATCAGTTGTTAGGGATCAAGATTGCAACCGATACGAGCCCCTATGCGACACAACGCGACTAAAATCTTCTCACATTTGTTAAAAATGAGTCGATTACTTGGGTTTGTTGTCAAAATGTTGTCAGGATGAACGATCCTTTATTGCTAAGGTCAAACAGCTTTTTAAGTTACAGTTTATAACTTGGTAACTGTAAATGTATTGCTAGCAACCATTATTCGCCACTTAGGCGCCAAAGGGCGATCAAGGAATTTTTTTAACCCTTCCCCCTTTAGGAGTGTCTGATTAGTAATTTCTCCTTACAATATCAGTACTTTGTAATGAAGAAAAAGATGTTGAAAAGAAAAAGAAAAGCATCAACTTATGGATATTGTTGGATTTAATAACAAATTCTCAGAGCGAAAATAACAAGAATTGTACGACAAATAGTGAGGAGAATTGATTTTTGGATCGTAGGATTTAAAAAGTTAATTTGGGTCCCTGGTTTTTTAGTAATGCTTGTTGTATGTCTCAACTTAATGATGTGTATTTCTGTTTTTCCTTGTTAGACTGGAGTGATTGTATTAATGGCTCAGCTTGGCTGTTTTGTGCCCTGTAGCTCAGCAGAAATTTCCATAACAGACTGTATTTTAGCCCGAGTGGGGTCTGGAGACAGTCAGCTAAAAGGAGTTTCTACATTTATGTCTGAAATGCTGGAAACTGCCTCGATATTGAGGGTAGGGATCTTTGCATATTTTCTTTGATAACACTATCTGTTTAGGTTCACCAGGGAGCTAAAAAATACAGTGAGTCAATCAGGAAGACTTTGAGAAGGATTGTTCTTTCTGTTTCTGAAGTGTTCCTGTTTTGTGAAATTCAGCACATGCTTGTAGATGTTACAGTTACAAAGGGCGTGGCTAAGGGGGAAATTCCAGGGTACACACGACCCTCTAATAGGTGTGTCAGCGAAGACCAAACAGACAGAATACTGCAAGAACTTACATCTCTCGGTTCGTTCGAATTTAGAAGAGTTTACAATTGAGTTGATAATGTAAAATGGCCACCATAGAGAGTTTCTTAAGCTCACGCCTTGATCGTTAGCCCTTCGCCAGTATTCGCTCTGACGAAGGGCTAAAGCTTGAAACGCCAGCTTTAGAAACTCTTTACGGTGGCCAATTTTACATTATCAACTCAGTTGATAAAACTAAATTATCTTGTTATACTCGCCAACCAACGAAGCACCACAGTTTCTTTAGAAACTTACCCCCCTTTATTCGTTCAAATTTAGTTTGGCTTGATAACTTTATTTCATTTCTCATTGGCTTTCTTTCTTCTTTAGTCTGCCACTGAAAACTCTCTCATCATTATCGATGAACTAGGAAGGGGAACATCAACATATGATGGCTTTGGACTGGCGTGGGCTATATCACAGTAAGAAATCAGCAGTAAACCTGTTTCAACCAGGATGTAGTTTATCCAAACTAAGAGTAGTCCCTCCTTTTCGGCGAGTTTTTTTACTCGCGCGACGGACATCGCCGAAAATAAGGGACTGCTTGTGGTCCATAGCGTATCTTAAAGCTAGTAGATATGAAATAAACCATTTTCCGTGACACCCATTTTAACCTCTTTTTATTTTTGAGTTAAGCTGTAATCTGGCCAGCACATGTCTTATTTGTAACATTTCTTTTCAGCTACATTGCCACTAACATCAAGTGCTTCTGTCTTTTTGCCACCCATTTCCATGAGCTTACAGCTCTTGCGGATGAAGTTTCCACGGTAACCAACCTCCACGTTACTGCTATGACCTCCAGTGGGACTCTGACGCTTTTGTATAAAGTTAAACCCGGTGAGCAAGGAAATTGGAGGAAAAGAGCATGTCTATTCCTGTGGGAGAAACTTAAGCCCAGTCCTAATTTGTTTGGCGCTGGAGAGAGAGGTCTTGGTTCGAACTCTTCGTGGTTGATTAAGTTGTGTTCTTAGGCAAGAAATTTTGCTCCCATAATTTCTCTCTCTACCGAGGAGTATTGATAGGTACCAGACAACTTTTAGAGAAACTTGAAGAATTTCTGCGATGGACTAACTCCCGTTTGGAGAGGAGTATCAAAATTCTAATCCTTTCATGCAACAAAAACCAAGTTGAGTTCCGACCTTGAATTAGATACTGAGCTTCTGAGACGTCCTCGATATTGTACTTTATATGGTCAGCTGTTCTCTTTCTGGTCAGTCGCAAGGATTGCGCACAGTTGCATGTCACTGCTGGGGCCTGGGTTCGACTCCCCGGACCAGAGGTCACATAAGGATGGAGTTTTTAGTTGGTCCCATTCTTCTGTCAGAGCGTTTCTCTCTGGGTTGTCTAGTTCTCCTCTTTCAAGAAAAAGTAATATTCCATTTTCCTATTCGGTCAGGAATAGTGGGCGATAAAGCACACTGGGAGTATGTCCCCTGTGAGAATTATTTGACTTGTCTAGGATCAGGGGCGTAATAATTTCGCTGACAACGCACTTAAAGCGTGGTCAAACGCACGCAACATTTCAACGAAACATCTTGCAAGATTGTTGGATCATGTTGCGAGATGTTGAAGGAGATGGCCAAACGTATGGGACACCTTGCAATATTCAAAAATGTTGCAACAAAAATGTGACCATTTTCAGGCTTGATCCAACACCATCTAACATCTAACAGCATGTTACTACAAGGTGGCCAAACGCGTGCGACGCCTTACGCACAACAATAGTACTGTTGCGTGCGTTTTGCCTGGCCTTAACTCTGATTACGAGCTACATTGGAATGGGAAGTTTAAACCGTTAAGGTTATTGTTATTTTGTTATATTTTTCCAGGTGTATGTGATCAGAGCTTCGGTATTCATGTCGCGGAACTTGCTCACTTTCCAACAAGCGTCATAGAGGTAAGAATACGTTTACTTATTTAACCACATTTATTTTGCTTTTATTTCCGCGCCTTTGTTTTCCTATTTAGTAGCGGCCAATGGTCAATGGTGTGCTAGTAATTTTGCCAGGATGTAGAAAGTGGAGAAATTTTCAAAGTCGTAACAAGTACGGTCGTGTAGTCTGATTTGTTGTTTATACGTGATAAGAGGGACTTTAAGAAAACCAAAATGGCGACGGCAATGAGAACGTCGCGAAACAAAAGATCTAATGAGCAGAACATAAGCGAAACACGTGCGTTTTAAAACTTTGTACATCTCCTAACCGTCTAATACAGAACAAAAACGTCAAATCATCAACTCTTACGTCCTCTTAGCAAGGCAACCTCGACAGCAATTTAGTCTTGTTTTCACTTTGAATTCAACAATCTATTTATATGTCTATTTATATGACATCTTCACTTCCGCATATATTATGCGGAAGGGAAGATGTCGTACTGTCAGAAACAGTTAACGCATCGAGCTATTGACGAAAGTCTTTGAAATTTGATTACGATTTACCACATGTCACCGTAGTGACACCTTAAACTCCTTATAACTGGCTGCGAGACGTGACGTTATTGGTTGCCTTGCAGCCAATAACGTCACGGCAGAACTGACCAGTAGGTGATCAAGAGACGTATCGACAATATTCGACGGGGAAACAAACTTTAACTTGATGTATAACGCTCAAGCCTGTTCAGGGTCCTTGACCCAATCCTAAGGTACTCACGAAGAGCGTAACTTAATTTTCTGCATACAAACACATGTACAACCCACAATTCCTCCAAACGCTCAGACGAAGGACTAACGCTCGAAACGTCAGCTTTGAAACTCTTGACGGTGGCCAATTTACGTTATCAACTGAGTAGATAACACTAAATTATCCTGTTATCTTCACAAAAAGGCTTAATTCGGACAATATTTGTGTTCACTGTAATCAAGGGGCCACAGATGTACATTTCATTGTTAAAAAAAAGGCAAAACAACTACAGCAACAATTCTGCTCATTAAAATAAGAGTTATAGCAACGTTACATGATAGCGTAATGCCTATCTATAGCATCTCGATGGATCAAAATATAACCGAAGAAAAAATTAGAAATAAAATCTGAGAAAAGCTGAAACACGTGTAATCTGTACAAACCTCGTTTTCAAGAAACGCTGAAATAAAGGAAATTTTAAGAAACATTTTGACGTCGATCGATTATTTTTCGGAAGTTGTTTTGTTTTGTTTTGTTTTTCAAACGCGCACTAGCTTACTTGTGGACAATCTCGCAATTAATTTGAAAACTATGTGCATTGAATGTTGAAGGGAAAAAAGGATTGATTTTTGTGACTTAAAGAATGCTTTGTACTCAATTCAACCGTTCAATTTAAGCGCGCAAAAATAGTTGATCTTTACCTCTGAGCAATGTTGTCTAAAACCTAGTTTTCTTTTAGCCCCATAGCTTTCCTTGACTTATTCAGTATGATCTTGTGAGATTAAAGCGATAGTTCTAAACTGAATAGTCACACTATAAACTCATATCTGCAACAACAAAAGTAGATTTTCAAAACTTAATTCTCCATTTTCAAGACTAATGAAACTCATTAAACGTTATACCAAGTTTACTCACAAGGAACCACAATTGTGAAAAGGAACATTTCATGCTTTGAACTTTTCTCAGAACTTTGTATGCTTAGTAATGAATGTGCACAAATGCACTTCTAATTCAATAAAAAGAGAGAGAGGGAGAGAGGTTAAAACCACTCAATGTTGTTCCTTATTAATGAAGAACCGTAACATGTCAAAAGTGGTAATAAATACATTGCTGAAAAATAATACTCATTGAGTCCAACCAAACAAATGAAAGAAAAAATTTGCCAAATATTGACGCAGCTAAAATGAGTGTACACCACCTTCTTTGTCGATGAGGTTAAGTAAAAGTATTCAAAGTTCGTCAAGATTATTGATGATCCTTCCTCGATAATCACCACTCTTCATTCTATTAAACAGAATTTCGTTGAAATCCAGGGGTTTGAAAATGTCATATTCCAGTATGGCGATCTCCGCTTGGGTCAGTTTGCTTGCCCCCTCGGCCAACACTCGCTTGCTCATAAAGAATGCTTCACATAGGGTGACTGTGCTGTCATTTTGTGTTTCTTGAGTTTGTGGCGTACTTTTGGTTTCTGCACATAAATAAGGCTCTTTACCCCTCAGAATAGTCGGTGTTTTATCGTTCTTGCGTTTCTGTTTTGCTTTGTTTTTTTCTTCCATGCTTGACGTATTCACCAGCGAACAAGACAGCACACAGAGTTTGAGGCTTACTGTGTTTCCTCATGTTTTGATGGGAGTTGCGAACACAAAAAACGTGTTTTGCGAACACAAAACGTGTTTTGCGAACACAAAAACGTGTTTTGCGAACACAAAATACGTGACTGGCCAAAACGTATTGTTTGTCGCACCGGTAAACCATTAAAAAATTGAAACATACTGTTTAAAGTTTATTTTCTGAAAGCAATATAGAAAGGGTGTTCTCCCAACATCCTGCGAGGGTTATTACGCAGGTAAACCGATAGAAAGTGCGCCTACTACAGGAGGTGGCTGTGCCGTTATTTTGTATTTCTCGTGGTTGTGGCGTATTTTGGGTGTGTCCGTCTAGATGAAGTTCTTCGACCTTCAGGTTAATCAGCGGTTTTTTTTTTTTTTTTTTTTTTTTTGCGTTTCTGTTTCGCTTTTTACTGTGGTATTCTTATGGTTAACTGATTTTCTGAGGAGGTGGAATGCACACAGATGTTCAGTGTTTCTGGTTTCTCAACGTTGTTGTGGGCCTGGTATCCCTATGAAGTGTGCACGTATTATCGTCAAACACACGTGTAATCTGTTCAAACCTCGTTTTCAGCAATCGCTAGAATAGATGAAATGTACGAAAACATGACGTCAATCAATTATTTTGCAGATTTGTTTTGTTTTGGTTTGTTTTCAAGCGTGCCATGATTTTTTCGATAACAATCTCGCAATATACATTTTTAAAGTATGCGCCCACTAATGTCACTTGCTTTTACGTTTTCTGCCAATCAGATTTGTTTTTACTACCATGGATTTATCCCCATCACGTGTCAATTCCTTGAAAACAACCTGCAGTTCATCACATTCCATACGCAGGGAAATAAAAGTCCAGATAATAATCGCCAATCAAGGAGCCCCCTTTTTATTCCCACTTGAAATAATTTGAAATATGATCCTGTTCTCTTTTCTCTTCGTTCATTATATTTTCACTTATTCGAGGAACAACATGGATATTACTACTAAAACCAGTTTTCTTTATCTTCCTCTTTCGTTTATTCTTTTGAGTTTAAAGTGGACATAAGCAAATATATCACTAAGAGTGAAAATAAAGTACTCCATGTCAGAATTTCGACTGCTTGTGAGTAACACGAGATAACGTTTACGTAGTTTGAATGGTTTTAAACTCGCAACATCATACTGTATAAGAAATGAAATGCATCAGGGTTTAAAGATAGACGAAATGTATACACCGTTGTTTAGAGAGGTGAAAATTGAGGAAAGGACGTGACCATTATCCAATTATATGATATTTCTGAAAAATGATACTCATCGATTCAATTTCGAAAAGCGTAGAATAACCAAGAAAATGATAGAAAAATGTGGCAAGTAAGTGTACAGCACCTATTTTTGTTGAATGGGTTAATGAACGTATTTACAGTTCGCTGAGATTAGCGATGATCCTTCCTTGATAATCACCACTCTTCATTCTATTAAACAGAATCTCGTTGAAATCCAGGGGTTTGAAAATGTCGAACTCCAGCATGGCGATCTCCTCTTGGGTCAGTTTGTTTGCTCCTTCGGCCAACACTCGCTTACTCATGAAGAATCCGCTGCATAAGGTGGCTGTGCTGTCATTTTGTGTCTCTTTTGCTTGTGCCGTAGTGTTAGTTTCTCCACAGAGATGACGTTCTTTACCCTGCAAGTTAATCAGCACCTTTTTGTGCTTGCTAATCTTTTCCGCGTCATTCTGTGGTACTTGCATGGTTAATTGGTTTGTCGACGTTGTTTTGGGCCTTGCGTCGTTACGACTATCGCCAAACACACGTGTAGTCTGTTCAAACCTCGCGTTCAGTAAATCGCTAAAATAGGTGAAATCTACAAAAACATGACGTCGATCAATTATTTTGCAGATTAGATTTGTTTAGGTTTGTTTCCAAGCGTACAATGTTTATTTGGAGAACAATCTCGCGAGACCTTTTTTTAATTTTAAGTATGCGCCCAATATTCTCACGCGGTTTGACGTTTGCCAATCAGCTTCGTTTTAGTAACCATGGATTTAACCCCATCACTAGTGCAATTCCTTGAAAACAACCTGCAGTTTGTGACTTGTTACTTCAGGTAAATCAGCGTTTTTTTGTTCTTGTTCAAACTACCCGACTAACTAGCTTAATGATAATTACTAATTACTTCTAAAGTGTCGCGCGGTGCTAATTTGGATTTCATTAGCACTAATTAGAGCTAGTTACAGAACAATCGACTGTTGTGGAAGTTTTAGTCGAGACAAATTAATAACGAGTGAAGTCAGTTTCGGTTTGTAATCATACGCGTGATTAATAAATCGGACGACCGCGAAGCGGGAGTCTGATTTGTTAATCACGATTATGATTACTGACAGAATTGGACGCCAAGAAGTCCTGTTACCAATTAATCATAACCATTTCAATTTCCAAAAAAACAAATACACCTAGAACAAATATCTCCAGTGGAGACAATGTCTTAAGTTAAAAATTCCTCCATTTTGGAAATTCTCCGGTTTTTCTCTGGATAAGTGGTTGTTGCTACGGTTATTTTGATCATTTCTGTGATTGGTGAATTAGCTGAGTGAACTTAGTATGATTGGCTGTTTCAACTGTCCGATTACTGCCAACTGTCCGATTACACTGTCTGATTACAAATTTACGGAATGATTAATGAAAAAATGAAGCTGCGAATGCACCAAGACTTTTTGAAGAATTTGTAATGGTTCTGATTAATAACGGTAATAGGACCGAGAGGAGTCCATTTCGGTCTGTAATCATACGAGTGATTACAAAATCGGACAACTGATAAGCGGAGGGCCCGATTTGTTAATCACTCGCATGATTACAAACCGGAATGGACTTCATTCGGTCTTATTACCGTTATTTATTTGTGTCTAGACTAAAACTTCCACAACATTCGATGGTTCTGTAACTAGCTCTTATTAGTACTAATGAAATCCAAATTAGCACCGCGAAGTCCTTTCACCAATTAATCATAACCATTAAAATTACATTGTCTTAAGTGTAAAATTCCTCCAATTTTGGAAATTCCCCAGTTTTGTAGGGTAAGTGGTTGTTGCTATGGTTATTGTTGTAAAAAATCCATTTACGTAAAAAGAGGCTAGAATCCCAACTCCCTAGAAAATATGTATCAAACTTGTTAAATGAACCACAACATTTGGCTGAAATAAAAACTCCGAAACTTCTTAAAATTCCAAACAAAGGAGTAACAAATTTAAGCGGACGAAAGCTCAAAAACAACCCAAACTCCGCGAAAACAAACTAAAAAGTACGCGAAAAATGTCCACGTCAGTTTTTCAATGTCAAAGTTAGAGTTCTTTGTTGTGATTGGCTAATTTGTGAAATCACGCGCGCCGCAAGTGAATACAAAAAGAATACAAAGGGGGGAGAGGAAGAGAAAAGTTGTTACTTAAAATTTAAAACGAAAGAGATTTTCTACAATTGTAATCAATTCTGTGATTGGTGTATTTAGCCAAGTGGACTTAGTAGGTTCAAATGCCTTATAACCCTCAATAAGTTCTCAGACACTCGCCACTTCTAAGACCCAATTTCTTTCACACCTGCAGTTTATATATTCGCGTAAATCACTTTTTGAAGGAAAAGATCAAGTTAAAACCCCTTCGATAAAAACTTTGTTGTCGCCCATCATGATGCTGATTGCTATAACGACCAGATTCGAAAAGCGCTTGATCAACACTGGTTTTCAGACCTTTTTCTGTGATGTCATCAGCAACTTTGAATTGCTATGTATTTTCAATCCCTAACTCTTGTTCACGGCGAACCGTTCCCCGATCCCCTTCCCCTTTCTCGGTGTTTTCTTCAAATCAAGTCGTACCGCCATCCCAAGCAAAAAACCATTAAATTCGTGCTCTGAAACTTCTGTACTTCTTTTGTTTTCTTATGAGGAAGTCTCCCTTCTTGAACAAGATGCTGTTGAACTGATGAAAATACCTTGTGTTTTAAAGATTCGTTAAAGAGAATGGGAAACAAGAACCAAAATGAAAGAAAACTAGAAAGAAATATAAGCAATATTGATGTTTGAATGACCTGGTGGGCGCTATTTCGATCAGATCACCTAATACGGTTGCAATCGTGAAACACAAGCTCTTTAGTTCGCAGGAGTCTAAAGATAATGCGGACAAATGTAACAACCGTTGTTACTACAGCGGTAACTGCTTAGGCTCCTTTGGAGCCGCTATGATTTCGTGCCGATCACAAGCGCTGTTCGTTTAGCGTTTTCATCCAGGTAATCCTCCCGTCATCCGCTTAGGCGGACTTAGTTATCATCTAAGATTTCGTAACAATTGAATCACTTCTAATGCCCTTACAGCCTGAGCTATTTTGCGAGACTTTAATATTTATTCGATATATTGATATTTTTTCACAAAGACAATCACTACTCTTTTTCCTTCAATTATTTTCTAGATATTCGCAGAGTTCTCTCATACTAGTTACTATCTTTCCTTTGTTGCTTTCCCTCAATCTTTTATCTAAGATCTCACTGAAATTCAAAGGTTTAAAACCGTCTATGTCCAACGCGTGCAACTCTTGTTGCGCGAACATTTCATCCTCTTCAGACATACTCCCTCCGCGCAGATACAGCCTGCTCCTCATGAACTTTTCCATTTCGCTTTGTCTTTCTGAATTTTCAGCCTCTTTTTCGATTTTTCCTTGGTGCTTGACGGAGAATTCAGGCTCCTTCCCCTTGTGTTTGCCATCACAAGAACGTAACAGATTGGCCTTGCCTTTATAACGGCAATATTTCTCTTTCTGTTCCTCTATCTCTGTCATCTTAACTTTTGTCTGCTTACTGAACAGTTTCACGTCTTCCATCATATGTTACCACCAGTACCAAGCTACGAACAAGGTGCATCCAAGCCATCCGTGGGCTCCGCAATTTGTACTCATGTGTTGCTTCGAGACGTGCGCAATGATTGCGTGTAGGACTGCTTGTGAGCCATTTCTATTAATTGGTGTCTCCAAACTGACGTCTCCAGTTAAAATTATCGTTAAATAGGATTGTGACGCATGTTGTTCGTGGAACACCAACCCTTTTCTTTAGTGTCAAGATTATAGGGTAGCTACAGTGACCTAAACTGCTAATTATAACTTAGAAGATCACGACGCATTTCGATGATGAATTTTAAGTATCTTGTTTATTGCTTTTCGTTATTGGCCCGGTGATGATAAAAATTTGATGTTGTGTTTCTGAGCAATTTTTAACTGATTGTTCAACGTAGTGTAGGGCTTCTTTTGCCTTTGCTTTACTTCGCTCTGTGGTTGGGCTAGCGTTTTTTTTTTTTTTTTTTACTTGAGCATTATTTAGAGTACTCTTTCACACCTTACACTATAACATCAGTATCCATATTCTCTGCACTCTTCTTTATACATTTCCTTTCATACTGAAAGGAGAATTCGTTTAACAATCAAAGCTTCTTAAGTTAGCCATCATTTTCTTTACTCTTATGATCGTAATGAATGACCAGGAGTATTACTGTAAGGAGAAACTAGATGCTGGTCACCCTAAGGATTTGATGGGTAAATAATAACTGTTTTCTTTTAGTTTGCGAAGTTGTTTTGATACCGTCGCCTCTGATTTCTACTTTCACAAAAATGGGCATTGCTGATTTGGTTAAGCTTAGGAATTAGCGCCGAATATTATAAATAACTGGCTGAGGTTTGATTAAAATTGTTTTGAAATTAATGGATGGGGGTAAATTTCTAAAGAAACTGTGGTGCTGCGTCGTTGGGAGAATATGATAGGGTAATTTAGTGTTATCAACTGAGCTGATAACGTAAATTGGCTACCGTATAGAGGTTAAAGGCTGACGTTTCGAGCGTTCGCCCTTCGTCAGAGCGACGAAGGGCTCTGACGAAGGGCTAACCCTCGAAACGTCAGCCTTTAAACTCTGTACGGTGGCCAATTTACGTTGATAACACTTAATTATCCTGTTTTTAATTTTACTAAAATTGTTTTGAAATTAATGGATGGGGGTAAATTTCTAAAGAAACTGTGGTGCTGCGTCGTTGGGAGAATATGATAGGGTAATTTAGTGTTATCAACTGAGCTGATAACGTAAATTGGCTACCGTATAGAGGTTAAAGGCTGACGTTTCGAGCGTTCGCCCTTCGTCAGAGCGACGAAGGGCTCTGACGAAGGGCTAACCCTCGAAACGTCAGCCTTTAAACTCTGTACGGTCGTCAATTTACGTTGATAACACTTAATTATCCTGTTTTTAATTTACTTTATGACGCGTGACGCGTTATACCGATACATCTTAATCGTATTACTTACTGTTATTTATTGATTTTGGAGCAAATTTATTTATTCATTTAGTTATTTTTTATCGTGAGGTTGTTTTGAAAGTGCCCCTGATGATGCATACAGTTAATTTAGCTTACTTCCTTTACAGTTATTGCTGATTGGGTTAAATCATCACTGATTAGCGCCATGTTACTGATTGGGTGGAACGTGGCATGTTGTTTTGAAAATACGCACGTTTTACGGATACCTTTCAATTTTCTTAATTACTCTTATTGATTATGGAGGAAATTAAATGTTGTTTTGTTATTCTTTATGGCTGTTTTGAAGTTGATGACGCGCATAACGAAGCTTAATCAATAATCATTTAACTATTACTAATTACCGTGACTTTAGCCGCCGCTAATTGAGTTTCAATACCGGTATATTTGCATCTCTGATACGTGCCTTACTTCCCAGAATTCAAGCGGCGTTGGGTTATTTTACCAAGGATTTCGCGCAATTCGCACGACGGATATCATAGGGGAAAAAGTTGTTCTTGGTCTATTTCAGACGTCAACTGTTATAAATTACACTGAAAAAAAAAAGGTCGATGGTGCTTGTAATTCCGCAGTACATTGATTTTTCTTGAGAAAAGAAACCTGCTCCAACTTCAGAGTCAATTGAATGCGACACTAAAACCAACAACATACGTTTTTTTTTTCTTTGAGTTTTCTTTGGTTCCTAATGATATTTCCTCTGTTTTTATTACTTGATTTTAGTTTTACGACATGCAATCGAAAAACGCTCTATGCTAAAGAACGAAATTTACTACGAGATTGCAAGAAACAAACAAAGAAATAACACGGAGTGTTGGTTGCCTATTGCTGGTGTTTTTTCTTGCCCCTCAGGGGCTGGGAAAAACATTACACAACTCGCAAAGTGCCCGCACGTATTATATGTTAAACAATCGAACGAGGTGTCTTTATTATTCTGAAAATGTGACGCACATCACTAATTAGATCTCATTACTGGTAATTAGTGTTACCTGATTAACCTTACTTGTTTTTATGTTTTGGAAATTAGCACAAACATTTAACTTTTCCAAGGCTGTACTATTTTGATTATGAAAATTTGTGATTAAATTACGTCACTGTTGTCTTCTAATCACTAATTAGATCACTAATTAGATCTCATTACTGGTAATTAGTGTTACCTGATTAACCTTGCTAGTTTTTATGTTTTGGAAATTACCACAAACATTTAACTTTTCCAAGGCTGTACTATTTTGATTATGAAAATTTGTGATTAAACTACGTTACTGTTGTCTTCTTTTACAGTTTGCCAGGAAAAAAGCAGCGGAATTAGAAGATTTTCAAGGCAGCACGGCGTCCTTGGGTGATGGAGTTTTAGGTAAGAAGATATATTCGATTTTGTGGCATTTCTTCGAAGAGGTCCGAAAGAGATACTGTTTTTCAGTGAAAGGGGCTAGATCATGACTTACGCTTGCGCAGTGAGAAAGGAGAAAACACTAGCAACAACGGGCTGTTGACAGTCTTTGCCGTCTCGTTTCATACAATCTAGTAAACCATTAAAGCGAGAATTGTCTAATTGTTGAAATGCAGTTTCCTCGAATAATTCTCGACAGTACGTGACCAAAACACCTTGTGATTCTCGGCTATTACAACGACGTGCTCCACTCCAGGGAAAAATAGCGATTTGGCCCAATCTGGAATGACTCAGCGCAAGCTCACAGAGTGATCTAGCCCCTGTAGAGGATGGGTTGTAGTCCAACTCAATCCATTCCGTACCCTAACGGATGATGTTTAACAACCATGCATTGTTAGATTCCAAGCTCGATAAAAGTGGATTTAGATGAAACAAGAAAATTTGTATTTGCTATATGTTTCACTTTTTTAAAACATTTTGCATAATTTAAATTCTGAGGAATTTAATAGCAATCACTTAAATACGTTTTGGGATGGGAAATTTCTAGTAACAGCATTGACAATGAGATTGCCGATCCAAGTTATTTTCAGAACCCATGTCACGTATGAATTGAGATACGACCAAGCACGTCAACTAGTTCTTAGCAGCTCAGTTGCTAAAGTATTAAGACACGAAGTCGAAGGTTTAGATTTTCGCGAGGCTTTCCAACACTTTTCCCATGCTTGTGTCGATTGCTTTTTGCATCTTCCATCAATTTTTCTACCAGCTAGATCCTGTGAAAGAGAACTTGAACTAGGAACTGAATTTTAGCCGTCTGGTTTTTCTTTTTTCAATGAATACTACCCATTTTAACGGAAGTGAATTCGTTAACTATGTAACTTACTGCTGACTTTTGCCAGAGTCTTTACTGCTAATTTATAATCGTGTTTCATGGCGGATTTATTTCAGACTCTGATACAGGCACATCGCCAGCCAAGAGACGGCGCATGGTGAAGCAGGTGGGTACAAGAAAATGGTTATCTTGTCCTTCTACTAATGTTGCAGGCGTTCGGTTAAACGGAGGGAAAAAGTGAGGGAGGTCTGGGTCGGGTCGGGTCGGGTATAGAACGCCTGTAAAACTTTGAACCAAAGGCTGATTCGGTGTACCAGCTTTTTTATACTGAGAGGCTACTCCTCTAACGAGGCATGTCACTGCATCTTCCAGTCTAGTAAAGCAATTTTCAAGTAAGTGTGGAAACTTATCGTGAATAATATTGTTCATCTTACTTCGCTCTGCGATGGTTCTATAGGACTCTAGACAGTCTCTCAACCAATCAGATACAGCATTAAACAAATCGTTTTTTAGACACTCGCACTGACCTGCGATTCAGGCCGTTTGCCAGTTTATCTTTGGGATTCTCGTTGACTCCTTTTTTAATTTTTTTAATTAAAAATCAGCCGTTAGATTACCATGATTTTGGTTTATGACACTCAGATGGTTAATCGAAATGCGCCCATAACAGCGTGGTAGAGTGGGTTTTGTGATATAAGACATAGATCTCTGTTGTGCTTTTAATTCGTGACGCACCTAGGTACTTAAAAGATAGTTTCCGATTTCCAATATATCATCTCGTGTGATAATTCATCTTTTAAATGTATCTTTATTGGTCACGATGAGCCATTTTGCTTTCTTTTTGTCTGTTTCCAAGGATGGCGAAGAAATAATCAAAGATTTCCTCAGTCAAGTTGCCAAGTTGCCAGTTGAGTCTATGACAGAAGAGAAAACCTCACAAGAGGTAGCGAGATTAAAGGAACAAGTATTGGCCAGAAATAATCCTTACATTCAAGAACTCCTTGCCAAATAGGGACGTTGAACAGGGCTAAGAAGGACTATTACGACCCCTTTAATTACACTTTAATGTGGAATTAATGAATTGAAACTGTTTATTACTCTGATAGAATGGTCAGAAATGTTGGGAGGTTGCAACACGTACATGCTGTATGCCAACCCAAAAGTATATCATACTTGTGATCAATGAACCATCGTCGAAAAACCGCTGGCTCAGAAGATGGTTCTCTCGAACACTGATAGAGTATTTCCATGTAGAAAATTTTACTAATGGGTTTAGAATATCACGAATGTTTTTTGGCATGATGGGTGTTTGTTACTGTTAGATCGTTCTAAGAAATTCGAAGGAACTAAAACGTTTATATTAGGTTATGAAACAATAGAGAATTAAAAACAGTTACGATGATTTCCTTGTATTGCTTTCCGTATCCTTGCTGCGAATTATTTTCAGGTGTGACAAGTGTGAAGCAAACTAACACATGGAAGATTTCCAACGGCCTGCCTAGAATCACTATCAATGTAAATCGTGATTTCCTCGTAAGTGAGCGCAGTGGCCTTTTTTGTTGTTTCGTTAATTTGATAAGAACTGTGTCAATCAAGTTAAAAAAAAAAATCTTTAGTCAGTTTTAATGCAAATTAATTACTATGAACGAAGTCCACGCCGGGATCGAGTCCTTTTCGGGGACGAAAAGTGATCATTTTAATCAGGTTGATGGTTGTTTAGAAGCCGTGTGATTTACACATTAATTAAACATATTCATTTTCGTAACCCCGAGACAGGCTGCTGCTCTCTTGTTTAATCGCTGAACTCGCAGTTTACACGGCGAGTGTTGACCTCAGACCGCATCACTCTCAATCACTCAGATGCAAAACTGAACCTTACTTCAGCATGTATATTCTCCATACTGTTCTCTATAAATTCCCTTAGGTGCTCACAAGGAGAATTTGTTTAACAATCAATAGCTACTCTTAGATGATGATCGCTTCCTTTTTTCTCGTGACCTTAATTTTTGATTCAGGGGTGATGTGGTAAAGGAAATTAGATGTTTCACACTCAGTGGTCAGAGTCAAACCAGACAATATAAATGCGAAACAAGAACGAGGCTTGTCTTACGCGCGTCTTCCAACGCACAGGTTTTTATTCACTCTGAGTAATGAGTGGCTCTTAGTGATATCAACCTTGGCTCTGATCGCCCGTTGTGATTACTTCGTTTTTTGTATATCAACCATCGAAAAATGATCTCTATCATTTCCTCTAACTCCAAATTGTAAAGGGTCTTCATGGATGCCCCCGCCTCGTTAACGAAAGGAACACGTTATAACGAAAATTTATCGTTTATTTCCATCGTTATACACGCCGTAGGTATGGCCGCTTCTTCTCCTTGATTTCTACACCCATCTTAAACTGCCTAAACTTGTACTTGTTCCACTTTGTGTGCGGGCTCTCCAGTGGAGCTATGTCAAGTTCTTTTATTAGTTCCAGGTAGCGCTCAAAACGAAGGTTTTTCAGGTTCAGTAGTTTTTTTCTTCGTTGTGCAATCAGCCAAGAAAGAAATACTTTATTCCCTATGTCCTAAAAAACAAGCAGATCAAAAAAGAATTCATCACATCTATAGCTTATTGAATTAAAAAGCAAAAAATCATTTTATTAGACGCCTGGCTCTCCTTGAGCTGGTGAGGTGAATCATAATAACAAATCCATTGTTCGAATAAGCTAACCTTGCCCGTTCGAAATTTTCAGCATTGTCCCCGCTTTGAACTTTCAGGCCAGTTTGTAATAAATCCGTTATTAGCAAGACCTGTTTTCTCAAGATGGATAAAGATTTGCGTCGCTCGAATTCGTCTCAGTTCACAAAAACGAAGGAAAAAGAACTTGGACTACATCTTCTGCTATCGCAACGTATCTCGTGTCTTTTTAATAACCTCAATTGTTTAGGTAAAATGTGGTAAAAAGGCACGGTGTTTTCCCCTCAGTTTTGGCAAAGAATTTACTACCACGGCAAATCGCAACAAATATAAGCACCACACACAGGCAACAAAACTCGTATCACAGAGTCTCAGGGACCTTGCACAGGCTCAACTCAATGCTAAGCAAGAAATGGAAAATTAGGGAATTCTTTTCCACAATTTAAAACCTATCACTCCCAGTATCTAAATATAGATCCCCCTTACTGTCTGTCAAACATTTTGTAAAATTTTAGCTCTGAGAATTTAGTGTTAAATGTTAAATCATGTTTTTGGACATTAATTTTTCTTTTCAATACCTTTCTACATTAAAAAGTATTTATAAAGTAAGGAAAAATGCCTTTTGGTTACTCCTGGGAATGGAGAATTAAATTTAAGGCCTCTCAGAGGTCCTGTGGTTGTAAACAGCATCACTAAATGCGCAAGAAAATTCATTGATGTTGTCTTCCGTAAGAGGTATACAGGGGTGTATATGTCTTCTATTACACGTAGGATTTCAAGAAAAATACACTTGTCCACCTTACCCTTTCACTGCCTAGAGACAATTTTTACAGGGTCAGATCACAGATTTTGGTATTGGATCAACTAATAATCCTCCCATTGATATTTTTCTTTATTCTCATCACTTGTCTGCTTGATGTTGTATTGAATTGTAAGGAGAAATTCTATACTGGTCACTCATGTGAGTTACAGGGTTAAGTGAAATGGAAACCTTGTAAAGAGTGAAGTTACCAAAAAACTTGGTAACTTCTCCTGGCACCAGCCATGAATGTTTGCCTAGCAAAAGTATCTGCCTCACACTGGTATTCAGTCCTAGAGAGTGGAAGTACACAAAATTTTACCTTTCTTCCTCTCCTTCCATCATTATTATTTGCTTTCACTGCCTCAATTTGAATGGTCAACTTTGCAACTGAAAGAAATTCAGGTAATTGAGACTTCTTAGAGGCCAGAACATCTGTTCATTAAAAGATCTCAGATGACATTACTAAATCTTGGTCTGTTGGAAAGATTAAAAGTGGCACCTAAGGAACTTCAAGCCAAATATTCTCCCATCTGAACCTCCAAGTCAGTCACTAATTTACCATTCTAGAAGACTTACTTTTTTGTTCATATTTATCTGCATATTTTTGTTCCATCTTTCCTAGACCAATTTTACGGTGTTCCCACTGCATAGAGGAAAAACAATACAAAGGCAGTAGATCATCAGAATTGACATTGGTCAACAACAAATCAAACCAACCAAAGCTGCTTACATTAATAGCTTAACTTAGCTTACAACAGTGTTTATTTTGTTGATACTTTCGCTGATATGATTAGAAAAGCACAAGAGAATTTTGAATGAAAAAAAAAAGCAAAATTTCTTTATGATCACAACACATGGGAACTTAAGTACCAGAATTATATCCAAAACAAGGTTGTTTTGCAACATTACCTGACTTGCATTTTGAAGACTAAACACTCTCTTTACTTCTTCAGGGGCACTTTTAAGAGACAAAGACAATAGTAAACAGCAATTTTCACAGATCAGTTTTAAAATGTGGATCATTTGTTCAATGGACAAGAAGTAATATGGTCAGGCCACTTGAAAAACCATTGGGTAGTGAAGAACAAACAGAAGCTTGCAAGAGAGCAAGTGACACTGCTCTTATACATTGAATTGTTTTACATCTTCTAACCAAAGCACCTTTCTAGAAAAGTGAAAAGTAAAAAGAAGTCCAGTTATCTGGTTCTATTATTTATTTATAATTGTATATTAGTAGCTTGTAAATAATTATGCAATTTAGTATTTTACTGCGATGTGATTTAATAATAAACTAGTCCAGTCCAGTCTATATAGATCTAGACAAACAAATTTTAAGTATTGCACTCAATAAAGCATGATTTGTTGATATAAAAGTACCTAATCAAGGCTAAATTTCTAAAAGAGATCATGTATACAGTTGTACCTAACTTCCTAACCTATATATTCTATTGCAAACATTTGGGTTTAAAAAGACAATAAGAAAGCAAGGTGTGAAAGTGTAATTTCAAACTTAATCTTAGCTTTCCTGCTTTAAGGGTTAACATCCCTCACTCAACCATTGTTTTTACTTTTTCTTGTTCCTTTTTTTCAACTTATTTACTTTCTCTTGTGTAACTTCTTTCTTTTTTTTTTTTGTCCAGCTGAATGACATTCTGTTTCAGGAGGTAACCCAATAGGATTAAAAACATTTTTCACCAAAGTTATTTTTCAACCTAATGGTAAAAGGTTCATGAAAGCTAAGTTAGTTTTTACAACAAGCTTACAGAGCTGGTTACTAGTGGTCAGACAACTTTTTTTCATAACCTTTAATGTCATCTTACCACCATCTTTTCAGAACTTATGAAAGATTTGCATGCACCTCTCCATGTTCAAAATGGCCTATTCCCTCATTCTAAACTATTTATGAGGAAAGCTGTTTAAAGCTTTGTGTTTTGCCAGGGCATATCCTTGTTTCAAACACCATCAACATGTTAAGGTATCTAGTATGATGTAGCAACGCTTACTTATGGAGTTCTTCAATATCTTCAAAACCACTGACATACTTTCTTCCACTTGACCAGGAGTCAGCTTTGAAAGAAAAAATGGGTAAAGAGATAACAGTTATGTTTGAGTCTAACAACAGGGGACAAAATTTAAGCTGAAAACACAGAAATAACTGGAAATACAGAGTGGTTTTTCAGAAGGAAGGATTTCACACAGCTTAACCCTTTAATCTAAGGGTGTTTGGCTCATACTTTCTCCTTGCAGCATCGCCCTTGAATCACATGTAAAGGTCATGAGAAATGATCGCGACAGAAATGATCACCAATTTAAGAAGCTCGTGATTTCCGAACAGAAAAATCCTCTATGTCAGTACCACAGAAAATGTTAAGTGAACACTGTGGAGAATATGAATGCTAACGTAAAGGCGGAAATGGTTAAAGAATTACACAGAGGCCATTTTAGGGGTTGGAGGCTGAAAAATGCCACACCGTGAAAGTCCGTCTTCATGGTCTGGCCATGGGAGCTCAGAAGAGTTTGCTCAACCCAGTGAAGATTTTAATATTTGCTGAAGCATGATTTCTGAGTATTTAAGAAACCATCAAAAAGCACGATGATTTACACCTACCAGTAATATCTACTTCTGCTTTAAAACTAGGAACCCATAGCCGTAAATATCTCATCGGGAGCTTTACCAGAGGCCAGGCTGAAGAAATTCCTGTACGGATATCAAAGAAGAAACATTTCGAGGTGAAACGGGTACCAAGAGTGTCAGCAAGCATTTCTAGGTATTATGAATAAGAAACATTGTTAGAGATAATACCTCCACGTGTGGAAGAAATTATCTGAAAACCCAAATAATTGAAAGATGACGATATAAATCTCAAGCGATGAAGAAAGGTCATTTTGAGCTAGTACTACGCCGCCATTTTACATTCTTCTCAGCGGCATGTTTCGCAGGCTCAAAAATGCCAGTCCCAGTCTACTATAGGTTGTTGGAAGGAGGAAAATGCCACTTACTTTCTGGAGTACGAGAGGATAAAATCCCATTTGTATCACATGCGTTAGCGTGAACTGTAAAGTTTCACATATCAGCACTAGGTGATTCTGATTTGTCTGAGTATAAGTCACATTTTGATTAAAATAGTTGCTCTTTGCGCGTAAAAAATTTCACAGGTGCAGCACGTTTTACATTCACTGGGCCTCGTTTTTCAGCAACTTATTTCTGTCACTTTTTTGCTAGACTGACAGAGTTCCTACTTCACAATCCACTCCTGAAGTAGACGTCCACCCAAAGAAAGCGTTTGCAAGGATTTATTTTCAAGATAAAAATATACTACGTTTATCATACCCGGAACCTGAGTCATGTCGCCTGAAATAGAACGTCGAGTCGCCCGATTTTTTTACCAATTATAAAACTCCGAAGTGGCTTATTTATAAAAACCGCTGAAGGTATCGATTAATTGAAACACCCTTTTGGTGTAACCACTTACGTTACCAATCCTTAAATACAAAAGTGTCCTGTAAATGAGACCTGATTCAAACATTCAGCGAAAAATATGGGTGATCACTCAATCACTCACTCAGAGCATTCAAACGAGTAATTTGAGTATTCAGTTTATTGGTAACTTTTAGTTAGAATATCTAATAATTTTTTATTCCACAGCAGAGGGCTTTCACGGAAATGAGAACTGTTTTCGCTTGCGGTTTCAAACATAGGGACTCTAGGTTAATGAGAGTACTGAACTAAAAAATCATTCGCCTTTTTTTAATGTGAAAGGTAGAAAATTATAAAGTGTTCTCGAGAGAAAGTTTGTTCCTAATGATGACTTCGTTTCAAACCAGTCTTGGGAAGCTAGTCTCCTTGTGACGTCACCAGGTCTCATTGGGCTCCATCAACGGGTAAATGTGACACAGGAAGAACCTCTGCGCACGCAGGTTCAACTTCTTCAAGTTTGCTTAAGGACGAGCTGTCTGGAGCACGAATTACACTTAAAATAGTCGCCCAGACAAGGCTGACAGCAAGGCAGAAGTTCAACTGATGTGCCACTGGAATAAGTTTAAAATTTACAACCTGAATGAGAAGGAAATATGTTACAAGAAGGAATGGAAAGAAAAATATGATAAGAAAGACACACATGATAATGTTCTTGTAACGTTGAACTGTTATTCCTTTAAACCGATTGCTTACCGAGGTGGGGAGGGAAACTGGGGGTATTTCAATCTGCAAAAAGCGTAAAAGCATTTGGCTCAAGCCCGAAGAAACGCGAAAAGAAATGAAAACGCAAGAAGGCAGAGGTTTGCAAAGTTACTTTCAAAAGGCTCTCAATTCACACAGACGGACGGATTCAACTTAAACCGCACTATTTTTGCGCTAAAAATTCAAGGAAACCTTCTCAATCTCCTCAATTAACGCATTACATTTTCTCTTCTTCCCTCTCAAACAAGAGGGTAGAACGCAGGACACTCCCGTTTCTCTTCACATAATCGGGTTTCGCGCCTGTTTACTTAAAGAACGATCCTGTTCTTATTCAGCTTCTTCTTGTATTTCCCAAGGCCCTGATTGGTTGGCTGATGGGTGTTTTTTTTTCTCTTTATTGGTTGAGTTTGTTCTTACGATCGACCATAATATTAGGTTAACACCATACTAACCATAACTATGGGCCAGATAATCCAACAGGCCTTAAGAGTTGGCCAATAAAGTTTCTTTAGCCTTTCTACTGTTTCATTGTAACTAAGGCCTTCCATTGCTCCCATACTGTAAGACAATTGTGCAAAAAGGCTCATTTCAACTTTCATCCAGCTCACTTTACCGTAAGTACCGTGGTAATACATAGTTTAAACGTCTAAGACGTTCTTGATTGCTTCAAATAGTTTCATATACAATTGTATCATCCCTTTTGATGAGGCGTAGATATAAACAATAGCCTTCATTTAGCGCCAAAATATGCACGGATATTTGTCCAGGGAAATTCTGTTTTAAGATGCGAACAGTCTTCCGTGAGCGAAGCTCAAGGAACCGATCAAAGTTATATATTTTATTAGACGTTTTGGTGTGTAGTATCGCTGAGTACTTTAACGACTTATGCCGTATTTTAACGGCCAGTAAACAAACAAGGAGTCTTTCAGCTCATTTCTCACACGGTGGTAAAAGCAAAGCGGATAGAGAAGCTAGCGCGCGCTGTCGACTGCTTAAACAGGTTTTTTACAGTACAGAAAAACCAACTGTCCAAAAAACCGTACAATATCGCAGGATATTTGTACTCTACTGGCGCGTTATTTGTACGCTACTTTGTGCAGTTGGATAATAAATCAGTATATTTTTGTGCCAAATGGAGGCTAATGTGTTTCTTATCCTTCAAATATTTTGTAACGCGCGGGAAAAACGTTAAGAACAGCTTACCGTTTGCTCCATGGGATGTTCACTTTTCAGTATTTATGAACAAACAAACATGTCCCTTCTTCTGTAACAACCACAAAATGCTTTCTTGTTTTTTAACTTACGTTTAAAAAGAAAACTTATCGTAGTGGACGTAGGCTTGAAAATTTGGGAATATTACATGGGGTATATTTTCGGATATTCCCTAGTTTTAACTGGGGAATATTTAGTCACGTTATGAGTTTAGACCAATCGCGCGCGAGAAAAAAAATACATGATAAATTATAACACTAAATTAATAATGTAGCAAAAGTCTCAGTGTAAAGTCAGGCTGATGCACTAACCTCACATGATACACAACAGTTATAGCTGGAGCCCAGTACCCAAACTGATCAAAGAACATTTTCACAAAAGGAACAAGGGAAGCTCTTGCAGCTATCTAGATTAAGAGAAGAAAGCAAATTGTCCACAGACTGGAAACTGACAGCCAGCTGACCTTCTAAGGATTCCTCTAACAAAATCTTACCATTCAATCAATGATGTATTACACACAATAACCAATTAACCAATTACTCAAGTAATGAATTAACCAATTATTGAATTAATTCAAGTTGATTATCATTCCTGGTGTATGTAATGTGATCACTTTATTCTGATAGATCAACCAATTACTCAAGTAATGAATTAACCAATTATTGAATTAATTCAAGTTGATTATCATTCCTGGTGTATGTAATGTGATCACTTTATTCTGATAGATCAACAGATTATCCAAATAGTTTAGTAAGGAATGTTGGGTATGTCCAGGAGTGTTAGATCCTCTTAGACTACAAAATAAAGCTCCTGAATGAGGGTGTGGAGTGTTGTCATTCATCTCTTCCACCCTTCCCACTTGTATAGTGCATGAGGGTTCAGTTGAGAGTCTAACATTTTTTAAAAAAAGGCAGCGTTTTGGTTGTGGAGGGAGGGGAGAGTACAGGATAAAGGCTCTCATCTTAAATATTATATTTTTACAAAAGTGGTTCTATTGGACAGTGTATTTGAATTTTTGACATGACGTTTAAGTCTGTACTTGAGTCTATACTTGAGTCAAGAGACCCATGCAGCTGAAGCTTACTCCAGTTTCCCCAACACAAAGGGACTAGGAGTATTACCCCTCTCCCTGATGCCAGTCCATCACAAGGTGGTTCCCCCCTGCATTTCATCAACCTTCCCTGTAAATTCACCTTTATCCATTTATATTCGTAGGTGGAGAAAAGCTCTGTGAAAGTTATTTGCTTTGCCCAAGAACACAATGCAATGACTCAGCTTGATGGTGAACCCAGACATCTCAACCTGGAGTCCAGGGCACCAACCTTTAGGCTACCCTGTTGCCCACAAAATTAATACTATAATTATGGTTAAATTTTGAGTAAATAAATCAACTTCTTACCTTTTCTACAACCAACCACTCCAAAAAGTTGAAATGCACATGGGCAAGAGGGGCCATGATAACTGAACCATAAATAACAGCTCTTAAAAGACGCTGAAAGAAAATCATTAAAGTAATTCAAAGTAAGAATTTGAAGCTAGCCAGTATGCCTAAATTTAAGAGTTCTTGACAAAAGCCTCAATGAAAAAAAAATTCCACTAGCATTGAGCCAATTTACTTAAAATTTACATTAAGTGCTTGAATCGGTAGAGGGCTACATATCACATGTACCTTATCACTGAAACCATTTTCATTGTTGGCCATGGCTCTTTGGGCAATGTAGTCTCCCACGCCATACAGCACTGTAAAAGTAATGAGGGAGATGAACATCACTGCTTGACATTACATTGATGTATGTTTGATAGGTTTTTATCTGAGGTTGTTACATGATAGGAGCAGGGGGGGGAGGGCAATGAAGTCTCAATTTTTTACTCAAAAGAATTAATGTGAGTTTAACTTATTTAGGAAGGCCCATTATAGTAATCATGCTAGAGTTGAAACCTTAATTAACTCTCAGTTCTTTTTACCTCCTGAAGTAATGCACTTTGTTCGTATTGGATACTTCTCAAGCATCTCATTATACCATGTGAATGGATTACGTCTTCCTAAAACTTCCAAAAAGATGAGAAATTTGACAGTAAGAGCGTTCCATGTTAACACGTATCTATACTAGCCACACGCTTCCCTTAGTTCCAAAAACTCAAGTACAGAGTCCAATCCAGCATTTAAGAAACGACACTGTAAGCGTCCACAGGGTTATTATTGGAATAAAATTAAATCTGAGAGAATTTATTTTAAAATCTGGCGCTAGCTAATAAGATGGATCTTAACCGATTAAGACTGTTTGGAAGACTAGATTCTTGTTTGATTTCCTCAAAGAAAAAGCAAGGTTGCTCATCACAATTCGTGGGAAAAAACTTTCACTGTACATTTTTGTCGAGTCGTAATAAAGTGGCCACTGTGGGCATTCACAGATATCCCACATGTCTATCTGTGAAAATGTACTCCAAAGTGAGGGCCAAAGAAAAGGCAATTACTCCTTAAGGAAATTAAGATGCATTCTTTTTACAATGTTGCGTGCATCAGTTCGCCCAAAATTTGCATAGATGTGCACTGAGTCTCGAAACTGATCTATCATACTACTGGAAAAAGAGGGGAAAAAGCCACTCAGTTTTGTAAGCAAAGGCACTTTCTCCCAATTCTTTGGCACGGTTTCCTCTTAATGTCCTTAATTTCTTCTCATTCTTCGGAAATTTGATTAAAATCTAATTAAGTGATCATGCTGCACTTAACAATTGTCTACAAAGATAAAATTTAACCATTCATTGCTGCAACAAACATCAAGGCACTCACAATCGAAGTTGATAGTATTAAGTTTGCCTAGATCAAATATTGAACCCTCGCGTTGAATGGGAATTTAAATTTCTAATCATGCCTCGCTAGGGAAAAGAATGTTTTGATTTTTATTCATGATCGATGCTTACCGAAGCCGATGCACGTCACACAACGTGAAATTTTCCTCCTCTGCACAAAGTTCATAATAACAAAATTTAACTTATATTAGACAGAATTTCATTTTTTAAATCTTCGTCATCTAGCACGTCTAGTAATTAACGATATGATCAAATATTCACTAAATAACGTACTGCAGGATACCTCTCGTTACAGCAGAGCTCCTCCATAGTCGACTGCAATATTTTCCTATTTCACATCGTGTGGGATTTATCCAAACAGCCCGTGCGCTTCCTGGTTGGCTTATATACTTACATGAGACTGTTCTTCGTAAAGCCATCAAAAAATAGCGTTAAAAAATCGAATTTGACGATATTTGGCACTCAATAACACGATTCGTATGTCCGTAACTCCATGGTCGGCGTTACGCAATTGAATTACCCTTGCTTCCAAATGGCGGTAATATATAATGAGAAAGAAACCGTGGCATGGACTTCAGGGTAACGGAAAGGAAATGCTGTTGTTGAATACATATCATTATGACCGTGTCCATCGTGTAAAACGGTTTGAATAAATGGTATGAAGTGAGACCATGAATGAAGTGAGCACGGTCGCCCATTACATTGCAGGTTTGTAAATTTCTAGACTAAGGAAGAACTTTCCAATTGCTGCAGCCATTGGCATCTCGTCCACGGAAACAAAGTGCATGACAGCTGATCACGTGCCACCTAACAGGTTTCCCATTTATCGCGCAATAATTTTTCATTTATCGCGCGATAGTTTATTATTTGTCGCGAGATAATTTATCATTTATCACTAGATGTACTCCATTATTCGCGCGATAAAAAAATGTGACATGTCCTCTATGGGCCAACGAATGATCGGCGGTCACGCACGTTGTCTCCGTGGACGAGACGACAACGGCTGCAACAGTTGGAGAGTACTTTCTTAACGGGGTTGGCGATGAAGAGGTGACATCTAGAAATTAACAAACCTGCTATGTTATCAGAAAGATTAGATAATCCACACTTGTTTTCAGACACTGACAGCCATCTCTGAAAGTGTCTCGTAAGATTTCGCAAAATCAAGGTTTACTATAATGATTCACCGAGCTATGTGTCGTAGAAGTATTGCAAAGTACTACTCGATGATCTTTTCACGAAAACAAAACGAACTATTGACCTCAAAACATACCTCTTCAACTGTTGCAGCCATTCTCGTCCACAGAAACAACGTGCGTGACAGCCGATCACGTGGGACCTAACAAGTTTCTCATTTATCGCGCGATAATTTATCATTTATCGTGCGACTTTATCGTGCGATAATTTATCATTTATCGTACGATAATTTATCATTTATCGCGCGATGTTTCGATTTTATTGCGCAATAAAATTGAATTGAAAAACTGGCCGGGATAGCATGTCCTCTATGGGCCCGTACTATGGGCCATAGTACTTCAGTAATATGAATTTTTGGTGTCTTTTTCGACGCTATGCAGTTTTTGTATCATTGCTTGGAAAACGGTTTCGAGAACACATAGTTAAAACTGAGTTTTTTATAAATTCATTTGTTATTTTTTTTTATATTGCTTTTCCAGCGTAAGCCCTCGTTAAGCCCATAAAGTCTTTGTTTATGTTCGTTGCACTTTTTTGGCTTTCTGGTTTTTCGGCCAGTTCAGTAAATATCTTAAAATCGCGCTATGTAAAACGTGATGCCATATTGATAATTTGGAGAGTGGAAAAGGATTTATACGTGACGCGTGAATTTTACAGCAAGGCAAGGTAAGGTGAGATTTGAACTTTTCCCTTTTTAATTCGTGAAGTGTGAATTATTATTTAAAATGCACGTGACGTGTGAATTTTTCTTCAGTTCGTGCGTGAAACGAAACTAGGGCCTCCCCCCCCCTCCCCCCGTCTCTCCCTCCCTGCTGTCCTCAATTTAGTGTGGCATGGAAAGCTATAAGTTTCATATCGTTCCTCAATAGAAGGTTAACTAGCTTTTATGAGTCCAAATTGGTGCGTTACCAAATCATGCAAGGGGGACTATTTGTATGAAAGATATGTTAGACTAACAAGTACACCATCATGCTGTTTTCATGTTCGACTTGGAAAATATTTTTTTATTCACCTGCTGTAAGACCTTGTAAATCTGTTGATAAAAGTTCAACGAATTTTAATTCTATACATAATTTACAAAATACTTTTGTTATATCTGGGAAAGCAAACCGTTAATTTAAGATTAACTTCGATTGCACTTTACAAAACTGATGTCAAAATAGGTCCTCCAAAAATTTGGTAGAAATAACCAACCAATTCACAGCGCACCGTTTACAAACCGTTTACTTGACACTAATTAACACCTACAAAACAATTTATTTTACTATCCATGGATTTCAACAATTCATTGAATTACAATTACCCACCCACTCATTTAAAACTCTTATTAACAATTCTCCAAAAGACTTAAACAAATGGGAATTGAATGAACAACAACCGAAAACATACTTTTTAGGATGTCACACAATTTCAAAATAAACCTTGAATTACAATTGAAAAAAGCAATTACAGTAAAATCTGATTTACATTTGCCTATCAAGGCTTCTTCCTCTATTCGATTCAGTTAGCAATTTCAAACAACACCAATGATCCATAGACGGGATATTACACTTTGGATGGGCTTAGATAAGACTTTTTAAAGATAAATTCATTAACCCGTCATTTTCCACTTCTAATATTTTTAGATGCCAGCCCAGTTACGAGCGTCACTAGCTTCAAACCAATAACCGCAGATTAGCCTTCAATAAACTAGAGAAATTAACATTTTACAACTGAATAATATGAGTCTAAATCAAGCTGTAGTCAGTTTTGTGACATATTTGTGTCCCTCAGATCTGATCGCCTAATTTTCGAACAAATTACTTTTAAGTAAACGGTAGACAGCTAAACTTTATAGCGAGTTTGTTTGGGCACATAAAAAAACAATTTGACCGTTCTCTTCAAAGTCATAACAGTAACTCTTAGTTCTCATTATTCGTTGATGAAGTTCATAAATATCTCCTTTATTTACGTCCCATTGCTGTCAGGCATAACTGGATGCGCGACTTCGACTCGCAGTGGGACATTGACGGTTCTTGGCATTAATAAATGATAGGTTCCTTTTATGTCACAACTTCCCGCAAACGATGCATAAAAATATGTTTAAAAACACTCGCTTCTCCACACAGCTAAATTCTTGTATACTAAACTACAACAATTTTCTCCAAGTGATGTTGTTAATTTTTTTCGCTCATGCAACATCTATGAAAAATTAACGAATGAGAATTGTTTTCTTTCCGAAAATATAACGTACCCTCACAATCAAGGATTACTTTATAGACCCAACGCCTATCCTTTAGAGTATAATAACGACCACCACACGAAAGTCAAAGCACTACAGCACGATTTAGTTTTTCGCAACACATAGCCCATGGGTTTAAAAATATATATTCAGTCAAATCTGTCTACGAGTCAGCCGAACACCTGCAGTTTATTTTACGTCTTGCTGCGCCTAATTTTCGAACAAATTACTTTTAAGTAAACAGTAGACAGCTAAACTTTATAGCAAGTTTGTTTGGGCACATAAAGAAACAATTTGACCGTTCTCTTCAAAGTCATAACAGTAACTCTTAGTTCTCATTATTTGTTGATGAAGTTCATGAATATCTCCTTTATTTACGTCCCATTGCTGTCAGACATAACTGGATGCGCGACTTCGACTCGCAGTGGGACATTGGCGGTTTCTTGGCATTAATAAATGATAGGTTCCTTTTATGTCACAACTTCCCGCAAACGATGCAATATAATTTATTTTAAGACAGGTCTGCTGGTTTGAAAACGTTATTTACCAAACATTTCGCACTTGAATGCTAGGAGGGGATTAGAAAGGGTTTATAAGAAGAAAAATTTCTGAAGCTTGTTATTCAGTTACAGTTTCAGTTCACACTCTTAATGTTATCAGCATGGTTATCTGTTGCGACATCACAACTAGGACCCCTGCTTTTCTTTGACCCTGGAGTATATTTGCAAGACCTTCTGAAGGTGACAAGTAAGTGACATTTTCGTCGAACTTCTCTCTTCTGCAAGCATTGCACCTCTGTTTTAAAAATACTATACATCATGCACAAGATCAGACGACAACAATTGCTCTTTCTTTGTCAAGGAGGTTCAATACTCGTCGATCTGCGAATCTGTCGGTTGGGGTTTAAGAATCGTTTTTGTAATTAACAATTGCTTCCGATACATAACTGCGAAAATCGTAAGGTTTATAACAACAAGAGTTAAAGTACTGTCTATAAGACGGATACTTAATCGATATGTTCTGAATAGAGTGTTTTAAAAATGGCCATTAAAGTTGAGCCTTTGGAGAGCTGATGCGTATGAGTACGTTCCACGTTATAGTCATCTGTACGCCTCTCATTTTAATATTTTCCCTAGGTATTCGAGTGAAGCCCAAAAACCATTCACTAGAGGATGCGCTTTGACTCAGAGTTGCATATAAACTTTGGAGGAAAATTTCCTTGTGGTGTTATTTTGATCTGTTTCTTCTCAGCCAGTTTACTGCGGCTCGCAGTGGAAGGGTACGTATGAATAATTGTTTCAATAAAAATCTGATTTTTTAATGATTTCTACAAGTTTATCCTAAAATACAAGATAGTTTTATCACATGTTCGTGCCAAGAGCTCAAGGCCCTATCGAAAGGCGCGCTCCTTAAATGATTGATCCTCGCGTGTCCTTCGTTCGATTCGTGTGTTCCATTCCAATAGGTTGTTTAATACCGCAATTTTCAACAAACTTCAAACCGATATTTCAATGTGCTTTTAAACCAGCATATGAAATAGGCGAGTTGAACTGCAGGCGTTTCTGCCATTCGCACGTTTCATGAAGCTGACTAATCAGTCCTGATGGATGCAAATGAAGAACTTGCACCCAAAAGGAAACGCAGTGTCTGAATGCCCCGCAGTCTGGCGCGCTCTTAAAATGGAATAAATGCCCGGGAGGCCAGGGATATTTTCCAAGAGTCGAAAACTTAGCAATTATACGATTTGCACTAGCTCGAAAAATTCGTCCACTAAAAAACCAAAGCAAGTTTTGGAGTCGCTTGACCTTTCTAAACAAACGTTTGATACTCTTAAGAAGTTTAAAGAACTGTTCAGGGGAAATTCTGTGAAAATTTCCAACTTCTGGGACAGGGGTAGGGGACAGCTAATTTCTTTTTCTGGCTGCCGGGCATTGAGACAAATTTATAAATAAAAAGATTTACATTTTAGAAGGTCATCCAAAAGGCTAATGCTGTTTTCTAAGCAAACTCTACCAACGAGTTTTGTTGCTCCCCTATAATTCGTTGCTTTCACAGCTAATAAAAAGCAAAAAAAAGGAAGATTTTCCTTTCCAGTATTCTTCTCGTAGACGGATCAACGCATGTGTTCGCAGTTGAATATCGTTCTAAATAATAATTTTTTTTTCATATATGCGACGCAAATTATAGAATATGAAAAAATTTTTGAAAGTTAAACTTCTGAGCAAAAATGCTTTAACCTATCTCGATTTGGCCATGCGCTTTTCTTAGTGTGTTTGGTATTTTAGGATAGTTGTGCTTCTGATATTTTCGAAGCATGAGCCTAAACTCCAATTCTGCTTTATTTACTAAACCTCACGTGTGAAAACATTTATGAGTATAGAATTTTCACATTTAAAATTCTTAAAGGCTTTAATAACATCCTGGCACTTGGCTCAATAAAACCGTCAGTTCATCGCGAATAACTGTATTCCCTCGACGTGTAAAAGTGCGGTTTTGTGGTTTTGTTGAGGTGTAAGAGGGCGGAAAAGGAGTTAATTAGCACCACCTGCTCGTTTCAGATAGAACAAATTGTTTTGTTCCTCTTGAAAAAATTTTGTCATGTTTGTAGAGGTCTTATATTTTCATAGGCTAGTATGAGATCGAAGGGACAGAGCAAGACTCAACAGGGCTGTGTCCTGGGGGAGGGAAGCGAGGGGGTGGAGGACAGCTACTTTATCTATCACCTGCTAAAAAAAAAGGTTTCCACCTGCTCAGGAAATCGTTCCTTATAGCCGAAATGAGAGGTACAGAGAGGGTGGCAAACTGAGCGTTAATCGAGTAAAGACTGGGAAAGCTGCCTCCAATCGGATGCTCATCGTAAGGGCATTACTCCCTTATATTCTCGTGTTAGTGAAATGAAGTGGCCACACATAGTGAGGTTGTTTGTGTATAGAGGCTCTCTGTACTTAGTATATCGAGATTTCTTTTCTGTATGGTTTTATCTCCTTCCTATAGTAATGATGATAATGATGATAAAGATTTTGTTATTGGTGTGTTTTATCAGATGCCAGAAAAGTTGTAATAGAAGTGCCGAAGATCTTCTTGTTTGGATAAAAAATAAGGACTATGATGGATCCGTGAGACCGAACATGACTGGTAAGCAACATATCCGAGTGAATCTCATGGAAGATACTAATCGTAACAATAATTTGAGCCATTTTTCTCAAGAGTCTCCGTTTTGAGAATAACCAAGGCATAAAAAAATGACGCCCGAGATTTAGCGGCTGCTAGGGAGGGGTGAAGACAATGGGAAAGAACAGAACTCTGAGAGTTTCTTCTATTTACTGTAATAATTACCTCAGTACTTTATCAGTCTGAATTTCGACTTGGTAAATGACAAAGAAAGCATTATAAAAAGCGAAAAGTCGTCAACCGCCTCCTTTTGGCAAATGACAATGTAACGTACAGCGCTTGGGAAACTGATATTGCTTTGAATAGGCTACAGATCGGTGTTGATTTCTTTACCTTTCCTCTTTCTTGCAGGAGGTCCAGTTGTGGTCGATATTGAGACATACATTTCAAGTGTGAGCTCTATCGACGAAAAAGATATGGTAAGCAAAATTTTTCCGAAAATTGTGAAAGGAAAAATGAAGGGTTTTTCCCGCCCTTTCTCATTTTCATTTTGACCAAAAATCCCTAAAAGCAAGTCAAGGAAATAAATTCCAGAGTCAGCTACCGCGGTTTCGCGATTCCCTTCGTTTTGGAAGCTGGATTAGACGAGTAAAGACAGGCAAAAGAAATTTTATGGATGATGGAAAATGCAATTTACACGACATATCACATGGAAGTCCGGCTGACGAAATCACTTAACACAACCTTTCCTCTCCTCCTAGGAATTTTCTCTGGACATGTTCTTTAGACAACGCTGGAAGGATTCTCGTCTCACTTATCAACCACTGCCAGACAAGGGAATAAATCAGAGAGTTATTCTAAGCCCTGAATTAAGCAAATACGTTTGGCAGCCCGACCTATATTTCAGGAACAGTAAAGATGCTCGTTTTCACATGGTACCCACGCAAAATGTGTTGTTTGGCGTCAGCCCGGATGGGAGTATTCTGCTGAGTGCAAGGTCAGCTAAGCGCTTCTGATTGGGTGGAAACGGGTGTCATGTAACACGAGTGCAAATTAAAAATAGCGCGCGCACGCTCTCCAAATTTCGTCTGTCTTGACTTTCTGTGATGCTTTTTATGTACATTATTAACAAGAAAAAACATGATTTCTCTTGCGATTTCTCTTGCAAAATTGCACTCTCCCTACGGACTCGTGCAATTTTGTTGTTCTTGAAAAGTTTTCTCGCGCTTATTAGCACTAAATTAGCACTCGAAATCTGCATGTTATTACCTATGCAAACAGTGTTGTGGCATCTCACTCGTGGAACATTCTCACCCCTGGAATACTTTGAGGTTCCTTCATGCGTTGTTCGTTTATTTTCTTTGTGCAAAAATAAAAATAAAAGATAACTTAATACATGGTGGCATTTTATTTATCTCTACTTACAGAATTACAACCGTGCTGGCATGTCAAATGAACTTCCGCGAATTTCCTATGGATCGTCAAACCTGTCATTTCTACGTTGGTTCTTGTAAGCACAAATGCTTTTCATATTTTTTTTGTGGAAAAATAAGGCCTTTGTTATGTGCAAGCTCATAGCCAGGCAATTGTTGCGTTCTCAAATTTAGCCAACGCAGTGTGACCAGCAAACATCGTTTCCGTTTTCTAATGAGGACGGAAAGTTCAATTAACACGTTTTGTATAGAAAAAGGGGGCCTTACAGATGATAACTAGTACTCTAGCCATCAGGACATAATAATTATGGAAATGTTTGTGTTTCTTACTCTTATAAGATTCACAGACAGAGGATAACGTCTTAGTAAGATGGAGAAACGGCCAAGGAGTGATTGTTCCCGAAGAGCTGGAGATTCCTCAATACGACCTCAACCGTGTGGTGAGCAAGGATCGTAAAGGAGTGTACAATACAGGTTTGAGATGAATTACATTTTGTCTCTTTGCTCTGAATAGGCAGCGGGAGTTGTTACCGTCTTCCCAATAAAATTCTTGTGAAAATGAAATCATGACTTAATCTTTTTCACTTCCTAAATTTTCTGCAGTTGTATGACCAAGTAGATGAAAGAGAGGATAAAGTGATTAGGCAAGTACGAGTGGAGCAATTTTTGCACTCAGAGCCTTATTGCTTGATTCGTCTCCAAATTCAGTAATTTAATCTGTTTTCGAATAAGTGTTTGGTACCCAGAAGGTAGTTTTGTTTTCTTTATTTCCTGTGAGGTAGCCCCAGGTTCTAGCCGTGTTCAACTCCTTAGCCGCACTTTTTATGCAGCCCACTTGTCTGCCGCCTGCCAGTTGGGGTTTTTTTACGTTTATTCGCCCTGTTTCAATTTTCTTTCACCCTGAGAAGCTTTATTCGGGGAGTGATCAATTAAGTATACTCACATTTCTTTTTCTCTCCAGGAGTTTTCTCAGAGCCAGAGGCAACATTTGTATTCAAGAGACGCCTAATGTTTTATGTCTATGGGTTTTATCTGCCTGTAACTTTAGTCGTACTTCTTAGTTGGATCTCATTCTGGATTGATCCCGAGTCTACCCCGGCTCGTGTTTCTCTCGGAGTCATTACCATTCTAGCCATGGGCAACTACCTTCATGGAGGAGGTGCAACTCCAAATGTTTCGTACGCAACTGCTCTTGATGTGTACGTCATCACGAGTTTTGTGTTCGTTTTTGCAAGCCTGATGGAGTACGCGGCGGTGCACTGCGCATTGGTCAAATACCAGGAATCCGATCTCAATGAGGTATTGATATTTGTATTTCGGACAGGTGGAGAAATACTTTTACACAAACAGCGACGGACAAGAGTTGCATTTTTTCTCTCCACCTTTCAGCGTTTTATGCAGTAATGGCAAATATTTGCATTTGTGTTGGAAGTTTATTTATTTTCCTTTTGAATGTTAAATCTATCTAAGGTTTTAAAGAGTTGAAGTAGAGATCAGTGGTAAATTTTGCCGTTCTCGTTACCTGAACCTTATACCTTATGAGTAACATCCGCTCTAAATTTAGAACGAATCACTAGCATGGGAAAGAACTTATGTGGGGATTTGGATAACAGTATTGTTAAGGTGGTCATTTCTTCAGCGAACCTTTCCTTGCCTAATCCAAGGATGATGTTATTTTGAATTAATCAATTCTTCTTCTCCTTTCTTTTAATTTCAGCCGTGTGAGCTAGTCAAATTTGGCAATCCAGTAGAATGTCAAGACTCTGAAGAAGGAATGGTCAACGGAAGCTTTTCTAGCTCGAGCACTGTACAACTTCCTGTAACGTTACGCAGTAATGAGGAGAGAGGACACACCCTTAGGCGCAAGTCTATCGTGCAAGAGGCCAAATTGTACTATATCCAGTTCAATTACAAATCACTGGAGAGCTATTCACGGGTTGCCTTTCCTCTACTTTTTGCAATATTCAATGTTATCTACTGGTTTACGTACTGTGGATCAAAGGTCGGTGATCAAGGAATCTGCTGACGGTTCTTCGCGCAAACATCATGTAGTATCTTGAACGAATCGTAGAGCCGACTTCAGAAAGGTTCTTTGCTTTTAATCGGGAACAGTTGTAACATCATCAGGAAACTTGCAGATGGTTCTTTCAGCGAATATCATCTAGAAGCTTGGACGAATCGTAGAGGGACTTCAGAAAGTTTCTTTTGTTTAAATCTGGACCAGTTGTTACATAGACCTAGAACGCATGTCATAATGAAAGCGGAAGGTTTTTTATCGCAAAGTGATGCAATCTTGAAAGGTGCTGTAAAAGTTGGATATGTCAAAGCCTGGAGGGAAAAGTCACAAAGCTAGTTGGCAGATCTTACGATGGAAAAACAACTAATATGATCAAATATTTAATTCCACGAGTAGGTTGGCAAAGATAACCAAGCAGTAGCTCACCGAAATGTCGTACCCAGGCTCCGAAAAAGAGAGCCGAGAGTTGAGAGTTGAGATGAAAGAGAAAACTTTGGACTACTAAAGCCGGTCGTGATTGTAAACTATGCAAATATGTAGTTTATCGATTAAACGGAGCAAAACCACATAGAAAGGACCACACCTTCTCTTATCTTAAAGTGAGGATCAAAGCTAGATTTTGCACCAATGATTCGAAAAATTCTGATCAAGCCACCCTTTTTTTATTCTGATAGATTTTACACTTCTTTATATAAAACCTTTTATTTTCAGTAGAATCGGTGTGCTAATATTCTAGAGCACTTTTAGTTCATAGTAGATATAGGACGTTAAGACCACAAGAATGCGATATCTAGCCCCAGTCCGCTGTCTCTTTGTTCAGCTTTTATTAGATCATAGTACCATTAAACTAACGAACTTTCATTAAAAATGATTTTTCAGTGGCTAAGTTAAAAATGTTTACCAAATACCAAATCTATGGCACACAAATCTTTCGTAGGAATCAGCAAATTTAACTATTTTGTCACAAAAAGTGGTCTTCTTTTCAAGCCCGAAATCATGACTCGCACGATGCGAAATGAAAAGCAATGCATCTCTGATGAACTAATGCTAATGCTTGAAAACAAACTCCACCTCGCGAAGTCTTTAAAATGTGTTTGAGATTACAAAAGCAAGGACTTGTACTCTGTAATGAGAAAGATCTCCTCTTAATAAAAAGAAAGTGTAACATAATCAATAAAACGAAAATAGGTTTTGGTGAGCTTCTGTATGACTCGCCACTCAAAGAATTATTATAAACAATGTTTTTCCTTTTATCAGTGCATGCATATATTTAATGCATGATTTGACTTTTAAATTTTTTTTTCAACATTTTGGTAGGGAAATTGGTTAAATAAATTTCAAATTACTAATACAGAAGAGTCAGAGATTTTCTAGTATCGTATTAAGGGACAACTAGCATGTAAGTGCTCTAGACTTTGTCTGGCCCTTTCATTTTTCTATGACTGAGATAACTACAAACGCGCCCTAATAACCTTTTTTTGCTTTTTGATAATCTTGACTGCGAGGTCTAACTTTTACTGAACACCTCTGTTTGACTAATCCTATATCAAAGTGCTTTCGTTATACAAGCCGTGTTTTCAACTGAAGAGCAAACAGATGTTAACTTTACATGAAAATACAATTCGACTGTATTTAATTATTAAAAACCGTTGCTTGGAGTTTGCAGAATATCTTCTCTTGTTATATACTTCAGTTCTTGTTATATACGTCAGTTCTACCCCGTGGTGACTTTCTTGGGGCAGAAAATCTTCCTGACTAAAAGCATAACGGGACCTCTTATAGCTGGGAGTCGCCAGCAGTAAAGGAACGGATTCAGAGCTGAGTTTAGAAACATAGCTGTGTGAACCAGTTTCCACACTAGCGGCGAAATGGCCTTATCGTCTATAGAGCTCAAAATACAAACGATGAAAAACGGCAAGTAACACAGTAATACGACACAGTACACAAGGAACGTGTTAACGCATGATTTAGTGAACTGCACCAAGTTGAAATGGTGTGTTATGTGTACTGCTTGTTCCTGAGCCTGGATTTCTCTTCTGTGGCGGCGGACGATTCGATAGATCTTAATTTGGATGACTGTAGATATACCGAGAAACACTGCCATGAAAACGATTACTACACAACTATATGCCGTCCAGCTCCAGTGGTTCAAACTAGAACAAAAAGCACAGACGACCCAACAAGAAATAACGATAAAGTATGCCCGAGATTTAGTGACGATGGTGTCGTACCTCAGGGGATAGTGAATTGCTAGGAATCTATCCACGCTTGTAAGAGTTACGGTCGCAAACGAAACCTCTCCAACTAAACGTCCAATGGTGATAAATGCCGTATGCAGCCTACAATTATCTCCTTTTGGATAACCATGAAGTTTTAACAATTCCACCGTGATAAATAAAGGCTCTACCACCAAACCAACAATAACATCAGACAATGCCAGATTACAAAGAAACAAAATTGAAGGATACCGTAAGGAAGGCGTTTTCCACACTGCTGCTATCACCAAGCTGTTTGCTATGATCGATACTATCATCAGGATGATGTTCGCGGTGGAATTGAGGACGATGAAAAGATGTGGAGTGTTTTCATTTTCGAATGTGATGTGGCGATGACATAAACTGTCGTCAAGCGTTTTGTTTACGATACCAGAGTTGTTCGTGAAAAAGTTTTCCATCATATTTTATGACAAAAAAAGAGTGATTTGTCAATATTTAACTAATACGTGATGGGCATTTTGTACTGATGGTATTAATATGCCTCGTCTTACGTTCAGTAGGAAAAGGACACGAGATCATTATGACACAGCTGCGAACATCATTAGTTCGTTAGTTCTAGAATGTTTTAGTAAGCCCTTTTTATAAAATAATTCTCCCCTCTCCACTCCCCCAAGCAAAACTCAAAAACTGAAAAATTGAAAGATAATATGGTAATATTATTATTTAACTGTTTACACTATACCGTAAAATTGTGATACATTCAGCCTAGATTAGGGTTTGGCTCGATCAGCCCATATTTACATTTTAAATCTTGTATTAGAGTCCGTGTCAAATAACGTACGCCCTTCAAACGAATTATATTCAGATTTTTTGTGGTATTCATTAAAGCTGGCCGAAATTTGTGAAGGAAAACAATGACTCTCAGTTGAAACTAAGACAGTTTTTTATGAAGCCTCCTCTCGAACCACCCCCCTCCCCTCATCTGGAATTTCTACATTTCATTATTTCTACTTCCCCCTCTCCCTCAAGATAGCTTTTTGGTTCTTAACTCACTCTTACAGCCTTAGGAGATCTTTGTTTTCTCTGGAGACCTATTAGGACAAAAATGTACTTTTTTATTAAAGGAATAAAAAGCTGAATCTATAGGTGAACAGCTGCTGATTATAGTTTACTTTATGTCTAAATTTATGTAACAGACATATTTTTCTGGGAATCAGCCGACATAAGAAATACAGTCATTCTTGTCTTAAGAACAGTTCTCTTTCCCCTTGACGTCCCAAAGCAAGAGATGCTTGATGCCAGCAAAACAACGATGCTACTCTAGTGAATTTATGCTATCATATTTGATTAAAAGCATATCGAACATTCGTATGCGCATGTGTTTGAGTTCAAATAAGCAAGAATCTATATCTTGTCAATAACATTGTATAGGGCATCTTCTTTTCACATCGATTGAAGAAACTTCTACTAAAGGAATAAATAATATTATGATATAATAAAGTTGAATTTAAGAAAGCCATAATTTTACTCAAAATTCTTGGACTGAACTATTTTTGATTGTTCCATTTGATAAATGCATATATGTTTCCCCTCAGTTCCAGTTTCAAAATTTCCATACATCAATTGGCAACATGATCCTCGCAGCATCTTGAAAATTGAATTGGTTGCTCACAATTGGAAAAAAAGGAAAATTTGAAAGAATTTAATATATTCATTTAACAACAGTTATAGAGAATAGATGCTCAAGGTTTTGAATGAACCTTTCCTTTCTGTAATTACTGAAAAACTCCGTTTCGTATTTAACCCAACCGTTTAAGTCGTGGGAGTCGCCAACAGTGAAGGAGTGGATTCAGAGCTTAGTTAAGAAATATCACAGTAGTTGTCAGTTTATCAACACTGGGTGAACTAACCTTACTCTCTGAGTTAGTTTTCAAAGTTATAACTTCGAGATGAGGCAAGTAACAACATTTCGAGATAGTTAACAAGGAGCGTGTTTATACAAGTTTTCATAAAGCGCGCCATATTGACCTGATGTGTTTTTTTTGTACTCCTTTTTAACTCGATCTCATATCTACAACTCTACAAGTTGTAGATATGATGTGGAGAATGGCACTCGCTCGCTCGCTCGATTGGTCGATTCCTGTAAACTTCTTTTCGATTTTAGGCTTTTGAGTGCATTTGATAGTTTTTGGCGAGCAATAAACAAACCAAATGGCGACCTTTGTTGCTAAGAATAGTGGTGGGGTGAAAAAGGAGCCAATGATAATCTTAAAATAGTTTTTTTTTCGTTTTAGTTTCAACAAGCGGCGCCAGCGACTGGCAGGCATGCGAGGATTCAGAATGAAATAACAGAACAACCTTCGTTTTTCATCAAATTGTAATTTACAATCCTTGAACTTGAAAAAAATCCGAAGATTCATTGAAAATATAACTTACTGCGAAGCGCTCGGAGTTTACAGATGTTCAAAAGCTTTTTCTGTTATGGCGTGAGATTGAGGACATAATCGATCATTACGTTTCGTATCGTGTGTTTTTCCTATGTGAAGCAACAAAAGATGCCGGCGACTGACGAAATTACAAGTTATCACGAAAATCAAATAACACCTAAACAAACAATTTTAGCTACCGATTTTCGGTGAATTTTTAAAGAACAATTTTCTTTTATGTTTCAAGACAATTTGAAGATTCAAAATAAATATTACGTACTAAAATGCGAAATTATACACCACAAAATTGATAAATAGGCCTGAAATGAAATTCTATCTTGTTCTTGATTATACGTTGCTTAGCACGTGACTAAAATCTACCCAGGCGGAGATCCCAAATGACGGTGGCAGTCTTGGCTTAGTTATATCACTCAAAACTCGTTCCCGTTTGTCTCATTTAATTAATAAAGAGGGAATCGTTAATGTTTTCATTAAGACAGTATTGCCTTGGTTTTCTAATATTTACAATGACAGAGAGTAAATTTCACTTTTCACCCACATTTACTTCCAACCTTTTCTTTTGAACCAGAAACAAAAATGATATACGTTTAAAACACATGACATCATCCACCCTTGTCAAATGTAATGGCATGATCATTTCAATTGTAATGCCTTCATATCCCAACGTTACTTTGTTATCATGTGTCAATTCACGAATTTCCTCACAGAGCACTTTGATTCTTGCGCTTGCGCTTGGATTTCCCTTCTGTGGCGAAGGATAATTCGGAAGACCTTTATCTGGATGGCTGAAAACGCACTGAGGAAAGTTGCGATTAAAGCTGTTTCCAGATATAAAATTGCTGTCATATGCCACAGGAATAAAGTCGAAAAAAGTATTCAAACGCCAACTCGAACTAATCAGGGAAAAAACACGTGGGATGGTAACGATGGTGTCCTGCCTTAGCGGATAATGAACCTCTGAGAATCTATCCACATCAGTGAATGTTACATTTAAATTCGAAACTCCACAAACTAAAAATACCTTTTCCAGCTTACAAAGATAAAGCTTAAAATTTAAACACCACAGTTAAATTCATGAGCAGTCTAGTTGCCAAAAATACATGATGAGGAGGTTTTAAAAGGGCAGAAAATCTTCTTAAGCAGAGTTATAACTGGACCTCTCAAAGCTGAGAGTCGCCAACAATAAAGAAACGGATTGAGTGCTGAGTTTAAATACACTGTTGTGGAAGCTACTCTCCAAAGGATAGGTGACTCGTCTGTCAAAATTAGTAGAATGCAGGCTACAGTGAAAGGCAGGTAACATATCAGTAAGAAAAAGAGCACAATGGACGTGTTTAAGGCAGTTTTTTTAAAACCCGTCATATTAAACTCCGTGTTGGTCGAATGGACTGCCTGTTCTTGAGCTTGAATCACACCTCTATGGCGGCGGACGATTCGGTAGATCTTGATATGGATAAATGTTGACATTGTCAGGAATATTGCGCAAACAACTGTCACCAGATACCCAAAAACGACTTCATTCCACGGAAAAATAGTAGAAAAAAAAGCGTTGAGAACCCAACACGAAATTATGAGAACGTATACCCGCGGGATAGTAACAATGGTGTCATACCTCAGTGGATAGTGGATTGCCATGTATCTAACCATGCTTACAAGAGTCACGTTTCCAAACGAAACTCCACAAACTAGGAATGTAATCACTGAAAATGCCGTTTCCAATGTACAATCATCCCCTTTTGGGTAACCATGCATTTTTAACAATTCTACGGTGAGATAAAATGGCTCTACGATCAAACCAACAATAACATCAGACAATGCCAGATTACAAAGAAATAAATTTGAAGGATACCGTAAGGAAGGCGTTTTCCACACTGCTGCTATCACCAAGCTGTTTGCTATGATCGATACTATCATTAGGATAATGTTCACAGTGGAATTGAGGACGATGAGGAGATTTGGAGTGTTTTCATTTTCGAATGCGGTGTAGCGATGACATAAACCGTCGTTAAGCGTTTTGTTTGCGATACCGGAGTTGTTAGTGGGAAAGTTTTCCATCATGTTTTATGGCAAGAAAGAGTGATTTCTCAATTGAAACTTATCTGGGATGGGTAGTTGGTAATGATTGTATTGACATGCCTTGCTTAGCGCTTCTTCGTCCCAGAACAATAACAAAGTCAATAGCCAACGAGTAGGAAAAGAACACGAAATCTTTAGGACAGCTGCAAACATCATGAGGTCAAAAATGAAACTAGTGGTGCAGTGATGACATGTTACCAATTCCTCCAAAAATTGCTATCATGTAGAAATACTGTCAATAAATCCTTATAATTATAATTATCATTATTATTATTATTATTATTTTAATTAAAGCACCCACTTGCAAACGATACGAACAAACGTGAAAGTCAAAATGGATGTTGGCCACGTCATTTCTTACCTAGTGCTTCTCCCCGCAAGCAAAAGGTCGAGGGATCAACTCCAGAAGGTAGCGATTTTTTTTTCCTTTTCTTTTTCACTAATTTTTTTGGATACATTCTTCAAAGGCAATTTTTTTTTCTCTTTTCATCCACCACGTAACCTTTTTCTGAGTAGAAATCGGCATGTTAATTAGAGGCCATTTAAAAGCCATCATTCTAGACTGAAGTTCATCAACATTGTTTCTTTTTCGGTGATCGAGTATTCAAATTCCGGATCAACAAGGTTTAAAAACAAGACCTCTAAATATTGAAATGTAAGACAACTTGTCGCCCTCGAAAGTACGTTTATTGGAACGCCTCGTTTGCACAAGATTCGTTTAAACCTTGATTGAGACATTATGCACTCAGTATTAATTTCGATCGATTTTTCATCCATCAGTAATAGTTTCTGGTCCCAGATCTTAGCCCTCGGTCAAATACACGTTATTTCATGATAGACCGCGAAAATTTTGGCCAATTCTTAGCTATCAGTTTAGCCCCATACAAGAATTCAAACTGAACATGCGAAAGTCTTACACGCTAGCGAACAGGACTTACAAGAAGAAGTGTATAGAAGGAGTGATTGAGTGATGGATGCTAAGAGTGAATTTTGGGTCAGAAAAGCAACTCGGAAATTTTCTTTCAGCCATTTTCCCAAATAAGTTGCTCTAATAACGTTTGCATATGTAGGGCCGCTACGAATGATGGCAATGTTTACGGACTTTGAGGAGAGAAACTTGATTAAAATCAACTTCAAACATTTTTATTTTTGTTTGAATGATTCCGTTTTAATTGAACGTCCAATACAGGCGGGACCGCGGGAGACTAAAACATGCCGTTGGGATTTAGTAAAAGGTGATCACTACCACTTAATAGAGGTGGAAATTGAAGTAAACTCTAGTCCTACGTTCACAAAAGACAGATTTTCTATTCCCAACTTTAAAACACGTGTTGTTCTCACGAGCAGGACACGTGAACCCCGGTACACGAAGTATTGCCCTAAAACGTCGCTTATGTAAACACTACAACTGTAAAATAACATGACAGACACACAGCTGCGTCAGAAATCGCCGTGATTATGGGGAAAATAATCAGTTCGGGACTTTGAAAAACGACCACTTTTTACAGCTGGTGACCGTTTAATACGACGCTGCTTAATACAGGTTCAACTGTATGTACAAAATGGTAGCCTTTGATGAAAAACTGTCAGCTCAAGCACTGTAAAACTTCCTGTAACGTTATGCAGTAATGAGGAAAGGGGACACACCCTTAGGCACAAGTCTATCGTGCAAGAGGCCAAATTGTTCTATATCCAGTTCAATTACAAATCACTGGAGAGCTATTCACGGGTTGCCTTTCCTCTACTTTTTGCAATATTCAATGTTATCTACTGGTTTACGTACTGTGAATCAAAGGTCGGTGATCAAGGAATCTGCTGACGGTTCTTCACGCAATGTAGTATCTTGAACAAATCGTAGAGCCGACTTCAGAAAGTTCCTTTGCTTTTAATCGGGAACAGTTGTAACATCATCAGGAAACTTGCAAATGGTTCTTTCAGCGAGTATCATTCAGAAGCTTGAACGAATCGTAGAGGAGACTTCGGAAAGTTCCTTTTGTTTAAATCTGGACCGGAGCCTGTTACATTGTTACATAGACCTAGAACGCATGTCATATTGAAAGCGAAAGGTTTTATCGCAAAGTGATACAATCTTGAAAGGTGTTGTAAAAGTTTGATATGTCAAAGCCTGGAGGGAAAGGTAACAAAGCTAGTTGGCAGATCTTACGATGGAAAAACATCAAATATGATCAAATTTTTAATTCCACGAGTGGGTTGGCAAAGATAACCAAGCAGTAGCTCACCGAAATGTCGTACCCAGGCTCCGAAAAAGAGAGCTGAGAGTTGAGAGTTAAGATGAAAGAGAATACTTTGGACTACTAAAGCCGGTCGTGATTTTAAACTATGCAAATATGCAGTTTATCGATTAAACGTAGCAAAACCACTTTGAAAGGACCACACCCTCTCTTATCTTAAAGTGAGGATCAAAGCTAGATTTTTGCACCAATGATTTGAAAAATTCTGATCAAACTACCGTTTCTTTATTGTGATAGATTTTGCACTTCTTTATATAAAACTTTTTTATTTTCAGAGTAATCGGTGTGCTAATACTCTAGAGCACTTTTAGTTAATAGTACATATAGTACGTTAAGACCAGTATAGTATCATTAAACTGACGAACTTTCATTAAAAATGATTTTTCAGTGGCTAAGTTAAAAATGTTTACCAAATACCAAATCTATGGTACACAAATCTTTCATAGGAATCAGCAAATTTAAGTTTTCTGTCGCAAAAAGTGTCTTCTTTTCAAGCCCGAAATCATGACACGCACGATGCGAAATGAAAAGCAATGCATCTCTGATGAACTTATGCTGATGCTTGAAAACACACTCTACCTTACTCAGTCTTTAAAATGTGTTTGAGATTACATGAGCAAGGACTTGTGTATGTTCAGTTACTCTGTAATAAGGAAGATCTCCTCCTAAGAAAAAGGAAGTGTGATGTAATCAATAAAACGAAAATAGATTTTGGTAAGCTTCTGTATGACTCGCCACTCAAAGGATGATTATAAACAATGTTTTTCCTTTTATCAGTGCATGCATATATTTAATGCATGATTTGACTTTTAAATTTTTTTCCAACATTTTGGTAGGGAAATTGGTTAACTAAATTTCAAACTACTAATACAGAAGAGTCAAAGATTTTCTAGTATCGTATTAAGAGACAAATACTTGTATGTAAGTGCTCTAGACTTTGTCTAGCCCTTTCATTTTTCTGACTGAGATAATTACAAACGCGCCCGTAATAACCTTATTTTTTTTTCTGAATTTAATGATTAAAAACCGTTGCTTGGAGTTTGCAGAATATCTTCTTTGGTTATATACCTCAGTTTTACCCCGAGTTGACTTCCTTGAGGCAGATAATCTTCCTGACTAAAAGCATAACGGGACCTCTTATAGCTGGGAGTCGCCAGCAGTAAAGGAACGGATTCAGAGCTGAGTTTAAAAACACTGCTGTTAGCACCAGTTTCCAGACCAGCGGCGAAATAGCGTTATTGTCTTTAGAGCTCAAAATACAAGCGATGAAATACGGCAAGTAACACAGTATTACGACATAGTACACAAGGAACGTGTTAACGCATGTTTTAGTGAACTGCACTAAGTTGAAGTGGTGTGTTATGTGTATTGCCTGTTCCTGAGCCTGGATTTCTCTTCTGTGGCGGTTGAGTGACAGAAAAAAAGTGATTTCCCAATATTCAACTTAATCCAGAATGGGCATTTTGTATTGATGGTATTGACATGCCTCGTCTTACGTTCAGTAGGAAAAGAACGCGAGATCTTTATGACACAGCTGCGAACATCATTAGTTCTAGAAATGTTTCAGTAAGCCCTTTTTTTTAAAAAAAAATTATCCCCTCTGCCCTCCCCAAAGCAAGACTCAAAAACCGAAACATTGCAAGATAATAATGCAACGATAGTGTTATTTAACCGTGTATTCCGTAATATTGTGATATATTCGGCCTAGATCGGGGTTTGGCTCAGCCCATATTGTATTTGAAATATTGTATTTTATCTTGTATTAGTGTCCGTGTCCGAAGTAGATTCAGATTCTTTGCAAATTCGTTAAAGCTGGGCGACAAATGTTAAGGAAAACGATGACTTACAGTTGATAAAAAGCGAGTTTTTTGTCGAACAATCCCCCTATCCTAATCTGGAATTCCTACGGACTAATATTCCCCCGCTCCCTCAAGATGGCTTGTTGGTTCTTAATTCACTCTTAAAGCCTCAAGAGATCTAAGTTTTCTCTGGAGACCTTCTAGGAGAAAAATGTACTTTTTTTCATTACAGGAATAAAAAGCTGAATCTATAGGTAAACAGCCGCTGATTATTCCAAAGCTTCACACCCGACTAACTTAGGTTTCTTCAGGGAATTGAACAAAACAAAACGCTTGTCTTCCGTGTATTCCTATGGTCTCGTAAACTATTACATATTATACACGTCGTAATCCGCGGTGCCTATGGCAGCGAGAAGAATTCTGCAGTTGTGTATAGGAAAGAGAGACCGAGAAAACAGTTATAACTGAAATATATAAGCAAGGTGTATCCATGTTTTGAAGGTGCCACTTTTTTAGCGCTTCAATTTGAATTTGAATTTAGCAATTTAAATTACATCGGTTTATTCAAATATTCGCAAAATGGTAGCCCTTAAATGAAAAAAACTGTCATTCCAAAAAAAAAATTAATGGCAAACCTTCAATACCGAACAGATGTAACTGTCTACAATCAAAAAGAGTTATTTTCAATCGTGCCTCATTTGGCCTCTCTCTTGAGGCTAAGTGATGTTTTTCCATGCGTGCTTTGTGTATTGGTGACGCTTATCAAACAAACAAAAATTATTTCTTGGAAGCCTGGAGACGGAAGCGCGAAAGAAAGGTGTTTCAAGCTGGGATCGTATTCGTTTCCTTTCTAACATTTATAATTTCGTTGTGATAGAAAAAGGCCGCGAAACCAATTACACTGTTTGTGGGCTTCCTTGCTAGAAGTATTTTACTTCATGTCTAAATTTATGTAACAGTCGTATTTTTTCTGGGAATCAGCCGACATAAGAAATACAGTCATTCTTGTCTTAAGAACAGCTCTCTTTTCCCCTGACGCCCCAAAGCAAGAGTTGCTTGATGCCAGCAAAACAACGATGCTATTCTAATGAATTTACGCCATCATATGTGATTAAAAGCATATCGAACAGTCATATGCACATGTGTTTGGGTTAAAATAAGGAAAAACTATATCTTTTCAACAACATTGTATAGCGGATCTTCTTTTCATACGATTGAAGAAACCTCTGCTAAATGAATACATAATATTATGATATGATAAAGTCGAATTTAAGAAAGCCATAATTCAACTCAAAATTCCAGGGCTGAACTATTTTTTATTGTCCCATTTGATGAATGCATGTATGTTCCCATGAAATTTCCATACGTCAATCAACAACATGATCCTCGAAGCATCTTGAAAATTGAATTGGTTGCTCAAAATTAGAAAAAAAGGAAAACTTGAAAGAATTTAAAATATTCATTTGACAACAGTTATAGAAAATAGATGCTCAAGGTTTTGAAGGATCCTTTCCTTTCTGTAATTACCGAAAACTCAGTTTCATAGTTAACCCAACCGTTTAAGCTTCTCACGCCATCAGCTAAGTTGATTACGAGTGAAATTTTCAAAAGATCTAGAGTAAAGTAAAACAGTATCAAATTGCTATTTTGGTCTTGGTTTTGAAACACTCAACCACAATAAGACATTCTCATGAAATATACCTCAGCTGTAACAGATTACCTTTTAAGCTGGTGATTGAAGCCGCCGCCACGGATCCTTAAAGACACTTTAATCTGTTACACACTGCTGTTTTATGCCGTGGCGACAATTTTGGTGGAAAAAATCTTCCTAACTAACCGTTTAACAGAATTCCGCATGGCTGGAGATCGCCAGCAGTAAAGGAGCGGATTCAGAGCTTAGTTAAGAAATACCACTGCAGTTGTCAGTTTATAAACCCTAGGTGAACTAACCTCACTCTCTGAGATAGTTTTCAAAGTTATGGCCCCGTGATGGGGCAAGTAACATAATTACGAGCATACAATATTTCAATATAACAATATTACGAGATAGTTAAAAGGAGCGTGTTTACACAAGTTTACAATCGTACCCTACTAAAACCCTCTCTCGGAGGCGAAGTGGCGTTTCCCCAACAAGCTTTGTGTGTTTGTGACTCTAATCAAACAAACAAAAATTATTTCGTGGAAGCTTAGCGGTGCATGTGAGAGAAAGAGTCGTTTCAAGCTGGGATTGTATTCTTTTCCTTTACGACATTCATGTAAATTTCGTCGTGATAGACAAAGGCTCCGACACCAAATATACTTTTTGAAGGCTTTATTTCTTGATTTTATTATTTTGCATAGCATTAATTAATACCACGAATCTTTGTTCATACGGCTAATGTCACTTATTTCGTGTCTAAATTTATATAACAGACATATTTGTTTTGAGAATTCGCCGATATTAGAGATCAAAATAGTTTGTAACCTATCGATGTTTTTACATGCCGTAAAATAGGACTTCTGTCTTAGTTCTCGTTTTACGCCCTAGAGCAAGTTGATGCAAATGAGCACCGATGCATTTTAACAAATTCATGCGATTGCATCTAACAAAAAGCATTTCGAACAATTACATTTAAATCTATTTGAGATGAAATAGGCAAGGATCTCTATCTTTCAGTGATGTTTCAAGGAAAGGGATCGCCTTTTGACAGCTTCCCAAGAAACCCTCAATAAATGAGGAAATGTTAGTGATGAGATAAAGTTGAATAAAACAAAGTCTTACATTATCAAATTGTTTTAACCTGCTATACACTACGGTTTAAAGCCGAAGCGACTCTGTTGGGGCAGAGAATCTTCCTGAGTAAAAGCTTGACAGGATTCCGAATAGCTTGGAGTCGCCAGCAGTAAAGGAAAGGATTTAGAGCTGAGTTTAAGAATACTGCTGTGTGCGCCAGTTTCCAAACTATCGGTGAACTAATATTCCCCTTTGAAACAGAGTACACAGTCTTAGCTACGAGAAAGGGCAAGTAACAGAATATTAAGAGATAGTACACAAAGATTGTATTCATGCAACTTTTTATGAAGTGTCTCATATTGAAATGATGTTTTATGCCTATTGCCTCTTCTTGAGCATGGATTTCTCTTCTGTGTCGGCGAATTACTCGGTAGATCATAATTTGGATGACTGTTGATGTGCTGACAAACGCTATCATGAATGCATTAACCACATACTCAAATGCCGTCTCATGCCATAACCATAAAGTCGTACCTAAAGCAATTATAAGCCAACACGAAATTATGAGGGAAAAAACACGAGGGACAGTTACGATAGTGTCATACCTCAGTGGATAGTGAATCGCTAGGAATCTATCTACGTTAGTTAGTAGGACATTTAAAATGGAAACTCCACAAACAAAATATGCGCTGAAAACAAATGCCGTTGTTAGCCTACAAACATCGATATCCTGATAACCACGAAGTAATAACAGTTCCACGGCAATAAATAAGGGCTCCACAACCAAACCAACGGTAACATCAGACAATGCAAGACCACAAAGTAATAAAATTGACGGGTAGCGCAAGGATGGCGTTTTCCACACTGCTGTTATCACCAAGATGTTTGTTAGGATCGATATTATCATTAGAATGATGTTGACGGTGAAATTGAGGACGATGAAGAGGTGTGGAACGTTTTCATGATCAACCATGACTAAATTTCGGCGCAGATCGTTGTTTAGCACTGTCATGTTTACGATCCCTGAGTTTTCTAAGGAAAAGTTATCATTCATAATTTACCTAAACAATTAAATACTCGAATTTCACTTGTTACTACGTATACGAGGCTGGGTTGTTCTAATGATGATATGATTTGTTTGTCTGTTCCTCGAGCTTGGTGTCGGTGTTGTCCAAAAGCCCGAATGAAGATCAGTTTGACCAAGAACAGTCGACGTGTGGGAAAGCTACATTAAATGTTTATGGCACAGCTGCGAACATCGTGAGATCTAAACACGTTATATTCAGCCTTTCTTTAATACGCCATTCCTCTCCCCTCCCCGAAACAAAAACTCTAAAATAAAGACACATCGCGCGATAATAATGTAACGGTAATGTTGTTTAAAAGTTTACACCATGATTTTGTTATGCATGCGGACTAATTTGGCGTGCATTTCGGAATATTCTTTGCATTAAAATTTTGTAGTAATATTCGTGCTATATATGACAGACTTTCCGCAATTAAAGAAATGCATTCTCAAGCCGGTATCCGTTATTATTCGGTGAGAGCTGACGATGAAAGCAATTTCTCAAATTGCGCCTCTCGGTGAATGTTTATTTAGTCCTCTCTCTTTTTTAAGACCTCTCCCCTAGTTGGGAAGTTCTGCAAAGCAATACCCTTCTCTCTAAGAGATGGCTTTTAAAGAGTTTAAAGTATATCAAGCGGGAGATCATCTGAGAAACTATAGAGGTAGCCTTCTCACTTAGCAGATAAATTTGCTCCCATCTTCACGCTTAAGGCAAAGCTGCGTTTTCATCAGCTTTGCGTGTTCATGACACAAACCAAACAAAGAGAAACATAATTTTGGAAGTCTACCAACGTAAGCGCGAAAAAAGCTGTTTCAATCCGGAATCATGACATATTTGATATTCATGAATTTCAATAGGGTAAAAAAAAATCGTCGACGTGACAAATGAATATATCACAAAGGTACATCCGTTTCTATGGTACCTTATACAGTGGACGCCTTAGTTTGGGCGAATAAGTCTTCTTAATGAAATCATGACCAGTTAACGCATGACAGGGAGTCGCCAACAATAAAGAAATGGGACATAGTTTGAAGCTACACTGGTTTGCAGATTTAATGAATGTAACCGAAGAAGTTACAATTCATAGACCCAACGTTTCGACACTCCTGTCTAGTGCCTTCATCAGGTGGCACTAGACAGGAGTGTCGAAACGTTGGGTCTATGAATTGTAACTTCTTCGGTTACATTCATTAAATCTGCAAACCAGTGTAGCTTCAAACTATGTCTGATTGTCCACCTGGTTGCCGTGTGAACTTTAATATAATAAAGAAATGGGTTCAGAGCTGAGTTAAGATACGATGCTGTATTTGCCAGTTTCCAAAGGATCGGTGAGTTAATATCATTGCCTGAAATAACACTGAAAATCCAAGCTGTGGAGAAGGACATATAACATAATAGCAGGAAAAAGTAAACAAGGAACGAGTTTATGCAGCACTTTTTACATCGTGTCATGTTTAATTCCGACTACTGGTTCTTGAGCTTAAATTTCACTTCTGTGGCGGAGAACGACTCGGTAGATTTTGATGTAGATTATTGAACACGTGCTAATAAACACTGCTATTGCAACTGCAACTGCATAAGAAAATGCGGTCACATTCCACAGCAATAGAGTCGCACAAAGGATGCTTCCAACCCAACAAAAAACGATAAGAGTATAAACACGCGGAATAGTAACGATGGCGCCGTATCTTAGAGGAAACTGAATCGCAAAGTACCTATCCAAGCTTGTGAGCGTTACATTTGCAAACGAAACTCCACAAAGTACAAATGAATAGTGAAAAACGTCGTTTCAAGCCGGCAATCACTTTTTGGATATCCATACCCTTTTAACAACTCTATGGTGACGAAAAAAGGTTCAGCAATTAAACCAACGGCAAAATCAGAGACGGCGAGACCACAGAGAAGTAAAATTGAAGGGTACCGCAAGGAAGGCGTTTTCCATACTACTGTTATCACCAAAGTGTTTGCTAAGATCGATACTATCATTAAAATGATGTTCACCATGGAGTTTAGAACAATGAAGAGCCGTGGAACGTTTTCATTTTCGAATGCAGTGTAGCGATGGCATAATCCGTTCCTGAACGTAGCGTTTGTAATTCCAGAGCAGTTTAAGTAAGAGCTTTCATTCTTATCTTATCATGGGTGTTTCAAAAAATTTTGAGATACTCAATAACTGAAAATGAATTGTGTAATGACGACATATCTTTTGGTCCTGTATCTCCAAGAACTTTCCTCGTTCCAAAAGCGGGGGAAGCGTAATCTTTGCCGGTTAAAGAGACTCGACCATCGATGCCGTTTATCATGATGATGATAGAACAGCAAATCAGATTTATTGCTTGAGGAGCTTGTGTAAACCTAGTCGTTGATCATTTGACGGTATGTCACATATCGGCTGACTTACAACCACATAACTGGCCCTTTTAGGCAGAATTTTCAATTATCCTGCTATGATAATTCAGTTTTTCTCAACAAGAACTTCGAGTTTGACGCATTATATTTTTGTGAATTTGATGTTCTTGGTGAATAACGATTGACTCGTACTCTCTTTTTATCTAGGAAATTTTTGGTATTAGGACTTCTACGATTATGTGTTGGATCAAAGATCGTAACATCGACTTTGTGAAAACTTAAGTGTCTTGTAAGCACAGTGCTTGAATCATCACTAGTTTGCCATAGATGTCTTCCGCACGTGGGTGAAGAAATATAGCTGCTCTCAACAGTATTTTATAAAAACTTAAAAAGGCTCAGCAAGTTTTGGCGATAACTTTCCTTTAGGGATCCAAAGCACCATGCCAAACATTTAAAGGCTTGAAAGAACGATTAATCCCGTAGCTAATTTTAAAACTTCTGAAAATTTGAAATATTTTTCTCTTCGTTTGATAGGAAAATATTACTAGAACTTTAAGTTCTCGTGAATGCGATCGGGGATCCTCAGATTGTTGTCTTAGAGGGAAATGAAATTTTTCATCAGCCATTAATTTGCACTTAGTGAAAATGTCCAATTTGAGATGTGTCATTGTCGTACGTTGCATCAGACAATTTCCTCCATGAAAGATCAAATGGAAAAAAACAATTGTGATTGACTGTTGATGAAGCACTCTGTTACCATGGAAACATTTCTTGCATCAGGTAGGCTTTGAATTGTGGCTTTTTTCTGGTGCTAACCGAAATTTATTGCGCATTAATCATCTTTTCAAGAGAGCATTAACTCAAAAGTTTGCAGTTGTATAGCCATAAATCGCATTCTTCTGGATTTGAATTTAATGAGTCAATATCTGAATTTTCCTTCGTCGCCTAGATGCGTCTCATAGACTCGATGTTCCCATTTAAAGTCCTAGTTACCCTTAGCCTTCTTAGCTCAGTGACTATTCAACTCTCAAACTATGACTCCTGCTTTGAAAATATATTAATCTGACCTTTTTTGCAAAAACAGTTGAAATTGCCTCATTATCATCGGCTCATAACGGTACGATCTTAGGGCTGACTCGTTTTTATCTCTATGTTTTGATGTATGTGAAGTATGTGACCGAATGAAGAAAAAGTGGAAATGCTTCGTGTAAATGTCACTGTGATACCCTTTTATTTGCAATCGGAACAACTGAAAATGCGTCTGATCGAAACTTTAATTTGGCCTTACTTGACTTTCAAGTGTCGCATAAGAACAAGAAATATTATTGGTTTCCCTTGGAAGTGTACCCTTGCGCGGCCTTTAATTTTCACATGATTATCCAACATTATCTTGAAAATTCAAATAATTTGCTTTTCTCGTCAAAGGTCGAGGTAAAAAGGGCAAGGCAAGACATCCGTGACAAATATCATGTGTGTTTGGAAAACCTTTATTTCGTAGAACTGAACGAATGGCGTCTAGGAATAAAATACTTTTGATACAAATTTGAGGTATAGTTGACTCGTTTTTACAAACCATATTAGTCTTAAAGTTTGCAATGGCCAGGCCATTGGATAATTCACTTTCTCTTGGGGATTCGAGTTTTTCGATGCAAGTGAATCTTGTATTATCATAAGTTTCCATCAGTGCTCGAGAGCATCAAATCAACTTTTAAATTTTGGCATTCGACGTAATGCGGTTTGCCTCTTAAGGCCACGGGGTTTAAACTGCTCAGATGTAAAGCATCCAATGTACCAATTGGTTCGAGAGACTGATGTCGGAAGTCCTAAGAAATCGTTCTCCTCTTCCATTTCTTGAAGTGAAACACCTATGAGCAGTCTAGTTGCCAAAAATACATGATGAGGAGACTTTTAGAGGGCAGAAAATCTTCTTAAACAAAGCTGTGACCGGACCTCTCATAGCTGGGAGTCGCCAACAATAAAGAAACGGATTGAGTGCTGAGTTTAAATTCCCTGTTGTGGTGGCCACTTTCCAAAGGATAGGTAAATTGGTCTTTTCGTCAGTCAAAATTTGTAGAATGCCAGCTACAGCGAAGGGTAGGTAACATAGCAATAAGAAATAGTACACAAGGAACGTGTTCATGGCAGTTTTTTTAAAACGCACCATATTCAACTCGGCGTTTGTCGAGTGGACTGCCTGTTCTTGAGCTTGAATCACATTTCTATGGCGGCGGACGATTCGGTAGATCTTGATATGGATGAATGTTGACATTATCAGGAGAATTGCGCAAACAACTGTCACCAGATATAGAAAAATGACCATATTCCATATCAAAATACTAGTACAAAAAGCGCTGAGAACCCAACACGAAATTATGAGAATGTATACCCGCGGAATAGTAACAATAGTATCATACCTCAGTGGATAGTGGATTGCCATGTATCTATCCATACTTACAAGAGTTACGTTTCCAAACGAAACTCCACAAACTAGGAATGCAATCACAAAATATCCCGTTTCCAGTGTACAATCATCTCCTTTTGGATAACCATGAATTTTTAACAATTCCACGGTGACGTAAAATGGCTCCACGATCAAACCAACGAAAACATCAGATAGTGAGAGACCACAGAGAAGTAAAATTGAAGGGTAGCGTAAGGATGGCGTTTTCCAGACCGCTGCTATTACCAGGCTATTTGCCAAAATGGATACCATCATCGAAATGATGTTCACGGCGGAATTGAGGATGATGAATAACCGCGGAATGTCTTCATTTACAAACGCGGTGTAACGACGACATAGACCGTCGCTCGACGTTGTATTTATCATATCTGAGCAATTCAAAGAACAGTGTTCTTTTGTATTTGAGAACATTTAGAAGTTTCCAATTTGCACATCCCAGTCTGACAGTATCTGAGAATTAGCTTCTTTGCTCTTTTGTCAGCAAAAACCAAGCATAACCAAGAATCAACCTTTGATAAGCAGCAACATATGTGAAAAAGTTTTGTGACCCACCTTTTTACATCAAGTTTTTATACCTAACAATAGATCATGTCTCTTAGCAGCTGGCGCAAACAAATAATGGGCACTTCAATTTCTTATATTAATTATTTTGGTCGCCTGAAGGCAAGCATTGACTCTGTACTAGAGTGGAGCCTTTCGGACACACGACGCCTTTACAATTTTTCGTGGGAGTCGCAAAGTAGGCGGTTTCTTGGCTGTCAAATAACCCGAGGATAAAAAGAGATGGTAATAATAACGTTAAATCAAAGGTTCCTCTTCAGCTGTAATTGTATATGAACTAGTGTTTCGGAAAACACGTTTTTTGTTTCTATGGAAGCCTTTGTCATGTTTGCTCAAAAACATCTTCCTGGTGTTAGACAGTCCCTATGCATAAGTTGTGCTTAAATTTTATCATATGTTTGATTTGGAAATTAACTTGTAAACTCAAGTGATCCTGAAAGTCGTGAGAGCTATAAGTGAAACCTCTTTCTTTAACTTCCCGTTCTCAAACGGTGGAAATGACTGATAATGAAATTTCATTTCATCCAATATAAGTAATAACATGTGATCAAAACAATTTCTTTTTTATGGAGATTGTCTCTCGGACATACTTTTTTCAACCTTAGGTTGAGTCACACCGATGCATTTAGAAGAACTTTTTCGGAGATAGCTGTCTATCAATAAGCCCGGTGTGTCATTTGTTGTGAATGTAGCGGCGTCACGTTCTCTAAACCTGTAAACCAGCAATACTTAATTCTGATGTTTGCGCAATAACAGCAAAATGACACAGACTATGTCACACAGATGATGACGCTTTACCCTTTTTTACCATGTCGAACAACAACCTACGTAAATTTATGTGGTATATTTTATCTCAAACCCTTAAATGGTGACTAACGATGCAATATTTTTCAGGTAGCTGTAAACTCAAATGAGCAGCGGATGTTCGCAATCCTTTTCATTTCGCCATTAGGGAATGTAAAAACTGAATTGGTTTTCTCTTGATGAGCCCGGGGAAATCTGACTTTAAGAAGAATTGCTAAATTCATGCCTTACACTGAAAAAGAAATAAATAATTGTGGATGATTGTGAAAAATGTCTCTGATGCAAAGTATTGATATGATTGTACGCTTGAAATCGGCGATAAATATAACACAGGCCATCCAATATAATAATATTGGAGAAAACAGTACGATGGGCAGGTGATACCGTTGACTGTAAATGTTTGAGAGGTTATCAGTAAGAAGGAAGAGGAAAAAAAGGAAAATGTACATCTTCTATAAAGTGATATTTGATGCGCCGAGTAATGAAGCGAGCGAGACAGAAGTTTTCAGTGTAAGGATCGATCTGGTTCTCTGGAAAGTTCATGTTGTTATTCAATAATTAATGCAAAGCAAAGAAATATATTGATTTTATTAATTTCATGCATCAGCAACTAAAATTTATGATTAAAGCCAAGCAGACGGGAATGATAGCTAGCCAATTTCTTCTCGATTCGAGATAAACGGTAGAAAACTTGAGCAACAGGTCTTATTTTATTAATCTTGAGTGTTTTCAACTCCATTTTTCGACCCACGCTAAGTTGGCACGAAAGAGAGGGCGCAATAGATTTAAAAGATTGCACTTATTAACTACTGAATGCAAGGGAGATATCTGTCAAGATTCCCAGGGGTCTTAGTATAAATATCAAGTTAAATCCTAAATATTCTATGTAGCAAGGAGGAGAGCGGCCGATAAATTGAGTCATTTGCTAATTACTAGCGTAAGAGCGATGCCTATGTTGCAGTCTCGTAGTGTCAACTGGTAAAGATCAGTTGACAGAATTTTGAAGTATAACATCCAATTCAAATGACACAAGTCAAAATAACCAGCTGAAATCGAACAAATACAAGATGGCACGCTAAGGAGTCCTCTTTCGATTGCATCCGTTTAAAACTCATCTATAAATATAACATTCATTAGTTGAGCACTCCCTTTCATTTAAACTATAGTGGAAAATTTGAGGCCATTTATCATCCTCCTGTTACCATGCCAACTGCGATGTAATTACTTTTCTTTGCTCATCAATTTTGCCTCTCATCCAAGAAGTCTCGAGTAGTACCGTGGAGGCATGGGTACGGGCCCTGCTAGAGCTTTTCGGCTTTTCTTTCTGCAATTTTCGATAACTGTTATTTTCCAGCGAAATTCAGTTTGTCATTTAATGAATCATTCTCAGACCATATATGATTTATTCCATTCATTTTACGAAATATTACATTTCATACATTTCCAAAAGAAAAAGAATTTCGTTGCATTTTTTTTTTAAGAGGTTACATCAAATCTACTGAAACACAAAGAGAAAAATTTTAAATGCAACGCTTTTAATTTCTCCTCTGTTATCCGATACAACAGAATATCAGAATTTTTCCTTTCCTTTTTCGTACCTGGCCTCCTGCAAAATGTCCGAGACTGTTTTCTCGCTTTCATACAAGTAGATGCATTCGAACGAAGACATTTGAAGTTTTTTTAGACTGTGCAGTTTACAAATATTCCGGCGTAAGGGCAATCCGCTTCATAATTCTTATTTCCATTTTTTTTTTTGCGTGCCCTCCCTTGTATTTACCATTTCAAAGATTCTGAACGTAAGTTTTAAGTTTCATTCGACTTTTTTCTTCTTTCTAAAGGCTAAATTTGGCCAAATTTTGTGAAATGGCACATCTATATAGCATTTGCGACTTTGGTGACAAGTTTGTATCCACAATAATCTACGCTGTTCGTTCGAAGAGAATTATCAAGTTAAAGCATCAAGATTAACAGAACTGTAAATGCCTGTGTGATGTCAAATGCAACTCGGTGTTTACTCTTGCAACGTCAAACATGAAAATTTATCTTATTTCGACGAAATATTTACCCAAATGAACAGACCCTTAAAATTGTAAATCTTCCAATAAAAGCTGTTGGTGGAACTAATCAATATTTGCGCATTCATGATGGGCTTTTCCGTTTACTCAGGCCAAGTTAAAAGATTTGACTTGTCATTTTTTGAAAAAACTTGGCCGGATGTCCACTTGAGAATGTCACAGAAAAAAGTTTAACAAATTTACCATTTTGCGCTGTGAAATATTTGACATGTATAATCCCTCAAAACTGTATTCAAAATCTTGAGGTTTCGCTGGTTGTCACGTCAAATCACACGTAATTCAACAATTTAAATGACAGATATTGAAAACTTACTTTTATATAATTGCACTTACACATACACAAAAAAAATTTAATATGCAATATTGAAAAGAAAGTTCATCTAGTTGAACTTTAGATGGCCTGAAGATCTCGTAGGAAAAGTGCTGCAATAATCTACGAAATACGAAGTACATTAGTTGCTACAAAGGGTGTAATGATACCTGCCGAACTGTTCCAGATTGAATAAATTACGCAACAGCGCCCTTTAGGAGTGACCATTGGGCTTCAGTAAAAAACGGTCAGCTTTGTTTGCGGGGGATGTTTAGTAACAGAACTGCAACTTACAGGACCCACGAAGTAAGTCATATAGCTCCTATAAATTATGCTATCAGGATGAAAATTGTTGAAAACGGAAAACAAAGAAACTGGTATGTTTCTTCGTATACAGCGAATCAGTCGGAGTAGATATTAAACAGCAAAGGCATTGTATAAGGAATCTAGAACTATTTGCTCACGATCGATTTATATATTTAACAGCAAATTTTTCGATTGTCATTTAAAGTTGCCCCTTTTTAAAAGAGAATTTTGAGTCGGAATAAAACTCCAGAACCACGTTTGCGAACGAAGAGGAAAATAGATGTCTTATACAAAAGTGAAGTACAACCTATGAACTTAAAATCCATACAGATTAATTCATAATCAGAAATATTATTTTCTCCATAAAATATGACGTCGTTATGCTTTTGACTGGAATTGGTTAAGCAAAATTATTCAACGACTTTAAAGAACGACATGACAGTTTTGCTTAGCAAATGAATTTGGCCAAAATCATGATTCTGCAAAAGAAAGTGATGACATTAAAATACATTTCGGGTGACCGAAAGAAAAAACATTCTGGTTTCTCATAAATATTCTACGGTAAACAGACTTTCAGAGAAAAAAATGTAATAAGATACGCCTCCGTTAAGTAAGGTGTAGAGGACTATCAGTAATTTTGGTCTCCATCCCCCGATTGGGGTTTGAGAATGAACAATAATACCTATAATGGAAACATTAATTTACGAATAGTCGATACCGCGAAAATGGCGAGTGCCACATGCTTTTTGTCTGTATATTTTGTCCATCTCTATGTGTAAGTTTTTTAATATACGTCAGTTTTAGGGGGCGCAGGAGAAGGCACCGAACAACAGCAAGGTAGTATTTCTATCAGCGCAAGCGCGTAATAGATCGGTGAAATTTGTTTCTCTGCGGATAATTTTATTGATTTTAATCATTTCGCTCTTTTCAAACTTAATACAGGGTCGAAACAGTCCGTCTATCCTCACGTGCCAAGCATCAAATAAATACATTTTTCTTTTGTGTTTGTTTTTCCTCATGCAGCATTATCTCCTTTCTTTTTCAATTTACCTTTTCTAATCTTAAGCAGAAGTCAGCAAACAGCGCACACTTAGCCCTTTCCTTCACAAAAATACTGGCTAAGTTCCCTCAAATTAATCGCCAGCTACGTATTTACATCCATATGCAGCATGAATTCGTCTCTGCAAAACTCCTAGTTAGGATGAAAAAAAGAGTGATAACGTAACGTTGATTGCCTTTATAGAGAAGAGAAAACTTTGGTCCCACAACAAATGGTAACTCCATAAAAACAAACAAAAACACAGAAAACA